AAGATAGGCACGTTATGCCTATGCCCCTGGTTTGTAGGATGGGGCTAAGTATGTCATCGAGGCCATCATGCGGCACATAGTCAATACAACAGCCCCAATTTGACAACTAGTAGCTGGGCTAACTGCGCTGGCGTGGAAAGCATCAAGCTAGCCAGTAGTCTATTCCCCAAACACTTCTTCCAAAAATATGACATAGCTCAAGTCTAATGGCAGGGCTAGGCAAGTGTTTAGCCGCGGGAGATGGGGGTTGAAACAATTGACGCACTTGGGCCTGGACAATTCCTTGCCCACATCGGAAAGCACCCGGCCAACAGCAACGTGTGGCTGGTGCCGGTTCGATTGGACTCGAGTGCCGTGTAGTATCAAGTACACACTTCAGCTCTTTGCGACAGTCGAGGGCATGCCACAGTGGCACCATTGAAGAAAGGCAAAAAAATTCCGATGTGGCCCGTCGCGCTGGGCCAAAGTTGGGCCGCCTAGAGGAGCTACGGTAGCGAGTCCGAGACGTTGGAAAGGGCCAAAGACTGTTTGTGTTGGATCAATCATCACGCGCATTTTGACGTCGCCTCCCGAGCCACAGGGTGAAAGGCCGTCTGGTGTCCAAAAGCTGATGTTCTCACACCCTCCCGTCCGCACACCAATGCACTTCACATGCAGGAAACTGCAGGTTGTGCAACTTGCTCTTGGTGGATTGAAAACGGTGTGGATATGCCCCTTGGCGAGCCAGCAGCCAGCCCAAGGGTTCATGTGCCAAAACCATGAACAAAGAACATCGTGACCGACTGCCAACACACAGACGACTACAGGCTCACCATGGCGACAGCAAGCCAAGATCAAGAAAGCCGATCAAGGTTGATGATGCCTTGTTTGGGCGACTCCTAGAATATGCATCATATGGCATGAGTCGTTATATTGCCCTTGCAGAAGCTCTAAATCTTGTCTGGACATTCATTACTCGTGGCCAAGACCAAAAGTGCATATTTTTCCTTTGGTCCATCAGCGTACGGAGTCTATTTTTGTCAAAGCCAAGGCAGTGCCAACGAATTCATCATTTTCCGTCATTTTTTTTAATATCCCGCCACATAGTTGAGCCATATTTCTGAATTTCTACGTCCAACACGCCTACACACAGCTACCCACCTGTGGCGTTTTCACATATTCACACCCCCCCAGGCACAAAGTCACAACACAGGCAGGTCATCCTTCTGCCAGCTTCGAATCCAGAAACCGGGGCCGATGTCTGTTTATACTCCCCCTGTTACTAGCGTCTTCAGTTTTGAATATCCCCGCCTGTTAGCCACCAGACGACAACATTGGGTACCCATGGCCATTCTCGACCGCCAGCCAGGCTCACTTCGCTGTAGTCTCCTGCCGAGGGTCGGTGGTCTCTCGGTGCCTTGAATCAAGTAATTTCCTCTTTTAAATCTTGTTGGAGATCCGCGGATCTGGACCGATATCTAGTGTGGGCTGCCAATTTTGATACAATTACGCCCGTCGTATCTGTCTATGCCGGGTCCTCTGGACCATGTCTCTCCCTACACATGTGTGTCTTTGGGACCTTTGATGTTGACATGATATAGCCCTTTTTTCAGCTTCTTATTTCCATTGGTGTCATATATACCTCACCACGGTTCTATACCTCGACTTAGCTGCTGCAACCTTTTATTCCTCCGTCTCTTATCAGCCTAACAAATATTCCATACAAAGAAGCCTATCTATTGCTTTCACAGCTGCCCAACTAAACTGACCCTCTCCTCTCCATCTCATTCCACTCATTCCCAACTTCGTGCGACACCATCGTGTGCCTCCTTGCCTACGAAGACGCCGTCTGTTGTCGACTAAATGACTACTCCAGCGGTGAGTTCCAAGTCTACAGTGCCACGTCGAAATAATTAGGAGAATACCTTGCCTTTCTTCTTGTATCATGTCTAACTGTCTCTCCGGTCCTCAACAGCACAAGGCCAACCTGGCTCGAATTCGTGATAATCAACGGAGATCTCGCGCGCGGAGGAGAGAGTACTTGCAGGAACTCGAGCAGCGACTGCGAGTCTGCGAACTCCAAGGCATCGAAGCCTCTGCCGAAGTTCAAATGGCTGCCAGAAGAGTCGCGGATGAAAATACACAACTAAGGGAACTCCTAAATAGATACGGGGTTACGAATGAGTACATTACTCATTACTTGCAAGCATCCACAGAAAATGGTTGTGAGTCTGGTCGGGCACAACCAATCCGCCTCAGGGAGGAGGCAGGAGTTGCCATGCAATCATTAAGCCAAGCAATGCTGCCTCGAAGAGCGGCGCATCTGGAACAGACTCAGCAGTTTGCTATACCGAGCCAATCTAGTAGAGAGGACTCGATAGCAAGCGCCTCTACGACGAATTCTTCCGTTTGGGAGCCATCACAGCCGAGCGTGTCTTACAACCATCACCCGCAACAGCTTGCTGGTGTTTCACCGACAGACCATCCTCATTATTCTCCATCAGCTTTTTCGGCACAGCCAGCTATAACGCAATCAGATCAGTTCCAAAGTGCATCTGGGCAGATGGTGAACGACTCGCGACACGACTTGGTCAGAGGCCAGCCAATGCCTATCGATAATCGCTTAACGATGAACTACCAGTTTTCTATGAGTCCCTACAACGATCCAACGAACCGATATGGACCTCAAGGAGGACCTTTTTGACAGAGGAAGCATACTCAAATTGTTTCTTTGTCACTGACGGGGGCTTTTGTTATCAACAAAAGAGCAGAGAAGCGCGGGGCTTGTGCTGAAATTATCAGCACTTTGAAGACTCGAGCGTCATATTTGACCACCAGCTGAATCAGTCCCCAATATTGCCAAGTGGAGGTGGCCAGGAGCTGGAATTGACTTTGATCCTAGGCCTACCTATCAGACCAGCATCCCTTGACTATTATCAGACGGAATAAATACCCCGCAAGTAGTCCGACTCAACCTCGAGCGTCATCCCGAATACACCAGTGCGAACCATCAGCGGAATACCAGAGGCTCAAGCATATGGCTCGAGCTGAATTGTGATTTCCGGCCGGTAGTTGGAAGCCTGTAGCTACTAATACAATTACGTTGTAGTGGCGCGGGACACCAGTGGAAGCATCAATGGCTTGGCGAAATTCTAGGGCAGGTGTTGGAAATTGTGCAAGGCCAACTGGTTCGGTTATAGAACCCTTGTGCCACCAGACAGCCTCATGGCATGAATCAGGCGAATCTTTGGACATGTGCTTGGCAAGCATTTCCCCACAAAAATATGCGAGAAGTACAGCGAAATTCGAATCAAGGCGAAGAACGGCAACGGGTTTGGATCAAGGGAATGCAAGGGTAGGTGTCCTGATTCCGGAATCAAGTTGAAGAATTGGACTGAACGGGGTTGATTAAGGGTGACACCCGCAGTCCGAGCGAGTTGTGTCCGCCTCCAATTCTTCGAACCACGCCAAAAAAAAAAAAAAAAAAAAAATTGGTGATCTGAGGTTGCCAACGGAGTCGGTCAAATTCAGTTGCTGAGCCAATGCGCTCCTAATCCGATAAGATCAAAACACCAGGACGAAGAGGGGAAAGCTTTCTCTCTCTCTCTCTCTTTTTTATTATTATTATTTTTAAAAGAGACTTGTCACTTGCGCTTCCTCCCTAGCTTCCTTAGCTTCCTTCCCTTTTTCCTTTCCCCCTTTCCTCTTCTTCTTCTTCGGCATATGCCTTTATTCCTTTTAGGCGCAGACGGTTCAGGAATCAGGACGGGCGTTGGCGGGCAAAACAAGCACGGTGCCAGTAGGCGCCATAGAAGAATGCCGGGAAACAACCCCTGGACGGTGTAAAGCACAATAACATAGTAAAATATGTGCCGGACATGATGAAGCCGTCAATATCCCTGCGCACCGGGAGTGCAAAACGAAAGAAGCAGTTACGAGCCGAGTCAGAATGGTTGCCGGCGGCGACATCAGTACTGCGAGGGTAGCCAAGCATACGTAGGCCTGTTGGGCTGAAGAAGTGCAAAGAATAACACAGGGAGCAAAACAATTGGTTACAAACCTTGCAACAAAAGTACCGTACGACTACAAGTGTGACTGTGAGGCATGCAGGACGAAGCAGAGGCTCCTGCAGTATCGAGTCAGGAAGCCACAGGGACGGGATACGCCACAAGTTGGGGTAGTAAGGGTCGTGGACTCACGGGGACTCGATTGGATCGTGGGAGACGCAGTCGATGTCTTGGAGCTAGCACGTCTGAATACCTAGGTATGTGACTTGTAGGATAAGTATGAGGTGGCACAGATACGGAGGCGGATGGGTTTCAGAGACACGACGGGCTCGGTGTCAAACACTCGGACTCGAAAAATATCTGGGCCCGATAAAGAATTGCCTGAGGGTCGATGAGGAGGCCGTTGATACGGGTATAAGTGGATGAGGTTGTAACAGACATGCGCCATACGCCACGGGAGCGGCACCGAAGCCAGGATGACACACCGTGATGCCATGTCCAGCCGGTATAAACAGACGGCGATGCAAGTATCAATGCAAATGCGACCAAGAGCAATAGTAGTCTCCGCATGTACAACCATCGGGCATATGACGGCAATGGGACCAAGAGCCGGCGGCGGAGATACAAATAAGACATGTGTCAAACTCAAAGCATGGGAGCACGCGGGCCCGAACTCATCGGCGTGGCGGACTTTGGACATGCAGATGGATGCAGCGCCAGCTGAGATTAAGACAAAGCAAAACAAGCTCCACGGGGAGATGCATCTTGCATCCCATCCCAGAGACGACGACGACGATGACGCCGACGCCGCACAGCCGAGGTTCAATGTTGCACTGGGTTCACGGCTTCCATGTCTGGTTTGGATGTCTGGCGCTGTCAATGTGCGGCTAGCGCGCCTGCGTCTGCTGTGGGCACCGGGCACCAGTGACTAGACAGGCCCAGACGCAGGGCCAGACGTCAAGACTCCAGCTTGAGAGTCAAGACACCACCAGCACCAGCACACTGACATGGGACATGGAGCCTCACCACGGCTCGCCAGCGCTCAGCAGTCAACGTTGCTTCCAGCACGCTGGCCCGAGCCCCAGCATCGCGAGTCTCGACTGCAACGTCGCCACCACGCCGCCAGCCCAACCTGGCCCGTCCGAATCAAGATCCGCCACCGAGCCTCCCACGTCCCTCGTCGCGGATCCACGCCGCCATTCCGTTCCGGAGTCCGAACCCGTCGTTGCCGATCAGGTGTGTCCATCGTCATCATCGGACCATGTACGTCTTGGTATTCCGCCAACAAGAGCTTATTGTGTCGCGAATGCCGAGGCGGCGACGGCGACTGTGCTGGCCAGGGAAAATCCACCTCGACCATCACCATGGCTCGCAAGGTCAAAGGGCACGATTCAGCAGCCGCCAAAACAGCCTTGCACTCACGCCCTTGCTTCGACGGGAAATAACCCCAGCAACCCAGACAACTGGAACTGGAATCCATCCGAGATCCATGCCGCCAAGGGACAGCTTTGACGTAGTTTTTTATTTTATTTTAAATAAACTCCTGTGGCTCCTGCAGCAGCCCACTCCCACCGCCGCTGCCTCTGGCACCAATCGCACGCGTGTGAGAGCTGTTGTTTCTGTGCCTGGCCACTGGCACAACACGAATACAGTCCATCGTTGCATTTATACGAGGGCGTATCGCAGGGGACCAAGTTACAGAGTCATGACAGTCCACACCCCTCGGCTGTAGGTAACCGAAGACATCACTTGGCACCGCTCACGGGTGGGGAAAATGCCTTGGCCAGCGACGGGCCAGCGACTCAGCGGTTTGTCTGGTGGACTTGTGCTGTGCACCTGTACAAAGGGCCTTGTTGGCTTGTTGGGACATCGTCGTAGGTGAGGGCCTTTACCATCACGCCCGTCTTGATTCGCGGCAGCCGCAAAACGTGGTGATTTCATGGTGAGGCGTCAAATCTGTCATTCACGGGGCTCGCAGGTCCTTGACGGTCGTGCACTGCCGCTTCCACACCCCAGGTTTAATAGCAATTTGTCGAACCAAACTCTGGCATTCTGAATAGTGACACGTCGAATATGGGAGCCGGGAGAAGGGCCCTCGGCATCAGGCTACGCCGTACACCGTCCGGGGATGACCCGCCGCCGCCGCCGCCGCGCGTTCGTCCATGATGGCATCTAGGCGAGACAGAATTGCCGTCCTTGCCCTCGTCTAGTCACCAGGTTGTCATTGTGAGATCTGATCCGACGCCGTCGATGGCTTGCCGGGGCAATGACATGATCAGGTCCCGTTAGATGATTACCGCGCCAATGGCTGACGCCAGGCAACAGGAGGGTTCGGCATGTCTCAAGACACACATGACACATCGACGTGCCGTGTCCCCTGTGGCTAACGCCCTGCGAATGTGTATGATGTTTTGGCATGCCGCAAGTAGGTTGGGCGGCATGTCACTGGCGGATTGCGACTCTCGCTTCATGTCTCAAAGGCTGTCTGGGCTCAAGCTTCTACATTGGACACGGACGAGTGTCGCTTCTGCTGGAATCGTGCACGAGTTTAGCGCTCGGAATAGCTAGCCATTACTCCGTATTAAGGACTCAGCAAGTGACAGGCCTCGGCGCGCGTTCCTCGACACGCATGGGGCTACTTGCAGATAGTCGAGAGAGCAACGACAAAACCAGATTGACAATGGATATAGTGTCAAAACATTGTATAACGCCGTAACTATTCCGAGACATGGTCCATATTCATCATCTACGTCTAGTCGATGCAGAGCACCCGCCTACGGAGTCCCTCTACAGGAAGTAATCCGCGACTGGCTTCTTGGCGGGCATACCCCGTGAATCTTGGGGCGCTGCCTGGAACACACGATACCGTCTCGCAGGACCGCTCTTCATCATCCCATTCGACTCCATCATTACCCCTCGCCCGCCATCGCTCCTGTTCACCTCGCCGTTGCTGCGGGAGAAGACGCCCGTGCCAGACTCGTCTTCGGTTAGCTCCAGGACGGCGGCAACGTTGCCACAGCGGTAGCAGTAATTCGGAGCCGACCAGACCGTCACAATGGAGGCGTCGAACATTTCCTTGAAGCCCTCCATGACGAGTTGATGTGCGCGAGCTATGAGGCTCAGGTCGTTTCGGTGGTTGAATACTTTGACAATATCAGCGCCAAAGAGGAATCCTGCGCCGCGCGGCGACAGCCCCCAGCCATCGATGTCGTCGGGGTCGGACCACAGGAGGTCACACATAGCGCCCTCGTGGGGGACCTCTTGCTTCCGATCGATCAGGCGGATCTTATCGACTGTATCAATCAGCGGGCTCAGGCCGCCATGGACGCAGAGCACGGCTCCGGCTGGGTTGCCCACGCTGCCATTGCTGGAGCCCGAGGCGCCTGAGCCGGGAGGTCCGGTCTGCCCTGCGGGACCGCTGCCGTTTGCGCCGTGCTCCTGGGAGCTGCTAGGCTGAGAAGACTGCTGGCGCTGGCGCTGGCGAGGGAACCGACTCATGATGGAGCCGTTCTGGTCGCACACTTCAATCTCAGTCTCTTCGTCCGCTGGTCCAGACGCAGGGGACAATGTGTTGGATGCGCCCAGAACAATGGCCCCGAGGGCCAAATAGTCGAATACATCACAGCAATACCGCCAAACGTTTGCGCTTCCATATTTCCGCAAGCATTCATCGTAGAAGCCGTATACTGTGGTGATTTGACGGGACTCGTGGTTGCCGCGGATAAGCGTCATGCGGTCGGGGTATCGTACTTTTAAGCATAGAAGAAGAAGAAATGATTCGAGAGAGTAGAAGCCTCGGTCCACAAAGTCGCCTAGACGTGGCGTTAGCAGCGTGTACGAAATGGCAATGCATGCGCGGGGTCGTGTGGCATTTACCCATGAATAAATAATTCGTATCAGGGACATCTCCGCCAACTCGGAATAGTTCCATCAAATCGTGAAACTGACCGTGAATGTCGCCACAAATCTAGCCTAAATGTTAGCCTCTTGGCTACCGACCGTCGGGGAGGAGGCTCGATCTTCATACTGTGACTGGCGCTGATACCGTGACCACGTTGCCCTCCTCGATCAGAAGCTCTCGTGCGCGGTGGCACAGCTCTCGCACTTGGGCCTCTGGAATGGGTCGACAAGCACGCAGCTGCGCGATAGCCCTAGTCCATCAATGTCAGTGTCCGTCAGGGCGGGATGGTTCGGCAACGGGGCGCAATTCACTTGTCGAGGTCGCTCATGATGGTGACCCTGGGTCGCGCGTGAGGCGCCGCGGTCGATTGCAATCCCGGCTCAGGATACAAAAATCATGTTCAGCCGTGAGTATACACTTAAATATATTGCTGCGGTATTGGTCGCTAGCGGCCGCGACGTCGTGGTAGTTGAGGTCGTATGTGGGAAAGAGCCGCGAGTTGGTGTTGAAGGTGACGTCGGGCCAGATACAGGACTTCAGCCAATCTCGGGTGGCAGTGGGTTCTGCCGTTTTGTGGTGCGTTTCCTGACAAGAGATCCTCCGCGATTAAACGGCAGGGATTGTGGGAATTTTTGAGCGGGTGTACGTTTTGCCGACTCCGGCTATTGTGCAAGGAGTCCTAGCCAATAGGCAGTCTCGGAATCATCAAGTCGTACAGGAGCCGGCTCACGGCATTCGGCGCCTTTTTTTTCTTCTTGCGGCGCGAAGTCACTCAACGACGCCAATTGTCAACTTTGGCCGTCGCCCATCGCTGTCTACGCAACTGCTGCCGCGGGTAGAACATGTTCCAATTATCATGTGAGTAGCCGGGCTGCTGTCGGTCACCAATCTCGGCGCTAACCTTCCAATTGAACCCATCGACGGTCCTTGGATGACGAGGGCAGACACAACGCCGAGGGATCATGCCACCCCACCTTCACCCCAGGTCGCGAATGACCTCATCACTCTTCGCAACGACGCTCGTCGCGAGTTTCTTCGTCGTCGCACTGCCGCACTTGCTTCCGTGCCCGGTGCCCCGAACCAAGTACGCCGATGGTGAAGTAGTTGTCGACGAGAACGGCAGACGGAGGAGGTGGAGACGACGAGAGGCCGCCGAGTCGCGGGATGGAATTGTACAATTTAATCAGATTACGGAAGACTATTGCGACTCTACACCAGAACGAACCAGGAGGGAATGTCCTGTACCAAAGCCGGGGGGTTTGCTGGGCGAGTGGCTAGGGTTCCATAAAGGCGACGATGGACAGGGCGGGAAGCGGATAGGGCGATGACGTGTACGACGGATACTTGTAAAAATAACAATACATGGACAAAATGAAGACGCCATATACTCGCGACTGTTCGTGATGACGCCTGGTTGGGTTGCTGCCTTGTCTCTGCACCTTGCAAGTCGGGCGCCGGGACTGCTTCTATCAAATAGGCATGTGGCTGTGTCTTGGACATGCGCATTATCAAGGGACCATATACTATGCTCAACAGATATTTGTGGCCTGTGCAGGACGATCTAACATGATCGGAAATAGGTGTATTTAGGGCATGGCATTGGGACGCGGCGATTGCCCTAGCCAGCAGGCCATGGATCGATACTAAACTTCAAAGTGATGAACATGGTGATCGAAAAGTTTGACCTACAGACTCCAGTCTAATCGCGGACACTGTTTTAGCACCAGCAATAGAACCAATCGTAGGGCAATGAGTTGGTGAGCCCGCATATGCATGAGCCTCTTGGACAAAGAATCCATGTCCGGTTTCAAGGAGTGAAGTGGCTGGGTAGAAGACGCCGGTGCCTACTTTCAAATCGTCTCTTGGAAATGGATTATCCCGGGTCGATTTTTTATTTTTATTTTTATTTTTGGAGTCGTTGCCATTGCGTAAGAAAAACAGAGGCGTGGCCAACCAGCATGTCGGGCCAAGAGCCGAGACTGTCGGCAATGCTAAATACCGGACGATCTGACGTCTGAGACGCTGTGGACAAACCAGGGGCCATCCAAGACTCCGTCCTTCCTTCCCCGCAAGTTTATCGGTACCTAACGTACGGAGTACGGAGTAGTTCCTTCTAAATTAGTACCCCACGCAGCACTTGAGCACTTGCCAGTACTAGTAGTACCAGACCTACATGTAGACTAAGACGCCACGCTTCAGCTTCCGAACTCAAAACCTCAGCGTCTGGTGGTTCGCCCCAAACCCTCATGATACCGCCTGCTCTGACGCAAACGCCCCTGCACGTCTACACTGCGTGATGGTATGGCCTCATCCACGAATGGCATTACACCATGTGACCCCCCCTTGCAACAGCCTCCAGACTCCTAGTGATGCTTGGCATTGAGCATATTATCGATTCCCCCAATCCCATCGATGGTGTCTGGACCTGGGACCACGCCGCCAATGAGAAGTCTCGAGCTGCCCGGCGTCTTGTCTCAACTTTTTGGAATTGTCTCTGTTGACCCTGGTTTCTCTGACGTCTGAAGTCGAAAGTCGTCGCCCTACATCGTCTAATGCCGCCTTAGCCCTAACCGATCCAAGCAGCCACCGCCTCTCGGGAACCGGTATGCCCCCTTGTGCATCATCGCACCAGCTGCCAGTGGCGTTGAGTCTTTTGATGCTGTGCCTGCTTTAGCATGAATGTTGCTGGGGATCTCAAAGGAAGTGCACAAGCCGGTGTCAGAAGTGAATCATCAAGATCATGGTGGAACGATACCAAGGCTACTAGACCATGCTTTCTGTTCCTCGAGAGGTTCTGACGTTTCTACTCCGCGATATCGACAGCTATTCGTATCGATCCATGTTTTAGGTTTGATTCTCAGCAAACGCAAACGAAGCTCAGCGCAATGGCCGTCGACTATATCATGAGGTGCCTCTCCCGCATCAGTTAGAAGATTTGTCTTGTGGTCATCATCTGCAAAGATTTACACACCTGAGGCCTTCGTTTCCATTCCTCTCCTTTTTATCACTTTCCTTCAAGAGCTGTGCTCTACTTCCGTTTCATTTAACACATACTTGTTTTTAACTCTCATTTACCTTTAAAACATTCCTTCATTTTAATACCGACATAATGAAGTCTGTTTCTGTTCTTCTCTTCACGGCCGGCCTGGTGTCCGCTGTGGCTGTCCCTGTTCAGCTGGCTGAGCGAGCGGCTCTTCAACCCCTTCCCGGTCTTACCGCCGTCGAAGAGGATCTGGAAAAGCGAGGCTTGAGCTTTGTAGAGCTGATGGCGAGGCAGGAGGCTGCTCAAGGCGAACGCCCATCTAGCGCTGCTCCCGCCGCTGCATCTACAACGGCTGCCGCAGAAGCTCCTGCCGAAACACAAAACAACCAGGACCAGAACAAGGACCAGAACAAGGACCAGAACAAGGACCAAAACAAGGACCAAAACAAGGATCAAAACAAGGATCAAAACAAGGACCAGAACAAGGATCAGAACCAGAACCAGAACCAGGATCAGAACAAAGATCAGAACAAGGACAATAAGGGCCAGAATAACAACAACAACAACAATAACAAAGATAATAATAACAACAACAACAACAACAACAAGGATAATAACAACAACAATAACAACGACCAGAATAACAACAACAACAACAATAACAACAACAACAACAACGGAAACAGGAACGATGATATCAACCAAATTATCCAGCAGGGCCTTCAGGGCAATCTTTTCCAAAGCCTCTTGACCCCTTCCATCACTGCCATCATCAACCAGATGGGAATTGGTCAAAACTTCAACTTTGGGGCTATCCAGAACCTGGGATTTGCCGACCAGATTTTCCTGTTCAACCAGCTTCAGCTGGCGCAGGGCTTTGTTCAGTTTGGTGTTGTTCCGAGACAGCAGGTTATTACTGTCCTCAACAATGGATTCGTAAGCAACGGTATCAACGTCGGTGAGTCTTTATCTACCGTAATGAAAGGCACAAAAACACGCGGCTAACAACTAGCAGGCATTTTCAAGCGCGATGTGGAAGAATGATCTCGCTGCCTCAGTTGAATTGGAAGAGCGATGAACTTGAGGGATTTTAGGGACTGGGGTGGGGATTTGGGGTAAGAAATTGATCCAAGGCATGGTATATATCAGACTAGGACGAGACTGAAGAGCAGGGAAATTCAGTCTGAGGATGGGGAGGCGTTGACTCACTGGGTGATGGAGGCGAGGGGATGGATTTGATTTAGCGGTGCCCGCTACAGGCACTAGATTAAAGTGTCAGTTTCTGCAGAAAAAGAAAGACCCCTTACTGCAATGGTATGATTTGGTGAGAGCGTTTAAAAACCGTGAGGACAGTAATATTTCTGTCAATATCTATCGTTGGTCACTTTTGAGAAATTCATATACCAGAATACGGAGCCTTGTTTATGGCTGTACACGGAAAGGGCCCAACAAATCGTGAAGCCCAACAAAGGGGCTTCACCGACAAAGGACCTGTTGGTTACACAGATTGAACACGTGCCCGGGCAGGGGCCGTAAGCACACGTGTTCCCTTCTTGTATATACGGAGTATTGTAGTGGTCACTGTTCCTTTGCTTCCTCTTGGAAAACCAAGGACCTTTGAGACTCTTTGATATTATCTTTGAATTTGAACCTCGTCAGAATGGCGGATTCCCAACCTTGGCCTTTTGAAATTCAAGTGCGCAAATGGTATGCAGAGCAAAACTGAAACCATACGAGGGCCGCGTGGGTTCAATGTTCTTACTAGGCCGGTTATAACCCAATGACGTCAGCCTGAGTGTCATGAATCAGGTCAATGAAGGTTTTGCATAGTTGAAATTCCATCTCGTCGTTTCCGTACTCGAGGTTTTTCTAGGCTCGTCACGGCCGTTGGCTGCGCTGGTGTTTAAACCTGTAGCTCTACCATCAAGTAAGTATACGTGTATACGCTTGGAAGGGTCTGATCATTGCAGACGGAGAGGGACATCAAGCCAACTGCCGTCATGCGTACATAGTTTCGTGCCGTATCCCGTCGGGGGTTATCCCGTCGGGGGCAACGCCGTAATCTCAATCAGCAAGGCCGAGTATTCTCGGATGTGCTCATTCTACAGCGACTCGGGGGAATGTAAAGCGAGAGGAGACTGGTTTGCTGGTGCTCGCTTTGCATTGCGCCGAGTGTTGGAGATTCTTTCCCACGTGCTTGCGCCCTTTGGACGGTTGAGGAGGGGTGGTCGTTACTAGTACGGGAAAACCAGCCCTAGATGACCGTGAACCATTGAATGACCCGATTATCGCCAAGACATAGGACCGTTATAGCCCAGGTTTACTGGATTGCTGGTGAGTGGAAAAGGTGATTCAATGTCTGGTTGCTTTTTCTAGGGCGTCAATGGCTCAAATTAGGGCTTGGTTGAGGGTCGGCGCAGGGGTCTTTAGGGGTTCCAGCAGGCAGCATGTGGGGCGGGTCAGTACAAATTGACTCGACATGGACATTTGATTGAATTGATGTCGATATAAAAAGGATCAATCAACATTGAAGGCGCTTGTATTCTGTAATCCCGCTAAAATAGTACCAGCATGTTCATTCATCTTTATTCCACTGTGTCAACTACTATTATTTTCCCCCAAAATTCCATGCTGCATCAACATGCCCAACTCGCGCTTGGACAATGGTCCCAGGTTGTGCAATTTGGCGGATTGCCGTCTGGTCATGCATAACGGATTGCCGTGAATTTTAGCTCATGATTAAAGTCAAGTGCCGCCGGCGCCCCCTTGTGGCCCGGTTTTCCTTTCGGCCGTATCCAAGTTGGGCCATGTAAGAGTCAGGATGGCCATAGTAAAATAAAATCATGCACCATGGAGTCTGGACAACCTCCACAGGGTATTATGTATTTATAGGGACAGAGGAATCACCATTTCTTCTTTTTTTCTCTCTTTTTTTTCCGTGTCAACTTACTTCACTCGTTTTTCAACTCAGTCTTTCGCTTCAGTCACTCGTTGGTAAGAAATGGCGCGCCAGTCTTTGGTTGCGGGCGTGGCAGCGGTTGCCGTCGCCCTCGTGAGCGCCGCAGACAGCACCACGACGGTCTCGATGCTGCAGCCGCTGGCCGATGACGGGGAAGGGCTCACGCTCCGAGGCTCGGTGGTCGGGGTCGACGGCGACAAGACGACGTACGGGTTCGGCTGCGAGGCCGGGGCGTCGGCGGACAGCTGCTTGCCCGAGGGCACTTCCATGACGGTGGTGCAAGGGCCGTCGACCTTGGTGCAGTCGATCCAAGCCACCATGTCCGACTGGGATGGCAAGGTGGGCGGCGACGAGGCCGAGGACGCAGAGGATCTGCTCCATCAGTCCGCCGTCGTGTGAGTGTTTCCGTGGGAGAAGCTTCTTGGCCAGGCTCGACTAACGGACTGTTCTTTGATAGGTCTCTCGAACACTCCTGCAAGCTCAACCCGGACCAGAATCGCGCAGAGTGCGGCGTCATGGCTGCCGTGGCTGTCGGGTCGGCCACGTTCGTGTCGCAAGGCTCAGACGTCCTCACCGCGTACAAGGACATGGTGTTTCCTGTTGTCATTACTGCCGGTGTCGACAAGTTGTCGCCGGCTCCCGGGGCGACGCAGACTGGAAATGTGCCCGCGGCGACGGGCAGTGCTGGTGCATCTCGCACGACCTCGCTGGCTACGATATCTGGCTCCAAGGCACCTGCTTCTACCGCGTCTGCTTCCACGGCCGGTGCTACTACGACCAACGCTGCTGGTGCGGTGGTTCCTCGCCGTCTTGGCCTGGCCGGTGTTGCCGCTGGTATTGGGGCAGCCCTGCTGCTCCTGTGAGGAGGGCATTATGCAAATAACAATTTGGCTTTCCTACTCGACAGTGCTACGCTGCCGGGCTTCCAGGCCCAGGATTACAGGCAGCACAGTCCTTAATTAAAACCCTAATCATGTGATGAAGCTACAAGGCATTCAGGACGGGTGGTATCAAGCAGTGGAGGTTGTGTGCGGTCAAGTCTTTAGCCACTGCGTTGGACCATCTGTGGGGCATATGCGACAGATACATAGATACATGTACATGTGTACCTAGATCTTATCTTTTGAGGGATAGAACATGCATGTGTCAATATTCCCTTTCAACGTCAACGGTGCCGCCGTGGTGAGGGCTTCAATGGTCGTACAAGATGCGGTGTGCCGACTAGCCTGGAGCTTAAGTCGTTTTGAGATGCATCCAAGAAGATCGGACTGCAAACTCCCGAAATCTACAACTAGACATGTAAATAAGCTAAAATTCTGTTCTACCAGCACTGACCACATGAATTTGGCATGTCAACCTTGACTGCATGAGCGCACCTTCCTTCCGCCGCCATCCAACTACCGAAAATGTCCATGTCACCATCGTGGGTCCCATGTCCTCACTGCTCAGTGCTCACGGGTGGCAACTATAAACGTCACCATTTCAAATCGACCCCCAACCTCGTCACGATACGTTTCCCCACGCGTGGCGTCAATGCAAATACGTCCGCTTCAAACACAACATGTCTCCGGCCTCCGTCTCACAAGGCAGCCGCCTCGCTGGGTTCCCCTCATGTGCCACCATGTCCGACCCCGCGCAACCCTCGAGCGCGCGAACAACACCAATGGAAACATCAGACGCACATGGCCCTTTTTTGTCATCCAGCACAAGGAGAGCGTCGTGCCAGGCCCCATACCACCTGTTCTTCAGCCCAACCCCAAAACAAACTGCCCTCCCCCCCTGGCCACCCAGATTGGGTTCCTCCTCAAACGTGCCTGTCGGAGCAAGTGTGTTGGCAGCGCTTGGTGGCGGAATGATCCGAACCATAACACCATGCGGCCCTATTCCATGTGAAACTACTCCCGAGATGCTGCCAATGAGATCCCCCCGACTGCGGTACGCATATACCAGCCAAGGCGCCTTCGTCTGATCGACTGCCACAAAACGCTACCGGCGTAGGTGGAAAGACCCCGTCATCTGAAGCCGGGCGCCGTCCTCTCCAACCATGCAGCCTATTGGTCCTTGGCATCTCAACGTCTTTTGGTCTGTTGTGGTATCCTCTGCCGGAGGCGCAGCCATCCGAAGACGTTGGCCTGATGCCCTCTTTTTGTGTTTGGACAAAGAGCACCGGTCCGGATGGACGTGGGTGCCGAGGAGGTGAGGTCGGGATGGACATTTACCGGGTTAGTGTGTGCTTGGCCGGCCGCTTTGGGCGTGCTGCAATGCGGTGCAATGGAGATGATGTGATGGGGGAGAGCTGCGTCTTGACGGCGCCGTGCTGGTATATAATGCCTCGGATGGTTCGTCTTGGATCAGGATTTTGTTTTGCTCACCAACCCATTCATTTCAGATCATCTTTCGACTACTTTCCCATACATTCATTTCCAGAGGTATGATGGCCCAAACTTGATAAACATATATGAGAAAACGTCCGCCCAGCTAACAATAATCCTCTCTCGCAGCTGTGCTCGCTGTTCGTTTCCATCCTTCATTTCTATACAACCCGAACACTTGAGCTGTGCTCCGTTTCGGTCTTGCAACAAAACAAACATTTACACTTAGTACACTTAATTCTTCTTCACCCCCATTTCACCATGAAGCTGTCCACCGTCCTCGCCGGCACTTTCGCCGCCTTTGTCACCGCCGCCCCGGCCGCCGCCCCCGTCGCCGAAGCCGAAGTCGACGCTCCTGTTGCTCTCCCCGTCTTTGAGCGCGGCGTCTTTGATGCCAAGCGCGTCAACAACCTCAACTTCAGGCAGCAGGACCTGAGCTACCTCTTTGCGCTCAACCAGGGTTCCTTCAACTTTGGTCTCCTTCAGCAACTGGCTCTCCAGAACAACTTCAACATCTTTGCCTTCCAGGACCTCTTCAACGTCGGCACCTTCAACATCAATGCCCTGCTCCAGTTTCAGCAGCTGCAGACTCTTCTGGCCATTGCACAGACTGGCGTCTTCAACCAGTTTGACCTGGCTGCCCTCAACCTGGGTGCCCTGAACCTGGGCCTGATCAACGGCATCGGTGCCTTTGACATTGCCAGCATCATCGATGTTGGTGTGGTCCCTCAGATCCAGTCTGTTGTGAGCACTGGTAAGTCTCCTTTCCTTGGTATACAGGCACCTAGGTGCATTCATTCAGAGCTAACCGTCATTTTTCAGTCACTCCCACCGTCATCATCTAAGGGATGACATGGCTATTGTACATCTTTGTGGCTACCGGTGCGGTTGAAGAAGGGACCTGGCTTGATCTTGAAGGCCTCAAAGTACATGGGGGTTTGGAGATGTGGTTGGGGGGATTTCTCTTTGGATGGAATACATTCTTGACGAGGCATCCTGCACAAAGATGGACCGGCTTAACTAGGAAGTGTCGTGTTGCACCGCAGCGCGGCCTCTCCTGGTGCTACAGCCGGGCTTAATGGGTGAGGCTGCTGGTTAGTGGCTAGGGAAGTTTAGAACATGAATCAACAATAGTATTGTCGTGGTGAAACCGGCATTTGCCCTCCCCGCGCTGTGATTGATACTATTCGCATGCGACCTTCTGCGGGCGACATATCATTATTTCCCATGCTGTGTTATTCGGCTCGCATAACATGTTCCACAAATCAGCACATAAGCTTCAGCTGCTGGCATACCCGATCCCTTTGGCCGCCGCTCCATGGTTGGACACAAGCACGTGGCTTGTTTGAGAACAGGTCGACGACACCGGGGTAGAATGCCTTCAAACCTGATAGACTTGCGGCTTCTCTAGACCCAGTCCAGCACCACAGGGTCAGCCATGGGTTACTCCTACGGTTTGCTCGCTTACGCTTGAAGAGAGGTATGTGTCCCGACTGGTAGGGGACCTATGTATGTATGTATTTGCAAACGGCGTGCCGGCTGGCATAATGATCCGAGCCGCGAGCGAATGCGCGCACCGCCCTTTTGGCCCTGCGTCACCCGGCTACCGGGTAGCTCTGGAGGATGCAGACGATGCAGACGATCCCTGATGGCGACAGCAGTCGGCTTCTTCCGCGATGCCGTTGTGCGTCGGCGCAAATGGCTCCGTTTGGAGGGCTCCAGCGCGCCAGGAGCTAAATTTGAAGACTTTCTCGTCATGCCGGCTGAGCATAGCCACCAATCGGACCGTGGGCGGCGGCAATGCGACGTGGTCCATGCAGCTTCCCGTTTGCCTGTGCAGGATCGCCGAGCCTTTGCTGGAGGGCATCATTTATTGGCTGCTGAGGCTGTGCAGGCAGGCCACGCCACGCAAAGACAAAGACAGACTTTGGGGGGCCTGAAAGGAGGGGACTCGACCCCTGACCCATCCAGATCCTTCTGCTGGAGAAGTGCTCCGCTGGCGGCGCAAAGAAATTCGGCCGAAGACGGCGCATAAGATGGCCAGCTGAAGGGAGATTTCAGAATCAGGGCCGTGTTGGCTGCTTAAAGATCAGGTCGTGGAACATGGCATCGATAAGGCCGTCATTGGCGACGGCTGACGTCACCGGGTCGGGACCTCTTGACTCGCTCCTTCCCTGCCCTCGGTCGTGTTGCGGGTTCGCGATCAAGGAGCGGCCAACATTTCAGAACATCGCATCAACCCTTCGTTATGCGACGACGACGACGGCGACGTGTTGATGCATGGTCAAGGACCGCATTGATCGATCAGCAAATTCCCCGGAATCGCCGCTGCATCTCACAGAGCACAACGTCGTTCATGAGACAAGCCAGATTTGGCCGGATGAGTAGAGTTCGTGGGACCGCATGCGGCGACATCATGCCGTCGCCAGTCTGTCGGCCTCGACATATCAGACCACTTATTGCCAGGGATCCGATATGGATGGATGTCGTTCATTATTGAGCCGAAAGCTTCGAATTGCTGAAAGCCACCAAAAATAGGCGGGGGTCAAGGTATGTACAAAACCCCTGAACGGCGCCGGCTCCAGGCACAACTGGAACGAGATTACTGGAACCCAGTCGAGGCTCAGTTGAACGTTTTGCGCCTCAACGTCCTGACACTCCTTCTTGTTTGTCACCGTCGGCGACGTAATAACGGTACCCACAGTTTTAGGGGGAGGCCCAAGGCCGTGCAGAATGCCAAGCCTGATACGACATTTGGCGGATCGGGCGGGATTTCACCATGTCAAAATGACATGCCTCTATTGTCTTGCCTGCTGAAGTCGGAAACTACTTGTGCACTATTTCGGCAACTGAAACCGATAAGTGCCGGGTTGTGCTGCGATGCCAGTTACCAAGACCAAGAACCCTCATGGATATGGATGGGCTGAAGCCAAGCGGCGAGGCGTTGCTAATAAAAGTCTCAACCACTTGTCAAGATGGCGGCGGCCGCCTACCCGTACTAGTAGTCGGCTGCCGCGTTGTGGCACAAGCATTTTGATTTTTTGTGGTGTGCCTGTGTCCATCCACTTGGGCCCGAGGGCAACACTTGGGATGAAATCCGCAGGCTTAGCTCGCGGGTTGGCGGCAACCCACGAACTCGTCCAGCACGATCTGAGACACGAGGCGCTTAGTGACTTGTGGTGTATCACTAGGGGTACATATGTACCGTGGAGGGCAAACGTTATACATATGTATGTGAACGGCGGCGACTTGCTCATGGCAAGCCGGCACCGTATCCATGCAAGACTTGCTCCGTAGACGAGAGAGCCTTTTACGTCTGTCGGGTCAACTTGCCGTCGCCCGTTTGGGTGGCTGCAGCGTCCGTCGGGCTGGCGATGGGCTTCCATGATACTTCATACAGCAGGGCTCATTCGTTGCCCTGTCCTCATGATGCAGGATAAATCTATTCCCAAAGCAGTTCTCACTCACGGCTTCTCTCCCTTTGCGTACAGGTGACTGATTTGTCTCATCAAGCACACCATCATGACAGCCCTTTGTCCTCTCACAATGGAGCAGTGAACCTGAGGATACCCAACAAAGACGATGGGAACGAACCAGGAGGTGGACTTGTCGACTGACGAATCACTTTCTCGTCCAAGGGACTCGACCGACGACACCCTTTTCTTTTGCCCTTTGGGCTCTGGTATTTTGAACCCTTTGCAATCCAAAATTGTATGTACATCAACAACCAACATGCCACATGCAGCATGCATCATTCAAAGATGGTGGAGAAGCAGTGTACATATTTAGCACCCTCGGAAAGGAGGGCAAAGACAAGGAGAAATCGGTCTCACCCTGGGCTTGGCTCCGCCTCCACCGCTCGTGATGCTGGCTGTCGCCATGGCTCACCCACGACTGACCCAATGGGGCCATGATCTTCACTCCTCCAGAACGACGCAACACAACGAACCGCGAACGGTCGAGCGGCCTGTTCATGCCTGCTTTTCAGTTTGCCCAGTCAATCCAGCTCTTGGCGCGCTTGGAGGCTAAAACGGACCCCTGAGCAAGAAAGACTCCACCGGCACAACGCCGTACCGTACCCTAGCTCGTGTAGACGAAGCTCTGGGTCCATGTCCGTGTCCTTCCATGTCTCCTCGGGATGCCTGGTCCAGGAACATGTTTATTGACAGCCTAGTCCTGCCGTCGACATGCAGCTGACGGGCCGTCTCGTCCTGAGCAAACGGCATTTATCAGAGCCAGCCTTCCCACCTCCTTGCGCTTCTCGGCTCACTTTTCATCACCACGGAATATAAGGACTATCCCTCCCTTCTTTTCTCTCATTGCCAACTTGAAGTGGGTTGTGGCGCTCGCGTGATCACATCCCTGTTCTGAAGATTCAGCAGCCGCCGTCACCGCTTCGAAGCCGCCGCAGAGCAGCACAACGAGGGAAGAGGGGAAGCTAGGGGGAAAGACGGGTGGAACGTATCTGCTGTCAAAACATGGGAGAAACCCTTCTGCGCTTTGAATTGAGGACCAGACGCGGTGAAGGAGCTGGGAAGCTACACATTACCCAGAATGCGTCGAGATAACGACGAGGTTGCTGCCGCCATGGCAGACGACAACGGCACCTACTTCACCTATCGACCACTTTCGAATCTTCCCACACCTCCCCCAACATACAAGGAATCCAAATCGCCGAGCACAATTGCGTCCAGCAGCTTAGAAGATGGAGAGCCTCTCAAGGCGAAATATCGAGGTATGTACATGGCCCGTCACATTGACACTGCTGTCCTTTCCTCTCGCGTCACACTTGGCTCGATGTAGCTTGCTGACCACGAATACTCCCAACAGGACCCGCCATCCACTTGGTAAACCTCATTCCTTCATCAGCTTCGTTTGCCATAGCCTCTGTGCCTATTGTGCAGGCAATTCTAAGCCGTGCCGACTTGCCTATCGAGACAGTTGCCCTCGCGGTATGTATTCTCGACAGCTTGGACAAGAAGTTTGCCCGAGCGTGGCGGCTCTCCTGTCCTTTGCTGCCCGGAACATGGGCCACCTCGTCGACAAACAAACGACATACACTCCCCCCGACTCCGCTGTTGTACCAACACCAACAGCACCAGATGCTGCACATCGACTCCGTGCCACCGGAGCTCATCATTCTTGCAGCGCTTGTCATTGCTGTCAAGTTTATTGAGGACCCTCAGCAGCCAACCCAGTATTATTGCGATGCCTGGGGCCGTGGTACCTGGTCACACGACCAGCTCAATGCCACTGAGCGATGCATTATGGAGAGCCTCAACTATCGAATCATGCCACTGTGCGACGAGGACTGTCTGTCCGATGCCATGGTAGACATGCAGTTGGCCGGAAGGCAACTGGATTGGGACACACCCCCGCTCTCACCACCCGATAGCCTTGCCAGTAGCGGCAGCAACATGGATCGCAATTTCGTCCTCGGCCACTGTCGATCCAAGACCATGATGCCTTCAACGGCGGCCCTGGGACTTGGCCTGTCTTTGACCCCTTCGGAGTCTCCTTGCACGACGTCTTGCGAAGCCGTGACGACGCCACGAAGTGAAACCCTCGGAACTACCTACTTTTAGATTATGGGTTTTGGTTATCACTCCCCGCACATGAGCGATATGATACCATAATTGTTTTCTTTTTTTTTGTTGCAAAACATCAGATTGGCGTTTACCAGGAACATGATAGCAAGCGGGCTCGTGTCAACATGACACATTTCCTACTGGGCCTTGGGAGACTATCGTCTCCAAGGCTAGGATTCACACGGCGTTTTCCTCATCTTGCTACTGAGAATGGGTGCTTTTTATTTTTGTTTAGCAGATCTCTGGCTCAGACTTGGCTTTCATTTTTACTCACATACCCTGGTTGTGGTTGACTAAGGAAACACGGAGTTTATGCTTTCTAATGTGGGTTAATATGGGAAGAACCTTCCCGGGGCACATGGCGCAGCATTTCGCACGGGCAATACGGGTTATTATATTGGAAATGGAATGAGCGCACTAATTGGCGCTGCACCGCGATTGGCAGCTGAACATGATGGGGATCCGACGGCAATTTCAAGAATTTTGGAGAATGACCGTCCGTCCATAGCCTAATATACCACAATTCTGTCGCGATAGATTACTCTAGTCTACGTCTGTGCTTGCTTCTGGGCGTTTTCAAAATGCCATAAATCTACGCCTGTCCCCCCAACGTTCTTCTTCTTCTGCTCTACGGGCTCAACCTCTCCAACGTCCACTTGTCGTCCTCGCCGTCTCTGCCCTCCTCCCTGACATAGACGAAGCGGTCATGCAGGCGGCACGACCGGCCCTGCCAGAACTCGACGCGCGTGGGCACGATCCTCAGCCCCCCCCAGAAGTCGGGCACGGGAATGTCCTCCCTGCCCTCGAACGTCTTCTCCGCGTCGGCCACCCACCCCTCCAGCTGGGCCCTGCCGTCGTCGCCGTCCACTGCCCCGTCCGGCTCGAGCACCTGGCTCTGGCGGCTCGCCCAGGCGCCGATCCTGCTGCCCCTGACCCTCGTGTCGAAGTACTCCTGGCTCTCGCCTGGCGAGTAGCGGCTCCCCGCGCCCCCCACCCGCACCTGCCTCTGCAGCGGGGCCCAGAAGAAGACGAGCGCGGCGTGCGGGTTGGTAGCCAGGTCGGCGGCCTTGCGCGACGTCCCAAAGTTGGAGTAGACGACGAAGCCGCCCGCCGCGTCGAGCTCCTTGAGGTAGACGATGCGCGAGGAGACGCGGCCCGACGGCAGCTCGGCCGTGGACAGGGTGCACGCCTCGGGCTGCGGGATGGACGAGGCCTGCGCCTGCGAGAACCAGCTGTTGAACTGGGGCGTCGGCGTCGTCGGGTGCAGGTCCCTTCTCGAGAGCGTCGACTTGGTGAACTGCTCGGCTTGGCCGTGGGGGGAGGAGCCGGCCGGTGCGACTGGGAGCGAGGGAGCGTTGGTATTTTATTTTTTTTAATCTTGTTTCTTCTTCTTCCTTCTTCCCGAGCCAACCCCCGTCGGAGGGCTTCTGCAGGTGTGGTGTCTTTTTTTTTTTCCCCTCCTTCTCTTGGTTTCAAGGTGAGGCAGGCTTACAGATGAGCTTGGCCTGGGATGGCCGGCGGTACAGTGCCATGGTGGTGCGTGCGAACAGTGCCCTGGGGCGTGTGCAGCGCATCAATGAGTGAGTTTTTGGAAAGCCGTGACGGCTTTGAATGTCTTTTATTTCCCTCTTATGCTGGTTGTTGGGCGAGGGCGAGGGCGAGTGAGGACATGATGCAGGTTGGATGAGTGAAGGTGTGTAGTCGTGGTATGACGATGACCATTTTCTCGGGAGGGTGTCGGGGTCGGGTGGCTCCACGGGTGGCGGCTGGCCGCGGGAGAAACACTGTGCATTTTTCTTCGTGTCCATTTACGCACGGTACGCGAGTGGCCGAGATTTCGACCTTTGTCTTCATGATGGGACACAGCAGGGGTTGGTTGTGCCATGATAAGCCTTGCTTCGTAAATCAAGTCGATGCCTCATTTCGATGCCGGTAAACGGCTGTTCAAAAGTAGATGCTAATAAGAGTCATTGCGGTAGGACCCCAGTCACTTATCTCTAGACGTTCCATTCCCGTCTCAACTACGCCTCTATCAACGCAACTTGGATCTATCGTGGGCTATTCTCGCCCCCGTCTTGCGGCTACACAGATTGTCAAGTCCAAGCTACATTTCGGCCCGCAAATGAGCTCGTTGCAGCCTACCTGGTCCTCGCATAAAACACAACTCCGTCCAGGAAACCGTCTACACCAGCTCGATACGTAACCTCCAGCCCTTCCACCTCTCCATCGCTGCCCACCACGAAGCGCGCCTTGAAAAACTGCCCAGTCTCAGGGCTCTCGTCTCTGAACCGCCACCGCGCCGTCCAGTAGTCCCCGGAGGCGTGCTCCAGCGTCACCCGCTGCGCCCAAATGAACTCTGGCCGATCCGCCACCAGCAGTGTCCTCCCGTCGTCCCCAGTCTGTTCGCTGAGCGCGAGCCTCCCATATCCATCGTTGTGGTACGTCCCTGCGAGCAGCGACGGGTCCACGGACGGCGGGAGACGAGGAGAGGGCAGCCTTGGGAACAGGAGCGCTGTGGCGTTGGCAAGGTCCTGCTTTCTTCTTCGGAGGGCTTCTTTTTGTCTGCGTCGGAGTATTTAGTATTCACGATGCTTTATTTTCTCTCTCTTCATCCGGCTTCAACCGACTAGACTTACAATCCGTTGATATCGATACGCCTGTCCTGTGGGACGCCCAGCCTGTCCTCAAGCAGGCGATACGTCACCGCCTCCAAGACGCCGTTGGGGTAATTCGCAAAGACAACGAGGCCGTACTGCCTCTCGGGCAGCCAGTACACCAGCGCGCCGTGCGTGCCCGTCGAGCCAGAGTGCCAGATGGTCCTCTCGCCGTGCAGCACCGTCCGGAACCAGCCCAGCGCGTACGTCGTCACGTCGGCGCCCTTGCTCGGCTCCGCCATGGAAACGAAGCGCGGCCGGACAATGTCCTCGTGCGTGGCCTCGGACAGAAACGCGTCCTTCTTCAGCAGCGCCTTTACCCAGCGCGCGTAGTCGACCACGCTGGAAATGACGGCCCCCGCGCCGGAGACCTCGGCCGTGGCCATGAAGGGCATGGCGACGTGCTCCCCCTTCTTGTCGTCGTACCAGTACCCCGTGGAGAGATCCAGCCCGGACGCCCTGGCGCTGTCCACGTCCAGAAACGTCGACTTCATCCCCAGCGGGGCCCAGATGACGCTCTCCAGAGTCTTGCGCAACGACGCCCCCGTGACGGTCTCGACAACGTGCGACAGGACCTGCCACATGGGGTTACAGTAGTGCCATTCCACCCTGGGCTCCAGCTGGGCCGGGAGGTTGCGCAGGTTCCGGACGGCGTGCGCGACGGGCGTGCTGGCGTTGGAGTCGGGGTACGTCGCGAGCGCGAAGTCGTGGCTCGGCACGCCGGTGCGGTGGCTGACGGCGTCGTCCAGCGTCAGGAGCGCCGTGGCATGCCTGTCCCGGAGGACAAAGTCGTCGCGGATAATGGACGAGATGGGCGTGGACCAGCCGTCCTTGAGGGCCGGGTGGTGCTTGGCGTCGATGAGGTGGGCTAGAGACGCCGCGAGCTGCGCCTTGGTCGTCGAGCCAGTAAACCAGAGCGTTTCGGGCGTGGCCTTTGTGTCCGGGAGGTTCGAGTAGCCGTATGCCTGCATCACGCTTCAGCACAATTCCCGCGGTCCCGTTGGGTCATTGCGGACGATACCTCTGTGAAGACGTCGTCGCCATCGATGACGGCCACTGCCATCCCCGCCAACTTCCACTCATCCATCAGAACCTCCACATGGCTGTTGAAGTCACCCGTGAAGGGGCTCTTGTTTGTCTGCGCGGAGAGGGGACTGGAGACTGAAATCTGCGCGGACAATACGGCTGGCAACACGGCCGCGGCGACCATCAACTTGTATACGGTCCGCCGTGCCATGGCTAGGGATTGGGGTGTGGCCATGTATGTGCCCCAACGTATTCCAGAATCCATCACGGATGAGAATTACAATTGTAATGTTTAAGTGAAACCTTTGTTCAATTCGGTCATGCTTATGCCAACTACATCCACCAGGCAGGTGAGGTCGCTTCGGGTGCTGTAGCCTCTCTCCCTCTCTTGCCTCTTCCTAGTGGAGCCAAGTCTGGAATGGAACATTGAAGGTGGATGGATGCCAGCATAGCCTAGCCGCCAGGCATCTCCGGCCCGGCCTCCCGGCATGCCGCTTGCTGGACTTGTGCTTAACGGCATAATTAGTACTATTGACAATACATATGTATAACCCTCTCCAGATGCTGCAGCCCAGCGCCGCCTCGCCCAACCGCATGCCTCGCCGAATACTTGGTTGGCATGAGCAAGCTCCCTTCAGCAGCAGTGCACAATCATTTCCCCAAGTTTTTCGCTCTCCAAAACAACAACCAAAATTCACACCGGCTGTCGTGCATCAACACGCACTCACATGACAGAAAATCCATCGGACCAGGCTTTTCTAGCTAGCTGTACAATGCAGTAAACACGACACTCAATGATACGCCTCAGCCTTCTTCAAACAAATCTCATGCTCCCGAACAAAACACCAATCTCTATCCTACACCGTCCCAAGCAATTCGCCTCGTATACCCGGAAAAAATAAAAGGAAAAGAGTAAAAAAGAGCCTTCTTGATTTAACCCATCACCTTGCCTGTCATCATAGCTCCGTGTCTGTGATATGTACAAGCCATCTCGTCCACCGCTATGTACCATCCCGTCGCACACACTCAACTCCAAATATCCAAAGCAAAAATAAAGCAAGGGGAAAAGAGTCCCCTTATCTGGCATTCGTATCCGCTCACCAGAAAGGGTATATAGCATGCTCAACATGGACAGCTCCCCGCCTCGTCCCTCAGCCCATCATCCCAGGGTGGCCAGGCGGTGCGGTTATGTTTGGCATCTGAGGGTTTTGCGGAACCGTTGGACTGGCTTGGTTTGGCCCCTGACCACCAACCTTTTGTCCAGCACCAGGGCGGAAAACGGGCTCCTTCTTCGGGTCAAACCCCGGGAAGACCGCTTGGAGTCGACGATACAGATCCTTGATTGATTGGTCTCGCTCAGCCCTGTCCGCAACGGGATCAATGTTCGCATCTTGTCCTTCTGCCCTAATTGGTGCAGCTCTCAGCTTAAGCGAAAGATTCAAGGGCGGCGCGCTGAGATACGCCGGGCAGGGAGGTGCTTTAACCTCCGGTTTTCGGTCTGCCATGGCGGCCATGTAGGACAGGTTTGCCTGTAGTCGTCTCATACACCTGGAAGCCCATGTTAGCTTGCTGAATACCCTAACTTCGCCAATACAGAGCTCTAGCCTACTGAAGATAATCTTGCTGGAACAGGTTTTCCTCTTCGGTGGGTTTCCTTTCTGCCGGATTGCCATTTGGCGAGGGGTTCTCCTTTTTAAGCTCCGATTGTGTGGTTTGAATCTGTATTGATTCGTATAGCAGCTCATGGTTGATGTCCAAGAGCAGCGCAAACCTCTCCTTTTCCCTAGACTCGGCACCTGGACTCATTGGCGTGCCCGATGCAGGAAGGGTCATACCACCGCCGTGGTTGGCTGAGAACGTTGGCGTTTGGGGTGTTCCACTCGCGGATTGCTGCTGCGCGTTTTGTGGAGTTTGATTTTGAGACTGGGGCTGTGGTGTCGAGAATTGTTGTTGCTGCTGCTGCTGCTGCATCGGGTTCGTGGGAGTGCCTTGGGCTGCACTCGGTGGTCTTTGAGGTGTAGAGACCTGTGGCATGGCAGCATTCAGCTGCGGTTGGTGAAGTTGCTGGGGTTGAGGCTGAGGCTGTTGAGGCTGTGGAGGTTGTTGCGGCTGCGGTTGTATTTGTTGCTGGGGTTGCTGCGGCATCTGTTGCTGCTGTTGGGGATGTTGTTGATGCTGGTGCTGGTGTTGTTGTTGTTGCTGTTGTTGTTGCTGTTGCTGGGCTGCCTGTTGAGCTGCTTGTTGTGCCTGCATCCTCTGCATTAATTGCATCTGTTGGGGGGTCATGCCCGGTTGATTCATCGGAAATCCCTGCATGCCACCGGGCATCATGTAATTATTCGGCGCAAAGTTTTGAGGCATGCCGCCGCCGCCGCCGCCGCCGGGCATCATCTGACCGTAACCGGCTCCGGGGAACTGTTGGCCGTATCCGGGCACTGCATTCACATCTTTGTTAGCATATTGCAAGAAGAACTGGCCATTGGGTTCAATTCAGCTGCGTACGAATTGCATCAGCATTTTGCTGGGCGCTCTGGATAGGAGGCGCAAGCAAATCAATCGTCACACAAAAAAGCAAGGCAACTCACTCTGTCCATTGGGTGGCATATTGGCCATCCCAGGGTTTTGCATCATGCCAGCTGGCATGCCCTGCATCATCTGGGGATTGGCACCGGGGTTGAAGCCTCCCTGGGCTCCCATACCCGCGAACTGCTGTTGTTGGTTATACATCATTTGAGGATTGGGCTGCCCAGGCTGCTGTTGGGGTGGTTGCTGCTGCTGCTGCTGTTGCTGCTGCGGCGTTCCGGGTTGGTTGAAGGCCGGGTTGCCAAAGCCATAGCCGGCATTGTACATGGTGGACTGGGCGTTTGCTCAGCTGAGACTGGACTGTTGCGTCGAGAAGGGGACGAAGAATGGTCTGGCTTGGTGGTCGTTCGCGACCCGAGACGGCGCGTCTGGACAGGCAGCAGTGGATTCGAAGTATTTTGTGCTAGGTAATACTGATCGATGGCGCTGGCGCGCAATGACGTGAAAACTCGGTGGTCGCCACGCGCTGATACAAAAATCGCGGCCGTTTTGAGTTTTAGTCGTGTCGCGGGTGGTGTCTTGTGACAAAAGTTGCGCCGAGTCGGGCCTTGACAGTCTCTCTAGTCGTGGGCGGTGTGAGGGTCGGTTGAGGCTCAATCCGGGGAATTGTAACGCTGGCGTAGATCTGGACGTTTCTGTCGGCCTGAGGTACTGGGAGAGAGTTGCGGCGCTATATCGTGGGTGACGGCATGCGCTTCGTCCGGCGGGCTAAAATGGTGGTGGTTTGACACGAGGAAGAGCTGAAGTTGTTGGAGGGAAGGACTTTGTACTTTGGGCTACCCTGGACAGGGGTACCTTCCGTCCTGTGGACCATCACCCTGGCGCAGGTGCAAACGGGCCAATCACCCAAGGCGAGGCCGCATCCGCATCCGTCTCGGCCACGATTGACGCGGGACCCGCTTTCCGCTCCGTGCTCGGCCCAAGTCCGCTCCATTTGACTCAACCCACCATGAAATTCACCGACGCCGAAACGCTCAAAAGCAACGACGGCAGCCAATTCCAATTCCCGTCGATCCCGTCCATTGGCCACGCACAATGCCGCCGTTCAACCTAGAAACCTGCGCGCGACCCAACATCCTGGCGCTGCAGCCGTACCGCTGTGCACGAGAGTAAGCAGAAAAAAACTGCCCCCCGGCGCACAAAGCACGAGGCTCTGACAGAGAAATGCGAAAACACGCAGTGACTACAAGGACGACGGCACCAACGTGCTCCTCGACGCCAACGAGAACGCCTACGGACCGTCCCTCGACCCAGCCGCTGTCGAGCACGCCCGCTCGTCCCTCGGCGGCCTCGATCCGCTCGGCCTGCACCGATACCCCGACCCTCACCAGCCCGAGCTGAAGCAGCTGCTCTGCAGGTTGCGCAACACGCATGCCCACACCCCCAAGGCCATCGGCCCCGAGAACCTGTTCGTCGGCGTCGGCAGCGACGAGGCCATCGACGCCCTGCTGCGCTGCTTCTGCGTCCCCGGCAAGGACCGCATCTTGACGTGCCCCCCGACATACGGCATGTACGCCGTGTCCGCCCAGGTCAACGACGTCGACCTCGTCAAGGTGCCACTCACGCCCGCCCCCGAGTTCGCCCTCGACGTCCCCGCCGTGACCGCCGCCCTGTCCAGCGAGCCCGGCATCAAGTTGGCCTACTTTTGCTCCCCCGGCAACCCTACCGGCTCCCTCCTCGCCAAAGAACATGTAGTCCAGGTCCTCAACCACCCGACCTGGAACGGCGTCGTGATCCTCGACGAGGCATACATTGACTTTGCGCCCCGGGACTCGTCCCTCGCCGAGCTCGTCGCCGAGTACCCCAACCTTGTCGTCATGCAGACCCTGTCCAAGGCCTTTGGCATGGCCGGCATCCGCCTCGGCGCCGCCTTCACCTCCCCGCCCATTGCCCGCATGCTGAACAGCATGAAGGCCCCGTACAACATCGCTAGCCCCACGAGCGCGCTTGCGCAATCTGCGTTGGGGGACAGGGGCCTGGCCGTCATGAGGGCAAATCGAGCCAAGATTGTGGCCCAGCGGGAACGGCTGATTCAGGAACTGCCCAAGATTGAGGGCGTGGGCAGGCAAAGAGGTGGAACCGCAAGTAACTTTTTGCTCTATGAGATTTTGAACACCCTAGGAAAACCGGACAACTCCACGGCTGTTGCAGTGTATGAGAAGTTAGCCGAACACAAGGGCGTGGTCGTTAGATTTAGAGGCAAAGAGCACGATTGTTTGGGGTGCCTGCGCATCACTGTTGGTACCGAGGACGAGGTGACCAAATTTCTAGACTCATTACGCAATGCTTTGATCGAGGTGAGAGGCGTATCTGGTAAATAGACAAAACAGGTCCCGAGATCCGATTGATAAACTAAAGCGATACTTCCCTGAACATAGAGGCTGAAATGATATAGTCAATAAACCTGAAATCATTTGGCTGTGCCAAAGAAAAATCTCTGTTTATACAAGGTATTCGCTGCTCTATTTGAATGACAAACGCCGTCTTTCCTAACCATAATATGCCGTGTCGTGTTGTTATGTTCCTCGCAAGGTGTACATGTATGTACATACAGAAACCGAATAATGACAAAGGAAGGAAGATGGGACCTGTTGTCCAAGATGTATGGTTTTTCTCCCTTCTTTCTTCTTTCCATGTAATGGGCAAGCTCCCTCGACACCAGACTTTCAAGTCTATGCCAAACCCCAAACTGCGACGATGCTGCCAAATGCCACTGCCACTAAGGCCCACTTGTTGCTAGCGACGGCAGCTGATTCAGACTTCTTGGGTGCCTTTCCCTTGTTAAGAGATGAAGTAGCCGCAGGGTCAGGAGGTGAGGATGCAGTGGACGAGATTTCCCGCTTGCTTGATACGGCCAAGTTGTTGGAATATGTGTCGATGGGCTTGAATTGGTCGTCTTTGTTCTGTTTGATGTCGTTACCTTTGAGAGGTGCGGGAGAATCCTTGATGAGAAGACCCTGGACGACTTCCAAGGCACACATTTGGGGACCGAGAGTAACTGTGCCATCAAAGCCTCCTTCGTACCATCTCATTCCGCATTGATGACCGCTCTTGCCGCCCGTGCAAGTAGCGACAGCTGCTTTGACAGTCGGAACGAGGAGGTCCTCAATCTTCTTGCTGAGTGAGGGCGTGATTCGTGAGGTCTGCCACATGAAGCGAGAGAGGTAGCCCTTGAAAGTCACCATGTCGTAGTTGCACTTGCTATTTGGCTCACACTCGGCCTCCCACATAATGTTGTTATCCTTTCCAGTGAAGAAATATTTGCCAGCCTCATCGAGCAGCTTCTCGGTTCGCTGCTTCCACTTGTCGTCTCCAGTCTGTTCAGCCATGATCGCAGAGCCATAGAGGAAGATGCCGGTCGTGTAGGAGAAGGACTTCTTGTTCGTCGACTTGCACTCGTCACTGATGTCAGCACCATCATAAATTCGGTAGCTTTCTTTGTCGATGAAGCCAACTTGAGCATTCCAGTCCCAGATCTTCTCAGCCCATTCGAGGTAGGTATTGTTACCGGTTGCGCGACCCAAGCGTGCGGCAAGCTGGAAGAACCCGCCGTTGCTAACAGAGTTCTTGTACTTTAAACCGTTGGGGTTACTGGCTAGGATCTGCCAGAAGAGACCACCGCCGCAATGCTTGGTGTCCCAACGTCCGACGAGTTGGTTGAAGACGTTGCTGGAAATGTCGAGCCAGGAGGGGAGGTCTGCGTTTGGCTGAGGAAAGTTGCGCTCAGCGGCAGACATGACAGCAGAGCCCCAGAAGAACAAGTCGTCGTTCCCTTCCTCATCGGCGTGCTCAGGAGGCATGTAATTCTTGTTGGGGCCAAGGTTGGTAGGGGCCAGTAGGGCCTGGATGACAACATCGTTGTAGCTGGGATCAGATGTGTAGTGGTAGTAATCCAACAAGGCTCCCCAGAGAGCACCCGCTACCCACCAGTAATACGGCTGCTTTAGATTGCCAAAGTCCTACAAGAAGGAAATTCAGTACGGTATTCTTCGCGTCAGTCATGCATGAATAATTGGAACTACATACCCTCGACTTGGGATCCGTTGTATTGCCCGAGTAGTACGTCATGGTCTCGTAAGCAAGTGTCGCAGCGACATTGCGAACAGAAGCTGAAACAGTGATTAACGTTTGAACTATAGATGTTCATAGAGATGTGAGGACTTACTTTGGCTCTCAACATCAAGATCCTTTGGCGCGATGATGCCGCTAAGGGCAGCCACCGTGTGCACACTTTTGACAAACTTCATCCTGGAAGACGTTCAAGAATAGGGGCCGCACAGGTGGTATATACAGTTTGAGGTCTTAAAAAAGAAGAGGACAAGACAGAAACCTTGGAGCGTCTAATCGGAGTCCTGATGGTAAAACCAGAATCGGTAATTGTCTTGGTGGTCTAATATACGCTGATATGTGACAATGTTGAAATCTTCTGCCAGGAAGATGTGGCGGAATAGAATATACGTCTCTTCAAATGGAATTAAAGGACAAAGAAAGAAAGCAAACAAGAAATGGTCACGGCTTGCGCGTCATACGTGAAAACTGAGGTGTGTCAGGACTCAGCAGTGGCGGCGCTGAATGCCGTCTATTATTGTTCCTGTGCAACACCTTTGTTCCTTCGTGCCCCTGAAGAGGGAGGAGAATCGGAGAGCAGAGGTTCTAGCCCCCGCCGTAAGGAAAAAAGAGGAAAGAGTGAGAAGACAGGCAAATGAAGGGAAAATATCAAGAATAAGACGACAAGTGCGCATAAAACAAGGCCCAAAGGTGGAACCTGGTACCCCGTAGAGCCTCGAGAGTCGAGAAATGCAGCCGAAAAGAGAGTGTGACTGGAAAAACGAAACAAAGCGGCTGGCCCACAATTAAGGCTCTCAAATCGGAAAGAGTGCGAGCCGACCATACAAGGAAGGAAACGGTTGTCCTGTGGAAGAAGGGAGGGAAGGAGCACGGACGGCGAAGTGAGCTCGCCACCTCTTTATGGTTGCGGCTGGCCTGAAATTTTGTGAGTGTCATACTACAAGGTCTTTAACAAGAAATCCATAGCCAAGTGTTGTGTGCGCCTAAGAAGGGAGAGGCCTCTTCCCGCAACCAAAGCCAAGAACCAGGGGTATGCTGTGTGTGTAGGGCGATGCTGGTGGTGGATGGACATTGACTCTCGGATTTGATGGATCCAGGCGCTTGAGCCTGAGTCGCGGCTTGCTTGCCGATCGAACGCCCCAACAAGCCTCGTCAGAACATCAGATCCACCAATTCTGCGAGGTCGAGGCTGTTAGAATCGGGACGAGCAGCCAATATGCCGAATACTGTGGTCGCACAGCTGCTCACTGGGGGCGAAGAGAGACAGGTTTTAGGCGCTCTCGCGGCAAAGGCCAAGATTAATGCAGAGTTTTGGGCATGATGCTACGCCCTAAACCGTTCACACCGGTATCGATACTGCCGTGTTTCGTTGGCCAACGACGGATGAGCCCCCATCGTTTCGCGCGCGGCAAAGGAAGCAAGGCCGGCTAGCCAGTCGTCCTTTGCAAGGCAGGGGTCTGGCTCCGTGGAGAGACAACAGGCGGCTGGCTGATGGACGAATGCATCTGGCAAGCTGCATGGTAAGCTGGCTGGCGCCGGCTGGGTGCCATGGAGGCGCCGTTGTTTGGATCGGCGAACCAGTGTCCGTGGTGGTGCGAGATCTAAAATCGGCCGAGTGGCTGTCTTGTGGCCTTGCGAGGATTCTCTAACAGAGCCTGACCCCTGGCCATTGCCAACAGCAAGACGTTACTGGAAGGATTGGCTCGCATCCGCCCAGCGCCATCCGATGTGAAACAGGGATCAACCCCTCAAGTGTAAGACATCAGACCGGGGGCGACACCACCTGGAGCCAGAAGACAAAGCATGGGGAGAAGCAAGACAAGCGGACGGGGGCCGCACTGGCAGCCTCTAAGGATTCAATGTTCCCTTCCCACGAATAGAAAGAATTGGCTCTTGGAAGAGTCTGGGGGTGAGAACCAGAACATTTGAAAACAAAAGTTGGACATCCAGGTTGGCTCCTGCCCGTTTTCAATCAGTCGGCTGGCAGGCTGACAACTTAAAATGGCCAAAACAAAGCGGGGATCGGGGCACCCCTCACAGGCCGATTCCGAACCTGATAACTTTAGAACTTGGCATGTCAACATCTGGAGTTTGAAACTCGAGGAAGATGTGCTCCATGAATTCCTACCTAGAGCTTCATTACGGAGTACGTAGCTCTATGTACGCTTGGTTAAGCTAGGTGCCACCTCTTGAGCCGGGTTATTCGAATTCGCTTCCATGTTCACACGTCACGGTTGCCAGTCTGGTGCTTCCCTTAATCAATGCCTCCAAAATCCCTCCTAACCGCCTCCACCTGTCGTAAAGGCTTCAATGCCTCCATCCAACAAGGCAGCTTGTATTCACCTCTACCAAGATGGGACCTGACATTAGCTGTCCAGCAGCACTTGTCAACTTTGCACTGCCCAGCATCTCTTCTCAGCCGACGATAGCTTTGTGACTTTGCTTCACACATAACGTATTTATAAATCAATCAAACCCTGGTATTCAGGTCAAGGAAACGCCACTCAATGCTTGACTCGATGCCACTCCGGGGTATATCTCCAGCGCAAACCGCCTCAACAAGAACCCAAAACCAGCAGAGAAACAGCCATGCGCAGAACACTAATCCTATGCAATGCCTGTTCCATCTCTCATGATTTCGTACTGACTCATACTATGGCCGACATCTGACGGCCGTTCATCTATGGGTATATCCGAACCCTTCTACATGTAATCCGCATCAATCTGTCACTCCCTTCACATGCCATTTCCTCCTCTTCCTACATAATGACGACACTAGCAAATATGCTCAACAGCGCCGTCGTTGGAGCCCAACTTCGACTTGAGTGCAGGTTGTCGCCACCGCCCGTTTGTGTCGGAGTGGAATTATACGTTTGGGATGAAGGCACCGTCGGCACAGCGATATTGGTCGCCGTCACTTCGAGCGAATCGTCCGTCTCCGACGGCTTATCGGCGAGGGTGAGAGTGCCCCAATGGATGTTGGATCCGGTCAACGTTGATGTCCATGATACCTCTGTCGGTCCGGTGTATTTGCCGTTGGTATAGCCGGAGCAGTAGCTGGAATAGCCGGAGCATGTGGCTGCGGTAGTGCCCTTCATGTTGCATTCAAGATCAGCAATGCTACGCAAAAGAAAGAAAAAGAATAGTTAGTTACATGTCCTTTCTTCTCTAGCGGTAACTGTGACGGGACCTAGGGAACCGTACTATGTGGAGGTCAAGGTGCCGTGGAACTTGAGGGTGCTTGGGCCCTCGACGATAATGAACGGGAATTCAAGCGACAGGTCGCAAGCAACCTGAGTCGCTGTGGGACAAAAAATAGTGTATGTCGTTTGGGTTGCCGTCTGGTTCTATTTTTTTTGTAAGTTAGTCAATGTGGACGTAACGCAAAGTTCAGCATCGGACATACCATCGAGACGATACTACCCCGTACAGCAGACCATTGTTCTTCGCTGTAGTACGGTATAAAGATGGGCGCTGTCGTGACGGTAGGCGTCGGGGTGCTACCGCGGTCGTTGGCATTGCAAGCCTTGAGGAGAGCTAGCAATGCAAGAGCCAGGGCTCTGGAAGATGCCATTGTTGGTCGAATCATGGCCACGAAACGGGACGGCCTGTCCTCCCGGGCGTGTTCGTCTCAATCGTTGCTCGGTGGTGTTCGGCACCGCGGTAACAACAAGGCACTGTCACTGCTAGAAGTAGCAACCTCCATCTGATGGGAGACACTGCAAGCGAGGCATGAGACGAGAGGAGGGCGGGAGAACGGGTCAAATACTGAATTGGCGATGGTGGACAAGAACCGCAGGTCTGATTCACTTCGTCAAGAGTCTTGGCTGTGGCCCAATGTGTTCTAGCGTCTGGTTGTGCTTGTCGTCGGACAAAGGACGAATGATGCCGCGCATTGGCGATTTATGCTGTTATGCGGTGCAATCTTATGCCATTGACAGGGTGCAAACGCCCCGTGTCGTTATGGCCCATGCACTTCAAAAATTCTAATGTTGCATCGTTTGCCTGCCGAGTAGGAAAAGAGTCGAATTCGTTTTTGCACTGTTCCCAGCATCGCGACCCAGATGACATCAGGACCCTGGAGTATTATAGGCATGCATGCACAAGAAAGACACTGCAGAGACGCCAACCAAGGCCTCCAGAATCTGGTTCAAAGCGATGGTGCCGATATGCCGTCAATTAATGCCGAGGCAATATCCAAGATAACCAGTGGGCTTCTGCTCAATTCTTGCCGTTTTTTGCCACGGCAGAGCGGAGATGTGGTTGCAGTGCCAAGACCGAACAACTGGCGCCAAGATTATGCCAAGACCGAACATGCAAGCCCGTAACGGCTATGTAAGTTGGGGAGTGCGACAACTTGATCATATCTCATCTCAACTTGTGTCGCTTGGCTGCTATCATTGGCATGACTTGGCCATCACTAGTAGAGAGGATAATTTCTTGGCTAAAAATTTGTAAGAATATCAGAGTTTAAAAAATATGATCCACGCATGGACGCTCTATGAGTCTATGTTGTCGAAGAACCATATACCACACATCAGGCTAGCTATGGTCGAACAAGACTTCTCCACTGATTTACCGTTAATTGAACGACCAAAAAGGAAAAGAACAACAGTAGTTGAAGTAGGAAAGAAACAGCAATTAGGTCACATTGGCTACTTTGTATTCGCTGCTAACCCGGGGGATTTTACGGGTGCGCATAGTCGTCACCTGCCTGGGCGGATCGAGAATTGGATGTATTAGTGACTGACCCGGAACAAATGTGAGAACTGATACAGTACCTTCGTCTCTCCAAAGCTTAGGCATCAGCTGGCTCTGCGACATTTTAACCTCTTTTGTCAGCGATAACTCCAGAACCATAGACGGAAACGACGTACCGCGTCAACGTGACAAGTCATATTTTGGGAGCCAAATGTCTTGATAGACTGTACTTTGCCATCTTTATAGTTCAACCGGACCTGTTGCGAGGTAGCGCGGGAGGCATCCATTTCGAGATAGTTGAGCGGTTCTATTATAAGAGCGGAATGTGCTGTCGTGGACACAGTATTGGGAAGATCGCCAGTGTGCGGGGCGTGGTGCATTCCGAGATTGAACCAAAGGACGCTGTTGCCGTTAGTTTTTCTTTTCTTTATTTTTTCCCTTTTCAGCTTGAAGACCCCCAATCCGTCATGAGGCGCCTTACAGGTCCTCCTGATCCAGAGATTCCCCATCAAAGAACTTGGCAAAGTCAATTAATGGGTCTGCAGGATTAAGCACGTTATACGGGTGTGTCCCTTGAGCTTCTGTGTCCTTCTGCTTTGTGACATAGAAGTGGTGATCGGCGAAATTCACGGCGTTCATGATGTTAGAGGAGTTCGAAGTCGTGAGGAAGATAACGTTCGAAGTTGCTACGCGATTAGTTCCACATTCAGGCAACTGTACAGCGCATTTAGCCCACCTACCAGGGGTGAACCTGTAACCGGGGTATTCTCCGAACTTATTCTTTGCTTCCTTGTTGACGATGGCGTACATGGCCGCACCATTAGGAGCCCAGTTGATCTTGGCTTCATTTTCGTTCTGGACAAACGATTTCTGCAGCTTCATAGTGTTCCTTTTGGCTCCATTTGACCACGGATATCTTTTTTTTTCCCTTTTGATCAGCATCTGCGCTACACAAGCTGATGGGCTCTCATACTTACTCGATGGTTGCGGGCACAAATTCCACTTTTTGGAGGCTGTTTTTCTCGCCCAATACATCAATATCAGCCTTGTAAGTGAGAACATGGTCATGCATGGAGCCGGACAGGTTGTCGTGAATTTTCCAACCATACTCCTCGTTGTTGGCGGAAAATCCGCCGTGTATATATCCAGAGGCTCTCACTGAGACCTCTATGCTCCCATCCAAGAAGAAATTATACGAGAACATATAGTCGTAGTTTCCGATGGATGAAATAGACCTTACTGTAAAAGCAATGTTCTTGGTAACACTGGTATAGTTAGCAGTAGAGTGGCGCTGTATAGGATATCCCTGGTCGAATTCGAACAAACCTGGACATGTTAGCGTCCTCCGAGACTGGGAGCGCCATGGTTAAACTCACAAATGGCATTAAATCGAGTGTATGATTTTTCTCCTTGTCGGTAGGTGGCATTCAGATATGTTGAATATGTCGGACAGTCGTATCCTAGGACCCTGTTAACTTGGTTGCCATGTGACCTGTTGTCGGCGGTCAAACTCACCATCGACAAGAGATACCACACTTGGCCCAATGCCAGGCTTACTGTCAAAGTATCTGTGGTGGCATATCCTGTAAGTTCTGAAAACATTATATGGCTACCGAAGCCGCCTTACGTTGTGCCGGACAGTACCGGGTCATTCCCTCTATTAGGTGTCAGGCCGAATCAAACCGCCACTTCACACTTTGTAGCACCACGTACGCGTAGAGAGCCAGCGATTCCTGCAGGCCCAGCTGACCATGGGCAGTTAGAATATAGCTCAATAGAATAATTGTTTCCGATTGCAACGGCCAACATACTTCGTATAGAATTCTTCTGCCCTTATATTGGACATTGAAGAGGCGTAATCCATTGTCTCTGTAGTAAGACAGGAAAAAAGAGAAGTCCACTGCATCAATTTAGTCCTACCGCGCCCTCATACGAAAGACAAACAGAAACTGCTCAGAACCTACTCCACTCGACGTAGTTTTCCTTTGCATCCACAGAGAAGCGATTCGATCCGGGCATAACGGCCGTGGGTGGAGGCAAATGGTCAAAGTTCATCGGGCTACCTTGCCTCTCTATTTGGGCCCACGGACCGTCCGAGTTGGCTCCGAGTAGTGTGAAGTTACTGGACGCTGAAGCGGCCCGGAACGCGTTCGTGGTCGGGTAGTGTTTGCCGTCGTAATACCATCCTATTACAGACCACTTGGATGGATCTCTGCCCATTACATCAACGCCGAAATATAGACCAAGCGGAAGAATGGTCTCCGAGTCAAAGGCTGAGGTAGGGTTGTTTACGAAGCCGGACCACAAAACCAAGCTGCCGTTCTCCTTCCAAGGTGGAAATATTGGCAACAGGCCAAGGGTATCGTTGAGGGTCTGGTGTTGTTAGAAGATTTTCTCATGACTCTCCTGGCGTCGTGGCCACTCACCCCATCCCACAGACGTTTCGTGATGTCGGCCACAGACATGCCTACGTCCTTGACATAGTGATCCACGGCGCTACGATCAGCAAAATCAACAGCTACTTTCCCCTTGCCCGCATTGTTGTAGAGAAATTGAAGCGGCTGCACCTGGGTGTTGTTAGCAACGGGAAGCGGGCCAATCACATAGTCCTGAAGATAGGGATTAGGCGTTGCGCCAAACATCAGAGTTGCGCGAGCGCATCGTGGCGGAGGTGTGGTTGTCTTGTTGTTGAGGAACGGAAGCGTGTCGCTTTTGTTTGGGGCCAGGAGCTCCACGAGAAGACTATTGACAAGACACGGACGGAGTCGACCAACGTGTAAGCCGCAAGTGCGATTTTGACGGACAAGGCCACATACATTTTATTATCCCAGCTATTCAGAATTTGTCAGTATTTTGCGTTGTTGTTTGCTGTTGCACCTGATGTTGGTTTCTCACCTCCCGGCAGCATCCTCTGTCGTAAGGTTCAGGCCAGTCGATTGCCGGTGCAGGAGCTCGATGACCCCGGCAGCTTCCTCGTCAGTAAGGTCGCCCCAGATGTTCGGGTGCGGTGCAGAGACGGCGGGCTGCCTCGATTCGCAAAGATGGTGCATGGGCACGGGAGTAGGCGACGCGCCCCATTTTTTACAGCTGGAGCTCGATGGGTTGGCCGCTGGGGACAGCCAATGGATCAGCGCTAATACGCTGGAGAAGAATGTCGACATCATCTTGACAGGCGACAAGAGTACTACTCTGTTCTTGATGCTTCATGTGCTCCCCCGCTGGTGGAAGGATGGATGAAAATGGAAGGAAGCAAGAGAGGGAGAAAGCATGCCCTGCGCAGACTTTTGCATTCCGCGCAGATCGCCCGTTGCTCTTCTAGTAGTACTAGTACTACTCGGTGGAATCCTGGTGAGAAGCTAAACCCCCCGATTTATCAGACACGGGCTGCTGTAGCCAGTAGCAAACCTTGATCAGAGACAACAGACAGGGCTAGAGGTACAAATTCTCTTTATCGGTTACGGAGTACTAGTAGTGACGGGCTAGATATTTCTTTTGGCCACAGTGTCCATCATTGCATTTTATCCTCAGCTCTTCTCTACCTTGTTGATATAGATTGGTTATATGTTACTAGGTACTCAAGGAGTTATCCACGCCAGATCTGCAGCTTCCTTGACAAGCATTGCGTTGAGACGTCGACGGTAGCATCCTTGTTCTCAGGTACCTAGCAGTAAGTACATAGTCAATGGGAACGAACGTGTTCATGTCGGTGGCAGACTTGGCAAGGCACTTGGTACTACCAGACAAACAACCGTAATATCACCGATACGTCATCAGGAGACCTCTTTTTCTTTTTTCTTTTTCTGCTCCCATAACATCCAAACATATTCAATCGTCAACGATGACTACCCGCGGGCAAGTGCACAACGATATAAATTAATCATTCAATAAAGCCGCCCCATAAAATACTTTTGTGGGGCAAAATCATGGGGAGATGTCGGCCCCGATCTACAGAGTACGGAGTACTCTTGTGAAATCCAAATCCAAAGTAGTAACTACGAGCAGGGGTTAGGGTTAGGGATATTCAGGGGACCAATCTGCTTAAAAGAGGGCCGACAATTCTCCACTGAAATTCCTCAACGACCTTTGACGGGTGGACAATAATCGACCGGCAACAAGACGGCTTTTACTCAGGCCAGGCACCAGTTGACGCCGCATTGAAACGGGGCATCGCCGTCTCGGCGCAGCCAGCGTCTTGCTCGTCGTTTGCTCAGCGCCGAGGCAATAGGTGCGCCCTTTTGCAACAACACACAGACGCCTGAAAAAGAAACACGTTTTGAGTTCCGCCAACCTCGCTTGGTGACGTAGTCATAGACCCCAATGCCGCGAGATGATGGACCAGGTGCCCCTTTTATGCTTTGAGTGGAGGCGCGCCAGTTTAGCTTGCTTCAACATCGAGATAGTGTCAGGTCGACCGTCGTCCCCCCTGTAGGGAGCTTGCATTTCGTTAAATAGGACGTGCTTTCGCTCTCTCTCGCTCTCTCCCTCCTCTCTTTGCTCGCCCTCGCCACGTTTGTTTTGCCAGCAGCACATCTCGTCGCCGTCTCTCGTTCATCATGGTTCGCGCCGCGCTCCCTCTCCTTGCCGCTCTGGCTGGCTCCGCCGTCGCCGCCGAAACAACAACCGTCAAAATCCTTGTTCTTGGCGACGAGTCCCCCTTCGTCGGCTCCGTCGTCAACGTCGACTCGAGCGCCACTACCTTTGCCGTGCAGTGTCCCTCCGGCACGCCCTCGGACGAGTGTGGCTTGCCGCCGGGTGGTGCGACTATTACCCAGGGCGAGAGTACATGGCAATGGAGCCTTGGCATGTCTAATAGCGAAATGGGGGTTCTGTATGTCGGCTATTTCCTTCCTTTCTTTTGCGTTTTCTTTTTCTTTTTGTTCTCCAACGCCGAGAGAAGAACCGCGAGACTGACTGGGTATCAGCACCCAAAAAGCCAACTGCAAGCTTGACCCGTCCAAGGATGTCGCCGCCTGCAAGATCGAATTCACCGAGGGCTCGCAGGTGACCTCTTCCGAGGTCACTGAATCCGGCTACAAGACGTCCATGTTCCCCGTTACCATCACCGCCGGCGCCGACAAGCTCTCTGCTTCTCCCGGCGCGAGCGCCACCAATGGCGGATCCAACAGTGCCTCCGAGACGGCTACTGCAAAGACTACCCAAGCAAGCAAGACTTCTAGCACCGGAGAGGCCGGACAGCCGGGTGAAGCCGCCGCAACTTCCACCACTGGCAAGAACGCCGCGCCGGCTGTGACGCAAAATGCTGTCTTGGCTGGCGTTGCCGCTATTGTGGGCGGTGTTTTGGCCATGTAAATCAGTCGAGCTGTTGGTTCAAGTAAACGAGTTTCACGTCATCAGACAGCCGTATGTAGTAGCGACCCAGGTCTATGGCGTTGCTGGTAATGGATCTGTATATTACCTTCAAAAGTGAATATGACTACAAACAACTCATCAAGAAACCGGAGATGAAACGGCAACAAATTGCAAAGGTCGCCAGTCGCATCTCGCAAACAAGTCTGCGCCCAAGTAAATTGCAAAAAACACCCAGTCAGGTATCAAGGCCAAAAAAGAAAAAAACCAGTCCGCAGCCTACATCTCATCCGGCCAATGCCAATACAGGCGCCATGCTGAAAGCGTTGCATATGCATGGCCGTGTCGTGTCCGCCCGTTCAACACCCGTTTCTCTCCTCCCGCCCATCTTGCCAGCTCGTACAATTAAAACAGCGCAAGCACTACAAAAACACGTCAGCACCATCTCGAGATAACCAACAACGAGGCCCCGACCTAGAGCTCCTGACCTTACCTTCTCATTGATTCGATTTCGACAGTACTTGCACTTCTTGGTATGCTTGATGATCGGATCATGCGAGATCAAGGTGTATATGTGCGCCAGCCCATACAAGGCGAACCCCACCATGATGAAGGAGACGACCTGGTAAATAAACGACCCGTAGGCCATGACGACGGCGCCGTCATCCAACGCCTGGCGCAGCGTGTTGTACCCCGTCGTGCTGTTGTACCCGTCTCCGGGTCGGAGCACCGCGAACTTTTCCTCAATGTTCTTGTTGACGGGGAACAAGATGGCGAGAGGGGGCATGAGGATGGCGCTGACAAAGGACTTGACGAGGTCGGTGAAGATGTTGGCGATGCTGCACAGCTATTAGCAGGTATTGCGGGCGAGCAAAACGGAAAGAGACTTTGGAAAAGGGGTCCGCACATTAAGCCGAAGGCGATTTGGAGAATGTTGCCCTGGAAGGCAAAGTCGATAAAGCCATCAAAGAAGCGCCTCACTCGATGCCGGCTTCGGCCGAGGAGGGATTCAGTCTCGCCGTTGACATTTTCGACGTCGCCGGGCATTTTTTTTTATTTTTTTCTTGTTCAAAATTCTCCTCCCTACTCTGCTGTGAGGACTTCTGCCGGTGTAGGATTATCCGCGTCTGATATTTGGCAAGTTTTTGTGTGCCAAATAGAAAGGGATGGCAGGACGGTAAAAAGGAGACTGAGATTGGAGTGAAACATGAGGCTACACATGAGAAGCGAAAGCACGAGATACTACGGCGATGGCTGCCCCACCTCTGTGACCTCCAGCTGGGCCATTCATTGTTGAGCCAAACAGGCTGAATTGAAACCTGGCTTTGCCGCTCCCTAATCTCCTCCCTCTTGCAATTAGGTATGGAGGGCCGGTTATGTAGAACAAGGACGAGGTCCTGGGATCGCGGTCAGTTGGTCACGATGAATGAGTGTCAAGGGACTCATTGAAGTCCGTGCGGAGCACTAGGAGAGTATACCAAATGCGAACGCGACAGTAATAAAGTCAAAAGTGTAGATGCTGTCTAGGTTCTTAATAGAGTGTATTTGGGGAATTAAAAAAAAAGAACACATCAGATAGTATGATTTAAGACATGAGTCTGAAATAAAGTAAAAAAAAACATAAGAGTGGAGAAACGGGGATTTGAACCCCGGACCTTCTACATGCAAAGCAGACGCGATAACCCCTACACTATTTCCCCTCTTATTATTGATCGCCACTTTATTTGCCTTTAAGAACTAATGCTATCGGCCACAACAGTTGAGATGAATACCAGACTCTATTTGCCAAAGCCTAAACTAAACCTCTTATTAAAAACACTTAGTAGTCCGCCGAGTCAATGAATTCATTTCATCAATAATACTGCTCATATCATATTCCTGCGAGATTTCCCTCCTGTCCAATAGTTTCTACCGTCTATGCGTTTAGTCTTGCCAACGGATACAAGTCTTACGTTGCCGGCACAGCACGTCTTATTTCTCTTCAACCTCGCCGATTCGCCGGAGTGATGTACAGGCCGCGCTGACGAAAAAAAAAGTGTACAATTTGGCAAAGTCGGACACGGAAAACCAGGCTTGCTTGCTCAAATTGCAGTCAATTAATAGAGTGTGTCCAGCAGGCACTCAGAGCCACGAGGCAGTAAATTATTCTAGCATCTAACAAAGACTGCGCTTGCGCACGTCACACTTTTTACAGGAAAAAATAAAATAAAAATAAAAACATTAAACAGGGGGTTGTGTCACAACAGTCTCCGCTTCTTGCGTTGAATTCCCGGATACACGCCCCCAATGCAACAAGCTCCAACACGGAAAAAGTAAACAACGAGTGATGATGCTTTGCTCATATGAAAAGACTCACGCACGGCGTGGAGCTCAGCTCCAAGTCTTTTCCGTCATGAGCCTCCTCTGCCGCCTCACCATGCAGAAGCGGACCATCCAGAACAAGGTGACGAATCCCATGAATCCCGTGGTCACCCAGCTTAGGTTGTAGAACTTTTCGCCTCTGCTCGCGTACAGTCCGACCGGATTGCCGATTTTATTGACGGCCTCGACGCCGGTGTTTGTGGCAACAGTGACGATGATGCTGGCTATGATGATGCTGAGGAACGCCAAACCGCCGACGGTGAAATTCACCAGCGCGAGGATGCGCATGTCGGGCTTGAAGAAGGCTGCGAGACCGCCTAATGCCGACGCGGCGCAGCAGCCTATGCCCAGGGAGTACATGATGAGCAGGCCGAGGAGGGCATTGTTGAGCACGTCGAGCGTGTCTTGGATGCCCTTGGGCCACTTGATGTCGGCGAGATTGAGCTTTGCAGGGCCAACTCTAAGTTCCTTGTCCAAGAGATCCGTCAGGTTGAGGCGGTCTATATGCATCTCGCGGTCAGCTTTTGACTCGTTGTTTTGCCTCGTAATCACCCCCCTCTTTCACGACGGATAGATGGGCACTTACGAGATGGGCTCGACGAAGTACAGTTGGTCACGTTGAGCGCAGCACCGGGCGCGGTGGCATTCGGCTGGAAGTAGCCCTCACACGAGTCCATGATGTGCAGTGAGTACCACTGCTTGATGCCAATCTTCTTGGCTATTTCGTCTGCAATGGTGCCGGTGATGTCATTGAGTTTGCCCTTTACACCGTCCGTCTTGTCCTCTACCCAGTCCTTGGCGTCGCCCAGAACGTTGGCGCCTGGGATTTCGACGTCTGGAACAATGCCGCCTAGGATGCCGCCTAGGATGCCACCGCCGCCTTTCTTGTCGCCACTCTTGTCGTCCTTCTTGCCTTTATCGAAGAGGTTGTGTCCGACCATGGAGGTATTGAGCTACATGCCAAGTTAGAATCGAAGATGAGTACTGCCATTTGCGGAATTTCTTACCCTGACAAAGGCATAGTCTTCCATAAAGCCTGGCTGGCGACCTGCGTATAGAGCCAGCATGGACAGAATGAAGCTGATGACGGCTAGGATGACGGGGAGGAGGATCAAGAATCGGCCGACTGCTGGTTTCATCGTGGCGTATTGCGATATGAGATTTTTCTTATTCTTTCCGTACGCTGTCTCCTGTATCAAAGTGTAAATGGTAATAACGGATGGTAAACTTCAACACACGACAAAATACAATACTAAGCAAGCAAGCAACGACTTGGCGGGCATTATAAACGACGTCTCATCTTCGCGTGCACAAAAAGGGTGGGCAGCCATTGATAGGCCTTGGCCACAAACCCCCCCATCAGAGTGCACATGTTGTTCAATCTGTGCATCTTGTTTGAATCATTCACCTCTTACAAGGCCGTCGTTGTCCGGGCTGATTCACCGACATCCAACCAAGGCGGCATTGAGGCCCTGGGCGCAAACAAGCACCGCCCAGGCATGTGCTGCAGCCTGCAGACCGTTGAAGAAACCCTGAACAAGGGTACGTCGGCCAAAGGAGGGCATCGACAAGACACAAGGAGACATTAGCGACCCAGACTTGTCTGTCTGATTGACGCGGTGGTTTGCAGAGCCCCGGTCTTGCGTCACAGTCGGCCAGTCTGGGACGTTGCCGCGCATCTCGTTGGATCAACAGAGTCGCTGGCCTGCCTTCTCAGCGCCCGAGAGGACAGGGATTGTTGACACCGTCACACCGTTTGCGCAAGCGCTCGTCAAGGGCTGTGGCTGTGAAGAGCTGCGACAAAGATGGGATGCCGGCAGCCACTCGTTGGGCTGGGCTTTGTTGGCTTTGACACGGCCTTTGATGGGTCGGGCGGCTGTGCGGGCGCTTCGAATGCCGTTGTGTTGCCGATGGAAACCATGGAATGTGGATTTGTTTGTTCATGAATGTGCCCAAGCCGATGGCGGACAATAGGTCAAGCAGTGGTGGTACATGATGTTTGTCACGGTTTGCAGGATATTGGTTGTGAAAACTTGTGACCAAGACGCGCTGCACGAGCAGAGGTTCCTCCACTTTTGGTTGTGCAGCTACATAGCAATTATACGATGGTTGTCTTGTGCATTGCGGTTTTGCTTGAAGGGGAAAGAGACTTGGCGCTAAAGGGGAAGGAGAAAAAAAAAAGAAGAAGAAAAAGGAAAATTCAAATGCAAAATGAAACAAGATGGAGTAAAAAACAACCAGACCCAATACTAAGCTATTTAGTCACGTACGACACACCATACTTCTGGTATTCGCAGGCCTCTATCATCTACACAATTTTGAAGCTACACAGCTGCATGCACTGTAGTTGACCCGACGAGACCCAAAACTACACCTAGCAAGAAAGAGGAAGCAGAAGAATAGAAGCGAAAAATAAAGATCAAGATGCGTTCGAGTACCGACATATTGAGCCATCGAGTATAGATTCCTCAGTCAAAGGGAAAATAGGGCCAACTCCAAGCGCCATAGCCTATTTCACTTCACTGCCTCTGCATTTCCATCATCCTTGAACACACCAACCATGGTGGTTTGAAAAATGAATGAAATACAAGGCCTTTGACAGCCAAGTTCGTTGTGCGGACCTCTTTTCATCCAGCACAAAGACGAGTTTTCTTTCGTTTTCCTTGTTCTGGTCTGGTCTGGCCTACAGGTTAACCAGCACAAAGACGCCGTCGAGAGCGGTGCAAGTCGGACATGGACCGGCAGGCCTGTCTGATTGGCGAATGGGCGGTTCCATGGCAGCATGTACAATGACGTCGACTTGCAGCGAGAGCCGCCGGTTGGTGTTTTGGCATTCGCCATGGCCGAGAGTTCCTCTGTTGCCGACATCTCAGAGTTGCACGCAGGGGCGAGGCATAAAATCCCCAATGGGGCTGCATATTTATTTGGTGTCAATAGTGCTTAACCCGAACCCTTGAACTAGCGGACTTTGTGCTTTTTATGCTCTTGTGTCGTCAGGCACCCGGCACAGCCACTGCCATCATTGATCAGTACCGCTTCGGGTGAGACGCGCTGTGGCACGTGGGAGTGCGCCGGCCAGAGGGACAATGCGATATGTGATGTCCGCGGCAATTGAAAGCAAAACACACGTAAACTGCAGCTCGGGCCCAAGCCTTCCACCACGAACCAGACCTGTTTTATCGTCTCGTCCGATCCTTTCAAGTCTGGTTCCTTAGCCTGCGGCAGACGGCCCTAAAGGTGCGGCGTGACCTCTGAGGCGTGACGTGACGGTGCCGTGACGCCCTCCCTTTCGACCCCGCCGTGACTCCCTCGCGCCATCTCTGCGGCCTCATTCTCATTCGACTTGACCCGTCGTCTCTCCAATCCTCATATAGCATTGCATCGCATCTCATCTCATCGCTGACCGCCGAGCAACGACGCCCTGCCCGCAAACCGCACGATTTATTCTCGCCTTGCAGGTGCAGGAGAGGAGACAGAGATTGCTCTTGTCCTCTGCCTCTGCCTTTTCCCTCCCCGTCTGGGCTTTCCTGTTGAAGAAAACACCAAACGTCCGACGCAAACAACATCGTCAGCCCATCACGACCATGAGAGTGCAGGCCTCTGCCCGCCCTGTCCCCACGCCCATCCTTCGCTGAAGCCAACGGTGACAATGCGATAAGGGGAATCAAACCTCCCCCCATTGCTGCGCTCAAGCCTGCATTTATCGCGGCGCGTCGTCGTCGTCGTCGTCGCATTCGTCGCGCCTCACCATCACGCCGCTCCCACCTTTTGATTAGTAACCAGTTATCACGATTTCATGTTTTACGCGGTTCACTGTCAAATTAGACAAGCCAGCGAGTTGACCAGCAATAATTCACCCATTTTTCGGATTCCGCAGCATAGTGACACCACAGCCTCACTCAAAACCACATCACCTTCACGACTCACCCGCCATGTCGTCTCTCGAGGCCAAGATCGTGGTCCTCGGCGCCCAGGGCGTGGGCAAGACCTCCCTCGTCATGCGGTACTGCAAGGGCGCCTTCAACCCCTCGCAGATAACGTCCACCGTTGGCGCGAGCTTTCTGACCAAGCGCGTCGTCGACTCCGACACCGACACCATGGTGCGCCTGCAAATCTGGGACACAGGTTGGTGCCGCCCTTCTTCACTCCCCATTCACTCTTCATTGGGCCTTGCCCCGAGTGGCGCCGTACCTATACCTATTCACCGGCCGTCTTTGACGCCTCCGTCCTATTGTTCTCCGCAAGCTTGCTAACCGGGCCTCCCTCCCCAACAGCCGGCCAGGAAAGGTTCAGGTCCATATCGCGCTTATACTATCGCGGCGCCAACGCCTGCATCCTGTGCTACAGCATCACCGACGCGCAGTCCTTTGCCGAAATGGGCGTCTGGCTCACCGAGCTGCGCCGCAACCTGCCAAACGACGTCGTTTTGCACGTCGTGGGCACCAAGGCCGACATTGTCGCCCGGGACCCGTCCGCCAGGCAGGTCCCCTTTGAGCGCTGCATCGCCTACGTTGCCGAGAACCTGGCCCCCGGACTGGGCAGCACGCCACCCCCGACGGCCACGCCGCTCAACGCGCCCGGCTCCATGCCAAGCGTGGAACCGCGCACGCCTAGCTCCAAGCGAAGTTCGGGCTTCTGGGCCCAGGAGGTTGGCTGGGACGCGTGCCACGAAATCAGCGCCGAGAGCGGAGAGGGTGTCGAGGAAGTTTTCCGGGTTGTCGCCCGAAAGCTGGTCGAGCAGAATCGCAAGATGCAGCAGGCCCTTTTGCTGGCGACGGCCACTCCGGGCACCCCCGGCTACGAGGCCGGCATGGACGGCGGGTATTTCGACGGCATGAACGTGAGGGGTAGTTTCCGTGTAGGACGCGACAGGCGGAGCTGGTTGTTTTCGCCTGCCTTTTCTCCAGCTGTAACGGTTGACCGGACGGGCGCCACGGCCCAGGAGCAGAATGAGCCCGATGGCGCATCAAAGGGCAGTCGCAGATGCTGCTGAGACAAATACGTCGCGATGGGGGAAAGTCGAAGCTGGCGTGGTAGGGCCAGGCTAGGGATATATCTGCTTGGATAAAACGGGTGGGAAGGGGAGTATTACGGAATGGAACCAAGTATTCGGGTTGGGCCTGGAGGGAACTGCTAAAGATACCCTTTTCCCTTTGGTGTATTGTTTTGGGCTCATCAGTCCACTTTAGGTGTTGCACTAGCTACGAGTCTCTCTCTCTTTTTCTCTCTTTCTCTTTTGTCTTGCTTTGATTGGTTTCCCGGCGGCTACTTTTATTTACGCTTCGTCTTGCGCGTGGGCTTGGTGCTTTTTTTGTTCTTATTTGCTGGTCTAAAACCTTTAGCGCGGTTTACATGTTGCATAGCTACACCTCGCTCCCTGATCGTCCTCATGCATAGCGTTGGATGACCTCTGATATTCGATGCTTCTAGCTTTGGACCATGTCTATTCATTGGTGTCTGTGAAATCGGCACATGTTCTATTTCCATATATAGGAGCCAGAGGGCTCACTCAAATCGCAAGATTTTGTCCTTCGATCAACCATGAAGCACATGATTCGTTACATCTGTACTAGAATGCGACATGAGTTTCTGCCAGCTCTCATGCGTCGGCAGTTGGCAAATGAGAATCCTTCCCCTCGCAGTGCTTTACGCATTCCCCTTCTTCGAGCCAATAGCATCATCCACCATAGGCACGCCTGGAATATCCACCCCCTTAATTTTATACTCCAAGCCAACATACCCATCACTCACAACCAATATATCCACCTTCCTGGCCTGTCCGCCCACCGCTTCTGGTAACTTGATCACAGTTTTCACCGAAGGCGTACTGCTTTGTCCCAGAGACTTTGCTCCCGGCGCAGCCCACGTCGCTCTCTTCACTGCAATGACCTCATCCCGCGTGATATCCCCAACGAGGACGAACCATCCTTCTGTCTGAGGTTTGGGGAACTTTGGAGCATATATACGTGCCCCTCTGTCGACTAGAGCGTTTATGCGCTTAATATTCACGGTCACAGACAAGGCCGTAACGTCTGATGTTGAAACAGACACATTGGGAAGGAAGGACACGGCACGAGCCACGCGGGACAGTTGTTGTGCCGATTTGAGTCCGAGTTTCTTTGACAGCTGATTGACTTCATTCGGTTTAAGTACGCTCAGTTTGCTGAGTGGCGTGTTGTCCTTGGTGGATTCGGGCTCAACACCAGGGAGTATAGATACAACGGGGTCCGTCGGCCAGCGAGCGGATTTGATGCATTGTAGGAGGCTGATCATTCGCAAGCAAGATGATAGATAGCCCAATTCTGTGAGGACATCGATAGAAGCTTGAATAATACGGATGGCTTGGTCGAGGACAGATGTTTGGTCGCCCACGTAATCCGTGATCGGGAGTTCAATTCTCGACATGTGCGCTTGGAGTAGCAGGAAGGCTTTGACATGTGGATCCCACATGGGTAAACCAAATGCGTGGCCAGGATATGGAAGATTTGCAGATAGGGTGTCGTTGATGAGATCTTCGTTATGGCGAACAGGTAACTCATCGTATTCGATGGCTCGGGACATCCACGATAAGACATCGAGGAAGGAAGCCTGCGCTTTTGCATGCTTCACTAGATGCCTGATCGTCTTGTGTGAGAGATAGTAGTAGCTCATGATCTTGCCAAGAGCTGTAGGATCTACGTCTCCGTTAGGAAACACCTCGACGCATTTGGACTCTGCAAGTTCCCCGAGAGATTTGTTGACCATTTCGATCATGTATTCGTTTGCAAGTTGCTGTGCAGCAATGGTAGAGTGCTCCTCAGCGGAGAGCTCCAACCCATAGTAGGATGGGTTCTTGTGTAGTCGACGAAAGAAGAACGTCCAAGTCAAGTAATCCAGCGCATCTTGTTTTGTGACAATTGTCTCGGCGGAAACTTCAGCACAAAGATGGTTATCAAGCACAGTATGGAGTGAAGATTCGACAGGGAAACCAGTGTGCAGGAAGTGTTTGTAGAAATCTTTTTTTGAGTCTTGGGTGAATATTCTCGCCACACCAGAGTTGTCGAATTGAGGACGGCCGGCTCGACCAAGCATTTGGAGAACGTCTGTGAGATCCATATCTCTGTATGCTTCTATTTTAGCATCGTAGAACTGAGTGCCTTTCACAACGACTAAGTGGGCTGGCAAGTTGACGCCCCAAGCTAGGGTACTAGTTGCCACAAGAATTTGGATTTTGTTATTCAGAAAAAGCTCTTCGGATAGTTGGCGATCTGACTCGACCAGGCCGGCATGATGGAGACCAATGCCGAAATTGATGGCTTCTTTGAGGGCATCATCCTTGACACGGGCAAGGTTCAGCTGTAGATCTTCTTCGTCCATGCGTAAGAACCGCCGGGGGTTATCTTCCATGCCGCAAAAGTTGATAAGGTCCTTGGCCGTGAGACGCGTCTGTCGTCGGGAAGCAACGAAGACAATAACGGGCTTGTCTGGGCTGTGGTTTTTGATAGCTAGAAACGTCGGGCGATTCATGGACTGCATCAAGGGACAGAAACCGCGGATTTCAGGGAAACCATCAATGTACAACTCAAGTGGTACGGGACGAACAGAGTGCTTAAAGTTAAACAGGCCTTCCTTCACCCCCAGCCAGCTACCTAGATCGGTAGCATTGGCGCAGGCTGTGGACATGCCAAGAAGTCGGACTTTGTTCTTAGTCGAGGATGAAATATAGTTCATGCCTAGTCAATATCAGCAAGGATTGTATACATGACGGGGAATGAAGAGCCTAGAACCTACGAGATACGATGATTTCCAAAATAGGGCCACGGTCTCCAGCAAGCAAGTGTATCTCGTCGATAATTACCAAAGAAACCTGTCTGACGTATCCTCTTGTTTGCCAGGAACGCGAAATACCGTCCCACTTCTCAGGGGTGGTGATGATGATGTCCGCATCCTTGATGGTTCTTGTGTCTGGAGTATTATCACCAGTCAACTCGACGATTTTGAGTCCCAATGGTTGGGCAAGCCTCTTTCCCCAGTCCTTGACTCGTTCACGAACCAGCGCTTTCATAGGGGCAATATACACCACTTTGGATTTAGGTCGTTCCCGGAAAGCCCACCACATAGCGAGCTCTGCTGCCACAGTCTTCCCACTCCCTGTTGGAGACCCGAGGAGAACATTGGCTGGTGTATGATACAGGGTGTGGAAAATCTGTGTCTGCATGGGGTTGAAGAATTGAAAACGCTGTGCGTAAATCTCTTCTAAGCCGGGGTTCTTCAGGGCTGAAATAGGCAGCGGCTGCAAGTTAAGAAGATCAGTGTAAACACTTTCAGTGTCTGGCCTAATGAGATGTTGAAAAGACACCGGAGTGACCGTCTCCGCACCAAGCCATCTATCAGATACTGCTCGAACATAAATCTGCGTTGGTAGAGGGTCAGACAAAGGAATTGTAAAGTTAAGCTCGTGTTCGTCATGAAGCTTCCTCCTGTTAAGAATAAAGAATTCGTGATGATAAATCTCTGAGGTGTCAGAGTTCTCAACCCAGATATAGAACGATTCAGATGTTCCGTGTATCTGGTCCTTCCACGAGAAATCCGGGATAACGTACAATTTTATTCGAAGTACATCCCGGTTCAATGGCGCAATTTCAGCCTCCACGTGAACCGTGGGAAAGTGATTGAGAAATCGGGAAATGGTCTTTCCGGCGCTGTGATTGTGAACCAAGCCTCCGATCTCAGCAGGTTCCATTTCCTTCATTGTCTCCATAGTCAGGTTTTCCTTTGCATCCAACTGATTCAAGACAGGTTTGGGTAAATCGAATTGATGAAGTGGATGCTGAAAAGGCCAGATCCTCTTCTCAATCGACTTGGACAACGTCAGCAGAACTAGACATTGGTGGCCCCATCTCCTGTTCAGGGCCAACATGAACAAAGCTCGGCAGATGCGGCCAGACTGCTGAGCTACGTAATTCATGTCATTGGACAATGCAAAATCCTCAGGCTGTTGTCTAGAGATGTACGATTGCAACAAGATGTTGGTTTTGGACTGTGGCGTATCAATGCCACCGTCCACATCACAAGGCACAACATCATTCTTAAGATGTGTTAACTCCTTGGCTTCAGTGTCTCTCGACTGCACATTATCGAACTCTCCACTCATACTAATCATCTTGAGAATGTCGGCCTCAGTAGCATGCGGCTGCATCATAGTGTTGAATACCTGAATGCTAGTATGAAGGATGTAATACTGGCTAGCAATTCTGCCTATATCCTTGCTGCGAAGCTCTTCTGTCCTCTCATTGAAAATGATCATCTGGCACTGCTGTAGAGTTCTTGCAGCTTGGATGGCTAATTGGCGTCGTCTCTGCACCAGAGTCGGATCATCACGAATTTCAGCCCACTCAATGCCGTACGCGGTTGGACTCCTTTGCATTCGGACGAAAAGATACGAGTATCCTATCCATTGGACAGCATCCTGGATGGAAGTTACTGTTCCCAGGGCAATTTCAGCATTGAGGTTGTCGACGAGCTTGGTTGAAAACTTGGACTCAATCGGCTGCTGCTCGGTAATAGCAGTCAAGTAATGTTGAAGCTTGTCTTGGGTGGTACAAATCATACCGATGCCAGTATCTTCGAACTGGGGACGTCCGGCTCGACCGAATATTTGCAACACATCTAGGATTCCGAGGTCGACAAATTTACCATCCGAAGCACTGTAAACCTGTGTACCTTTGATGACCACAGCAGCAGCGGGCAAGTTCACACCCCATGCTAGTGTAGCAGTACAGCAGAGCACTTTCAAAACACCCTCTCCAAAGAGTCGCTCCATCAGATTCCTGTCCGCTCTAGCCATGCCGGCATGGTGGATTCCAATTCCTTTGGAGAGAAGGTCACGAATATCCTTGGCCCGAGATGATTTCATATCGCGGGAGGCTTGATCGTATTTGGGATGTCCACTGGGATCAAAAAGATCCATACAAAATTGCTCGATTGCCTTCTGGTGAAGCATTCTCGCAGTGACCATGGTATCTCGCCGTGAGTGCACAAACACCATAACTTGGTGGTCTCTCTCCAGCATCTCCTTGACTTTGTCAAAGGCAATATTGTCCAAGTTCTCTTTGGATTGCTTCGACCCTGCCTTGCCCTTGACGCCAATAAAGTGCTGCTCAAGAGGTACAGGACGAAACGAGGCATCAAAGTAGAACAGTCCAGCGTACTTGTTGACCTTCAAAAAGTCGGCTACATCAACGTAGTTGGGGAGGGTAGCACTGAGTCCGATGACTCGGATAAGAGACTGTGTGCTCTCTACCTGCCGTTCAGTACGGGCAACAAGGGATTCTAGAACCGCGCCACGCTCATCATGCAACATGTGGACTTCATCAATAATAAGAAGGCGCACTTTTTGGACCAGCTCTGTGTCTCCAGTACCCTTTCTCGTAACAACATCCCACTTTTCTGGGGTAGTGACAATGATCTGGGTTTGGACAATTTCCGATTTTGTCAGCTGCATATCACCAGTGTACTCGCGGCACTTGATACCTAGCCAGGCAAGTCGCTTGCCCAGCTTTTCAGTAACTTCAGCGGCCAAGGCTTTCATGGGGGCCACGTAGACAATTTTGAAGTCATCAATGTCCACAGCGAACTCGGTCGCCTCGGGATTCTCGATGGGATTAGGGTAGACATGCTGGCCAATCGTATGCAAAATCGTCAACATGGCCGCATCAGTTTTGCCCTATGATTGTTGTTAGTGGTGACTGAGTGTATTATACGGGAAATGCTGTTAGATTGGTATCGACTTACGGCACCAGTAGGGGCACAAATAAGCATGTTCTCATTCGTTTTATATCCTACGGGAAATACAAGGCTCTGCATACGGTTGAGCGCCTTGTAGCCCTTGAAGGTATTCCGACACAGGCCATCAAGGTCTGAGATAGCCACCAGCTTTTCTCCGGGGCCAAGGGTGCCTTTCCGACCCGCTGGGACAAAGTACTCTTCATACTTTTCAAACTGGAGACGTTCACTTCCAACAGGCAGGCCATACTTTTTGCCAGCAAAGCTCAGAGTGTTTCCAGCCTGGTACGATCTGTATACATGCGGATAGTGTGGTTCCTTCTTGGAGGCAGGAGATAGTGAAGCACTCTTGTGCTCAAAATCCTGGCGTTTTAGAGCAGCCTCCCTCTCAGACTTGTTCAACAACCGACGTGAAGTGGGATGCTTCTCGTCGCGGCCTTTCGACTCAGCCACAAGAACGTCCTTCTTGGACAGTACATCAATGACAAAATCGAGATGATCGAATCCAACCAAGTCGGTTAGGTGTGACTGAAGCTCATAGTCTGGCTCACCAGAACCCAGAACGCTCATAATCTGGTTTTGGAAGACATCTGGAGAGAGATTGTTGTTGGCGGCAATTCCGGCTGATGCATCTAAAAACCAATGCAGGGCGCTTTCTGGCTCTGCGGCGCCAACTCCGTCAACATCAACGTCAACAAGGTCGCTGCTATATTCGTCTTGTTCGGTGTCCGATATAAAGTCCCACACGTCGTGGTCGTCATTTCCAGATGAGAATCCTTCCAGGTCGTCATCGTCATCGGGATAGCTCTTTTCAGCTTTGGATAGCGTGGGAAGCTTGAGATTGGCGAGGGCAGTTTGCATTGCTGCAAATTGCTCCCTCCACTCTGCTTCGGCGGCAACTAAGTCCGGAGACGCCATATTACGAGATGGTGCAACTCCGATGATGCCGTCGTGAAGAAAAAAAGGGAGAGCGGTAGCAGCAGGTTAAAACAGACGAGCATTGAAAAGGCAATTGGCTCAAGCAGAGAAAAAGAGGAAAGAAAGAGGATTGCGAATTCCAGATCTCCGTTGCCGCTCTATTTTGTGCGCAAAGAATATTAAGCATCAATGATGCCCCTCTGGAGCATTGAAGAGTCACACCGTTCCTCCACCAGATCTACCAAAGATGTCAGCCAAAGCTGCTTCGAGCCCCACCTCGAGTGCCACCTCCTGCCAGTCAACAACACCGTGCCATTATCAAGCTCGCACGTCTTCCCACCAGACGCCTGGACACATGTGACATCTGGACTGGCGGTCACTAGAGTTAACCCGGTGCCTGAGCGCTCGAGCCCAGTGTTTCTTTGTCCCCGGTGCCATCAAATTGCTCCTCCTTAAGTAAGTGCTTAAGCTGCCTCGTCCACTGGTCGCTGCAAGATCCGACCGCCTGGTCAGTCAACCCAGTGCCAGTGCCAGCACTGGGTGAACCACTAAGCGCTGCAACGCTGGAACGCTCAGCTCGAGACTCTGGACCCCTCCCATCTCCCATCCATCCACGTCGTCCATCTCCCTGGCCTCACTTCACCTCAACGTCGCAGTGTGCACCTCGTTTATTCTTTCAACCTCGCCGCACTATCACCGCCCATTCGTACCTTCGATCCAGCTCGCAGACTCAAAACCCGGAGCCCGAACCCGAACTTTAACCACCGCCATGAAGCTGTCCTACATCGGCGTAAGGCTATTTACACCCATCGCCCAACCTTCCACCGGCGCAAATACTCACGCTTAGTCTACAGATCATCAGCTACGACACCAGGGAAGGCATAGATCCCAAGAACAGGGAGCCCTCACAGGAACTTGCGGTGGTCAAGGACGTCAGCTCGTATGGTTTGCTGACCAGAAACAAGTTCGTCCCGCCCGCTTTGCCTTGATGCCCCATTGACCGTCAACGAAACCGAAGTTTTCTAACAGGCCCTGCTCAGTTATGCCCAATTCATGACCTTCTTCGCGAAGCAATTGGCAGAAAAGGCAAAGCCTAACCAGCGGCAATCCGTCGCGCAGGATGCTCAAGGTATGGGCCAACACGCGCCGCCACCGCAGTAATTTCCAAGACGCAAGACCTTTCCGCTCACTCGAAACCAGATTTCGTGTTCCACGTCTACTCCCACAAATTGGGTGTGTGCGGTGTCGCCATCTCCGACGCCCAATACCCTTCCCTCGCAGCCCACAAACTTCTCGGCAACGTCGTCAACGAGTTTCTCGCCAAGTTCCCCGCCAGCTCATGGAAGGACCTCACTGCGTCGAGCCCTCGGGCAAATATCAAGGATCAGCTCGCTGAGTACCAGAAAGAGCTCCAGCAACAGCTCGCCCAGTACCAGGACCCTGCTCAAATAGATACAATCGGACAGATTCAAAGGGAACTGGACGACACCAAACAGGTACTGCACCAAACCATCGAGAGTGTGTTGGGGAGACAAGAAAAGCTCGATGAATTGGTCCACAAGAGCAATGACTTGTCTGATATGAGCAAGGGCTTTTACAGTACGTCTCACCCTTTGGCTGTATAAATGAATTCAGGAGTGCTAATTTGGCGGGCGTAGAGCAAGCCAGAAACCAAAACAGATGCTGCGTGTTGATGTAACCGGGAAAGAGGGAGATGAAGCGGCCAGTTGGCTTGGAGTTTCCTTTCCGTATCCAACTGGCGGGCTTGTTGGTTCAAGATTGGTTATCGGCTATTGGTTGGCGCACCCAGACTCGCATTTACATACACTGGAATTATGATCCGCTCGTTCGACAGCTCAGCACTACTTTGCCAAGAAAAGGGTCCATCGGCGTTTCTCGTGGCTTGGCCATGGTCAGGATTAGAAGTCATGCAGGAACGCTTTCAAGTGGCCAGCACATATACGGCTGTTCCAAATATTAATACGGGACAAGACAAATTAATAAAGCCTCCCATTTGGAGTTGAAACATCTCCTTCTTTTTTATACTTCTGGAGCTCATAATGTCTGAGAAAGGTATTGGTAGCAGAGACTAGTCCCGAATGGCCTGTTCGGCCACCTTGTAGCGTCCAGCCTACAGAATAATTTCCAACTACATCATATGCCAGACGCAGTATCCTAAAATCCTCAAACAAAGAAAGAAAAAAAAAGTGCCCAGATGGAACCTAAATGCTGGAAATGTGGACTTTAGAGCGAATGTAGCGTGGACCAGCCCCAAATCAAGATATATCCTGATCATATCAACCGCCATCATTGGCTCCTTGCAGAGCCTCCTTTGCTATATCCTTAACTGGCTCTCCGGCGCCAGCTGTCTGATCTCCCCCAGGGATAACACGACGATTACTTTGGGGCTAAAGGCCAGCCCTCCCTCCAGTAAAACCGTTCATATCAGCTTTTGAAACAGTAGGTCATACCAGTCATACCCTCTCCAGCACCACCCGCTCACTATTCCTGTGACCTGCAGAGGGTGATGACGGATCCAACTTTGGGTCAACCAATCGCGGCGTGGAACTCTTCGTCTCAGCTATCCGCCTCCCTTCTATGGGGTGCATTTGCAGTGGGCCTAGCATTCGGCGCTGTTCGCGGGATACACTGATTTGACGAGCAATCGATATTTCTACGGCGTCCTGCACCGCTCTATCTTCATCTTCGTCTGGCTCTTCTCCTGAGAGGCTGCTTAAGCTTAGGCTGCCCTGGACGCCAGTTGTGGAAGTAGTATATACTGTTGAGCGGGTGGCTTTTTGTAGTGTCAGAGGGCTTGGGTCTGACTGCGACGGGTTGCCCTTTTTATACGAATGGCTCCTGGCAGGCGGAGGGGATAGTCCGCCTTCTTCCATGTCGTTCTCTGAAAGATCAACGCTGCTGGCGATTGTTGATTTGGATCCTGAATGTTGGTGCGTTGGTGATTGGATGTGAAACTTGGATCGGAGCTGTGGTCTGTCGCCTTGGGTGGAAATCCCGCTGCCAACAGTAGGTTTACTTCCCTTAACGGATGCGAGTCTCACTATATGTGGTGATTTTCCCTTTTCTCCATCACGGAGATGTGAATCCGTGAATGTCTCTTTTGACGGCGTGCCCATGATTGCAGGCGATGTGTTGGACCTACTGCGGGAACTTTGATGATATTTCCGAGTTGTTTGTAGAGGCTCGAGTCGTAATGAAGGAATTGGTGGCAAGTCTCGATCCATGCTTTGTTTACGTCCTGAACGCAAAATTTCGGTTTGAGAACCAGGGCTAGAAACTTCTTCGCGAAGTGCGCGTATCTTATCCTGGGTGACCTGTCGACGGGCGAGAAGAGATGTCGCGCTGCGACGTTCAAGAAGATTCGCGAACATCACACTATATCTGTCCAGGGTGATGTTTGGTATTTCAACATCAAGAATTGGCTCCTGCTTGATAGGATTCGAACCCTCTGACACAGGTTCTCGATTTGGGGTTCGTGTGCTATCCGGAGTGGTCTGTGTTTTGGCTTGAGGTGAACCAACTTGGGGGGACCATTTTGATTCTGACCCTGTAGGTTCCGTCAACGATCTTCCAAGTGCCTTTGCCCTTGGTGATACATTAGTATCCCGCAGGTCAGTATATCGCGGCCCACGAGAAGCGGCCGAAGTTGGCGTTCCGCGGGTTGGTGTGTCGCTCGGGGAGGTAAGCTGATCCGGAGAATCCATAGCTCTATCATTGTTCTTGACTCTTTTCGACTTGGACCTGCCAAATATCCCCCATTTGCGCGACTTGGATCTAGAAAGCCCATCTTTTGTTTGTTGTTCGTCCTGGCTGTCCTCCCTGGCCGCTATGACAGTGGTTTCAACTCGAGGTTGCCAAACATTCCCACGGGAGCCACGTTCTTCAGTAGGGCTGCCAAGTGCCATTCCTATAGGTATAATGCCTGTTCCATCTGCTTCGTTTACGTGAGGCCCCCGAAGGCCTGTTGCTGATGGATATTGATTGTCTGGAGGCGATCTTGACAGAACCGTTCCTCTGCGCATTGGCCGGTGGTAGGACTGAAAGCCACTGGGCGTAGTAAATCTCTCCATGTCTGCCAGCCCAGTTGGTGTTGGTATTTCAGACATTGTTATGTTGTCAATGCCCTGGTGCCGTGCTCGATAATTCAGTGACGACGACCGAGACATCGACGTGGCTCGTTGAAGACGATCCATTTATGCATACAGCTGGCAATGTACGTAAAGCCGGGTGTGTTTGATATGACGGGAATGGATCTGCCTTGACTGAGCGCCGAAAAAGTAGCGTCGAGCAGGGTCTTTCCTTCGGGAGAATATTCCATTCCACATCGAAGGGTACAACCCAATCCGAGGGCCACAAAGCACCGGAGGTAGATCAGAGCCGTCTTCCTGCAGCTCAGTCCTGTCTTTCCAAGAGTCCTGGTTGGGTGGTGCAGCAGGCACACTCAAGGACCAGGTAAGATGGGCCAGTTGGCCTCTCCTTATGAATGCCGTGTACTTTTGGCCAGCATAAAACACTGCCTAAACGGGGCTTATATGGAATTGCTACGTGAGCGAGGCCGGGCCGTTTGGCGGTGTGTAGCACCGCAAAAGTTCGATTACGTTTTCCGTTTCGAAAGATTATGACGAGGATGAGGCCGTGGAGGGCCAGAGAAACAAACGGCAGGCGAGTAGGGAACCGTGAGGTGTTAAGAACACGGACAGGCGGCGAGATGAAATTAGAGAGGACTTTGGGGCCAAGATATCCAGGCCAGTCGCAGACACGGCATCAAACAAGCCCGGTCCCAGTCGATAGCCTTTCCCCAGCTTGCGGCTCGAGGGGGGCCGGCGCAAGCTGGGCAAAGTGAGCCATGCCTACGCCATGCGCAAGTCAGTACGAATCTCAAGTTTGCTTTCCCGTCATGCGATGAGCAGCTTAAGCCGCCCGCTGGCGGGAGCGGATGGCTGCACCAGCAACGCCATGCCAACATGAACAGCCGCGTGTTTGAGATGGATGGGACGACTATCCTGGCAGCTCAATCCACACGGGGAGCATCTGGCCAAAGAGGCGGCGTTGAGCACGAGACTGACTAAGTTTGCCTGCGCACATGCAAGGTTTGCAAACACCCTGCAACCCATGGTCAAGGGGAAACCAACGAGGGTAGGTGTGGGTACACGTATCTGCAGGGCTAAAATTACTCGGGAGCAACAAAACCAAGTTTAAAGGACAGGTCGAGGTGCGCGTCTTCAAACGCTCTGGAAAGACTGTCGAACAGAAGTTGTGCAGAGTTCCATGTCGTAAATGAAGGGTAACTTGGGGGTCTGTCACACGTGGACCCGCCCTTCAAAGGTGCGCGGGCGCTTGGCCAGTCTGTGTGCTGCCAGTATGTACATATCGATGCATCCAGAACACGTGAATTGCTCGGCGGGCTCACTCTCTTTAGCATGCTAGATGCGCTTACCCCCTTGGTATTTACTGTATTCAAACTCTCCCTAAATATTTACTCATTATAAAGTATATACATATGGATAAATTTATAATATACAGCCTAATATAATAGCCAGGTACCTGGCGAGGCGAGAGCAAGCCAGCCGGGCAATTCGCGAGATAACGTACCTACCAGGTACCGAGGTGTCTAACAGCATAGCATGTACTTGAACTTGGGTGCATGCAAGTCCGCATGAGTGGTCGCCGAGATGCAAATGGCTTGCGGATGCATTGTGTGGCTTGGTGCCAAAGATGAAGCCACCCATGAAAAGCATTTTGACGAGTCCGGGATTTTGATGTCATGTCGACGGTCCAGTGGCAAGTCTCAGTCCTTTGCCTGGAGGTTTGTCAGGACTCAGGAGCGTGGCTTTGCATTAAAAGATGCCTGATTCGGAAGGCGTGGTCATCTGCTTGTCTGACAGGATATAGGTCGTCGTACTTGCCTTGACACCTGGCAAAACCCCCCGCCCATGTTTGAGCACGTTAATCTTGTTGGCATCACATGGATTGTGATGTTTTTTGAGAAGCGGATTGGATTAATCTTCATGTTTCGTCCGTCCCGCTTATCCGCACTTCTGTGCGATGACACAGCTCCTCGATCATTGGCCTGGGTCGCACTGTCAAGCCCGAAATGCCAGATTGCGGAGACTAAATCGACAGAGTGCAGGACGGACTCTGCAGAACTCTGCAGCGCACACACTCGGCATCTGATACAGGAACCACATGTCGACTGCAGAACGTTTACGCTAAATAGCTACACTGCGTCAACAAACAGGCCTTGTGCCTGGGGCGTTTGACGAATCCCTGTCGGCGATTGACCCCTTGGGATGCCACCAACATCGCAGAGCTTTCTTTCCCCTGACCGTCCAAGGGTAGCTCCGACCATCACCGACATGGTGACTTGTTTCCCCTGTGGGCGATGCGTGGCAACAAGTGTCTCATCTTTGCGCAGATCGCCCTCTGTTCAGACGTCGATTGCCTGGGAGTCCCAGACAACCAGGCGCCAGCCCGCGCCAGCGAACCTTCATTCGAAAGTTCTCTGCAATTCCCACTCCGTAGGTGTGTGTGTGTGTACATTCAAGAAAGCTTTCATTGTCGCAGATTATCGCCCAATGTGAGAAATATCCGCATTCAGCCTTGCAGAAGACTAATTCTCGATACATCACCAGGGGCACTATTATTTAACTCACCATCTCACACTAACGAATACCCTTCTCCAAATGTCTTTTGGCAGGAAGGACTAACCAAGCTCGAATAATCTCAGGTTAATAACACACCGCCCCGCCGAGATCTCGGGAAGGTGGGTGTGGTTGATGGGATCCTAACTCGTGCCAGAACGGTACGCAGTCAAAGGCAAGTCCAAGGAGGGTAGGTACGTTACCTCAATAATGCCGAGTCGTCAAAGCGACAACCAGTGATATCCTTGATAAGATGTGCTTCAAAGTCGGGGATACCGTATTTCAACGCGGTTGCGCTACTGACTGCTTTTGAGCCAAAGCCTAGTCGGGCTAACTCTCGACAACAATATTTATGACTCTCTTCGGACTCGGGTTCAAGGTGTACATACAAAGACACTGGTGACATGCACCAGGCTCGGAGAGAATTTGTTCTGGGCTAACGGCTCTGAAACACAGTCGGAGAATTGGGGTCAGAGCGCACTCCGTGTCCGTACACATACAGGAGCTGAAATGCATTGACGTAGGAGTCAAAGGAGACTTCGGGGCTCAATTGCTGGCACCGAGCCTGTCACTGGAGCTCCCTACGGAAGTAGGCGGATGTGGAATTTCCAAATACATTTCCGCGACCCCATTTTTTTATTATCGTGGGCAACTTGCCAAGTATTGCCACTCTACATGGCAATAACATGCGGGAGATTGCCACCTCCTTGGTGTTTAATGCGGCTAATTGTGCATGGTCAGCTTCTCATAACCAGCGTTTGTCGGGAGCCTCGTCCTCCACGATGCGGCCATAGGATCGGCAGATGAACCTCTTTCCCTTCTCTTTTTACCATGCTGACAGAAATTGCCTAGTCTGGCGCCCATTCCGAATAAGATGCGTACATGTTAAAAGCCGCCCAACAATTGCTGGGGTCTTTGAAGTTGGGCCTGTTCATTGACGACAGTTGGAATATAAGTAAGGAGAATTCTCTCGGTGGCATGCGAATAGACTCGAAATTGAGCAAGGGATATAAATAAATAGAGGAAGAATGAAAAGACGTGTGAAATAAAGACAAAGAAACTCTAGTGCATAATTAAATGGTCTCAGACGAGGAAAGACACCTAGGTGCTTGCATTGGAGCTGTAGCGATATGAATCGAATGCATTGAGCCTTTAGCAAACGAGAGTGGCAAAGAAGTTGTGCGCCCAACTTGCCAACCCCCAAGTACAGACATCTGGGTGCATTAAGTACCATGCTTAAGTACTTTAGGTTACCACGCCACGACCATGGAGTTGAGACGTCATCGTCTGTTAGCACCAGGAGAGGGGGAGCAACAGCGTGGCTATCCCAAAGGGGAACGACTGATTGCGGGCGATAACATCAGACATTATTCTCCTGTAGTACACATGGGGATGGCTAGATGTTCTTAGGCACATTGCCGGGACTGTACCGTACATACTTATGTTGCGTTGGTGCGGTCGGCTTTTGTCACCATGCCAGCTTCGCATGCCCGAATTGGCCATGCATTCGGGTCTGCAGACGGGGATGAAGGCCGCTTCGAAAGGGGACGACAATGACTTGCATGTGCAGTGCCTACAGCTGAAGGGCTGGCGGCAGAAACATGAAAGACGTCGCTTGACACTGCGTGACATCAAAAGGTGAGCACTTGCATCATCACATCATGGTGGGGGTTCCAGATGTCAGCTCAAGTCAACAAAGTACCCCTCGTTGGAAAAATCACAGCGGGGAACGGCCACAGACATTGGCTGGTGTTTAATCTCGGATGAGCAAGACGGACAAAAGACACGCGCCGGGACAGGAGGGGCACAAGCAACGGGCTCGACCGACTCCATCACACAAACAAACTTGGACCTTTGACCTTCATACCCGTTCTTGCATTGCTGCCGGCGCAACCTACTGCTCAGCTGCGGCACCTAATACTTTTGTTTAATCTCCGCATTCGCTTTGTTCGTTTCTGCATCTCCAGCTCCCAGAAGCCCTCACCATGTCGTGGCAAGGTACCGACCATCCCACCGCTCCCAGTCAACAACCCCCTCCTATCACCGCAACTGCATCATCGTTGACTAACCCTCGGCCGTGCAGCTTATGTCGACACCAGGTAGACCTGCGCCCTCCATCTCCGGCCCCTCGTCCTCGCTCCCGATGATATAGTAGAAAAAAGCTGACTCTTGGCCTTGCCCAGCCTTGTGGCTACCGGTCACATTGACAAGGGCGCCATTGTCAGCGCAGCCGGCGACAGCGCCTGGGCGGCTTCGACCGACTTCCAGGTAAATTTTTTAATTTTTTAATTTTTTTTTTCAAAATCAAATACCGCCTCTCCCCTCTTAGACGATGCCCCACAAACAGCAGCGGGTGTCGCTCATGGATGTCCAAACAGACTGCTGACTGATACTCTCTGGGCTCTCAACGGTAATAGCTTAAGCCCGAAGAGATGAAGGCCATTTCTGCTATTGTCAGCGGCGACGCCGCCGCCAAGGACAAAGCCTTCGCGGAAGGTCTCTACATTGCCGGCAGCCGATACGTCATGGCCCGAGCCGATGGTCGGAGTATCTACGCCAGACAGGTACGGGAAGCTTCTTGACATTTTCCCCCATGTCCTGAAAGCTAACATAGTTTGGGTTTTGCTTCTGCGGACAGGGTCGATTGGGTGTTGCCATCGCCAAGACCAAGCAGGCTATTGTTGTTGGCCACCACGGCGAGACTGGAGTCGCCGGCAATGCTAGCTCGACTGTCGAAGGACTGGCTGACTACCTTATTGGTCAGGGATACTAGAGGTGGGAAGGAGATGTATGACGAGATGAAGCTACACAAAACAAGTCGACATGGCAAGATGTTACGAACATATGAAGATTAGGAGTCTATTAAACTCAACCGGCCGTCTGTTACTACAAGTTGTTACTTTTCGTCAACATGACCTGTGACGAAGTATATTTGGCAGGTATTGAAACCAGGAAACTAGACAGCATATCTCGCATCAACGCGGAAACCCCTACTCGCCATTGCCGGGATGCTAGAGCCAACCCAGATCACATTTGCAAGAAACCAACATAACAATGTTCAAATCTGCCAATAGTAGCTTTTGCGCCGTTGACCATAGACCGGCTACCGACGTTGGTTGGTACATTCCCTCATCCACCCTCTGCTATGCAATATGATACAGAATTTCCTTTGACTTTTCCACACCTCTACGCCCGGAATTCGAATACGCCGGATCCGTCCCTGCGTTTGTCCCTCCCACCTTGGGAGATGAATCTATGCCCAGTCAAAAAGCACGGAGTCTTGAAAAAAAATCCCTTACTCCCGCAACACATACACGTACTCCATTATAGATCCTTCATTTCTCACCAAATTCCACTAGCATGTTGACAATGTTCAAAAACGCATTCGTATCGGGTCGCAGAACCAGACTTTTAATTCCGTTGCGGTCCTTTTTCAAACCGGCAACTCTGCATTTCGGCGTCCCAGTCCTATCCTATCGACAACCATGCCAATATACGGCCCAACAACGGGTATTCCCCTCGCAAAGCCGGCAATCGTGCCCAAGAAATCTCCAAACAGGATAACTATTCCGTACGCCTCGACTAAAAAGCCGATAAAAGTCCAGCGCATCAAGATCATCGTCAGACCTGCAAAGAAGGCTGCTGTGCCTTTGGCCTTTTGTTTGCGCGCGAAGAAGAGGAGCGTCTTCTGGGGGCCGATGATGATTGTCAGGCCGATGAGGAAAAGGATCTACACATTGTATCAGCTTTTGCTCGACTTTTTCCCCTTATTCGAAAAAGAGAGCAAGTCGCCTGCGTCTTTCGGGGGGGCGAGAGGGGTGTCGTACATTTCCCATGGCAAGCCTGCTTGCCGATTAGATACCATCGTGAGGGTTGGACAAGGGAGATACGTACATGGCGCGATCAAAGAAGAGCATTACTCCTCCGATGAGGAACAGGCCTCCTGTGGAACAGGTTAGCTGTCGAATGCTCGGCATTTGCGCACGAGAGTGGACGCCGCACACGTACCGCCGGAGCAGAAGACCACCCCTATTTCTGTAGACATTGTCAGCGCCCATCTTCCATGTTCAGCTCTGGCTAGTCCATCGCCGAGTTGTGCACTTTGCGACGCCAGCTTGCTGTGTCGCGTGTGCCAGGGGGTTCCATGGTCGTGTACATACTTTGGGAGTCGGACATCCACATCGACATGGTCGGCGGTTTATTTTCCCAGTTCGTTTTTAGGGACTTTAGATTTTGGTGGATATTTCGGATGGAGAATGTGGTCTCGAGGCAAGCGCTTTAATGAGGATTCGTGTGAAAAGGGGAATCTTTTTTTTTTTCTTCCTTTCCCTTCTAAGATTGCATGTGGTTCTTCTTGATGGGTACGAATGGACAGCATGGCGTTCGGGGTCTCCAGCTATTGGGGTCAGGCACGGGCTTTCCTGAGGTGTAGGGAGAGGGTGCGACAAACATGGTTTAGCGCGATTGGGGGAATGAGAGCGACCCACTGTCCATTTTTTGCTGGCGAGATAAATTTCGAGGCTGGAAGGACCTAGGACTGATTCCTTCAACCTTCGTTGTCTGATACCTTGATTTCCAACAGTTGAAGCCCTTGTTTCCTGGGACTTGTGCACCTTTTTCTGTCGTGACTGGGCTAATTATGGATACATGTTCGCACGGAAAGCTAAGTGACTTTCCAAGCATGACCACCTGTGGCTTGCCAGCCGGTGTTCATAATGATACATGTTCTTTTTCCGACCCTGTGTGCGAAGTTCGGTATTGTATCAGTGGATTCAGATCACGCACTGCAGAATCGACACAGGACTTTGAAAACATTGGCAGTCTTGGACAAATATTTTCTACAAAACTGGCTTCACTACTAGTACACATTGCCCCGACAGCCAAGCTCTTTAGCTTTGGCAACTGAGATTGCTCGCCTCCATGCATTCTCGGTACTTTGTCGGCTTTCATAGCTCGGGCAGAGAGCAAAACTCGATCACGATTAAGCCGGAGCGTCATTTGCCATCCCCGGCTGAAAGGCCGGGGATGCATAGTTGAAGCTTGACTTTGTTGGTCGGACATTGTCCTATCGAGATGTCCTGTTGTAGTTTATGATCTGGCCATGGTTTGGCCTAGCCTGTCTCCAATGCAACTTATGAACTCCCCTGACAACCCCCAACTTAAACTAGCCCAGTCGCCATAGTGTGTGTATCGGTCCGTACTAGTTAGTATATTGCTCACTTCAGAACGGTATGTGCACCACGAGCCTCAAGAAACTGTTCAGCAGAAGTCTGTGGCAGGGACCGAATCAAAGCAAAGATCTCTTTGTTATGATATCTCATTCGGGTCTTGGGGTCGATATACGGTGCAGGCAAGCCCGTGACATCGCAATAGTGCTTGGAATGAGCCAATGACGGTGCTGATTCAATATTGGTATATGTCGCCGTCGGCGCAGAAGCAATCGCACCCGGTGGCTTCAAACTCTTTTCAAGTACCAGCTTTGAAAGGCTCCGTGATGCTTGAGCAAGATTAGGAGCCTGGTCTCGGCCGTTGGTGGTCGCAGGTGTAGAGGTTCCGCTTGTGGACAAGCCATCGTCTCTTGCGGGCGTGGCATTCCCGCTTCCCTCCTGAGGGGTCGCCAGAGCGGACGCTTCTCTTCTAGAGGCATCGCCTACAATGGCCTTGAGGTTCTTGTTTCGGCGTTGGTTGGGCTTCCAGTGCTGGTTTCGGAAGGTCTTGTGGATGGAATGGATGTCGAGCTGCTCGATAAGCTGCTGGTGCTGGATTTGGGCTTCAGTGGGAGTGGCGGTAGCCATGTTGAGGAGCGTTGAGAAATGTGATGAGGTGGGCAGGCTTGTCTGGGGGTGAAGCGTGTGTGACCCCTACATTTGAGACGATTGCAAATGCTTGATCACAGTTGTGGTCTGGATGGGCTAAGAAGTGATGAGGCCAAGTTCGAGTTGCATGCTGTCGCAGTTCTGCCGCGTCTCACCGCATCTTAATGTGGTCACTGTCCACCTCCACCATGCTAACATCTATTGTTGGAAACAGTGTGCATGCAAAGTCCATAACATTGCTGAGAGGAATTACAAAGATGGTAAGATTTTCTTCTCTGATACTCATCTATTCCTGTCCATGGTCTTACTCATCTTGAATACAGGAAAGCCCGCATGAGCACCAACAGAACTTGCTGCTGTCCCGCATCGTGACCAACGTGGTACGCTACAGCTCGTCGTTCATACGCGACATGCGCTACCTAGGCTAATTATCGACTAGGAAAAATTAAATGAAGCAGTCATCGTCATGAATAAGAGCCTTCAGGTAAATACAACGTCCCCAAACAACCATGAGGAATAGAGAGCGTGTGAATTCACACGGTAGCCAGGAAATCAATATTCAAAACATGAACGTCGAGTTGGTGGCGCAAATGTTTAAAAATTATCAATCAAATGTTCTTTTCCATCTGGAAGGTGAGTATCCGTGCCGCACGTTTTGAAAACACGTGTTAACTCGTACATCAGCTACGGACAACCTCAAACCGCCGTCATAGCAATAGTATGGGCAAATGCATGAAGGACCAAAGCTTGGAAAGCGCCAGGCAGAATCATAGGCTAGATGATGTGATGACAGCGAACGCAATATATATCTATACAATTCTGATTTCACCCCAAATTTCCACATCAAAGTGTAAAAATAAAAATAAAAAGTAAAATAGTGAACAACGCGTAAACACACACTTATTAAGCTTCACACTCTATGCCGCTCACCTTCGACCCAAGACCAGTGACTTGCAGGGGCGTGATAGTGCGAGACCCACCAAGAAGAGAGCCTCTCCCGTCATCAGCCTCGTAGCCTCGCATTGGCCCTTTTGGTTTCTTTTGACCTCCCAGAGGTGCCGTCAACACTCGAATTCCTTTGCTCGCCCATCAATTGCCGGTCACGCAAGCCAAGTGCATCACCGCAGGCGCCCTATTCGCCACACCGGCCGGATACGCTGACCCTCAACATGATTACTGCAGCTACCTGGTGATTCCGACTGAAGCTTTGCGACACAAAGACGCCATGGCTCCCTCTGCGATAGACGACCCAAAGCAACCACGGCCGGACGGGAAGGCGTATCCTCCTGCCAACATCTTCCCCGTCAAAGAGACTCGCTTCGAAAAGTACATTGAGCCTCAGGCTGATGGATACAAGAAGGCGTTTGAGCAACACAAGGGCAATGCTGCCATCGTGATTGACAATGGTGAGTGAGATGAATGATGAATCTGCAGGTCAGACCGTCAAGACATAGTCGAGTTAACACCTATGGTCGCAGGGTCTTCAGCCATTCGCGCCGGGTGGTCATTCGAGTCGGCACCGCGATTCAGCATACCCCCGATAATGTCCAAGTATCGCGACCGCAAGCTTGGCAAGACTTTCTCATTCGCCGGGTCCGACTGCTATGCCGACACGACAGCTCGAGGCCATATCCGGGGGGCATTCGAAGCGGGCACTGGCATCGTGAGCAACTGGGACGTCATGGAGCATGTTCTCGACTATGTGTTTCTCAAACTGGGACTGAACGAATCAAGCGACGGAGTAGACGTCCCCATCGTCATGACAGAGGCAGTCGCCAACTTGCCATATTCAAGAAAATGTTTGTCAAACTCACTGCACCCTTCACGAGAACTTGACAGCTAACAAGGGCCGTCCAGCAATGACTGAAATCATCTTCGAATGCTACGGTGCACCATCGCTGGCGTACGGCATTGACTCTCTCTTTTCGTATCGACAAAACAAGGGCAACACAGGCCTCGTGGTCTCATCATCCTACACTTCAACGCACATAATCCCAGTATACAACGCGAAAGCGATGCTCGGACAGGCAATACGGCTCAACTGGGGAGGATACCATGGCGCCGAATATCTCCTCAAACTCATCCGCTTAAAATACCCAGCCTTCAACGCCAAACTAAACGTCTCACAGGCTGAGCACATGATTAGAGACCACTTTTACGTGTCAAAGAATTACGATGAAGAAATCACAAGCTACCTAGACTGGACAGGTCTAGAAGACAGAGACGTCGTCATTCAGTACCCCTACACGGAGGAAGTTGTTGTTCAAAAAACCGAGGAGGAACTTGCTAGGATAGCGGAGCGTAAAAAGGAGAGTGGTCGTCGGTTACAACAACAGGCCGCCAAGATGCGACTGGAAAAGCTGATGAAGAAGGAACAAGATCTCGAGTACTACAAGAATCTCCAAGCCAAGCTCGTTGACGAAACCAAGAAGGAAATCCGCCGTCAGCTAGACAGCCACGAGATCAAGGATGAAAACCAACTCGACAAAATCGTCAAGGAACTGGAAAAGTCCATCAAGAAGGCGCGCACAAAGGACGTCGGCGGCGACCCTGAAGAAGACCAGGAGCAGCCCAACTTTGACCTCCTTGACGTCCCCGACGACCAGCTCGACGAGGCGCAAATCAAGCAGAAGCGCCAACAGCGACTCATGAAATCCAACCACGACGCTCGGGCACGTGCCAAAGCTGAAAAGGAAGCTGAAAAGGCACGAGTCGCTGAGGAGGAGCGTCTCGACAAGGAACGCCGGGAAAATGATCTCGACAACTGGCTCGAAGAGAAGCGCCAAGCTCGTCTCCGGACCCTCCAAAAGATCAAGGAGCGCGACCGCCTCAAAGCCGACCTAGGCAACCGCAAGTCTCTCGCCTCTCAGATCCGCATGAAGAGCATCGCCAACCTCGCATCCGACAACCCCACCAAGAAGCGTCGCCGCGGCGGAGACGACGATGACTTTGGCGCCAACGACGACGACTGGGGCGTATATCGCCAAATCGCCGTCGGCGAGAACAGCGAAGACGAACAGGAAGAAGAAGACCTCGCCACCAACCTCAAGAACCTCGAGCAGGAGCTCCTCCAGTACGATCCAGACTTTGACTACGAGCAAACTCAGGAAGCACAATCAGACTGGTCCAAGTCCCTCCTGCACGCATTCGCACGCGGCCCGCGGCCCTTTGACCCAGCCTCCCAGGCACAGCTCAGCCAAATCCATCTCAACGTGGAGCGCATCCGCGTCCCGGAGATTGTGTTCCGCCCGTCCATAGCAGGCGTCGACCAGGCGGGCATTATTGAAATCGCAGGGGACATGCTGAACCAGCGCCTGAGCGGGATGCCTGACCGCGACGCACTCCTAAAGGACATCTTCCTCACGGGTGGGAACACCGTGTTCCAGAACTTTGACGAGCGAGTTCGCGAAGGGCTGAGGGCGCTGCTGCCTGCTGACTCGGAGTTGAAGGTGCGTCGAGCGCAGGATGCCTTGCTGGATGCATGGAAGGGCGCGGCGGGTTGGGCAGGGACGCCAGCGTGGAAGGCAGCCACCATTACGAGGGAGGAGTATCGCGAAAAGGGACCAGAATATATCAAGGTACGTTTTTTATTGCGCCTGTCTTTGTGCAATGAGGCAGGGACCTTTTTTTTTGGCTAACGTGGAAACATAGGAGCATGATATGGGCAACTCGTATGCTTAAATGGTTTTGTTATCGGCGAAGGGTATCGGAGTCAAGATGCGGCTGGCTTTCAGTGTCATGTATTCTATTTATGGGGAATCGTTAGGTACTGAATAGAGAAAATAATCCACACAAACATGACTAGAATCACCAATCAAGAAATAAGAATGGCACTTAGAAATGTAAAGAGGTTCCATCGCGGCGTCTAGGAAGCCTAATAGGGGAGATGGTGAGGTTCTCGATAGAAAACTTCGGGTTCAGCGACCAGGGGAACATCTTCCTCCCATCATCTAGCCAGCAATGATAGACTATTCCACAACACTCCCTTTCAAGCAAGATAAATATGTTCAACACCAACCCGCTGTACAAGTTTCTCTTGAGCCTTGCTCTCCTGTTGGGTTTGATAACCACCAACTGACAGCGAATTCACATAGCCATCGCAGCCATCAAGTTCCAGCTTCATATCACGTCGCCCAACTCCAATAACGCCATGGTGAATCAAGTAAGGAAGGGGTTTAGCATCCAGAACAGGTATCCCACAACGCCTCCGTAAAAAAAGGCTGACAGCCTCAAGAAGTCCATTAGGAATGGGTCCCGTTCACAACCGTAGTTCATACTACACATCTGCCGGTCGACCAGGGTTTTCTTCGCTCTGTTGGTGAAGTTGTCTGTTGATTTCGTCGACTGTGCGACTATCTTCATCGCGTGGCTCAGGCTTATATTCGGGGCTGGGGTATCGCCCTTGGGATTCGGCCAATTGCTCCTGGGCAGCAAGACCAGCTACGGCCTGGGCAACAGCTTCAAGTGGCGTTCCAACTCCAGGGTTTGGCGCTGGCTCTGGTGCACTTGCAGGAGGAGGCTGGGCGGCGGAGGACTGGGAAAGATTCACATTGGGCGGCGGAGGCGGATACTCTCCTTGGGTATCAATGAGCCTCGATTGAAGATGGATAACGTACTCACGCAGGGCGTAGTTTTCGGCCTGCACGACTTTATACGTTTGTTCCATCTCGGCGTAATCTCGCACCTGCTGCTCAAGCTTCTTGATATAGCCCTCCTTGCGCTGCCTGAATGCTCTCTTTATATACCACATTAGCTGCTATCCACCAAAAAACTTGTTGGTTGGTGCATATACGGTGTCTGGGATCCAAAGTCAAATCAGAAGAAGACAAAACCTACCTGCGCAGCTCTGTTTTGCGCCGCACGCTTCGACTGAGAAAGCTCACGCTTTGCTTTTCTTCCGTCGCCGGCAGCGCCAGGTTCGGGAGCCGACGACGACGGGGCTGGGGCTATGGAAGCATTGGGCGGACCGGATGGACTGCCACCAGGGCTATGTCCAGAAGGAGGCCCCATGGGCATCATGTTGGATGGGTGGCCTGGAGTAGCTCGGAGATCTGGGTGAATATGCGACTCGGCTTGAGTCTTGCTCAAGGCGCGAGCAGCTTCGTGTGAGGCAGCGGCCAACTCCTCGTATCCATTCGCCGTTCGCGCCGGCGGAGAGTGCGAAAGAGCGCTTCTCGAGTCGCACGAGCCTGAAGCTGTCGAAGTTTCGGCGTCGTGACTCTGCAGGAGCTCCAGTTGTGCGCGCAAGTGCTGCTCTGCTCGGAGGAAGGCCAATCCGTGTTAGCAAGGTCTGCTTCGGTCTCTTTCTCCCATAAACCCTCCCACGAAGTCTGGCACTTGGAAGAGCCTAGCCGACCAAGCAAGGCAACAGCCGTGCTGGCGTTCCAAATAAAAGTCAAAACGCAGCAATTGAGTATGGCTGTTGCCCAGAGGCTGCAGCACCAAGCAAATAGCAAATGGGCGTGCGAAGCCCCAAGCTGCTGCTCGTCACTTGACTGAGACGGCGAGCCTCGGCCAAGGAGCACACGGCAGCTCGCGCGACGGCGGAAAAGGTGATGCAATTCCGACAAAGCCTCGGGCAGGAATGAAACCATGCAGTTGGCGGGCGTGCAAGTGCTCACACACGTCCAAAAAAGAGGCACAGCGGTCGTGCGCAAGACAGAGGGGGAAAGATGATCTTGCTGACTTACCTTGATTCCCAGAACTCGATGGTTGCTGCATTGCTTGGATGGGATATTCTGACTCAGCATTCGAGATGCGCGAGGCGAGGATTACATACTACGGGAACGGAGTACGCAAGAGTCGAAGCTGCTGACATGAACGTGGTGGGAAAAAAGAGGACCCCGGGGATGGGCAGGTGCGGACTAGCCTTTCTTGCCCTTCGGGCTGGGTGGGTAGGTGGCACACACACACACACACACATCACAAGGCGCAGTCGCAGCTTCCATGAACAATCTCGTTGGGCCAGGCAGTAGTACTCCGTAGCGGAGTATCGGAATCGGCTTATGTAATAAGATGACGCCGCCAGAAACGAAGCATTGCATGTCTCCAAGTCTGCGAGTCTCGAGAACAGCTTGCCCTGCCTCCCAGCCATCCACGTCCCCTCCTTCGGCCCCTCTGCACCCACATCCTCGACAGGACATGACAGCTCTCGCAGTCGCCCCGGCACCTCGATTCAGCAATCAACGGAGGCTACGACAGAAAATGGTGTGGCTGGACTCGAAGATGCAACTAAGCATGGTGGACCACCACCCAAGGACGACATGGGGGGCGTCCACGGCCAGAGAGCACAAGCTGCTGCTTAATGTCGTCTCAACTCCATCCTCCCTGTTGTTCCCAGTTATGTCCGGACGACGAAACAACAGTACGTTTCGCGTCTCACTTCCGAGCAATGCCAACCAATGCCAACGCCAATATCAAGATGAAAGCTTAGTCCTCCTTTCTTGGCATTACCACACACCTCCATGACCCTGCTGGACTATCTGTCGCGCTGCTTCTCTAGTCTCCTGGAGACTTTCTGTTTGCCGGGCGGCGCCGGCAAAGCATCAACATATTGGTTTGTCAGCAACAAGAGAACTTTGACAACAGCCAACGCTAAAAAAGCGGGTCAACAACTTGTCCTGTGGTCACCAGCTCGAGACTACCTGATTCTACCAGATGAGGAATATGCCTTGTCTGTGGTTAGCGAGTTCGAAGTGTGCGACGGGTCAAGCATGATTTACTCACTCAATCACGCTATTACCACAGCCGCATACAGCTGCTTCACGGTACTTCAACTAAACCAAGTGAGCAGCGCATCTTATCAGGACAAACCCAAACAACCGCCACCATACATATGCATCATTTTGGAAACAAGTCTGATGCCCATCCTTGTTTACACACCGTCATTCCCGTGCTCTCGGGTAGTGCCCGAATGTATTGGCAGCAACAAACGTTCTCATGCACCTTTGGGCGTTATGTCACCCACCTGCCATTACGGATTACCGGAGTGGTAGATTATTCGTCTCGCAAAACTTACCCGAGGCCGGAGCCACCGGAAACCAGGGTGACAACCTCCCGCCCCCTCCAGCAGTCTTTCAGCTCCGTCGGCTGGACGAGTTGCAATGCGTTATCTGGTACACAGCCCAGAAAGGAACCAGCATGTATGTCCGATAGAGTCTTGGTAAAGTAGATTTGCCGCGCATAAGTATTCGGCCTGGGGCGGAAAAGGCGTTCTTACTGTATGCTGCTATTTCATCAACACCCGTTCACAGATGCCTTGGTACCCTGCATCATATCAACGAAGGCCTGACAAGATACAATGCCTTCTACCAGTGCAGTGTATCACTCTACACTGTCAAGAGCTCAGCCAGCACGAAACTCCCCCAGTCATATCTAAACTCTGCCCACGGCTTACATCCCGTCTAAAGCCTTTAGAAATCGTTCAGTCGTTGCCAGAATTACTTAATTCTCGATTCATCCGAGCACGCCGCCACCAGACCGCAAATACAACTTGAACGGAGTACTGTAAATTATGTAAATTATGTCTACAATTTTCAAAGTTATTCAAAGTATCAGTAACACGTCCTCATCACCAAACATCCTCTATCTCTTCCGTCGACACTGCTCACACAGGCGGCAACCTATCTGAAGTAGACTTGAACAATCTTCCCCCTTTCCAGACATGCGTAACATTCTCCGGGTTCGTAAGCACACTAATATCATCCAAGGGATTCATCTTAACGGCAATCACATCCGCATCATATCCCTCCTTCAGCTGCCCACTGAGTGGCGCAAGACCACCCAGCGTTAGCGGCCCATTTGCCGTCGCGCTCTCAATCGCCTGCAATGGCGTCATCCCCAGTTCAACCGCATACACAAGCTCATTTGCGTTATGACCGTGCGAAAGCCTCGATTTGCGATCGCTGCTCGCCATGTCTGTACCCAGAGCGATCTTGACGCCCTTCCTGATGGCAAGCTTGTATGACTCCTTGGACTTGTCGATCAGACCGAGCAGTTTCCGCCTATTAGGCTCCGGGAGTTGATCCATGTAGTCAGCGGCCAAGACCCGGACAATGTGCTGCGTAGGGACGAAGATGGCGTCCTGCTTGACCATGACGTCGGCAACTTCCTCATCTATGTACATGCCGTGTTCAATAGTTTTCACGCCAGCCCGGAGGCCGGCGAGAATGCCTGCTTTGCCAATGGCGTGGGCGGCAACAGCGCGCCGACTCCGGCCTGCTTCTTCGACAATGGCCTTGAGTTCTGCGTCGGAGAATTGCCGGTCCTCAGGGTCGTCGTTCAGACTGAGGACTCCTCCGCTGGAACACACCTTGATGACGCGGGCGCCGCGGCGGACCATTCTCCTGACCATCCTTGTGCAATCTTCTACGCCGTCGCAGACTGCAAGCGGCATGCTTCCGTACGTCATGGCCTCGACCACGGTTGTCAGGGGGGTATTGTGTTCGTCCCCGTGTCCGCCGGTAATGGACATGATGCCAATGGCCGAGTATATGTTCGGGCCTACGAGCGGTCCATTCTGTACGCCGGGCCACACATCCCCCCCGTAGCCGCCGAGCTCTCGGACAGACGTGTATCCCGCGTTCAGGGTGGCTTTCAAATCATCCACGGTGATGGCGCCGGCGAGTGCGCTGAAGCCAGGCAGGAAGCCCACCAGCCCGGACACCGAGCTCGCAACGTCAAGCGCGACGAAGTGGACGTGGCAGTCCCACAGGCCGGGCATGAGGACATGGACATATGTCGGGTTGATGTCGTGGTACTTGGAGGGACGGTTCAGAAACGAGCCCACCCACTCGATTTTGCCGCCGCGCATGGCGAGGGCGCCGTTTTGGATGGGCTCGCCTCTTCCGGGGATAAGGAGCTGTGCCCAGAGGAGGGTTGTGGTGGACTCATCTTTGTGTGCGGCCACGTCGATGTGCGACTCTGGGAGGTTTTGCTTGCGGATTGGGACTCGCATGTTGGTGGTGGATTGATAGGGTAGCTCTTATATCAGAGTGTGTGAGGGAGTGCAATTGGGCTACGGTGATGGAAGGACAGTGCTCAATTGAAGGAAGCATGGATTGCAAATACTAATTTCCTTCTCAAGTCAGAAGCATATTTGGAGTTGGAAAGTCAAGCTTTGACGGTTGCTCTCCTCCCTGAGAGTTTGGCAAGCCGTGTAACCTCGTCGAGGTGGCTGGCGGAGACGGGTACAGCTGCCGAGATCGAAACCATGGCGTATCATTCTGCAGTTTCACATAACCAATTTACCGAATGAGATGGAGATTCAGGCTTCATTTTTTTTTTACGATTTGGCGTTTCTTCGTGATGACTAGATATCGTGCGTCAACTCAAGGAGCAATAAATGAGATGGACGACATTTGCGGGACCCTTGAGCTCCCATTATGGCAACTCTCTCCCTCCACCAGCCATCCCAACTTTCAAACTTAAACCACACCACATCAACCCCGACATCCTATACCATCGATGTCATGTCCCGCCTACTGCGAGGAATAACACTCACCCGCACCGTTCTCTCGCGCACCCACCCCTCCGCAAGATACTCCACCATGCAGCCCAAGTTCTCGCCCGGCACTGACGAAACCTCCACCGCATCAGCGCTCGCGCCTCTCCTAGCTTCATCCGGGGGCCGATGGACGCTATCTTCCGAGGGGAAGGCCCTAGAACGAAGCTTCAAGTTCAAGACGTTCGCCAAGACATGGGTACGCCGTGCTGCAGCCGCGAGATCTGAAAACCCGGACCAGTGGCTGAAATATCTTTGGTGTAGGATTTCATGACTGCCGTGTCGTTGCAGTGTAAACTCAAGAACCACCATCCCGAATGGTCAAATGTACGCGTTTTCTTGATGTTCCTTCCGTGAGAAGTTCTGGTCTGATGGGACGAGGGCGCAGGTCTATAATACTACGTTTATTCGGTGGACGACGCATAATCCCCTGGGGCTGTCGGAGAAGGATGTCAGACTGGCTGGGATCTGTGATGCCCTTGCCAAGGACTTTGGGGAACTGGACCCGGAGCCTGCGAGCCGTGAGGTCAAGGGGCTTGCGGACAAGGCTGCCTCTTCTTCGGGCGATTGCTGCGCGCCAAGGAAAGAGAAGTAATGGTCGTGCGGACGCTGTGAAGGGAATCAGTTGGATCTTGGTGCACTCGGAGGCCGTATAATGATCCCTTGTACGAACAGTAATGGCATCGTACATTATGCCGTCAGAGCTTCGTGTTGCATGTACGCCATTTTGAAGACACACTTGCTTCAATGTGGTTCGAGGGGTAGGGGTCGCCAAATCAATCAAACGAACGGCTGAGTAAGAATTATTAACTAATTTCATCTAAGGGCTCCCGCGGGCATGCCACAACCAAATATTATATATACAATAAATCATGTAATGCCATACTCAGTCCGCAACTTCCCAAAAACGCCATAGCGAACGCCTTCAAGACTAGGCGTGGGCCGCATTATATGCATGACCATTAATCTATAGTTACTTTCGACGTCTCTTTTCAAGGTCTCTCTTCTCCTGCCATGCGCCATCTATCTAAGAGATGCCGTCCCGATCAACGCGCTGAACGTATACCTATCATCGTTGAGATTTTGGAAGGAGAAAAAAAACTGCAAATTTTACCGACAGTTGGCAAATTGTACTAGTTAATTCTCCTTCTTGGCGTCCTTGATAGCCTTGAGCTTTCGCTCACGGCGCCTCTTGTTGGCCTCGGGACCGGCCTCGGTGTCTAGGAAAAAGTCCCACCAGCGGAAGCTGGAGGCGTAGTTTCCAATGAACTTCTCGTGGTGCATGTCGTGGTGATCGGCACCGGCCCAGAAGGGCAGGATGTGGCGCAAGCTCCAGGGGAAGTCGTAGCCGCTGTGGGCATCGATGGCTTGGAAGAGACGAAGGATGATCCAGACATACATGGTGACGAGATGAAGGTCACCGGTGACGGAGAGCAGAATAATAGGAGAACCAACGACACCCATGCCGAGCAGCATAGTCTCAATAGGCGAAGCGTACTCGGCGGCCAGACCAAATGGAGCAGAATAGGTGTGGTGCATCTTGTGAATAGCCTTGTAAAGAGGTCCATAGTGCAGAGCTCGATGGAACCAGTAGTGCCAGGTATCCTCCATGACGAATAGGATGGAAATTTGGATGACCATCTTCAGGAGAGATGGGAATGGCACGCCGTAATCCATGCCAAAATAGGTAGCAATAGGGTGGAACACCCAAATCTGAGGAAGCTCGGCGGTGAAGTGGCTGATGAGGACAATGGCGGCACAATCCCACTGTTCTTTCAAGGTCGGGATCTTCTGGCTTTGGATCTTGTACTTGTGGAAGTAGGGAATTTTATCCATAATCATAAAGGGCAGGCAGCGGCCAAAGTAGACAAGCTCGTGCATGACGAAGCTCATGATGCCGGTCGCAAGGGTATCGTTCTGCATGTATAAATACCACGCCTATCAGTTGGTCAACAATCGTATCCGCCGAACAATGGCTCACGAAGATGTCAATATGCCAGGGAAACACGAGTGAGACGCGGTGGCGAGAGGAGCACGTACTGCCCAGAGACGCTCGAAATAGTTGAGGTTAACATTGTACTTGGAGACCTCCTCGAAGACACTGAAATAATCCTGAGTTTGGTTCAGGGCGCCAACGGTGGTGTTGCTGCGAGATGGAACCTCTTGTTAGCATTGCCGTGGCTTGTCATTTTCGACAAAAAGGGGTCATTCATGTTGAGGGACGGCCAGAACTCACACCAGGTCCATAGGGACGATAGACGAGACAAGCAGTGTCTCGTCGGAAGCAGGATATTACAAAAAGAGCAGAATGCTGAATGAGGAGTATGCGCGAAAACAACAATGCGCAAGAGGTGTATGAGAAGAAAACAGACAGTGACACACAAGGAAGAGAGGTGATTGATTGAGCTGAGGAACCGCGACAGTGGGGGACGTGTGAGATTTTATCGCGGTTCATTTAACATTGTATTTTTGCTCCCCGTTCATTTCTGGCCTGATTAGTGTAGATTCTCAGGGGACCATGCAATCAAACCGCCACCCGCAGAAGTTCTTTGAGGACCCTTCTAGGTACATTTGGTTGTGGCTGGAGCGGCAAATGCACAGCCTGGTACTTGGTAGGTACCGCCCGTGCTAGATCGCACATGATCGCCCCCCCGATGGAGCATGGCCATTCTGTCGGCTTGCGAGGAACCGACTGCACGAGAATGCGCAGACTTTCTCAGCACTGCTGGTTGGGTGGCTCGAGAATGGTGCCACCTCCAGTAGTGCTTCCCGTCTTCCGGCAGCCAACCAGCTGTCACCTTGCGATATCGATAAGACTTGATACAAAATACGAATACGCAGTCGTGATACACCACGGCGCGTTGCCACCCAATTTGCCTGTTTGCCTGTTCTGGGATGGATGATGGTCTCATCCATGCGATTGTTGTGGTCTTCACAGAAAAACATCAAGTTGTTAACCTACTTACTCAATCCACCTGTGGTCCGACTTGTTTGAGAAAGAGTTGACGTCTCTCTCTCTGACAACCCCCGTCTTTGTTTGTCTCTGCTGAATGCCTTAAACGTTCTTGCTCCTTGTCCCCAATCCCTCCTGCTGCCTCGAATCCGAACACGAGGGCCGTCAGGCTGGAGCCCCACGCGACCGCCAACCAATCTGACGGGATCTTTCTTGGTCATGCACGTCCAAGTCTGCTTTTTGTTTCTTCCGCCCCAGCTATTTTCAGTAATAAACAAAGCAATAATCGTTCCTCGTCGGCTGCTCGTCGTCCCGGCACTCCACGCATGGTGTGACGAGCCTGTCAACTGTAATCGCCTTTGCTGACTGACCTCTGCTTTGTTCCTGATTCGCTCCCCCACATCGTCTTTCAGAATCACCAGATTTCCCGCCTGGTCGGTTCGATCCATGCCGATTGAGGCTCTGTCAGTCTGGCACTAGCCCCCCCCGCCGCGTTGTGAGCCAAGCCGCACACCAGGGCATTCGATTCCGGCTGACGGGCCTCATTTCTCCTCATCGTCGGTGTCCTGTATCATGTCACTGGTGTCTGAGTAAGTACAAGTACCCATTTGCTGGCGGTTCTCCTTTGTCCCGTGTTGACTGACCTTCGTTGGTTCCCAGCCAAGTACGCCGTCTGGATGCCTATCTGGATCGGTTGCCGGTGATATCAGAAGCCGCATCGGATGATGGTCGGTCTGATGTAGAAGAGCGTGCATTCGTCACTACTGAGGCGCTCACTTCTCCAAGGTTGGATGAGTTGCTTCGGATTGTTCAGTCCCTGAGTGCCACTTCTGCCTCCGATTCTGTGCTTCCACTGCATCGTGTCAAGGCTCTCCTCGCGCAGTCCGGGCTGCCATCTTTGCAACCGCATGGCATCAACCAACTTGACCAAACAGAGCAACCAGTGGTCAAGAGTGCTTACGAGGATGAGATTGAATGGCTGCTAGTAACCAAGGCCACCGTCCACATATACGGCGCCATTCTCAACTCCCTGCTGGATCAAATCATTCCACTCAACGACGATATTTGGTATTGGTCGGATGTGCTGAACTCGTACACCTACAGCAGTCTTTATACTGTCCAGACGTCGCCAGTTCGGTTTTGGGCGTGGACCCTGGAAGTATACAGCGCCAGCAAGATGCGCTTGCAGTCCCTGTCCGTCAGAGACTCGCCCGTTGAATTTGTCGACTCTACTGCCGCCGGCGTATCGCAGCAATGGCGTCAGTTTTATGGCATTGTGCGCGACACTATTCGAGAGCGCTCCTTTGCCAACATCCAACGGAAGGTCCTCTCACCCGTGGCGTTTTGTCGATCGGAGGCTCGTCGAAAGCAAGCCCATCTTCGCAAGCTGCGAGAAATCACAGCCAGCGGACTTGGGGTGTTGATGGACGAGGGGCTTCAGTTTGGTCATGACGATGACAAGGCAGACGTGCATGACAGTCATGATCTCAAAGGCGTGGTTGAGCGCAGCGTTGCATTGATGGATATGGTTCTGAAGGAAGTCTGTACCCTGGACGTGAACATTCATGACTTTGAAGATAAAGTCTTCGCCGGTGTGGAAGAAGACCCTGAGTTGTCCGTGCACTTGGAAGAGAGTGTCACGCTGGACCGCCCCGCTGTCTTGTCTCGTCGGCTCTTGCGCATAATAGACAAGACCCTTCCGGATCATTTCAACAACATGCAGAGTCTGGCTAGGGAGAATGGCCGACCGTCACAACTCATCAGATATTGGCTTCCAACAGCGGTGGGGGTCTTGTCGTCTACTACCGTTTTGCGCATCCTGATCAACCGTCAAGACGAAATCATCAACTGGATTACGAACCTTGGCGGTACAATCCGGGATTTTTGGTTCAACTGGGTTGTGCAGCCAACGACAAAGGTTATCAGGACTATCCGCCATGACTCGACAAGTGACATTGCTATCATGAGCCGAGATAGTCTGAAAGCCGACCGCGAAAGTTTGGAACGAATGGTGGTGGATTTTGCCAAAGACAAGCCGCACTTTGCTTATGAAGGGAATTCCTCCATAACGGATATTCAACTTGCCGAAATTCGAAACAAGGTTGCCGAAGGGGATGTGACTCCCGTGCTGAGGGCGTACGAGCAAGACCTTCGCAGCCCCTTTGTTGGCGCAGTGCGCGGCGACCTGGTCCGGTCGCTGCTGATTCAAGTGCAAAAGACCAAGGTCGATTTGGAAGTGGCCATGACCGGCATTGACTCTCTTCTGAAGAGCCAAGAGCTAGTGTTTGGCTTTGTGGGCTTGACGCCAGGAGTTTTGGTGTCAATTGGTGTGCTTCAGTATCTACGGGGCATATTTGGAGGACGAAGCGGCTTGCGACGAGACAAGAAGTCAGGCAGGGCTGTGCGAATCCTGCGGAACATCGACAGAATATTATCGGAAGCCAGGCCGACAGAGAACAATGTTTTATCCTACAAGGACCACGGCTTGCTGCTATGTGAAGTACACATACTGCGCAGCTATGCAAGGAACTTGATGCCTCGGGATGTTGAAAAGGATTTTTTGGAAGATCTTGACGATCTGGCCAATATCAAGGGCATACAAGTGCAGACCAAGGCATTGGAGCGAATCCGATGGGCGTATGCTAGGTGGCTCAAATGAGGACATGGCTGTACATATTTTCTTTCTTCATGGATTTACACAATCACACATGCATGGCATAGCGCTTCAGGTGGAACTTTAAGGACAGATTACATACATACAGTACTACTAGCAAGAAAATGCATACAGGGTTTCAATTTGACTTGTTACCGGCGACCGCGGAGTTGCGAAATCCCTCGTCATTGGGGTTGCTATCTTATCGCCAACACCAGCCAACCACTGGAGTTTGTCTTATCAGCTCGAATTCCATTTTCACTCAAGGGTCCCATGATGGCTTGCAAACATAGATTGCCCACTTGTAGATTATTATCTCCCCAGATCTTCCCCATGGTGATAGTCCGCCTTGACTTTTATTCAACCATGCTCTGCCAAAACTCCAGATGCTTCCTCTTGTTACAAAAGGGAGAAAAAAAAAGAAATCGCTATGCGGACGCCCCCATGCAAATAGAACCTCATACATGTACAGCCGAGGTTTGGTATAAATAACCCGGAATCCAGATCCTATACTCCTAAAGACACAGGCCCTCATACTTTTTCACCAGCGTCTCCTTCCCTTTCTTCCTTCTCCTTGAGTTCCTTGAGACAAGGGGCAAAAAACAAGTCGCCTCTGACGGCTAGACGAAGCGTCCTGCTGGCAACCATCATCCAGAGAAGAAGTACGGACAGCGAAATAATCTATCGCCCAAGTTAGCAGACGTGGAACGACACTTGAAGAAACGCGGCACATCCACGCAAACTCACCGTTGTGGCAACTTTGAAGAATTCACTGTCCAAGTTAATCGCCAGCATGCTCGTGCATGTCGCCCACACGCCCAGCGGGAAGGTAAACCCCCACCAGCCCATATTGAAGGGGAAATCGCGAATTGTCGCCAGGCTGATGAGCGCAAAGCACACCCAGACAAGAGCGAACCCCCACAAGACCATGCCTAAAAATACGCCTAGGACGTATAGGATTTCAGCACCGCGGGCGACGTCCACGCCGACTGTTTTGAAGGCTGGTGTTACCGGGAGCAGCTTCACGGCCACCTTGCCGAGCTGCTGGATGCCAAAGCCGCCTTGGCCGAGGGGCCCGACGGGCAGGAAGACGGACACGATGACCTCCTTGGGCGGGAGGGAGTGAATGGTCAGCCGGTGGAAGTAGAGGGCAAGGACGCAGGCGGAGAGACACTCGCCGATGCCCCAGAGGATGTAGGAGGCAATCAAAGTGGTGAATGCGTGATGGTGGTTGGGCAGCGCCTCGGCAACGATGCCCCCGGTGGCGGCGGCAACGACTGTCGGCACAATGGGGAGCAGCAGAGCGGCGGTGGTGTTGTTCAGGCCCGGTTTATGGCGGTGCATGACGATGAAGGGCATGGTGATGGCGGTGGCCATGGAGAGGAGCACGTCTATCCACCAGAATGCCCAGGCGAGGTAGACGAGCCAGTCGCCCCATTGTGCGCAGCTGAATATCATCATGTTGATGATGGCTGTTTGTGCAAAGTCAGCATGTTGCGTGAGAAAGAAAAAACCCAAGTGAGTGATGTGATGTGGTTGGATCATGGAGGCGCTGAGACATACTGGCAAAACCCATTGGGAAACAACCCAGGAATAACGACTGTCCTGGATGCGAAATCATGGCCCGCCATATGCCGGGATAGGCGATATACCGCACCAGGGAGATGCATGAGAATGCTACGAAGAGAAGGATGTTGAGGCCGAAGAAGATGTAACTTATGAACTGGAGCCATTGGCCATTATATGGCAGATTGTGGAGGAGGATGGAAACGATGCCAGTCCCCATGTTGACTGCAAACCATCTATGACAGGAACAATGGTTAGTTTCCCACGTCCGTCTCATAACCGGTCCCGTCGTCCCAGCACAAATTACTGTACAGGGCAACAACAAGGCCTGCATGACGGCAATAGACTCACGAAGGCGTAAAGTTGCGAATGATGCGCCGCCATCCCCGTTCCTGCACCTCCCTCGCTTTCTTCTGACACGGCGTCTCTTCAAGCGGCGAGACTCCCGCAGGCACGCCGTCTTCCATCTCGCTGGGGTTGTGGTCGGCCCCGTCATGGGTGCTCATGGCACAGGTTGAGTTTTCCGACAAGTACGAGAGCCCATCCGGCATGGTGGCTGGACAGGTATCGCAGGTGTCGCCAAGTAACGTGCCAAGGACAAGCAATGCCTTTTCTCGACACCCCAAAGAAATCTTCTTGGCAAGGATTCAAAATACTGGCGGCATCCGAGACGGGAACGAATCCGAAAATGACGTGGACTGGGCCGTCCTTTTAAGCGGCCGATGGATGGCTTTCCACAGCAGAAAACTTGACGCCTCCGTCCAAGCCGACATTGGACCGGAGAAAGCGCCTCTGTGCAGCCAGCCGCCAAGCCCCCCTCCTCCAGGTGCCGTTTCCTGCGGCCAGCTGGCCCTACTCATCGCCGTAGGGTACCGGAAGGCCAGACTAACGCGGCCCTTCCATGTTGGGCATTCTATGCCCTGTGTCCTGTGTCGCCATGTGTGACTGTGCCGCGTCCCCGTCGGCTGTCCATGCCGGGCCACTGGAGTGCTGAGCACTGAGTACTTCTCGCGCCAGTGGTCCTTTGTTACACCAGGGAGAGCCTGCCGGCCGTGATTAGCAAAAACCTGTCAAGTCAAGATTGTATTTCCGCGGCATGCAAGAGCCACTTTCCAAAGTCGGGCGGGATGCCCACTCTGCTCCGAGGCGGCCCCCGAGATGTGACTAATAATAATCAGTGCCGGAAATGCCAGCCGTGGAGGCGGGAATAAAGCCGTCTCTCGGGTCGCCTACCTAAGTAAGTACCTAGGAGGTACGTTGTACGGAGTATCCCGCAGTGAATCGTGGTTCTCAACTTGTACCCGTACCTACAACGGCAAGGCGGCTGTCGGTGGACGGCGGTCGGCCTTGGTGTTCCATGTCGCGTCCACTGCCACACAATACTCTGGCCCGGTCAACCAGACTACTACTTAGTGTCAACTGGTCCCTTCCCTTGGGGTGCCCAGGTGCCGTCTCCAGGGCGCGCTCGGTGCCGAATTCCCGCCCCTTCGACCCATTTTCAGCGCTCTTTGGGCGTGGCTCCAGAGTCTGGTCGTCACCAAGACCAACTGGCTGGGAGCAAGTACAAGTACCAAGTAGACTGGAAATAGAAAAAAACTGTTCCTCGACACGAGTTCTGTCCACTTTTTTTACTGGCCACTCGAGTCATCGGGCTGCCTACGGGCCATGAGCTTAATTTCGCATTGGTGCACCAAAAGTTTAGAGTTTGAGGATAATCAAATGCCGTCTCAAAACTACCTCACCCGACAGCTGCAAAATACTCTACTTGTGTAATTATAGAACACTAAACCCTTTTGATGATTAACTTCTCGTAAAATACTTACTCACTGCCCAATTTCAGTGCGCGCTTCGGCTCTCACAGACTTTGCTCCCTGTTTCCCGGCCGTCTCTTCGCCTCCGGTATCCGTGCCTACTTGAGCGCATCTCAACACTGCCTTTCAGGCGGGGGTGCCCACTTTTCGTCTCTGCAGGTGACCAACCATATCGCACCGTCGTCGTCGCAACCCATCAGCCCTCAAGGTTTCCCACGTCGATTGAAGCCATTCCTGCTCTTTTTGGCCATTCGTGGGCGGTCGGACGAAAATGTTTTGGACACGATACCCCACCGTCTGACGCCGGTGATACTATCCGCCGACACTACCCAGACACTCAGGTGACCTTGGCGGCTCACAGTAGGGAGTCGGCGTTTCCCCCATCTCCACTGATAGGAAACGCCTGATGCCTTGTCGACGTGCTGTCCTTTTCTGTTGTTGCCCATCGTCAGATAATGCATAAAAGCATCTTGAGTCCCATATTCCCTCCACGCATCATCAATCACTCATCGTTAGAGCAATCAATCATGGCCATCGACGTCATCTCCAGCGCCCTCTCCATCAACAGCAAGTCTGCTGCGACGTTCCCACAGGCCGACAAGTTCGAGGAACTCGTCCTGGCGATGAAGAAGGTCCTGGGCCCTTCATCAGGCCTAACCTCGGATGATGTGGACGTAGGCTCGTTGACCGATCTGATGATCAACTATGATAGTAATCCCCTGGAATGGTCCAAGTATGCCTATGGTGATGCCAGTCGGGGCTATACCCGCAATCTCGTCGACGAGGGCAATGGCAAGAGCAACTTGGTAAGTTGTCGCTGCCTGATGATGACTGTGCCTTTCCAAATACATGACTGATTGACGTTGTCTCGCGATGTATAGTTGGTTCTCGTATGGTCCCCCGGTAAAGGGAGTCCCATCCATGATCACGGCAATGCTCATTGCCTGATGAAGATCCTGCACGGCAGTCTAACTGAAACCCGCTACGCCTTTCCTGAAGACGATGATGACGAGGGACCCATGCAGGTCATCTCCGAGAAGACATATAAAGAGAATGGTGTCACTTACATGGCCGACGAACTTGGCTTGCACCGCGTATCTAATAGGGGCAGCGACTTTGCCGTCTCCTTGCACTGTACGTCCTAGCCGACGCTCAATCCCTCATGCAACACTTGTCAGCAAACTAACTAGCAACTTTGCCAGTGTACACTCCCCCTAACGTAGCCAAAGAGGGATGCCACATCTTCGATGAGAAGACTGGCAAGAGTAGCCATGTGCCTGGATGCCATTACTACTCAGCGTACGGTCGTCTGCTCAAGTAAGGGATCAAGGGAAGGGATAAGGTCGCTCTGTGCGAAGATGTTCTCATGTCGGCATATGTCTGTTTCTTTGGCGTGTCCAGCGTTTTGATTTTTCCTTCTTCTTCTCTGCTCTTTGCCCACTCGAGGCCATTCAGCCCTGGCTTGCCGGCCCAAAGCTTCCTTCATGGCTGCTGTGGAGTCGGGGCATTCTGGTCCGAATTCTGAGTTAGCGACGTCTTTTTGTAATGATAGTATGACATTAGGGTATGCAATGAAAGCTCCCAGTTCTTAGAATGCTTCCAGAGTCCCAAAATGAGTGTGGAGTGAAGTTGAAAGAGAAAGAAGTGGTTGATGAGATGTCGTTGCTCTTCATACCTTTCCTTTGGGCTGGCTCATCGATTGCGTGATTGCCGCTAGCCCTGAATAGGTTGTTAGTGGGCCGACCGACAGCCTACGCTGGTTTGGCTGATGACTAGCAGAAAAGACACCACGTGATTTCGCGCGAGCTTCAGTCGCGTTTGAGAACCCAGGGATCGCGCTAGGCATAATCAGGACTTAGGAGTGTCAATTGAGCGGTGCTATTCGCAGCTGTTGTATTGTGAATTGCGAGTGCATTGACAGGTGTCAAGCAGTGTTTCTAGAAAGTTTCAGTTTTTATACTTTTTTACATTTCAATCTTGCTGTTTTCACTCCAGGAACTCTGCCAACGACATCGTCGTAAGTATCTGAAGTGCCAACCAACTTCTAACCTTCTATTCACAATAGCATTCGACGCTAACCCAATATTCAAGCACAGCCACCATGCCAGGTCCCAGAAAACGAGGCTTGAATGTGGTAGACCTCACTGGCGATGATTCAGGTCGACAGGCCAAACGTCAATCGGCTGCTCCCGTATCCTCTTCCACTGGCGTAGGTGGAACATTTGTTTACAATACTTTGTCAAATGGGGCAGGCCATTTACCAGGTCCCGGATCGCAGAATGGCCGGCCACCTCTTTCTTCCAGTCAGCCTCTTACGACGTCTCAGATGGCTGATTACGAGCGTGAGGTTTTGGATTTGACTCAGGACGACGACGGGCCAGCCAGAGAGCTCTATGGCACGTTTGGTAAGAAAACTCTAATTTCGTTCAACAATCAAACCCTTACACTTGGCATTAGAAACGAAAATTGTCGGCATTCAGTATTATAGAGGACATGCATCCACTGGGGAAGCTGTGCTCTGTCGCAGAGAACCTGCAAATCAGGTTAGTTTCAGGAAGTTAAGCTATATGTAGCAAGTTTACCTAGGTCCTCTAACATTCAGACTTAGTATGATCGCAACGCAATCCGCATTGACAATGTCATGTACCAACAGATCGGACATCTGCCACGCAAAGTTGTGGAAAAAATCGCCCCGTATATTGTATGCCACCTCTTTCAGATGCTCGAGGCCATAGTATTAACATTTGGGAACAGGACTGCGGAGATATCCTTCTTGAAGCACAGCTCACGGGACCAAAAGGGCAATACGACTGCCCGGTAACGCTGTCCTTTTATGGGCCTAGTAATCCGTTGGAAAGAACCAGAATCGAAAATTCACTGAAAGGTGATAAACTTGTGAGGGCTACTCAGCTCAACAAGACAAGAAAAGAGTCAGAAGCTCAGAGGACTGTAATGGGCTTGAAGGCCGGAGGAACTACGCATGGCATGGGTTCCGCAAGCCCCAAAGAGCCAGAGATATCTCTGGAGGATATCTTAAAAAAGAGCCAATCCCTAGAGTTCCGAGATGGGATAGATGCTCTGAAGACGTTTGCTACAGATGAAGAGTACTTGCGTAACATGCCCAGCTGTGATCAGCCAGCTGCTCTGAAGGCAACTCTATTGCCCTATCAACTACAAGTAAGTTGGCATGATTTTTATGTCAACCCTCTGACTTCGCTAACACTAGGCTAGGGATTAGCATGGATGACTTCAAAGGAGAACCCCGCTTTGCCGACCAAGGAATTAGGCAACCAAGTTCAATTATGGAAACAGAACATCAGAGGAAATTACTGGAATGTCGCCACGGACTTTGTGAGCGCGACAGCTCCCCAGCTCTTTTCGGGGGGGATTTTGGCCGACGATATGGGTCTTGGCAAGACTCTTCAGATTCTCAGCTTGATTTTGACAGGAGGTTCCGGTACCACTTTGATAGTTGCACCTGTTGGTGTCATGTCTAACTGGCAACAACAGATCGATAGGCATGTCAAGTCGGAGCATCTACCGAGCGTGCTGGTCTACCATGGGGACAAAAAAATGAGGGCGAAGGAGCTCATGAACTTCGATGTTGTCATCACAAGCTATGGCAAGTTGGCCCGCGAAAAGGATTCAAATGTTCCTCAAGTTTTGCTGTCACAAAGCATACAGTGGAAACGTGTGGTTCTCGATGAGGGGCACACAATCCGCAACGCGAGAACAAAGGTCGCGTTGGCCGCGTGTGCCATCAATGCCAAATCTCGATGGGTACTGACTGGAACCCCGATGTAAGTTGATATAGCTAAACACTCCGCAATTCGGTGGTACTAACTAGTTCGCAGCATCAACTCTGTGAAAGATTTGCAGTCTCTTATAAAGTTTCTACATATTACCGGCGGCATCGAGCATCCAGAAATTTTCAATACGAGAATTACGAGGAGATTAGTTTCCGGTGATGCCAGCGCTGAAATTATGCTGCAGGCTCTGATGCAGGATATCTGCCTACGGCGCAAGAAGGACATGAAATTTGTAGATCTGAAAATACCCGAAAAAAAGGAATACCTTCATAGGATCACTTTCCACCCTGAAGAGAAAAGGAAGTATGAGGCATTACTGTGAGTAACTCATGAAGACGTCTACTTAAGTTGACATGGTGTTGACGGTTTGTTTAGTACGGAGGCACGTGGTGCTCTGGCAGACTACCAGGCCAAGGCAGCCGGTCAGAAGGGACAGTTCCAAGGCGTCCTAGAGCGGCTTTTAAGGTTGCGACAAAGGTAAATTCGCTTCTTCCCTTCGAGACCTCACGCAGGCTAACAAGACGTCCAAGTTGCAACCACTGGACCCTATGCAAGGACCGCATTAACCAGCTGATGGAGCTGTTCGAAGGCCAAGAAGCTGTACCATTCAATGAGAAGAATACTGCATTGCTACAGGAAGCTCTTCGGCTTTACTTGGAGAGTCAGGAAGACTGCTCCATTTGCTTCGACGTTCCCACTGCTCCAGTCATAACAAATTGCGGGCATGTTTTCTGCCGAGTTTGTATCACAAAAGCTATCCATTTACAACACAAATGCCCAATGTGCAGAAACAAACTTTCGGATGAGTGTCTACTTGAACCAGCAGCAGAGGGTTCCTTTGATAAGAACTTTGATATGGCCACTCAAAGTTCCAAGACAGAGGCAATGATGCAGATTCTCCAGGCAACATTGAAAAAGGATGGGTCAAAGGTGGTCATCTTTTCCCAATGGACGTCATTTCTGAACATAATCCAGAACCAATTGGATATCGCCGGAATCAAATACAGCCGCATAGACGGCAGTATGAACACGGAGAAACGTGATCGTGCAGTCCGGGCACTAGATAACGACGCCGAAACTCGCGTCATGCTAGCTAGCTTGGCGGTTTGCAGTGTCGGGTTGAATCTTGTATCTGCAGATACTGTCATTTTGTCTGACAGCTGTAAGTGCCACTTTGTTTGAGGCCAACTTCTCATAACTAACAAGACTTAGGGTGGGCACCAGCGATTGAGGACCAAGCGATCGACAGAGTTCATCGTCTTGGCCAGACCAGAAAGACAACGGTTTGGCGGCTCATTGTGGAAAGAACAGTCGAAGAGCGGGTTATGGACGTCCAAAAGGAGAAAAGAGATCTTGTAACCAAGGCCTTTCAGGAAAAAGAGAGGAAAGGCAAGCATACGAAGGACACGAGAATGGCAGATATTGCAAAACTCTTGTCTTGATAGATTTGTTGTCGTTTGCTGAAGGTCGGTACCCTAGAGATATTAATGTACGACGCTGGGCAATTTGCTAGTATTTACATGAGACATCAAGTACGCCCACATGTGGCGAGTGTACTATTGGCTTCGGAAGGGTCTATTTCATGAATTACAGACGTCTCTAACCATAGTATCGGCGGAAAACAATTCATGTATTGCCGCCCAGGTAACTCTTGTGATATTCGCTTGGTTTACACCAGCTACGGGCTAACAACCCGATAACTCACGTTCGTCCATGGAAAATCCAAATGCTTGTGAGACCGACATCCGCTATGCATGGACAAAACGGACAAACTTGTACATGGCGGACGGAAACTGGCGTTTGGGGGTTGTGGAGCACCACAGCCAGCCCTTCGGCCACTCAGCAATCATTCAAATCGCTGCACACATATCGATAAGCATCAATCACAGTGGCGGAACCTCTCTTTCTCCCCGCCAAATTTCTTGGGTGTCAAAAGACTTCATCTACACCATAGCGCAGTTTCCTCATAACTGCTGGCGGGCAAAATGTCTGCAGTCTGCGAAAAAACAGACCCTCTTCAGGGTGTATTTGGCGGGCTTCCTGGCGCCAAGTTCGACGGTATGTGACGCTCATAATTCGAAGCGCTGCGCTTGATCAACTAACAAGGCCAAAAGACATCGTCGAATTGTGGCATGGCCACCGGACGCCAATCATTATCTGCGCACTAGTCGTTCTCGTCGTAATTCGAATCTATATCCACAAACTTGAAGAAGCAGAACCGTTGAGGGCGCTGCCGAAACAATTCGAAAAGAGGATTGAGCCCTTGAGCGCGAACAAGCTGCCAAGCGCTGTGAACTCCGAAAAGCCAGTCGCCAAGCCAAACGGGCCTAGGCGGATCAAGGGTGGCATCACCAAAAAGCCAGCAACGGAAGAAACGAAGGAATACGACAAGAGCCGACCTATTAAGATGATGGTATTCTTCTCCTCAGTCACGACCAAGACGGAGAAGATTGCGCAACAGTACTTGAGCACGTTGGAAAAATCGGTTGGTCAGCTCTCTCGCGGAACGGAGCGCCAGTTTCTAAAACCTGAGCTCCACGATCTGGCAGAGATCGATTTCGAGGACTTTTTTGTTAGCCCTGCCAAGACGGTCGAGGATGCCCATCTATTTTACCTATTCCTCATTCCCAGTTACAACATTGACACCATCAACGACACCCTCCTGCAGCATCTCGAAGAGACGCACCATGATTTTAGAATCGACACAGCACCTTTGGCAACCTTGCTGGGGTACTCCGTTTTTGGTTTTGGAGACAAGGAAGGCTGGCCCGATGAGGCAGACGGCTATTGCTTCCAAGCCAAAGAGTTGGATAGATGGATGTCCAAGTTGACTGGCCGCAAACGCGCATACCCAGTCGGCATGGGTGATATGAAGAGCGACCATGCTGAGCGGTTTGACGAGTGGTCATCGGGCGTGCAGGAAGTTATTGCCCATGTTGCAAGCAGCGGAACTCTAGGCGAAGGTGCTCCTGGCAGTGGTGATGCCATGGAAAGTGATGCTGAAGATGTGGCTGAGGACGATGATGGCGAGGTATTGATTGGAGAAGATATATCCGGTGACGACAGGGAATCTTCTCGACCTCTAGATGATGTGGAGGATTTGGGTCGCATGCTCCGAACATCGGACGGCAAGGGCACTGCCAATGGCAAGAAAGCGCCGCTTGCCGTTGACTTCACCTCATACGGTGCATCTTCTGCAAAGAAACGCACGCCAACAGCTCCCGTTATCAAGGAAATGGTCGCCAAGAATTCACCTACATATGCCGCCCTCACTAAACAAGGCTACTCAATCGTCGGCTCTCATTCAGGAGTCAAAATATGTCGCTGGACAAAGTCGGCGCTGCGCGGTCGAGGAAGCTGCTATAAGTACTCGCTATACGGCATCAACTCACACCAGTGCATGGAGACGACGCCTTCTCTATCCTGCTCCAACAAGTGTGTCTTTTGCTGGCGACACGGCACCAACCCCGTCGGGACCACATGGCGCTGGGTAGTCGACCCCCCTGAGATGATCTTCGAGGGCGTTAAAGAGAACCACTATAAGAAAATCAAGATGATGCGCGGCGTGCCGGGCGTACGAGCAGAGCGATATGCCGAGGCCCTCAAGATCCGCCACTGTGCACTCTCACTAGTAGGAGAACCCATCTTCTACCCTCATATCAACGAGTTCCTCGCCATGCTCCACGCAGAACGCATCTCCTCATTCCTAGTCTGCAACGCCCAACACCCCGACCAACTAGCGGCCCTCAAAGCCGTCACCCAGCTCTACGTCTCCATCGACGCCTCCAACAAAGATTCCCTCCGCAAAATCGACAGACCGCTCCACCGCGACTTCTGGGAACGTTTCCAACGCTGCCTGGACATTCTCCGAGAAAAACGATTCCGTCACCGCACCGTCTTCCGCCTCACCCTCGTCAAGGGCTTCAACGTAGAAGATGAGGCAGAAGGGTACGCGCAGCTCGTGGAGCGCGGACTCCCCTGCTTCGTCGAAGTCAAGGGCGTCACGTACTGCGGGACATCGACCTCTTCCAACGCCGGGCTGAGCATGTCCAACGTCCCGTTTTACTGGGAAGTTTGCGAATTCGTCAAGGCCCTCGAGGGGAGACTCAAGGCCAAGGGCTTAAAGTATGGCATTGCCGCGGAACACGCGCACAGCTGCTGTATTTTGCTTGCCAGCGAGCGCTTCTTGGTCAATGGCAAGTGGCACACGCATATCGATTATAAGCGCTTCTTTGAGCTGCTCGAGGAGAGGGGAGCGGATGGCGATTGGACGCCCGAGGATTACATGGGTGAGCCGACTCCTGAGTGGGCGTTGTGGGGGAATGGAGGCTTTGATCCGAGAGACGATCGAGTGGATAGGAAGGGGAGAAAGATTGAGAATATTGTGGTGCGAGAGGCGCCGCCGCCAGACAGCTGGTAAATAGCGTGCTTTGAATCAAGATTCAGTTCAAAGTATATAAACTTGCTGTGGTGACTGTTCACGAGGCGTAGGAAATCGATGCCCTTGATGTCCCATCACTTGGAAGCATGAAATTTTGGATCATAATATTTTCATGGAAAAACGCTACCTCAGCCTTCTCCCAGACGCCTTCCACCCCCCGTGGCGGCATTATTATACCGTCAACATCTGTTTACACAAGGCTCTATGCGCAGATAGAAGAGCGAAATTTATATATCGTACAACAAGGAGTTCGCAAAGCCTCCATTTCTCAGTCCATTTTTAATCTTGTTCTGTTTTTTTTTTCACGTCCTGACACCCCTGGCGTTGGTGACAGGGAGGGGTGAACGGAATAATAAGGGATTGTATGCGGTATTGCATTAGGTCAGAGTAGAGACCACTGAGTTCTCCACGCCTTTAGGTGTCCTGCCCCGACAGAGCATGGTGAAGGGACAGATCTGATTAGTCGAGGCCAACGTTGGGGATATCACCGAGGTTGATGCCGCCGGGGGAACGAGTGCGGATGTCGAGGCTGGAGTCGTATGCGATCATCTCGGCGAGGATGTCTAATATAGGCTGCAGAATTGGAGTTAGATTTCCATAGCCTTTGTTGGTTGAGAGAATGGAAGCCGGATGCGTACCTTGGGGACGGTGCTATCATAGATCTTAATCAGGTCACCCGGGGCAGGGTAGACCTTGAGACCCTTGTAGAAGGCAAGAGCGGACTCAACGGCCTTGGTTGCTACATGACTGTTAGCTTGGAAAAGTAATGAAAACGATGGCATCCAAGATTGATGACACGGGGAAAGTTGTCGAGGGCGGGTAAAAGCTTACGATCCGAGCTCAGCATCTCCCCGGACATGACCTGCTCGTTGAAGTAGGCCTCGCGCTCCTCGACACCGGTCGGGAATCCCTCCTCCTTGGCCTCGTCAACCTGAGCTTTGATGGCATCTCGTTGAGCGCGCGTCGAAGCTTCAGCCTCCTCCTTCTCGGCGCGAACCTGCCGGCGCTCGTTTCTTCTCAGATCTCGGCGGAACTCGGCCTGGCTACGTCGGCGGTAGTCGAAGTAGACGGCATAAGCTACAGAGCAGAAAAGGGTCATTTGTCAGCAATCCAGTACTTCTATCCTGCAGGTCTGATTTGGAGACATGTTATGTTTTGTAGAGTAACAGTATAAACAGTGCTACGTACTGACGATAGCTGCGGCGGCGGTTGCGACGGTGGCCGTCACTACGGTTGACGTTTGGACCATTTTTGCCAAAGGGGATGTAAAGCCGTTGAAGCTAAACGGGGCCAAAGCTTGTGATGAAGTAGAAGAAAAAAGTGGCGAGTCTCAGGACCGACGATAGGTGGTCGAATAGGCGATGGGTGGAAAAGCCGTTGCTCAAGATTGATCTGTAGATGGGTGGATTGGATTGCGGTTTGGCGAGCAAAGGAGTGGTCAAAGTCGATAGACGTCTGGTCTGCAGCTGTAAGTCGTGCCGTCAATCAGAAGCCGAACCAATTTTTTTTGACGACATTTAGCCATGGGCTACCAAGTCGCCTGCGGGTGCTCCATCCTCCATCCAGGCAGTTGAGTGGCCTGCAGATTCCGGATCATCGATTCCGCGCGCCGGAAGAACGCCGGCTCAATGGGAGCTCCTTTTGAACAGTGGCTCGCTTGTAAGCGTAAGTAGGGAGTCTCGGGGAGTTTGGAAGCTCCCAGGTGCCATGTCATTGGCGGTAGTAGTACTACTCAAGTGCTAACACCAACCAGCATCTGCGCCAGCCAACAGGTCTGGTGGGACATTTGGGACATCCGGAGTCTCCAACTCAATCCACCTCAGACACAACCACCATCTCCTCCTCCATCACCTGCCGTGGGGAAAGCTGGCACTTTCTCTCTTTCCAATCCTTTATACCACCGCGTGCTTAGTCTGTGCAGCTGCCCATCATGTCGGAAGAACGCAGTAAGATATCGCTTCGCAGCGGGAAGAAGCGCAGACCATCTCGCCCAACCATCAGCGCTCCCAGGCAGATATCAAGTCCTATGCCACAGGACAGCCCCCTTGGGGGCGCGCCGCCTCTAGTTCCTGAGGCAGTTCCTAGACCACGACTGCGACCGCCGCCTATTGCTGGTGGAAAGGTAGTGTTTACTTTGACATACATGCCATTGACTCTACAACATGTTGCATGAACTGTGGACTGACTTGCGCAGACGTCTGATCTAGTAAAACAACGGTACTCTACCCGGTTCAACAACCTGCCCACGGATTTCGACCCCTCGGCTCCTCCACTCCCTGCCGTGCCTCCTATTCCCCAATATGATAAGAGGGAGCCTCAGAGACCCGCGCCGTCACGGGCAGGTGCAGCGCCAGTAATCGACATCAAGGCCCTTCGAGACCCCAATCTCGTCCCTGATCAGTACGTGTCAGCCGTCTTGGGAGACGCCACCGACGACCAAATTCGTGATTTTGAAGTCGCTCTCCGCAAGCTCAAGGGCCGTGCTGCCACGGATTTGCAGCAGAACCTCATGCAGAACCGTACCCAGTTCATCAAGATTAGTAAAGAGGCCGAGAAACTAAAGGGCGAGATGCGGGCGCTACGAAACTTGATGGCAGAGCTCAAGACCAACACAACTGCCCTTCGAGCCGCCTCCATAAAGAGTGACGAGCCGGCCACCATACCTGGCAGTGGCCCCTCGGGCATGAGCAAGCGAGACAAGCGAAGCTCCGTTGCCGATAGAAGCGCGTTGTGGAATTCGCAAATGCAGGCCTTGTATAAGAATGTGGAGGGCTCGCAGAAGTTTCTCCCCAATGCTGTAGGTCGTCACGTTGTCCAGAATGCCGGTTCCTGGGTAGAGTTGGATAACGCCACATACAAATCTCGACGAGCCATGCAAATCTTCCTACTCAACGACCACCTTCTCGTTGCGTCCCGCAAGAAGAGAAAAGTTGACGCACCCGCCGATGCTCGTGGTCCAATGATCAAACTAGTGGCTGACCGATGCTGGTCTCTTCTGGACATTGAGGTCGTAGACATGCCTGGGACAGCCGAATCATCCGGAGGCAGGAACAAACTTGCCGACGCCATCATGATCCGAGGTGGTGGCCAAGAATCTTTCATCTATCGAACAGAGAAACATGAGGGCGACGAGAAGAAGACATTGCTTCTAAATGTGCGAAAGGCGGTTGAGGAGCTGCGAAAGGGTCTGCAGTCAGAGATGGAAGCCAACAACAAGGCCAGGGAGACCATAAACTACTTTGCGTCTAGAGATCCTGGCTTATTGCAGAAGACGGAACTTTTGGAGACGTTGTCGGATATCAAGGACATGCTCATCGAAGTCGATGGCAAACAACAGAATCTTCGATGGGTGGAGGGTCAGATGGACGAGCTGGACATTGACATTGCCCTCCAGAAATTCGAACCTGCTGTTGCCCGCGTTGAAAAGCTCAAGAGCCTCGCCCGTGGCCTCCGAAGCAATTTGGTTGCGCAAGACTTTATTAACTTCAAGGTTGAGGAGCGATGCGGTAGACTTGCTGTCCTTATCATTCGGGAGCTGGAGTCAAAGCACAAGTCGCAAATAAAGACCAAAGAGAGAGTGGGCTGGCTGACTATTCTTGGCTTTGATGACAGAGCCCGAGAGGCTTATCTTAATGCCCGCACGGGGCTTATCCGCAAGAGAGCCAGGTAAGGATGCTTCATTCCACACATCTTGTTCCCTCTTCGAACCAAGGCGCTAACGACTTGTAGACAATGCATTTTCCAAGGCGATCTCCACTTGTACATTTGGCAGTTGTCCTTTGTGTACTTTACTATTATTCACAACACGGTTCAGACGTTCCAGAGCTGCTTCCCTCCTCCAATGATGAGTGCCTGCGTGAAGTGGGCCAAGGAGGAGGTGGAAGCGTTCAATGTGATTCTGTCTCGACAACTCAGTAGTACCGAGCGTGGTGGACAGGTTTGGACACAGTGCATGGACAGGGCCAAGGAACATGCCCAAAAACTGTCGGATGTTGGGCTGGACTTCAGGAACTTGGTAGGACACGATGTTGGACCATCTGCTCAGACGGCTGCCGAGGTGCCGGGGCCTTCTGCTGTTGGGCTAGGACTAGCTTAGTCTTGTCGATTGCACGGTGTTGATTGAATTCTTAATAGCAGACGACGGTGCGAGTAGGACTTCCAGGGGACAGTGGTGACGAGCAAGCCGTGGTTCAACTCGGTCAAGGAGGATCGGGGACATAAAGTCTGTGTTGAGACGTATTGGTTCACGGACAATTAGCCACTAGTAGCATGATACAATGTCTCAATCAACTTTCAATGTGGCGTTTACGCTCGCCCCTCGCCATCATCAGTCCGCATCTGGAAGGCTCTTTCTGTTTCGTCAAGCTTCTGCTGGTGACTTCTGGGTGTATTTGTATAGGGTAGGCCATATTTGTGGCGGTGGCAAGCTCCGCGATGAGATTGGCAAGGACATGTGGAAGGGGCAGGCGTGTGGACCCACCCAGCCTTGTGCTGACACTGCTGAGGCTGGAGGCTGGAGGCTGCCGGCCAAGCTGGGCCAAAGCTGGAGAAAGCACCCCCTCCTGAGTCCCGGGTTCTGGCTGCACAGACTGCTTGGCTGCAATGTCTGACGACCGACACCAAACAACTTCCATCTCCCACTGTTTTGCACCATCCCTGCCCATCCGCGCGACAACTCACTCCCACGAACACACCAAAAGGCAAACGAAATCTTCCCATTGACGAACCGCTTCACAGCTCTGCCTGCGGCCATCGCATCACGCATCAGACCTTGACGGCCCTTGACCACTTGAGCTCGCCCACAGCATCGTCCGTTCCCGCTCTGTTGCCAGGAACCGTCGTCTGGTCTGAGCATTCGAGTCTTTCTCCCTGCCTCGCTGCCCCACCGATTGCGACCCAGCCGTGACCTCAACGTCATTTCTCCCACCTTTATCAACCCCCAACTCGACACGCGGCACCTCGAGTAGAGCCGCATCGTAGAATCATGGATACAAACATGGAGGACGTCGGCAGGGCGCCCGCCGATGTGTCACCCGTCGCCAACGAGCCTGCCACCATCCCCACGCTCGACGGCTGGATCGAGAGTTTGATGAACTGCAAGCAGCTGGCTGAGGCTGATGTCCAGAGACTCTGCGACAAGGTGAGCAACATCGAAGAATTCAAAGAGGTGCTGGCCATGGTCTTCGGCTTTGTCCAGTGTTTGGCCTCCATCCTGCCCGACCCTCTGTTCATGCTCGGAGCCATACTCTTACTCTTGTCTTGGTCTCGTCGATCCAGGCCTGGACGGCTTCAATGGAACCTCCTTTTTTGCTAATGATATTTTGTTTTGCAACGCAACAGGCAAGAGAAGTTTTACAGGAGGAGTCGAATGTCCAGCCAGTGGTACGTATGACCTCATTTTACGACGTCACGCGAGAGACGGCACGGGGAATGGGTTCTGACATGATCTCTTTAGAAATGCCCCGTCACAGTCTGCGGTGATATCCACGGTCAGTTCCACGACTTGATGGAGCTGTTCAAGATTGGCGGCCCCAATCCAGACACAAACTACCTCTTCATGGGTGAGTATTTTCACCTGCCGCCAAGGTCTCAAAATACCCTTTTTCGGTTTCTCAAATGCCAACCTCGATCTAGGTGATTACGTTGACAGAGGCTACTACTCGGTCGAGACCGTCACTTTGCTTGTAGCCCTCAAAATCCGATACCCTCAGCGAATCACCATTCTCCGGGGAAATCACGAGTCTCGGCAGATTACCCAAGTCTACGGCTTCTACGACGAGTGCCTCCGAAAATACGGCAACGCCAATGTCTGGAAGTACTTCACAGACCTCTTCGACTACCTTCCCCTCACCGCCCTCATCGACAACCAGATCTTTTGTCTCCACGGTGGTCTGTCGCCTAGCATCGATACCTTGGATAACATCAGAGCTCTTGACCGAATTCAGGAGGTTCCCCACGAAGGCCCTATGTGCGACCTTTTGTGGTCGGACCCTGATGACCGTTGTGGTTGGGGTATTTCCCCTCGTGGTGCGGGCTATACTTTTGGACAGGATATTTCAGAGGCCTTCAACCATAACAACGGTCTGACGTTGATTGCACGAGCCCACCAGCTGGTGATGGAAGGCTATAACTGGTCACAGGACCGGAATGTGGTGACTATTTTTTCAGGTGCGTCGACTTGTTCAGCATAACTTGGTCCGTTTGGAATACAGCTTTGTTGACTGATTTTGTGATTAGCTCCCAACTACTGCTACCGATGTGGCAACCAAGCAGCCATTATGGAAATTGATGAGCACTTAAAATACACATTGTATGTATCTTACCGCAAAAAGGATGAGAAAAAAAAACAAGCAACATCAGACTGGATATTAACCATGTGCAGCTTGCAATTCGACCCATGCCCAAGAGCAGGAGAACCAATGGTCTCCAGACGTATGTTATGGTCAATTCTACCCTGCCACGACACTTGGCTAACTAAATGCAGGTACACCCGACTACTTCCTCTAATCATGTCGCTATTTGAAACACCGAACACACTTGCATTGGCCGGTTCATGTTGTGGAAACAATAGACGAGGTGGAGCAGGTGCAACTGAGTGTCCCGAAGATGTATTATTAATCTTGATGCCACAATCTACGGGACGGGGAAACGCCGCCATGACGAGATTTCATGGATTTCATGCATGTGGGATGGGGCGTCAATGTGATGCCCTGTAGCAGCTGGATGATGCCGGATTCTGCCGTGGTAGGTCCGCACGGTCCTTGATAGAGTCAAAAGACCGGAAGGGGAGGAAATACAAAAGAAAAAAGAAGAGAAAAATACAGAGATGTTAAAATTGCCGAGGAAATACCCCCCAAGAACAATAGCTTTGCCTTTTACTGAGATGGTTCTCTCAGTATATTTATTGTGGTTCTGGGTAATTGTTCCCTTGACGTGTTATTATGAAAGTGAGCGTTCTTGTGAGATGGTTTATAGGAAAATCTATATGGTGCAGTCGGGTTTTGGTAAGATTCTCATTGCTCCTTGAGGAGCAGGGCCAATTATGTCCCGTGTCTTGCGAACCCCTTTCTACCATGGTCGCTAAATGCATTAACAAAAAAATAAGAGTATGTACGTTGCGTCTGTGATGTACTCAGCCACACTCCCCGCTTTGTCCATCTACACAGTATCCCGTGTCTCCTTGTCCTCCTTGTCCTCGTCGTCCGTCTCGGTCCTCGGCCGTTTCCCGTCGGCAGCCACATGACCGGCCCCCCCCTCGACGCCCTTGGAGTAGTGGCCCGGCTCGCTGGCGCCGTTGGGCACATGGAACCGCAGGTCGAACCGGCTCAGGGCATAGGTGAAGACGACAATGGCCTCAATGGTGTAGTTGACACAGTAGTAGGCGGCCTTGTGGTGGAACCAGGCCGGGTTGCTCGCGGGCCGCCGCACGTAGGCGACTCCGGCGCGGAAGCCGGCGCCAAAGGCCAGCAGGGTCGCGGTGAAGAGCACGAGGAGGACGCGGGAGCGCATGCGGCCCCTCGTGCCAAAGTGGTCGACGGGCCCGTGGCGCGGCAGCAGCACGGCGAGGGCGACGATGGGGATGGGCAGGAAGGCGAGGACGGCGAGGAAGGTGACGGCGAAGAGCTGGATGTCGCGCAGCTGCGAGCGGACGTGGGCGTCGAGGGTGTAGAAGCCGTAGACGGTGGAGACGATGACCATGACGAGCAGGGCGGCGACGGCGGCGTAGAGGAGCTTGAAGGCCAGGGAGGCGGGCTTGCTCCAGCCGACACGGGGCTGGTGGGCGCGCAGGATGCGCTGGGAGAGCACCAGGTTGACGATGAAGAGGAGCAGCACGCCGGCGTTGGTGAGGATGGTGGCGGCGATGGCGATGGACACGTCGTGCGGGTAGTTGGCCCAGACGATGCGCATGACGTTGGCGCTGATGCGGGCCATGGAGAAGCCGAAGAGGAGGCCCGAGAGGACGAACTTGTGCCCGCGGCGCCGGTTGCGCTGGAAGATGATCATGTTGAGGGCTGCCGAGGCGGCGAAGAGGGCGATGAAGACGGATGAGAGGGGCGTGTCGACCGAGTTTGTGGGCGCGCCGCCGAGGCTGGCGCCCTGAGGGGGGTAGGGGGGCCCCTGCGGAGGAGGGTTAGCAATTTTGTAACGGTGGTGATGGTGATGATGGCGGTTCTTGGTGTTGCTGATGGTTTGATGGGGAGGGTACCATTTCTTGGAGCTGTTGGGTGGACAAGGTCCCCTGTGGCGATGGCTGGGCTGACATGATGAATGTAGTGATGTCTTTTGCGAATTATTCATCTGTCGGCTTTGTATCGGGCGGTTCGTGAGGCGGCGTTGGGTATAATCACACTCTACACTGCATGTACCTGGTATGCATGGTCCAAATGGGAAAAGGGGGGGGGGGGACAGTCAAGGTATAAGTATGACATGCTCACGTCCGCTAGATCAGGGCCGCCAAACAGAATCCACGATAAAAATATCACAGACGACATGGCCAGGGCGGGCCGCGAGACTGTCTCAGCGTGCATTACGGAGCACAAGCGCAATGTCCAGATGTCGAGTGTCATGGTTCCAACTTCCCCATCGGCGCTCGCGCGTTTGGAGATGCCGATGTGTCGGGTGGGTGGAGCCGCTATTGCTCCGTGCGTGCACCAGCTCCGGCACTCTTTTCGCGGGATTCGACCTTGGTTAGGCCCGGCGTAGCTAGCGGATTTTGTCAAATATCAATCAGACTGCATCTACCTAGTAAAGGCTCTGCGCTCTCAAGTCAAATCTGTCTCGGCATATGCCAGCCCGCTCTGGATTGTCTATTCCCGCGATTCTCGGCCTTGGCAATCTGCCTCGCAAACAGGATATTTGCCATGGACGCAGCAACTTGGATGTTTTGAATAATTACCTTTGTTATCGTAGAGTATTCACCTCCAACAACCCGGCCCGGCCCGTCCAGCCAGTGGGACTTTGGTATTACTATATGGCACATCGTGCTCTCTCTCTCTCTCTCTCTCTCTCTCTCTCTCTTTCTCTCTCTAAAAAAAAAAAAAAAAGAAAACGGGCAATTGTGGTTCTGCCACTGAAGTCAAATGTGCGGAGTGCTTCTGAGGGGCTTCAGTTTAGGCACCCGAATTGCCTATTCCTCGGGGAAGGGCTTCGCGTTCCTGGTGTGATATACCGTCATCCGGCTCAGGCCCCATGAACTCACGCCTATTACGCCGTACCTCGTTATTCGCAACCGAGGGAGCCCCATGTAACGTCGGCCCAGTCATTCTCATGGGATCATCAATCCTCTCCAAGCTTAGACTCGATTTTATGTCTAGCTCAGGGAACCAGCACGTCGGCCACAGACATCGGAGGGTCGGCGGTTCAGAAATGCGAGCACCGATCCGACGCCAAAGCTGCTTAATTTCTATGGGTCCGTCCGACTCGCGCATAAACTGGCTTACGTGAGCTGCGTTGTTGACCGCGAAAGTCTGCAGCCCTTGAGCTGTCGAGCTGGAGAAGCCCTTCTTCCCAACGCTGACTGTCTCTGGCTTGAGTGATTCGGCTTGACACCAGTTTCATCTTTACCGGGCGGACCAAGGTGGCGCTTGGCAGAGTGCCGTTCTACCATTAAGCTCAGCTACCACTGCGTAATGGGTACTTTTGTACAGCGGTTGGGCTGTGCTGCCAGAGAGCCCTTGGCAATCTCATCTGGACGGACGCGTTCTCAACTTGTTCGTCGAGATGGAAGATGGTGCCGGTGCAAAACTCATCGAAGCAGCCCGCAAATCCGCAACTCGCTTCGCAAATCGTCATCGGATGTGTTATAAATCGTACTTTGGCTGATGTATTGCCCTGGTGACAGCGTCAGCCAGTCTTCTGTGCACATTAATACAAGTACTACCCAGAATTAGCTAGGAGCCCATCTACTTGGTCCGGAAGATCGACCAAACTACCGACTTCATTCAAGGCGTGACGGGAGACTCGGCAACTTTCACAATGGCAACATCTCTGCTTGCCTAGACTGATAGTCTTTCATGCCTTGTGCGAAGCTGCCGTCAATTGAGGACTACCGGGCGACAGAACTGGAACACACCGGTTTCTAACTTGGCGTAGGTGCGTTCATGTTGTGAGGCTAGGATGAAATAGTCTTTTGCCCACTGTTTCCGCATGTTAGAGTTTTGGATATATACTTTAGGGACGAAGGTGGAATGGAAATTGCGGACTTGGGTTTCCAAGCCGTCTCTAGCCCTGGATACAGGAGTCTCTCAAGAGGTGGGTGAAGGTATCTTCTAACGCTGTGATATTCTTGTATCTTGAGACAAGGACGACTGCTTTGGTGCTGACAAATGGCAACTATGAATGGAGTCGGACTTTATGTTATCCTACCAGGGTCATCAGAATAATACACTACCCAAGATTTTTGCGATTTATAGGATCCAATGCGTTGATGGCGGGCGGATTTACGGTGTTTGGACTGGAGACAAAACCCCGACCTGGATGTACGGAGCATATCAGGGGCATTCGTTAAGTTCTTTTGGCTCCTTTGCTGCCAGATCTCCTGTGTGAGCTTGTTAATTCACACTAATCCGTAACATGTGATTGTCTGAGAGACCACGCATAGCGTCATTGATCGGTAACCAATGGCCATTGACATCAAGAGTAAACGTTACTAGGATCTTATGCGATGGTATATAGGTAGGCTCCAGCTGAGCATTGTACGAGGCTAGTTGGCGAGCGATATCGTGAATTTCGGTATTTCCCACTATCTGCCAACCTCTGGGAACCGACTGTTGGCAGCAGTTAAGGCGATGGAATAGCTAAAATAAATCAATGAGCTTTTGTCAATTGTCCGCAATGAGGGAACAACAGTGTGAGACTACCGAGAAACAGTCGTCCCGAGCTCCGCCTCAAAGCACACTAAGTATAAATAGATTGCTCCGATGGTTCTGAATACTGGTGGGCGGGCGTGTTGATTCGTGAACCCTTTCTCCTGTCAAGTGTCTGTCGAATATCGCAACTGAGTACTAGTAATACGGGCGGCTGAGCAACAATAAGGGGCCAGATATCGCCTGCGGCCGCAATACTATGTAAGGCCTTGTGGTGGCACTGGTGGCGGCGCCTCGTTCATGGCGGCGCCCAAATATCTTGTATTGGATGTACAATACGACAATGACTGTGACAAATGTATCCTCATTTTGACTACTAGTATTCCATACTCCGTGCGGACTACCGAGTGCAGAGGACGCACGGTATTTTTGCAATAGTGTGAGATGTTTCTGAGCAACCTGCTAGTCACTCAGCTCGTCTTGTCTTGTGACAGCCATATCATACCACTGAGTCAAGAAGTAGGGAAGGCCCTTACGTCAAAAATTTGGAGTCTTCCCCACATACTTCTGTATACTTGAAACAATCTTTTTGCAACAACGAAATTACCGAGACATAGAACCCAAGAAATGAGACAAAATGTGAGATACTCGGTAAAACATTAGCGGGTTGAGTCGCTGAACGCGGGGAGCGTTGTTCAAGCTGAGGCGGCAACATACATACGTACTAATTGAATTGTTTGGGCTTGCTTTTTCTTTTCCCGCCATGTTTGGAAGCTACGAAATTTGGACATTCTTATCTTGCTCGAATGTTAATTGGCATCGAATACGGAACAGTTGCTCCATGTTCGGCGTACCAAGAGTCTAATCATGACAATGTGAACAGACTGAGCATGATGTAGACGGGAGCTGTTTTAGAATGCGCAGAGCCACGTGGAAACTGCCTATATCCGGCGCTAGTAGTAACGGCAGCTGTGGCCTGGAGTTGACAAAAGACAGGACCCAAAATAAGTTTTCGGGTATTGTGGCGTTTCATTGGCAGTGCCGTCATGGGTGGTGACATTGCGACAACACACAAACTGAACTTCGGTATCGTAGGCGCCGGAACTGGAAACATACAATGCGATATGATTGCAGATCGATGCGACTGAGTATCTGTCGGAGTCGCCAATCACGGTCCACGGTCCTTGCTTTGATGCACCAGTTCCAAGTAAAATTACGCCTCTGGCGCGACTGGGTTCTGGGTTTTGCTGCACGTAGAATGAGTATACGGAGTACATAACACATTTCTTTGGCTGTGCCATGGTAATAGCTACCTACCTAGCCTATGCAAGTAGCTAGCGAACACAGCATGTCCTGAGGGTTCCAAGAAAGAAGAAACCCAAGGGACCCTTACCCTTACCAAGTGGCACCACAGTGACTGATTTGTTTTTTGTCCAGAGTCGCGTCTTTTCAGTAAAACTTGCTGTTGCTCTTCTTGTTGTCTTCCATTTGACCTGCATTTCTACCCCTGGCTCATACCCCCGTCTATTCCTGCGTGTCCCCTGTTCCGCAAAATTGCACAGGGCACGACAGACGTCGAATGGCTCCATTTGGCATCCGCTTTGCGTGTTTGCTTGCAGTCTAGGAACGGGCTAATTCTTCTTAGCGCCAAATAACCTGACGAAGCCTTCGCGAGCCGTTCCTGATCCAGTGCCAAACGATCCCCGGGCGAATCGGTCGGTTGAGGCGGTTCATGGAACAAAACACCAGGCAGTACTAGTGCGCCGTACTCCGTACAGAGTAAGTATTCCATATCACAGACAGAGGCCAGGATGCATAAGGCGCGTTGCGCCCATGTCAGGTACGCGCGACGTCTCAGCCAGGTAGTGTTTGCTGCAGGGCGCCTGTCGTCTGCTGCAAGGTGAGCAAATTGTCCTCCGCTCAGATACGGAGTACTACTAGTTACTAGTACATGGCTGGCTGCATGGCACCAAAGACATGAATGACCATGGCAGCTTGCGTGTGTCGGTTGTCGCGCAACCAGGTTGACAGGCTTTTCCCGTTACGGTGGCGCTGATCGTTCATCAATCAGTGCGAGGGATATTGGATGACGGTTGCATAGCCTGACGCCTCTTGGTTGTAGACGCAGGGGTCTGACTGGATTGACCCATTTTGGCTTGGGTTTGACAAGGGGCGGCGGACCTGACGAAACAAAAACAGAATGCAGCAGGGCGGAACGACGAGAAAGGCACAATGTGAATGTGACATGGATAATGACGGCTAGTAATGTTACGAGGGATAACAACAAGTGTGAGCAGGTGGTGAGGAGCGAGGAACAGGAGTGAGAAGGTGGAGCGAGGAGGAGTGAGGAGCACGCAGGCATGGGGTTTTTTTTTGCGTGCAGGAAGGAGACGAGGCATCGCGGTTGCCCTTTTGGCATTTGGGGAGCCTGAGCCTGAGCCTGAGCCTGCATGTGAGTCTGAGAGTCTGAGAGTCCGAGAGTCTCGTCTGAGTCTGGCTGCCGCTGGCTGCGTCCCCTTTGGTCGGCAAAACACCACGCGCTACACTCCCCCAGCTGCCGCACCACTCCTCCAGAGCCTCTGTGCGCACACCCTCATGCTCTCCTCCTTTCTTTCGTTTCTCCTCCTTCCCTCTGTTCTGTATTCGCAGCCCATCGTGTTGGTTTTTTGGCCCCGCTGCTGGTTCTTCAACGTCTCGTCGGGCTTTGCGCTTTGTATTCTCTTTTGTGGGATCCAAGGCGCCGAGTCACGACTCACGACTCCGTCTCCTAATTAGAACAACCCTACCTACCTAGGTGCTTCGGCTTCGGCTTCTTTGACTTCACGGCGATATCCTTTCTCTCCGCCTGCGGTCCGCGATCCTTCGTTCGACAGCTGTTGCTGTTGCCATCGTCATCGTCCAACGCCTGGCTTTCAATCGCCGCCCAATTCCTTCGCCTTGGTTTAGCGCCTGCCGCTCGTTACAATTTCAACCCGAGATTTCCATCTATCTCGACGACGTTCCTTCCCACATAGGACAATTGCGCCTTTAATGTCTATTCTTCTCTGCGATCTGCGACCTGCAACCTACGGCCTTTAATCCTCAATCGATCCTTCCTTGCTTTTGCTGGACTGAGAGTTCGCATTCTGCTGCTATCAATTCTCTTCTCAGCCTGTCCAATTTCGAATCCCGCAGTATTGGATTTGCATTCTGGGTTTTAGCCGTCATTAAAATCAAAGCAAAGATACCGAACAAAGCTCGACTACGGATTGAACCGATTTCTTTCATGCTGTGGCCCTCTCTTTTTGGTTAGGATATCCATCGACACAGCATTTATCCACCAATTACTTCGTTACTGCTATCCGCCGGCATCACCGCTTCATTTTCGTCGTCCAGATCACTGCATGGATAGTTGATAGCCACAAGGCCCCTCTACCCGCTGTAGCATCCATTTTGCGATAGCATAGTAACGCATCGGATGCTTGGCGTAATGAACATGGCCATGGAACTGCCTTGCGATCGCAAGGCTACGGCGAAGCGCTCCTATCGGCATGCCAACAATGACCACATACCCTCCATAAACCGCTCTATGGCTCGGGGAGCTGCGGCACTCACTCTATTTACTCTCATGCCTCGAGTAGCATCGGCACAAAGCAACGGCGGATGCATATCATTACAAGGCTCAAAAGCATGCCCTGCTTTTGGATCGGCTTCCGTTTCGACCAGTAGTGGCATGGTCCAGATATAGTAAGTTCTGTTAGCCCTCAGCTAGATGGCGCGGGTAATTGACCTTTGCTTAATCTAGTCCATTCTTGCAATTTGTATCCGAAACCGGGTCTTTCGACTATCAACTGTTGACTTACGTGAAAACATCTTATGTAAAAGACAAGTAAGAACGCCGCAATGGCTGCAAGCCACAATTTTGGCCTCGGATCTAACCTCGACCTGACAGATATCAAAGCTTATTCGGCTGTGGTAATATCAATTTTACTGACCCGAGTAACATGTACGCCCGATACACAACAACGCTACTGTGCAACACCCTCATTCAGAAGTCGATCAGCTCTTGCTCGCTTACCGGCGACGCGACAAGGCCGTTGTGTGCAGATACATGTGCCGACTTTGCTCAAAGTGAAGCCTACATCACTGCTGACAAAAATCTCTGTTCTAACCCTGGTCCTGATTTGAGCAAACTGATTCGCGCCGATTTTGCGACGTGCTCTTTGCCTGAGGATGCCCTTACCAGCAGGTGCATTGCTGGATTTGACAATGAGTCAGACAACTGTGGTTTTGGTAATAGCACTATTGGTCTCTGCTCCTACTGCGCCGCCGGAGGCACCAATTCAACAGATACCTGCTGCTATAATGCGAATGCCGAGAAACGATGCGAAGGTGTTAAGCTCCCTCCTATCACCGCGACCATGACCTTTACTCCCCCAACCGCGACATCAACACCATCTTCAACTGGGACTCCGGGTGATTCCAATGGCAGCGACGGTGGCAACAGGCTTAGTGGTGGCGCCATAGCTGGTATTGTTATCGGCTCGCTCATTGCAATTGCGCTCTTGGCTCTGGCGATTTTCTTCTGTTTCCGCGTCATGCGCCGCCGACGTGGAAGCCAGCAAGGCAGCATCTTTAACCAACCTTCTCCGGCTCGAAAGGGTCCTTTGATGGCACAAGCTAAGCAGACGGCCCCGGAAGGATATGAAGTTCTACCTGGTGGTCGCGTGGCTCGTATGGCAGCGTTGGAAGGCCATTCTGGCGGCTCGCCCACGCAACGAAGCGGCAACAATGGCGTCACTGCTTTTGTAGGTGATGCTCCTCGCAAGGGAACCGATACCCAGTCCTCCTCTGACGAGTATGCTGAATCTCCCGAGCGTGGAGGCGTTTTGCGGCCGCCGCCAACATCTAGAAGACAAGGGTCATTGTCAAGCGGCTCTGCTCTCGGAAGCGATGGCCCACAATCGCCGGGCAGTGCTGGATATTCTTCACCCCTTGGTATGGCTAGCCAACAGTCGGAGCAACTACCGTTTTTCAAAGACTACTATTCCCAGGATGATATCCATCCTTCCGACAAGGTGGCGGTTCTTTGGGCGTATCAACCTCGCGCTCCCGACGAATTTTCTCTTGAGCGTGGCGATATGATCAAGGTGGTTGGAATTTGGGATGACGGCTGGGCCACAGGCATCATGCTCGATGAACGTGCAGATGAGTGGGAAGTTAGACGACAAGCCCAACGGGACAGTGGCGTCTCGAACACATCGGGCATTCGCGACGAATCGCCAGAGGCCCAAGGTGAAATGAAAGCATTTCCATTGGTGTGTGTCTGCCTGCCGGAGCACTGGAGAAAAACAATAGAAGGCGACGGTTCTACAGAATCTGCGTCAAGTCCAGGGCCAACGGTACCAACCAGTATTTCATGATATTAGGGAACTCAGACCCGTTCCGCCAAATCCGACTTTGCGACAGTTTCGTCTCCATGTACATAGCGAACTGCTTGCACCAACCCTGCTCGTAGCCAGTTGCAGCTGCACCTCTGCACTACAGCAGCTCATCATTTCGCCATCTCAATCGCAATGTTGAGCGATGTACATAATCTGTTTCTTCGACGAAATCAACCGCAGCCTTTCAGCATCACGACAAATGAGCGAGCGTCCGACGTCCTAGCCACTATCATGCCTGTTACCTGGACCTATTCGTTGGCCGTTTTCATGTGCGCGCGTAATTTTGACGAGATACATCAGGCGCGAATAATTGTAATTCTTTTATTACCTCCGATCACTTGGTCTATTATTCTTGATTCGAGTACCCATATGAGCATTAACTGGCGTTACGTCGAGGCCGAGGCGAAAGACCAACAGCATGAATGACTGGTGGTCGAATAATGTTTGATAATTAACTTTGCCTGGAAGATGGCATAATTCTACCGGAGACTCGCCATCCGTTGCGATTGTTATTGTAGCGGTGGTAAGAGGAAGTGCTTGGAGGTTCGAAAAATATATTTCACGGCCTACATGAGGCAATACCTGGACATAGTCATACGAGAGGAGACGCAAACTCCTGATTTACTTACGTAGTTTAGATACCAATGGATACCTTCCTGAGACGACACAATTCTTTGTGACGTGTTTGTAGCGGTATGGGTGATATACCGTTGATTTGAGTTCTCTTAGGTCATATACGATAAGGCTATTTATAAGAGAGGCGGCCACGGTGCCACCCTGCCATGATTCCATTCCCGCCAGACTGTCTATTTCAAAGGCGTAGAATTCGCCGCTAGCAGTTCATAATAGGATTGCCGGTATTTACCGTTGCCGCCTTGGCCAACGACTATTTAAGGTGTAAAAGCTTCGTTGGTGGCCCAATGGTGGGTGCCCAGGATTGAATACCAAGCAATTGCTTCGGGGCACGACGTGACAATGGCGAGCATTTGAATATGTGGGCAAACGTATTGTACCGTTGGCTATTTGGAAGTCTTTTGGTTTGAAGACCTGGAGAGGCCTGACTTTCCCGAGGACATACAACCCAGTGCCATTGTTTTCAGGGCACCGCTGGTTCTCTCTCATTCGTAAATAGCAGCTTGGATACCTCATGGCTACTGCAATTAACCCGGCGACCCTGGCACCGGCTCTGCCACGGAGTATTCATTGACGTCGATCATCTGGGGAACATTGAACCTGGAGCTCACCGACTTACCCGCCTCCGGCAGGCACCATAGCGGGGCTCGAGGGGATAGAAGGTAGAACAAGAGAAGTCAACAAAAAGCTACAAATTACCACCCACCAACTCTACGTCTCTGAAGCTCCGTGGAACCAAATCGACGAAGCGGAATCCACCAAGATCGATTGAAGCCGCATTGTGCGTCCCTACGGCCTCCAGGAGCTCCAGCCCACCGCAGCACAATGGCCGAGTTCAACGCCCGGGCTGAAGCCCTCGTGCCCAAGTTCCAGCTGGAACGCGTCCTCAACCAAGGTACATCGCTTTCGTGCACCTTCACCAAGCGAAGACTGCTTAACCGTTTCAAAATTTTGCAGACCAGGCCGGCAGACGGACATCCATGTACGGCACCATCGACAACGAGCCCGCGCTCCTCATCGTCGAACGTGCCCCGTTCCCTACATCCGACAAGTATCTCGGCCGCATCCCGTCCTCCCTCGCTAGACTAAAGAACCTCGGCGCCAACGACATATACAGCTGGAGCATGGCACGGACAGGCAGCGACGACGAAGAGGAGTCCAACAAGGAAAAAGCCGGCTTCTTTGCCGATTTAAAAATCAACTTGATCTACCCATGCACAGAGACACATGTTCAAAAGTACAGCAAGCAACAGGTTCGATTTGTTACGGAAACGCCAGAGATATATAGAGCCAGTATTAGACCGTACATGCAGAGCAAGCGAGACCAAGGAAGACTAAACTGGGTGTTCAACATTATCGAGGGTCGAAAGGAAGTAGAAGACGTCATTTATAGAACGAAGCTGGGGGAAGCGGGTGACGAGGGCTTCCTGCTCTTGCCCGACCTGAACTGGGACCGCAGCACGCTAGAAGCGCTGCACCTGCTGGCGATTGTGGAACGGCGCGACATTTGGTCCCTGCGAGACCTAAAGAAGAAGCATATCCCTTGGCTGGAGCACATGAAGAACAAGCTCATATCCGCCACCGTCGAGACGTATCCATCCATCGAACCGGACCAGCTGAAGCTCTACGTGCACTACCAGCCCACGTACTACCACTTCCACATTCACATTGTCCATGTTGCGCTCGAGGCTGGCGCCACTCAGGCGACGGGCAAGGCTTTCGGGCTCGATGTGCTTATAGAGATGCTCAAGGTCATGGCTGGGGATGAAGAGGCAGGGATGGATGCTGTGTCAATGACGTATACTCTTGGCGAGGCCAGTGAATTATGGACAGAAGTATATGAGCCGCTTAAGAAGAGCGGTAGAGCTTCTCGATAGCAAGAACAAGATCGTTTACGCCTGGCCCATGAGGGCAGTCCTTCCATTCCCCGCCGTCTCGAATGCAATAGATTTCCTCGTTGAGTCGAACCGTGCAGCTTATGGTAACATTGGCCTACGCAGATCAGTCAGTTGTTCTCTGGCTACTTTGCTATACTGACAGTGGTATAGTATGGCGCATTGTCTGCAGAATCGATTACTTACGTCCGTGGTCCGCTGGATGCTGTTTCGCAAAAGACCCATGCCATAGGCACCGTCATCTCTGGCGGCGCACTCGTTGATAGCTCTAATATCGATAGCGTGCTCTAATGCGCAGTCTTCGACTAGAGCCCGTTCGGGGATGTGTGGATAGTCCTTGGTCAAGCACATAATAAAGCCGAGGTTGATCTTTGGGTCCGGGTAGAGTTCGCGAGTGCAAAGCTCGATGATGTTGCCCATGCATTCAGAGGGTCCATGCTTGCACTCGACGCCGTCATCGGCCGTTGGACTGTTGTTCCAGATACATTAGTTTCCGGATATTCCGCACCGCTGGACTATGGGAAGAACGTACGTTCCAATATAATTAAGCTTAAAGTCGACCTTGTCATACACCCGCTGCATCACAGGAAGGATCAGCTCCCTCAAAGCATCCTAATCGGAGTATTAGTAACAGCCGAGCCGACACGGGATAAGCTTGTTGTCTATGTGCCGTTGCACTTACTCTAGTATCCGGGCATTTACTAATAATATGAGCCTCCAGAGGCACTAGATGAGTGATGCCTGGGCCGGCGAACTTGTACCGGTATGAGATATCATAGACGCCCCGGAGCAACAAGATGATGGCCAGCATAGGAAGCAGAAACCTGCGGAGGCGGGATATTGACGACATGGACGATGAATGCCTTAGACTCTCGCTGGAAATGCCCTGGGCCAGTTGTTGCTTGCCATCCATAGCTGGAACGACTCCTAGTATTCTTCGGCTTCGTCTACCGCGGCCAACGTCGCTGCAGATGTGCGCCTCGTCGCTTCTCGCTTCGCAAGATGGTCCCGTTGATTGGGGAGTTTCGAGTGTAGACCAAACGTCCAGGTCCTAGGTCACTGTCTCAGGGCAGCGAGGTTGTTGCAGAATCGTCTCGTTGTGCAACGGGGACGTCCTATTAGACCACACGAGCGGATGCTACCTACTACAAAGAGCAAGTGGGTTGGGGTCGGCTATTGAAGATCTGAAGGTATGATGAGTACGGAGCACAATCAGGAGGAGTTGGGTGGAGGGCAGACGAGTCGTGGGGACGGAACAAGCTTCGGTACTAGCTGCGCGCGGTGTGTTTTGCATGTGGTTGTATGCGTGCGGGCCATGTACATATGGTTACGGAGTACGGAGTACTATTCCGTACATGTACAGTCCGCATTGTCGCAGGTGTGGATGTGGATTTGGCAGAGACAGTAACATTTGGACCCGTGGCTTTGCTGTCCCATGTGTCTGGACTCCGACTCTGGAGTCGTGGCTGGTGGATTCGGCCTGAAACCGCCTGTTGGGCCGATGGAAAAAGACCAGACCATTTTGAAGCCGTGGGGATATTACCATTCGCTGAAGCTTCCGTTTATAGAGACCCGCGTGCTAGTGGCTGACAAGTTATGAGGCGTCTTGCAATAGTCGAGCATTTGCTGATTGTCGGTTCATGCTTTGTCGAAGACGAACGACTTTTTTCTTTGCACATGTAAATTCCTTCCAAATCCATGACGGTCCATATGTATATTTGTAATAGGAGTGTCAATATGAAACCCCTCAGCTAATCACTCCGTAGTACCACCATTAAACGCACGCTGCGGATCTGGATGTCGGATCTCGGAAGATGAATACATGAATACATATTACTTACCTATGTACTTAGCCCTAGGACTGGCTGAACCTCCCAGGTACGGAGATTGACCCACGAAGGAAATAGCGTGGCTGCCGGGGAGACAAACACGAAACGCTTCATATTGGACAGAAAATTGCATGATTAGATTTAATGTTCGGGGGAGCGCACTATTCAGTTGTGAGCGGGATACACACCACCACGTATTCCGGGTCTCTTTCCTGTTGTTAGAATCTATGAACGGCGTGATTTCCTACTCGCATCCGGATAATGAAAGAATGTCCCCAAACAAATCAAGTCTGGTTGACTTCTGCACAAAGCAAGACGGGGAGATATTATCATAATGCGGGGGTCGCAGCAGGTATCATCCATGGTTCTTCCAGGCTTCCCTTTCGTGCTGGTCCCACGTTGCATCTGCAAAAACCTTGGGCCCCTTTGTTGCCCCTCCCTAATGGTCCTCTTCGTGATGTCGGTGAATCAACCAGACGCTTGACTTGAGCCAACAGTTCATCAGAACTCCTGGTTCGTTATTAATGCTGGCTCCAGCTTGTTTCTCCAAGCCCCGCATCGCTGGCGGATCGTCACAGGGGTCTTGGCGCATTCATCTGCGAAGCAAGCTGAGTTTGGTGAGTCGTAGGTGGTAGTACTTTGGTATGAAGGGAGTGGCCACTCAATGGCATGTTGAGCTGTTTGGCGCCCGCTGGCAGTGTGGCAGCATCCAGATGCTGAATGTGAATGCCCTGATGGAGCCGGTACAAGGCTCTAACCCTCCCTTTGTCACGCCCTCACTCTCTGTCGCGCGCTCTCTCTAGTGTGGGTGCAACTTTGTGGCGTGGCCTTGTCACCACCCCCATCTCAACAGGGAGCACTCGAGGAGCGAGCAAGGAGCACAGGGTATTAATATCCGATCGCGCGCCTTGTTTGGTGGTGCCGTAACGCCGCAACGGAGGTTGGTTCCATCGATCAAAGATCTTACCTCAGAGACTGGGTTGGCAAACATGAAAGTGAGGGTCGGCCGCTTCCCTTGAACGAAGCATCGCACTCTCTGCCTCGTTCGCTCAGGTGCTCCTTCCGCTTCTCCGTCGCGGACTCATGGCCGTGAGTGGCACCTGCCGCTGTCGGTCATCATATATCAAATCGAATCGCTTGTATCGGTTGACCAGCTATTATCATGGCTTCGACACCGGAGCAATTAGCTCTCCTTGGTGCCTTTCTGGAACCCATGAGCATTGACGTCCAAAAATGCCACGTCCTATCGGAGCGATTTTTGCAAAACTTTACCCATCTCTCCGCAGAGTCCTTGGATCAGTTTTTGCCGACCCCCATCTCCGAGTCCATTTTACGCCCTGTGGAAGACTATGGCCACGGACGGTAAGCTGCCAATCTTATTCAACCTTTCGTTGTCACTTGAAATGCCACGGATACTTTGAAGGAGCACCATTTCTCCTCATCTAATCGACTTCAACATGTCAATTTGAACAATGCTGCACTTCTTCCAACCAAGCATCTAATACTCGAGCTAACAAATTTCCGTTATGCAGGCACCTTGCTATCGACATGTAAGCATGTGAAGCTCCAAAAAAAAGATAATTTGGAAGTATTGGCGCCGTTCTGTCTAGCTAATCTCATCGCAGCGGGGGGACCAATTTGAGAGTTGGCTTTGTAGAATTGCTAACAGTTGAATCTGCCATATCTGCAAGCCATGGCGCCACGACGACAAGTAATGGCATCAATGGGATAAACGGTGCAATTAGCAGCAGTGACGAGGACCAGGCTGTCCCAACATTGCCCACAGGCCGCTTACACCGACAGCTGGAGAAGTCATGGCCAATTTCAAATCATCTCAAGAGCGACAATGCTGACAGTCTCTTTCTTTGGATTGGAAAGTGTATTGCCGAGGTCGTTGAAGAAGGATGCAAAGCATTCAACCTCTCCATCGAGACACCACTCCCTCTTGGCATCACATTTAGTTTCCCGGTCGAACAACCATCACTAGAGAAAGCAATTATTTCCTCCATGGGCAAAGGCTTTGCCCTCCCCCCCCATGTTGACCTTGGAATACGCCTTCAAGCCGCGTACGATAAGCACAGAGGCGACAACCTGCCGACCATTTATGTTGCCGCCATTGCTAATGACTCGGTCTCCACGCTAATATCCTTCATCTTCAATTATGACAGACTGGCCCACCGTCGTGCCGCAATGGGTCTGATACTGGGAACTGGGAGCAATGCTACAATCCCTGTTAAGCTCAGCCTTCTTCACCCTAGCAAACGACCTAAAAACGTGAATGTTCTGCCTGGCGAGAAGGTAGAAGATGCGAAGATTGCGGTGAATACCGAATGGAGCATTAACGGAACGGCACCGCCGATGCGCGAGCTTGGGTTGATTAGTGACTGGGACGATGAGCTCAGTGCGAAAAATGAGAAGCCGGGATTTCAACCTCTGGAGTACATGACGGCTGGTCGATATCTTGGAGAGCTTGGACGCATCATGCTGGTCGACTACATGACCAGCAGACTGAACGTTGGGAGGGATTTGCTACCACCAAAAATCTTGGAACCGGATAGTCTGACGACGACGTTTTTGAGTCACTTCAAGCCGCTACAGCCCACCGCCCTGTTATCAACTCTGAAGACCGAGTTTCCAGAACCGTCGGGCTCCCAATTCGTTTGGACGGAGCATCATGCCGAGGCATTGTATCGTATTTCCAAGGCCATTGAAGTGCGGGCGGCCGGGATTATAGCAGCGGCCATTCTCGCGTTGCTCACTCTCGGGGAAGAAATTCCTGTTGATGGGGCATCTCCAATTCCAACGTCAGAGATTCGCGAGTTGGGGGTCGGCTATACTGGAGGCTGTATTGTGCACTTCCAGGACTATTTGGTGGACTGCCAACACTTCGTGGACCAGCTTGTCAAGAAGAGATGCGGGATTCACTTTCCTCTTAAAGTGACAATGAATCCATGTCATGACGGCGGAATTACAGGTGCTGGAATCTTGGTTGCGGCGGCCCTCTCGAGTCAGGCTTCACAAACGTGAAGAGAGAGCCTTTGCTCGCATCTCCCCTGGGAGTTGTACCTTATTGGTCAGAACAGCTTCATCAAGACCAGAAGTCCACACGTGATACGGAGTTCTACTAGGACCTGGATGACTGGGATGACCTGGCTCAGTGTGCGGGCCGGATGCGGCCGCGAGACGGTGCCTCGAGCGAGGAATTGCCCAACCAGAGCCGCACAGATATAAGGACCGGGTCCAGTAAACACGATAGACAGCAGAGACGATGAAAAAAAAAATTGCATAGATAATATTTGACTAGTCATTATTGCACAAGATACACTTTAGTTACCATTGGTGACTCAGGCCGGGGTGGGTGAGACATGCGCCCGGTGGGCAGCAGGAGGAATTATCCGGGCCTTACTACTCGTACTCGGTAGGACGAGCTGTAAGAGGTCGGGGAATCGCAGGGCGCACGGAGTACATACATGAAAGTAAGCTTCAAATTTGGAAGCGGGCGCAGGCAGAGGCCGGCGGTTGGTAGTTTGTTCATGTGGCCGAATCGGAGGTAGAGCGAGAAGAAGGGGGGGAAGATTGAAAGGTTATTGCATCTGAAGGCCGCATCCACTTCGGCATCTCCAAGACGGCCGAAGACGGCCTCCTTCTTCACCGCCGCCAATCCTGGCGATCCGAGGAATCGCCCAACGGCACGAAAGCTTCCCCAAGCCCAGATCAATACTGGATCGGCGCTCTCATGCCAGGATAATGGAGGCTTCAACAAACGCCGCCGCCGTGCGCGTGCCGGGCCATTATCGCACCATCAACAGCCATGCCACCGACGACGCACCGGATATTGACATGCTCTCCCGCTCTCTGCCGACCTCTGGTCCCCTTCTGGAGCCGGAGCCAGCAGATCTGGCCATGCTGCGGCCTGTAGCATCAAATCAATCGTGTACCGGCCGCAGTCGTGACCACGCAGAGGTGGGCGTACCAAACGGAGCCGCGCCGTCTGAACGATCACCGCTTCTCCGTCCACGGGCTTCCGTCTCTGGTCTTTCCACGAGCTCCATTCTGACTGATTCCGAGCCCGCCCTCTTCTTGAACGGCACTTCGCCCTCACACTTTTGGTACATCTTCTCGCAGATTCTCACGGTCCACTTCATCGGGTGCTTCGACGGCACCATCATGGCCTCGTCCCATCCCGTCATCACGTCGTACTTTGGCGCTGCCAACTCCGCATCCTGGCTGTCCACGGCATTTCTACTGACATCTACCGCTTTTCAGCCGCTGCTGGGACGCTTGTCTGACGCCGTGGGCAGAAAACCCTTGTTCCTGGGGTCCTTGGGCGTCTTTGGCCTGGCCACGCTGTGGTGTGCGTTGGCGGATAGCATCGAGTCTTTCGTAGCGGCGAGAGCATTCTGCGGCCTTGGCGCAGGAGGAAGCATGACGGTCGGGAGTATAATCACGAGTGATTTGGTTCCCATTGAGTGTGTATTGCCCGGAGCTTGTGTGCGGGCCAGTTTGATTTGCTGACGCTTTGTAGACGCCGAGGGGCCTACCAGTCCTACATGAATATCATCTATGGAGTGGGTTCGGCCCTTGGAGCTGCTCTTGGTGGCGCAATGGCAGAAGCACTTGGCTGGAGATGGGTGTTCGGCATCCAGATCCCTCCCTTGGTCACCTGCCTGTGCATCTCGGCCGTGGCTATACCGGTTGACTTGGGCATCATGGGGGAGAGGAAGACGGTGATGCAGGCCATCAGAGAGTTTGATGGCAAGGGGTCGCTGCTCCTAACCGTTGCCATTTCGTTTCTTATACTTGGTCTGGTAAGCTGTTGATTCCTGCGGCCTTGTGTTTGTGGCCTTGGCTGACTCCATGTGTTGTACAGAATCTCGGCGGTAACGTGATGCCATGTAAGTGAGCACAACAGAAGGCGTGTTAGTCAAGATGGGACAGGACAACAACTGACAAATTGCAGGGTCTCATCCATTTGTCATTGCCTCGCTCATCACCTTTGCCGTCTGCTTCCCGGCATTTATATGGATCGAGTCCCGCGTCTCCAAGCCCATCATGCCGCTGCGTCTTATTCGAGAGTCTCCGCGCTCGAATCTCGTCTTTTCCAACGCCATCGCCGCCTTGCTCTCCAACGCCATCTTCTTCAACATGTACGTCCCCAACCGATGCATCCAACCTGTTTCGTAGTATTCCCGAAAAAAAATCCCTCCCTGCGGTTGATTCAAGAGACAGGTTGCCACGTCGCTAACTGGACGCCAAAAAAAAAAGTCCGCTCTACTTCCAAGCCGTCCTCCTCATGTCCGCGACTGACTCTGGCCTCCGCCTCGTCGCACCAACTCTCGTGTCCTCCTTCATCGGCGCCCTCACCGGCTTCGCAATAACATGGACGCGCCGCCTCAAATGGCCCCTCGTCTGCGGAGCAATCAGCTACCTCGTCGGCACAATCTGCCTCTTCTCCCTGCGCCGCAGCCTCCCCTCCGTCGCCTACTTCCTCACGCTGCTCCCGTCGTCCATTGGCGGCGGCTTCCAGTTCCCAGGGACCTTCATGGCCATCTTGGCCTCGTCGCCGCAGTCCGAACAGGCAGTCGTGTCGAGCACGCTCATCCTCTGGCGCAGTCTCGGCATGGTGCTCGGCATAGCCGTGAGCAGTCTGCTGCTTCAGAACGCGCTCGTCTTTTACCTCGAGGACTATGTGAGCGGCGAGCTGAAGGATGCCGTTATTCGCCGCGTGAGGGCATCGGTCGAGGCGGTCGCGCAGCTCGACGAGCCGTATCGGGAGCAGGTCATCAGGGCGTACGAGGCGTCGCTGAGGTTGACATTTGGGTTTTGCATCTTCATGGCCGCCATCTCGGTGGCGTTTGTCATGCCCATGAAGTTGAAGAGGCTGCCTGCCAGGAAGTACGTCAAGAAGAGTAGGGTCAACTAAGCATTCGCGTTCCAGTTTGTCACAGGGCAAAGGGAATAACCCACGTCAAGCGTCGATGCTGGTTGCACACAAGTGGCTTTTGGACATCACGTCACCTCGGGATAGAAGGAAAGGGTTACAGAATCCATTTTTTTCGAGGGGCGCAAATTTATTTCTCAGCATATTGCTTCATGGGGCATATAAAATTACAATACCAACTAGTTTACTTTGAATACATAATATGCATTGCTCCCGATACCAATCAAGTTCCCTCCCCGTTGGTATACCCCTCTTCAATGGTATCCATTTCTCCCATCTTCCCTCAAGGCGGAGAGTTCATCTCTCGCCTTCCTATACTCCTCCTGGGCCTCCCTCTCCCGCTTAGTAACATACATGACTTCTTCTCTCAGTGCCTCCAATCGCCTGTCGATGGCCACGTCCTCGGATATGGCTAATGTTTTGAACCCGCTAAGAGCGTTCCTCGCCTTTTCCAAGGCGTCCGTGGCATCGCTGATTTTGTCCTTGAGCATCTTTTGTCGCTTTTGGTATCCGCCGAGATGAAGAGCCAACTTCTTCTCCAGCTTGGCTCCTTGCTCTGCTGAAGCCATGATCGAATCTTGAACGGCCTACGAAAAAGAGGGAAAAAAAAGTTAGTATCCTCAAGAAGCCCATCATTGTCACCATAAAAGGGGGTGGTGCAACTTACGTCAAATGCAGCTCGCATAGCGGCCTCCTGCTCCTCCTCGTCATCGTTATAGCACCCTAATCCTAGCAGCATCGAGTTCTTTGCTCGGCTCTCGAAGAAGTCTTGGATCTGCTCTAAGTTGGGACGGGGCTTTGTCTCAGACAGAATCAGGAGGCGGGCGTCTGCAAGTGCGTCATCATCAAAACGCTCAATGGGCTTGTAGATGCCTTTGACTTGCGAATCCGTCACTGGATATTGAGCTGCGTCATTGGCCATGAGCAGTGCGGTCTCCCTGGCAATCATTGCTTCTGCAGCATTTTGGATGCTGTCGGCTTTCTTGAGCAACATGGTTAGGTCGACAATCGATGGCCGTGGCAAGTCTTTCTGCATGACTTGTGTCCTTCGCCTCCGCTCCAGTTCCTCCTCTGCGGCACGTATTGCCTGCTCCCTACGGTCCCGTTCTGCAGCATCTTCTTCCGCTGTGTCGTCTGCTCGCGCCGTCTCCTGTTCCTCATCAGGAATCTCAAACTCCCATTCGGTATCCTTGGGCTTGGGGAGCGATGCAAGGCCCGATCGTAGTTGATTTCGCATGGCGAGGTCGTGCATCTTGATATCACGAGGTGTGGCTGAAGGGATAGGCATGCCATCTTCTTGGTTCAGTGAAAAGGTATCCCGCGGTGTACGCATCGGCGTTTGTCCAGGGCGGCCGGGCGTTGCTCCGACGCCAGCCCCGGATCGTAAGGGAGTTGCAAGAGGATTCGGCGTCGCCATGGCTTGTTTCCTGGGGGCAATACCCTCGAAGCCAGTGGAACCTGCTCCCTCATATAAAGGAGTATTCTCACCCCCCAATAAGGCCGACTTTGTGTCGTTTAAGGCACGGATATTTCGAATCTCATTCGCAATATGGTCCTCTTGTTCCGGAGCCTTGGGCGTTCGTATCGGCGCGCCGGTGTTAAGCGTAGAATATGAACTAACAAAACCTCTCGTGGCATCATTATCGCTTTCTCTAGCCACCGCATTCGCAGCTTCACCCATCTTACCCATCTTGATAATGTCTTCCAGTTCGCCCTCGCTAACTTGTGGTGCAGGTAGGTTTAGAGGTCGGCGCTTGCTGCTTTGCTCGGCCTCTCGAATCTTCTGCATTCGGCCAGCCTTTATGGCTGCTTTTTGTGATTCAGACAGTCCCTCCTTTTCATTTTTCCTCCTTTTACGGTCGCCATCATCGTCATCATCATCATCGCCCTTTCGTTTCGTAGCCAGATTCAGCTTCTGGGGATCAAACCCTCTGAGCTGTGCTTCGTTTTGTGTTTTCTCCTCAGACGTATTGTAAAACCCAGGTGCTTCCTTCTTCTCAAATGGAATGTCGGCATTGTAGTCCATCTCACCCTTTTTCCGAGTGATGACCTTGATGTTGATACCAGCTGTCTTGAGCTCTCGGCGTTTTTGCAAGGTCGCTAAACGACGGGACTCCTCTTGCTGGCGCTCTCTGGCCTTTCTTTTCGCCTTTTTTCCCTGCGTGTTGGCCAAACGAGCTCGAGCCTCGCTCAGCATTTCCTTCTCATCTTCGTCGAGGTCGATGGTATCAGGTCGAGCAGGCTTGGATTCGGGATCGGGATCGAGTTCGCCAGGGCGCAATCTTCTGACATCGTCCGCGCTGGGTGCTTGCGTCTCGCCGCCATCAGGACCCATCAGTCCCAGGCTGGACGACTCGCGCGCTTCGGCCTCATCGAGCAGCTTTTGGTATCGTTCGAGACACTGGTTAGCTGTGCGGCCGACAATGGGAGCTATCGTCCGCCATTGCGTGGGCATGATCTTGGCGAGGTGCAACAGCTTTTCGTCCTCGTCCTTGCTCCATTCTATCTTCTTGATGCTGGGGTCCAGCCATTCGTTCCATCGTGCCTTGCACTGCTTGGGCGTCTTGCGCGCCAACAGAGACGACACGCGTGCCCATTGGTTCAGGCCATACTTGGAGACGGAGGCCTTGAGAATCTCATCCTCAATATTGGTCCAAACACCTCCCTTGACGACCGGCATGATGAACAAGTGCGGGATGCGGTGCGGCGGCGATGGGTGACGACGAATGCACTGCGCTCCTGCAGACCTGGCCTTGCCATGCGATCTGAGCTTTGGAAAATGTTGGAGGCCGATACTAGTCGTTCTGAGTTGCTGAGTCATGCATGACCAGGCGCTGATTGGTTGGCGGGCCCCGGCTCACAGAGGGACGTAAGTGCCTAGGTCGTTACTCCGTACTTAAGTACCTTTCAATATTATCCTTCTTTGGTCACCAAGCTATCACACCAGTTGACATGAATTGATTTGACTGTTAATGCCAGCCATTTGACCTTTGAACGCCAATAGTGGCAAACCCTCCAGTCTGGTCCAGCCCAGTTCCCCGAGGCTCCAGTAAACCGCGCGCAACGTGGAACATGAGCGGTCTTGCACCAGCATTCAATGCCGATGATGCCGTGCATCATTGATCACGACAGCACGACACCACAAGCTTGTTGCATGAATTCTACAGCTACTTGGACCCCGTCAACCGCCACAACGCATTAATGCATTGTTCAGTCATGCCCACGTCATCTGCATTTGCGCCAGCTCACTTCCATCGAGCCTCCCGCAATCCATGCAACCCTCGATCTGGGCAGCTGGGGTAGGGTACCCGCCGCCCCAACACTACTGAAGCCCTGCGGACTTTGTCGAGCCCATTCATTGTTATCGTGCGTGCGTCCCAACTATCAAAACGTTGATTATTAGCGGTTCCCAGGCTCTGCAAGCGCGGAGTTTGGCCCCATCCTAAAAACGCCTCGGAACGCCTCGTCGGCCCAGCATACCCAATCCCGGCTCCGCCAGCACCAGGCATGGACCGTTAACACTTGCGGTGGTGCGATAGACAGTTGTGTCTTGGTGGGCAGCCATCTGGCTCAAACCTTGCATGAAACCATCATGTGTGCTTGACGTTGGTTGGGTGTCGCGCTCCCATCCGGATTGCATACGTCAGGCACACTTGGAATATCCAATGCCCTGGTCTATCATCATTCCCAGCAAGGGCAAGCAGAGCATTGCGCTAGTGCTTCGCGCAACGGGGCCCTGAAACTGCCCACGGAGTAACGAATGCCGACTCCTGCTTGCTTTCATCAATTAGTATCAATTGATCCGTAATCAATGGTGTCGCGTGGGCCCCTGGACCGTGCTTGGACGTTTTAGTCCGCCTCCCGTGCCGACGGGAGCACTGGGCACAATCAATGCATAGAACAAATACCCCAGACATTATCCAGGCCAAGAAGATACCGGCACTGGGACTGTTGACGCGTAACTGCCCGCCGACTCCCCACTAACCGGTGGTCACTGTCCCGCCTGGTTTCATTCATTCCAGGTCCCAGTGCCATCGAATGTCTGCATGTGGTCCCTCCCGTCCGTCTCCAGTCAGTTCAGTAGCTCCGTAACACCGCCCACTGCATATCAAGCTCAGACATCCCAACCCCCGGTTGTTTCTTCTCATCTTTCCTGGTTATTAACAATCCATGTGCCCTCAACCTCTTGCTTTTCACAAAACTCATCGCCAGCGGTCCTGCGACATGGGCTTGCGGACACAAATCCATCTATTACCACTCCACGCTGCCGAGACACAAACCTGGCTGATTAGTCTGGTGGTTGTCCGTAGCTGAATTTCGACTGCATCCTTGGCCTACAAATATCCATAATCGACTAGCTTTCACGGGTATTTGGTGTGCTTGGTGCGTCTCTCGACTTTACATTTCCAACATGGTGGCACTTCGCGACGGCTCAAAGGCGCAGGGTGAACTTGGAGATGATTCGGATTTGATCACGCCAGACCCCACGGAAACAACCCATCTTCTGGCTACGGGCGTCGAAGGGAACGACAATATTGTCACTGCAGGCGGTGTCAAAGGTACCAATGGGGGCTGGGATGGTCTGGCTGACTTTGAAGGATTGCCCTGGTGGCGACGGCCATCGGTGAGTGCTCCAGCTACAAACTCAGGCAACTGATCTCTCGTTAACCAGACGGGTCTAGGTATTTTGGTTGCTGGCGCCGTATTCAGTCTTTACTCTTGCTTTTGGAAGTGTCATTGTACCAAAGTTGAATTTGTAAGGCACCTCTTCAATCCGCACATGTTTGCGCAAGCGCCCGTCTTGCGCGTCGTGATGTTGGTTAACATGATTCTCCGAATCCGTACAGGATTCTCGGCCTGGTATGTCAGCATTATTTTGCAAGCCAAAGCCATCTGCATCCGGATCTACGAGTCAACCCCATCACCATCGGTGCCGACAACCCTCAATGCAGAAATCCAGAGGTTCAGAAACGCGTCGCGACCTTCATGCTGGTCATGAACTTTTGCACTGGTTTGCTCAGCGCCTACGCTGCCCCTCGGCTTGGACACTTATCCGATAGATATGGTCGTCGGCGATTACTTGCTCTGGCATCCTGTGGTGGATTGCTAGGCGAAATCATAACCATTCTCGCCGCCAAATTTCCCGAGACTGTTGATTATCGTTGGTTGATCCTTGGATCCGTCTTCGATGGGATGACCGGTTCCTTCACGGCTGGAAACATTCTGACTCAATCATATGCTAGCGACTGCACACCGCCATCCAGACGTGCTGTGGCCATTGGCTATATTCATGCCTGTCTCTTCACAGGCTTGGCCGTGGGCCAGCTCTTGGGCGGAGAAATCGTCAGGTTGACAGGAAGCTTGGTCTCAATATTCTACGTCTGCCTCGCGGCTCACTCCTTTTTCATCGTGTTTGTCGCATTTGTTATCCCTGACTCATTGTCTAAGAAGAAGCAGCTGGCCGCTCGCGAGAAGCATCGCAAGGAAGAGGGGGAGCGCAGAGCACGACGGACATCTTGGTTTTCGTCGGTACAGGAGAGAAACCCATTCTCGTCTCTCTCTGTTCTGTGGCCCCGGGGTCGAGGAACCTCGACAAGACTTCGCCTCAACCTCGTAGCCTTGGCCACTTGCGATATGATCATTATGGGAACCGCCATGGCCGCCGGTCAGGTGATCATACTTTATGCTGAGTATGTGTTTGGCTGGCAGACTCCCGAAACCTCGCGCTTCGTCGCCGCCGCTTCCTTCTTCCGGGTTATTGTTCTGATGGGCATCTTCCCGCTCATCAACTACTTCTTTCGAATCCGCCCTGCTGCCAAGAGAAGACGGGAATCTGGCATCACTCCTGTGGATAAGAACAGCGGGGCCGACCATTTGGACATATGGATTCTCCGTATTGCCTTACTTTCGGACATTTTGGGGTATATCGGGTACACCTTTGCCAGGGCCCCCCTGCCTTTTGTCGCCTCTGCCCTTGTGACTGCGTTCGGCGGGCTTGGAAGTGCAACTAGTCAATCTGTTGTTACGAAGCACATTCCTCATGACAAGGTTGGCAGAGTTCTTGGTGCAATTGGCATGCTCCAAGCTCTGGTCAGAGTCGTTGGGCCTGTGACATTCAACGGTCTATACGCTGCGACGGTCGGTAGCTATCCACAGGCTATTTTCGTCGCTCTTGCTGGTCTATTCTCGTTTGCTTTGCTCTGCAGCTTTATAATCACGCCGTTTGGTAAGTTGGGTTGATGACGAGATGCAAGACCTTCCGACACTAACTTTGAACCATAGTTCATTGGCACGAGGACCATGAAGAAGAGGAGGAGCGTGAGCCGCTCAATGGAACTGCATCACAAGCAGTTGGCCCTGCTGGTACTGGTTTTCCTTGCGATGAGGATGAAATTCGGTACTGATGTTTCAAGATGCGGCATACCTTATACCTTTTACTACTCGTGCTTCTACCAACTCATAGATCTTCATATATATGTCGCTCCAGTTTTGGAGCTTGAATGTAGATTGTACATAATCCGCCAGAGGGCACACACTAAACTCTCAATATTAGCCAATAATACGAGCCTTGGCCTCGGAAGCCTCAAAATGACACATGACGATAACATGGAGAGTTACAGTCTAGGTATCGGTCACGAATTCCTGCGGAGATGCATTACAGGGCGAGCATTGGCCCATTCGGTTGCACCTCACTGTGCACATGATGTATATACCTGATACACCAATACACGCTTAAACTCACCTCTTTTGCCTCCCGGCCCTCGAACAATTCGCTCTATCGTTATTGGGCTGCTCAAGACTAGGTCGGCAAACAACTTGACGCGCGGCGACCATCTCGGGGCACTGGAGTACAGACATTTAAGCGGCTTGCCCACTGAGTCGCTGACGGGTAACTGGAGATGTTCCAACGATGACGGTGAGAACTAGACTCTTTGGCCGTTGGCTTTGTAATGCTTTGTTGGTTGGCTGTAAGTAAAGACCAAAAACAATCTGGAGATAACTACAGATGTACCTACCGAGTAGGATCTGGGTCAGGGCCAGGGGAATGATCGACAACATTGAAAGACATCTGGATGGACGGAGTGCTCCGGTCAATGTTCAATGGTGAATGGCAAGTGGGGCATCTCTGCAATAATGGAGTACTCCATAGTCTGGTGGTTGACGGTTACCAGCTGGCGCATAAAGTATGCAGCCTCAGACTGGCGAATGGGGCTCAACGTCACCATTACACCAGACACCAGACTGCTCCTATCACAGCGTGCCCCCCCGGCGCCTCTCAAACGCCTCTTTTTTGTCTATACCGTCTGGTGTTTCCCGTCTGGATCCAGATCAGCCTAAGCATTCTTTAACTCCTGCCATAGAATGCTTCGGTCTGCGTTCGGCCTCGGCAGATATTTCCCATCGCGGTCTCTCCACAGACCCATCATGACATCGACAAAGACAGAAGGCATGTCAATACACTTCGGGCCTTTCGAGGTCACAAAACAGGTGCGCACCACATCACTCGCCGTGAAAACCCCAGAACTATACTCCTACAGTACAAAGGGATCCCTGACCGTCCGATGACAAGGTGTTCCTCACAACACCCCATTCGTATGCCCTCGTCAATCTCAAGCCCCTCATCCCAGGCCACATCCTCGTGTGTCCCCTAAAATCCCACCTACGCCTTACAGACCTGTCTCCAACCGAAACGGCAGATCTCTTCGGCACCGTCCAGCTCACGCAGCGAATGCTGGCGCAGAAATATCTTCCCGAACCTGGAAACCTGCTCTCGGGGAGTTTCACCGTCGCTGTGCAGGATGGGCCCGACTCCGGCCAGACTGTCCCCCATTTACACGTCCACGTGATTCCCCGTAGGAAGGGGGACGTGGGCGACAGCCCGGATGCCATTTACGTCAAGATGTCTACTGAGGATGGGAATATCGGTGGTGCCATGTGGGATCGAGAGCGTCGCCCCGCGCCCGCGGGCCGAATGCCGAGAATCGAGGACGCGGATCGTAGCCCCAGGACCCAGGAGCAGATGGAAGCCGAGGCGGACGAGTATAAGACAATTTTGAGAAATCTGGGAATAGCGTGACATTGAGAGGCTGCGGAACAGTAGCGAGGCGCATTCGGTGTGCTAGTTTGCCTAGTAATATTGTGGATCTATTCGAAGGTGTGGTTGCTTCTCTGCTATCTGTCTTTTTTTTCCTTTTCTGGTCATGGGCATGGACAATTCTTCATCTAGTACGGAGTACGAGGCTAGAGGAGAAGCGTGAACGCCGAGTCTAAGCATGCGGGTGAACATCAGCATTTGCCACGGCTTTACGGAGCTCGATATAGGCGTTCAACCACCTTTGACCACCTTTGCTGGGGGACCCTTCCATGCCGTGTCCCAAGTCTCTTCTACGAATACGAATAGTTTAGGGGGGAAAGACGGTGGCGACACGTCAAGTCCATGCAACGTCCAAGAGAGTGCCCGGATACTAGCTACCGGGCATCATGTGGGTGGGCGTTTGCATTCTCCCTGAACCTGAAAACAGGATTATGGCGAGGCAAAATTGGGAATGACCAATAACGAAATTCCGTCAGCGTCGCCAAAGAAGGCTGGATGAAGTTGCGGCGCAAGCCCAGCGCATTCAACATCGAAGCTGCTGTACAACAAGAGACAACGCCAGTACACTCATCTACAATAGGTTCGGCAAGGGTAGAGGGAGCCGCCACCCTAGCGAGAGGTGCTTGCTGGTGACATGCTGGTGTTTCGGTGCGTAGTTTGAAGAGCCTCGACCCGAACCAGAGTACATTTGCTGCATGGGCTGACTGCGTCTATTTTTGAATGCAGGATGCTCGTAGATGCTTGGCGAACAAACCACCGGTATCCGGACAAATAGAAAGTGCTGCGTCGCTATGCACCAGCAGCCCCAAGGTCGCATTGAGTTCTTCCTTTCAGTTTTGAAACAATATTCATTTCTCTGGAAATTTTCAACCTCGCCATCGGGGTAAACGGTGTTACACTATTGTCGGTCGGTCGGTCGGTCGGTCGGTAGATGTGATGTGACAGGATTCCAATCTGCGTTTACGTGTCACCAGGGGATGCCGGACAATATTTAGGTCACAATTGGCCGAGGATCGCGAGGCGATCAAATGCAATCGATTCGGGGCATTCCCTACTTTCGTCTAATGGAATAAACCCATCATCATGAGCGAGATGAATGGAACTCACGGGTGTGGATTGTAGTCGAGATCTGCGCTCCTGGAAAGCACCAGCAGGATACAAGTTGGCATCCATATGAGGCTGCAAACCACGCTGAAATTAGACAATGCAGTCGTAATACCTTTTTTGTAGCTATCTCTTTAGCTGCCTAATGGCTCGCGGGACCTCTTCTGCCATACAATTTTCTTACTTACTACTTACTTAAGTAAGTAGGTAAGCGAGTCCCCGCGAGCCATTGGGCAGCTCAAGAGATCATGGGACTTATATCATACAGGGCACTCTGCGTCATCTAGCAAAGGCGTCCCCCTACTCGTGTCATATCTCTCTTTCCGTTGTCTCTCCAATTAGAGTTGAAAAAAAATGCTATAATGTGCCGCGTCTTCCGAATCACATTGGTGCATATACCCAATGCCGGGTTGGAACATTGCAGATTGCAGGATGTCACACATTTGTGATGACTGACATCGACTAACGGAGAGCCGTGTGACGTTGGACGGAGGCTACTCGGGGCCCACCCAGTGCGCTTTATGAAAATATCCAGAACGGGAGCTAGTGCAGCCCCAGCCAGTATATGCTGTTAAGTGCATCAAGCATAGAGGTCGCATTGCGAAAACCGGGGCTGAAGAAGCCACAGCAGACCAGGGTAGACTTGCGATGACGGAGGAGGGGCAAATCATTGAGGCTGGCCCCACCAAATTGTCTTTACTGCTTGGCCTGGGTTCCTGATAAGCAGCGGCTGGCTGGAAAGCCGGCGCCAGGACAGTGGTAACTATTGGATGGACGGACGAGCGCGTGCATGATGAAAAGTAGCGGCACCTGGGGCCTCGGCCAGTCCCAGCCCTGGCGACGGTTGAGCCCGTATCGACAGGTTTTGGTAGCGTGCAGACAGCCGGAACAAGCATTCAATTCAATCTTGTTGAAGCGCTCAACCCCACCGCCGGGACGTGCGTTGCAGAATGCAGGTGATGGGCAGCGGAATTGACAAACGCGAAACAATGCTTCCACGTGATCTAAGCCGCTATCACGAGCAGCGATGGTGGCCAGAAAACGGTCAGTAGGAGCAGATCAATGCCCCTCCCGATAAGAGTTGCGGTCTGGCCTCGCGCATCATACGCATCATACGACTCCGTGCTGATCTCAATCATCACTCGACACCAGTCGTTGGCTTGAGGGGGGCGTGGCGAGCTTGGAAGCGATGCAAGCTTGGGGTTCGAGACTTTTCGTGTTCAACAAGGTCATCAAGACTCGGCTTAATGTTTCATGCAATGCAGATCATGCAAGCCAATATTGGACCATCCAGTCTATCGACAAAGGCGGTGGGCGAAATGGGAAATAAAAGCTCCTTGTCGAGGCGTGGAAATCTCTAGATATCAATATTCTTATACGCGGGCTGTAACCTCGATGTCTGTGTGGCGCAGTCCCGCCCTTAACTGGGATACCAACCCTCGGCTGATGAACTCGGACAATAACACGAAAGACTAGCCGGGGGACAAAAAAAGACGAAAAAAAAAAAAAACCAGGGATGACTGGCTGCGCGCGCCACCTGTCTGGTGCAACAAGGTGGAGCTGACCTCCGCCGCCAACAATCAAGCGTGGACACAGTCACTGGTTAGTCTTCGGTCTCCGTCGATGGAGAGAATGGGGACATGCATCGACAACAAGGGCTACGGCGGGCCGCTAGACAAAGGACGGAAACGTGTTGAACAATGGTATTCAAATGCGGCAACTCGCGATGCGCCCGCTGAACTCGGCACTTGGCATGCCAACTCGCAAGACGAAACCGGATATCTGGACTCTTGTGTTGCACGACTGAGACATTGGGGACAAGGTAAAGAGGCGAAACCGGCAAGCAAGACATGTTTCGCCTTTTACTCCTTCCAGTCTGCATCAGTTCGCACTTATGGCACTGTCCGGCCCCACATGCCACATGCGCTAGAATTTTTGCATGGCATGTTTCTGTTTACATGCATGAACTGGTTGGTTTTTGTCCACCCCTCCCCTCCTTAGTTCTACTCGGTCCTTCAAGGGGCTCCACCTTGAACGCCGGTTCCTCGCCGACAGCCCGCCTTGAAATACTGACATGCCCACCGCCATCCCCAGGACTTTCTCCCTCCCCCTCCATGCCTCATCTTTTCCTCCTCAGCCATCGCAATCTCTGTTGCTTTTGCCACTTTGCGTTCTGCCATTCGAGTGTGCAGAGCGCTAAATTGCAAAGCCCGTCTTTCAACGCCCAAGCTCTTCTCTTGCGTGTTCTAGGACGGTAGAGTATTCGCACCGGTTGACAACTTTTGAACAAACCTCGCCTCGCACACGCCACCTCATCTCGATCTGAACAAGCATCAAAACACTGGCCTCTTCCGACGACGTGCCTGTGTCTTGTTGTAAGCTCTCACTGCGCAACAAAATCATGGCCCTAACAAAGCAGGTCAGCCCCCGCAATCCAAATGATTTCCCGACTCTGCAGCTCTTTCTCCTAGGTATGTATGCCGAATCTCCGCCTCCCATCGGGTACGAAATTCAAATCTTGCGAGTAACTGCTGACAACTAGCAGCTGTTGTTCGTCTCGCTGAACCCATTGCACTTACATCCATATTTCCTTACGCGTGGGCTCTCGTGAAGAAGTTCCAGATTGGAAACGAACAAGATGCATCCTTCTATTCTGGACTCCTCATCTCCTCCTTCTCTTTTGCCGAGGCCCTGATGGGCATGTACTGGGGCGGCTTATCCGATCGCATTGGTCGCAAACCCGTACTGATGATCGGTTGCTTGGGGACCATGTTCAGCATGGTCATGGTAGGGTTCGCCTCCAACATTTGGATTGCTTTACTCGGTAGGGGCATAGGCGGCCTTCTCAACGGCAATATCGGTGTCATTCAAACAATGGTTGGTGAACTCGTTACCAAGCCCGAGCACGAACGTAAGTTGATTCTCTCTTTCTTCCCTTGGCAGTGTTTGTTGCCCCTTCAAACACGTACTGACAGGCCACAGCTCGCGCTTTCGCCGTTATGCCCTTTGTCTGGAGCATCGGAACCATCATTGGACCTTGTATCGGCGGCACATTTGCCGATCCTCACGAGTCCTGGCCCAATGCGTTCCCCAGAGGCAGCATGTTTGAACGTTACCCGTATCTTCTCCCCAACCTCCTTTGTGCAGCTCTATTGCTCGTCAGCATTGCTTTGGGATTCGTGCTCCTCGAGGAGACACACCCGGACATGCAACCCCGCGTGCTGTTACCCGCGGATACCTACGTCTCAGAAGAGACTCCGCTGATTGAAACTTCGGACGCCATGAAACGCCCAGCGGTAGACCTTCGAGCCGAAACGTACGGAACTCTCCGAACTGTCAACGAGGATGACGAGTATGACAGGGGGCGAGAAGTGTATACACAAGAAAAGTCTGGTTTGACCAAGGTTTGGAATAAGCGTGTTGTTGGGTTCATCATTGCCTTATCCATCTTTACATACCATTCCATGACATACGATCACCTTATGCCAATTTTCTTCGAAGACGATCGTATCGTCAACAAGAACACCTCCACCCTCTGGGCGATTTTCAGTTCCTCCGGTGGCTTGGGGCTCTCCCTCCGAGATGTGGGAATGATCATGGCTGTTAACGGGTGCATTGCACTGTTTGTTCAGGCTGTCATTTTCCCCATCGCGGCAGAGAGAGTCGGTGTGTACAAGCTTTTCCTCCTTGTTACTGTCTTACATCCCGTCGTGTACGCCGTTGTCCCCTTTCTGCTCCTTGTCCCCGAGTCTCTCACCTTCCCCTCCATCTACATCTGCCTTGCAATTCGCAATATCTTCTCCATCACACTATACCCTCTCCTCCTCATCCTCATCAAAGAAGCTACACCTACATCCAGTGCTCTGGGCAAGGTCAATGGTTTGGCAGCTAGTGCTGGCGCTGCTTGCCGAATGATTGCGCCTCCCGTTGCAGGATTCCTGTACACTTATGGCAGCAAAATAAACTGCACGGCTCTGGCTTGGTATGGAAGTGTCGTTGTTGCTATTGTTGGCTCTGTGCAGTGCTTCCTGGTCCCTCGGGAGCGGAACCTCGAAATATCTGAAGAGTGTGCTTCGCGACCACCTTGCAATGAATACAATGCTCTAACAGCCGAAGTCTCGGACGAAGAGCAAGAACGAGAATGACAGCCTCTTATCATGAACTGAAATTATTCGTTATTTTTTATTCCCTAATTTTACGCTAATATGGGATGAACACGCTGTCTTTGAAAAGACACTGTTCTGAACTATTTGCTTATTACTAATTTGGCATTCTGTTCAAAGAGTGACCATCATGTCACAGTTCCACGACGCGCGCACTTCTGAAAGTTGTTCGATGATAGCGGCCAGTCGGGAATATGTTAGAAAGCACAAGTGGGCAAAGAAACGGTGTTAGAGGTGTTGGAGAATACCCCATGGTAGATAGTTTGGGCATGATGCATATGTACGTTGGGCGTTTGGAGCGTGGTTTATGAGAAATGTATTTAATTTTTTTGGTCGTTCGGACTTTTTCTCCTCATAATATATGGAGGGAGATAGGTATATAGAAGACATGGGGTAGTTGAAAATAAACATGACTAAAAAAAGCAGAAATCCGTTCACTCTGGTGTATTCACAGGGATATACGCAGGAATTGAACCGATGTACTCAAGTCGATACATATAAATGTGGGGCTCTGGCGCAGGGGGATGGTGTTCGCGCTGGAAGCCTCAAGGAAACCAAAGGATGCGGAGCCGCATTGGGTGTTGCTGCACAGAAGAGTTTGGTGACTGTATTTACATAATAAAGAGCTTCTTAGACCAGTTTTTATCTGTAACTATTTGGACTATTGTCATGTGTAGCATCACATCAGTGAGGCTGCGTGAAATAATAAGCTCGACCACTTGGAGAAATTTTCGCCACAACCGCAACTGGAGCACGAAATCCATCAAGTGAGACGTCGTCTCATTTCAACACTCTCCCACACATTGGTAACATCACGCTTTCTCTGCGACGAGGAGAGTGGTGCCTCTAAATCAATAAAGGCAACTCATTAAACACTCTATCAAGTCTATAATCAGCAAAGGACCCTGCGGTCGTCACCCTCCAAGAATGAAGATTGAAGAGATCGTCGATAGGATGGAAGAAGCCAGCCTCGAAGCAGAGCCCAGCACCGAGCAAGCGGCAACACCAGTCCAAGATGTATCTCAACCAACGAAGCCAGAATTACCGCCCGGCATGGCATCCCACCGGAAGCAGACCTTTGACGAAATCATGGCTGACCTGAACAAGTCCCCGCTGTTCATGACCGACATGGAAGAAAACGACGAAATTGCGGCCTTGCAGGCGCTCAACTACGAGGGCACGCCGCTTGAGAACGGAACCGACTTTAAGATGCGCGGAAACGAATGCTTCAAGGTACGAGGCTACGTGGACGCGAGGGAGTTCTACACCAAGGGCATACAGATTCTGTCTCTGGAGGAGCGGAAACGAACCCGCGGCGAAGTCACCAGGAACCCCGAGGGCGTAGAGGACAGCGCCGAGGAAATCGCCGCGCAGAGAGAGGTCCTCGAGGCTCTGTACGTGAACCGCGCGGCGTGCCACCTGGAGCTGGACAACTACAGGAGCTGCTGGACCGACTGCGCAGCCGCGCTGCGTCTCAACCCGCGCAACCTGAAGGCCTGCTACCGAAGCGCCAGGGCCCTCCTGGCAGTCGGCCGCGTCGAGGAGGCCGACGATGTTTGCGCGCGCGGGCTGGCCCTGGACCCGGACAACAGGGGCCTCAAAGAAGTCGCGGGGCGCATCGTCAAACGGGCAGGGGAGCTCGACGCCAAGAACAAGAGGGAGGCGGACAGGAGGGCGCTGCTCAAACGGCGCGAGACGCTCCTCAGGGCGGCCCTCAAGGCGAGGGGCATCCCGACACGGACGACAGCCCAGCCTCCCGAGATGGGTGACACGAAGCTCGAGCTTGTGCCGGACCCAGACGACCCGCGGAGCAGCCTGGCGTTCCCGACTGTGCTGCTGTATCCCGAGCACCTTGAGTCAGACTTCATCAAGGCGTTTAATGAGACGCAAACGCTCGAGGACCACCTGTCGTACGTCTTTCCGCTGCCGTGGGACAAGGAGGGCGTGTATACCGCCGCCGGGGTGACTTGCTACGTGGAGACGATGGGAGGGGGTGTGCTCAAGATGGGGAAGCGGGTGCCGCTGTTGAAGGTGTTGGGCACGGGCAAGGTTGAGGTTGTGGATGAGGTTGTGAGGATATTTGTCCTGCCCAACGACAAGGCCGATGCGTGGGTGAACAAGTTCAAGCAGCAGAAGGCCGTGGAGATGGGGAAGGGCGGTGGTTCGTGACGGGCTTTGTGTAGGTGCATGGACTGCTTTGTTTTTGAATACATGGCGTATTGAAAGATTTTTTGGTGGGCTGCGGTGGAAAAGGACGATAGAATGAGGGCATATGTAGTTTTTTTTCTCGAGGTGAAAAAAGCTTTACCGTTAAGGAGACAAGAGTCAACAACACCTACGTGCACACGTCCTCTCCAATTCCAACTGCTCACTAGCACTATTTCCTTGTACCATATTTGCGTCAATCTATGATGTTCACCCCATATTCAACACTGCCGCTTCACTTAAATGGATTTCCTCCTCCCAGGGGTCCAAACGAATGGACCTGCTTGGCTTCTACATCCGTCATCAACCACCCCTTCTCCTGCCCCCGTCACGAACGTATTGGTGGTGCCAGAGGAACCAGCCTCGCGCTCTTCCATACATCTCTGTTCGCTCAGATTGGTGCCCCTTGGGAGTCTGCTCTTCGGTAGTGATGTCCTTGTTGACTGGCTGTGCCTGGGCGTGGAGTCGTAAACACCATCGCAGGACGCATCAGAGCTCAGCTTTCGTCGTTTCCTACACCTCGTGCTGGTTTCGTAAGAATGAGATGTCGAAGGTATTTGTCTTGACCGTCTAAGGGAAGTCGTTTCTGGGGCCCTTGCAGCAGGAAAATACTCGTTGGCATGGCTTGACAATACAACTCCGCTGGTCTGAGCCGGCCGTCTTATCGCGCTGGGCTCCGTCCTTGGCAGCGGGTAGAAGCCTTGGTCGTCCGCTCGAGATTTATCATTCTGCTGCTGCCTTCTTGTGACTGGGTTGAGGTAGGTCTGCGGTCTGCTAATGGGTTCAGTGTTCATTCGGGGGGTTCCTCCTATAGTCGTAGGCCGTGGTGTGCGAACATTCCGCCCTGGAGGTCGCTGTGGGAAGATATAGCTTGTTGCACTCTGCTTGGCAGGTCCTTGTTGAAGCTGTTGCGCTTGCTCCGAAACTTCCTTGATCAATTCCTGATTGATGGTCATACTAGAGAAGTGCGCTGAATCTGGCGATATGCACTCGGATGGAAACCCAGGACCGAACAGCGGAATCAAAGCTGCCGCGAAACCATAGCAAAAAGTGGCACATACAGCTTTGGCACATTTGTATGGCATCCAATACCCTAGGAATATTTCTAGCTATACAATACGCTCAGCACCAAGTTCATACAGGGGACGGCATACCTTGCGCAAACACTGCCCCCCCTGTGATGCTGGGACAAATATCTCTTAGCCCAGGATTCTTGTCCAGCATTTGAGACGGCCTTGTCTATGTTATATTAGACTTGGATAAATTATTGCCTTCGGAGTAGGTACTTGCCTTGGGATACCCCATGCATTTGAAGAAGGGGGTCATTCTAACAAGACCTATGTTGTAGTCCCACATGACTGTGAACACGACAGGATTCCTTGGAATCTGAAAGGTATATTTGAAAGCTAGTTTCTTTTTCATCAGTTACAATCATCGTATGGATGAGACAATCCAAACCTTCGATACATTCTCGGCCAGTCTTCGCGAAGAAGTCCTTTTTGGAGCTGTTGTAAGGAATATGCTCATAGCTCTTCATGATGGATCCAAACTGCGGGATATTGAATGCTGTTATTTCCTGCCTATTTTTCTCATCGACGCTCTCAAATGGAGGAAAGTTCACTGGTCCTTGTGTGCCTGGTGTCGAAAGCAAAATTTGCTCGGTGGGCGTGATACTGGGTACTCGGTGTTGATCACTGTTCAGTACTTGGTACCGATGCCAGGAATTAGAGACCCTTGAAGAAGCGTGAGCTATTTTGTCACCATTCCCGCCGCTTTCTTCGGGTTCAATGGGATTGAGAAGCTCATTGATGCGCAACATGATCAAGGGCGCCAGCTGCTGTCGCTTGTGACACTATTCTTCATGCGTTGGAGACTCAGCATAATAACCGTGTTATCGGCGGGTGCTTCGTGGTTCAGATCAACTGTGAATACCTCCTTTGTCTGAGCATTAGGAACATACCGAATGGCGGTAGTATCCAACCAGTTCTTTCGAGGGGCCGAGGAAACGTGTACTTGCTTGGGTGCTTTCGTTTGTCCTTCAGGCGATATCCGTCTGCAGGGAGGCGACGCTGACAGGCTTGTTTGTGAATTACACTTGCCGCTTTATATTTCTCTTCTTCAGGCCTGTGTCCTTGAGCTTGAGGACCGAGATGCCTTACAAGGGAGACGTGCAATGGTGATGATTCATGATATTGGAGTGGCCCGGATGAGAAGTAGAGATATTCACCAAGCTAAAATCTCTTCTGTCGTGGGAGAATGCGGACCGATGAGCACGGTCATCAAAGTACCATACTATATCGCCTGAAAAGGCGTGTGGCGACACCAACATTTCTCCATATTCCTTGACGAGATCGATATGTCAACTGGGTTTGCTTTGCCATCTGTCAAACACGAGCGACACCTCAGCAGTTGCAGCCGACTCGGCTCATATCTAATATGAAAGGACCCGCTTACTACCCGGGTATTTCCTCAGAAGCGTGATACGGGAGTATTTCAGTCACATCACTGTGTTGTGGATATCTGAATGAGCCCGTCTTGACAGGCTCTCAGATGCCATGGCGACGCGGTGACGAGACTATTGTTGAGCTTCTTGAATGTCCGATGAGATATGCTTGTACGTATAATTCTGGAGCACATGCCAGATGTAGAGCAGGTCCCAACTTCAAATTGGGCGCAGGGCGAACAGACGTGTGCTGTTTGGCATCAGGATGACAACAAGGATCCCATTGCGCTTTTCGGGTGGCTGCACTCTAGCAAAGCCTTAAGCACCCTGACTGTTACAACGCCGCGGGAAGATCTTGTTCAACGAGGCACGATATGTATAATAACATTAGGACTGCCAGCCAAGTTCTGTGCTGCGGCACCTGCTGACAGCACGTGGATGGAACCTAGTCGTGGGATGTTTGCTTTGAAGGGGTGAAGCACAAGAGACATGCTGGACGAAGAGCATCTCTACCCTCACCTGCGTTTGTTCCTTGGGCACTCTGGACCGTTGCGAGATGCGATGGAGCAAACGGAGCTCGATGTCGGGGGGGCTTGTCGTCTCCAAGTTGCTACCTGCACGCCATGTTGTACTAGAAACCTCACCTGTCCGGAGAAAGGCCGCGTGTAACTCGAATGTTTGCGGTGAAGCTCCATATCCTAAATGTTTTGGCGGAAAATGTCTCTCATTGATGCATTGCCTTGAGACAATGAGCTGAAAAACGTGCAAAAGGGGCCCGTTCCCAGGGGCTAGAAGCATCAGGTTTCCCGATGGAATATTGCTAGAAGACGTCCAAATGTTCCGAGGGCGTACAGACACATGGCGCAGAGACAGAGCCGAGCGATTTAATTGTAGGAGTGAATCACAAAATAAGCAAGGACGCCCGCCTCGAGGGAGTTGAGCGTTGATTGCAGGAGACTTGCAGGCGTACACTGGGCACATCGACATCTGTCGTCAGGTTTCTGTCGCACATGAAAGGACTCCATATACACTCAATTGGGCGCTGTCTATTCATTGCCCGCAAAAACTGCAACCGGAATCAGCTTTTAGTCTTGCCCGAGCTATACATAACACACTCGCTCACTGGCATGGTGTTTGAGAATCATGGCGTCTCGTCGAACATGACAGCAATGCATTGCACAGCCTCGGTGTGTTCGCGCTTTTGAGGGAGTGTACTTGATGATTCCTGTGGGCTGAAGAGACACTGCCAGACACTTGCCGTGCCTTTCATAACATACGCTGTACCGGGCAGCTATCGGTCTGATATGGCGACACAGGAACTGTGAGGTGTCAATCTCACGTGTCTGTTTGTCTGGTGTTGCACGTCAAGCATTGAACCCATCAAAAGTCTCCAGCGGCAAGGATGGCAAGGTGGGTCACAAAAATGGGTCATCAAGTGCCAAGTCTGTGCTTTTTGCCTGAGGCAGCAAAACACGGCCCCTGGTTCCTGGAATCCAGGGTCGAGGGAGCACACAGTCAGAAGACGCCTTGGCCGGCCACTTGGCCAGGGAGGCGCGTCCAGACTTTGTCGACGCGCATCAAAATCGGTCTGCCACAACAATAATCATAACAACAACAACAACGACAACGACAACCCCAGCATCGGCTTGCAACGGGCCATGTCAACAAAACCCCGCTGACCAGACCAACCTCAAATCTTATCGCGCGAGTCGAGCTACAACTCGCCGATCCACTCGTTTCTGTCCGTGGTGTATAATCTTCATGTTCAATTGTTGTTAGAACTGTTCTGTCGGTTGGCCTTGGAAGAGCGGAAATTCGACTCGGCGCAAGAGTGTATCCAAAGTCAACATGGACTCAGATGTCATGTCAGATCCCGCTTTCAGCCTAGGCGAGGAATCTGACGGCTATGTTCCTCAGAAGGTGAGCGTTCAAGTCATGCGAATCGAAGAGGGGGAGGGTCTACCAGTTGTACCGGCTGTTCTGTTCGGCTGCCAGCTGCAATGACAATATTCGAAGCCGTCTGCTTGCGTTTTAATCTTTGTCACACTCCGTATACCTCCCTGAACACTTGCAACACCCAACATGAATATATTAGGACCAAACCCGTCACCGGGCCTGTACCCTGGCGCAAAGCCAATTCAGACATTCACGGCCAGATTGCTAACAGCTCCCAATCAGAAGTCAAAGCCCAAGGCGGCGGCAAAACCGCCCGCGAAGGCCACGGGCAAGAAACTGACACAAACTACCTTGAAGACAACGAAGGCACCAGCAAAAAGACCGAAACCAGACAGCGACGATGAAGATTCCTTGGGAGGCAGTTCGTCAGGCTTTTCGCATACCCCGCCGAGTTCCAAAAAGCAGAAGAAGGCGCCGCCGCCAAAGAAATCTGGCGGTGTCCCTCTTGCAGAGGTTGAGAACGATAGTGTGCTCATTGATGTTCCACCAACCAAACCGACATCAAAGTCGTCAAAAACCGCCACTGAGATGTATCAAAAGCTCACACAACTTGAACACATCATCAAGCGACCTGACACGTATATCGGATCTGTCGAGAAGACGGACCAGCAGATGTGGGTGTACAACAAGGAAACATCACAGATGGTGTACAAGAACATAAGCTTCGTCCCAGGTTTCTACAAAATCTTTGATGAAATCATGGTCAACGCGGCCGACAACTCGCAGCGTGAGGGTAGTGGGATGACCTACATGAAAGTCAACATAAATCGAGCAACTGGAGAGATTAGTGTTGAAAACAACGGCAAAGGCATCCCAATCGTAATTCATGAAAAGGAGAAGATCTACATCCCCGAAATGATTTTCGGACACCTCTTGGCAGGTTCCAATTTCGACGATAATGAGAAAAAGACTGTTGGTGGACGCAACGGTTATGGTGCTAAGCTTTGTAACGTATTCAGCCAGGAATTCACTGTGGAGTGTCAAGATTCTGGTAATGGCAAGAGATATAAACAGACATGGACGGACAACATGCAGAAGATGCAAAAGGCAAAGATCACCTCAAACAAATCTGCAGACTTTGTCCGCATTACCTTCAAACCGGACTACGATCGGTTCGGAATGCCAGAAGGCATTGATGATGACCTAGAAGCTCTCCTCTACCGTCGAGTGTACGACATGGCGGGAACGGTCCATGGTGTCAAGGTATACTTGAATGGTGAGCAAATCAAGCTCAAGGATTTCAAAGCGTATTGTGATCTCTACGCAAAGTCTATCGCCGCCGAGAGAACCGCAGAAGAAGGTGGCACTCCCACCTGCACCGTTGAGATCGACAAGGACAAGTCCCATCCTCGGTGGGAGGTTGCTTTCACAGTGTCTGATGGAACCTTTCAACAAGTATCATTCGTCAACTCTATCGCGACGACCACGGGAGGTACTCATGTCAACTACATTGCTGACCAAATCACGGGGTCGCTCTTAAAGGCGCTTGATAAAAAGAAGAAAGGCCATAGCCTTAAGCAAAGTCATCTTCGAAACCACATTTTTATTTTCATTAACTGCTTTATCGAGAATCCGGCTTTCAACTCTCAGACAAAAGAGCAGATGACAACCAAAGTGAGCCAGTTTGGTAGCAAATGCGTTCTCGGTGACAATTTCCTAAAAGCGATCGCGAAATCAGATGCTATCGAGAACATCATGGATTTTGCTCAAAAGAAAGCTGACAAGATGCTGTCCAAAAGCGATGGAAGCAAGAGAGCAAGAGTTAGCAATGCAAAGCTCGTTGAAGCTAACTTGGCAGGCACCCGGCGCGGCCATGAGTGCACCCTTATTCTCACCGAGGGTGATTCTGCCAAGGGCCTTGCTGTCTCTGGAAGAGCTATTCTCGACCCTGACAAAATTGGTGTTTTCCCCCTTCGAGGTAAACTACTTAATGTTCGAGACGCTTCACTCGATCAAATCACCAAGAACCAAGAAATTCAGAATATCAAGCAATTCCTGGGCTTAAAACATAAACAAGTATACACGGACACAAAGAGTCTTCGTTATGGTCATCTTATGATCATGACTGATCAGGATCATGACGGTAGTCACATTAAGGGCCTCCTTATTAACTTTCTTCAAGTTCAGTTCCCCTCATTACTGAAAATCCCCCAGTTCCTGCAAGAATTCATCACGCCCATTGTCAAGGTCTGGCAAGGACCCGACCCGAAAAAGCCCCTGAGACTCAAATCCTTCTTCACTCAACCACAATACGACGAATGGAAGGAGTCGCACAAGGCAGAGTTGTCGAGATGGCAGTCCAAGTACTTCAAGGGATTGGGAACAAGTTCCAATGAAGATGCCCAAGTGTACTTCACCAACCTTGATAATCATTTGAAAGAGTTCGAGGTCATGAAGTCGGAAGAAGCTGAACTTTTTGACCTTGTCTTCTCAAAAAAGAAGGCAGATGCTCGAAAAGAATGGCTTGGCAATTTCATCCCGGGCACTTTCTTAGATCACTCTATGAAAGAAATCACTTACACAGACTTTGTTAGCAAGGAACTTATTCTATTCAGCATGGCTGATAACTTGCGTTCAATACCATCCGTAATTGATGGTTTAAAACCCGGACAACGAAAGGTTTTATACGCGTGTTTTAAACGAAACCTGACCAAGGATAAGAAGGTTGTGGAACTTGCTGGTTATGTCTCTGAGCACACGGCGTACCACCATGGTGAAGCTTCCTTGCAACAGACTATCATTGGTTTGGCGCAGAACTTTGTCGGCTCCAATAATATCAACATCCTGGAACCTAGCGGTAACTTTGGTTCTCGTCTTGCTGGTGGCTCCGATGCTGCCAGTCCCCGTTACACCTTTACGCGATTAGCTCCATTTGCAAAGAAGATCTTTTCTCCGCTGGACGAAGCCTGTTTAAAGCATCAGTATGAAGACGGCAAGCGTATTGAACCCGAGGTTTATTCACCTATTCTGCCCATGGTTCTTGTCAATGGCGCTGACGGTATTGGAACTGGATGGAGCACAACAATCCCAAACTACCATCCAGCAGATATTGTAAAGAACTTAAAGCGCCGTATGGGTCGTTTAGATGAAGATGGTGCTGAGGAGAAGCCTTTCGAGACAATGACTCCCTGGTTTCGAGGTTGGAAGGGCAATCCCGAAGCAGCTGGTCCTGATAGGTATAAGTTCAACGGTATCGCCTCCCAAAATGACCAGAACCCCAATGAAATACTCATTACGGAATTGCCAATTCGCATGTGGACAGACGACTTCAAAGCAAAGCTTGAAAAAGTTATCAGCGGTAACGATGGTCCTACATGGATCAAGGACTACAAGGAGTTTAACGACCACAAGACCGTTCACTTTGAGATTATGGTGGACGAGAAGCACTTGCCCAAGATTCTTGAAGAGGGATTGCTTGAGCGGTTCAAGCTCACTAAGCAAGTTGCTACCTCAAACTTGGTTGCTTTTGATACGAGGGGTCAAATCCGAAAGTATGAAAAAGTTGAGGACATTTTGGAAGAATACTACGTCCACAGACTTCAGATGTACCATGACCGAAAGCAATACTGGCTTCAAGTCTATGACAACGACCTCGAAAAACTGAAAAATCAGTATCGGTTTATCAAAGAAATTATTGATGGGGAGCTGATTGTGGGTAGGAAGAAGAAGGCCGTGCTTGTATCAGAGCTTCGTGATTGCAAATATAAAGCCTTTCCGCCCGGAGGCCAGAAACAAAAGACAGCGGACGATGAACCGGACGAGTCTGACAATGAAGATGACGACGACGATGACAAGGCCACAGCGGCTGGTGCTCATGACTATGATTATCTCCTCTCGGTCAGTTTACTAAGAGGCACATGTACCGTAAAGTCTATTTGAATATCTCTCTAACTAAAAATCTCACTACTAGATGCCAATTTGGTCGCTTACTCAGGAACGACTTGACAAGCTAAAGGATGCTATCAACAAAAAGAAGGACGATATCGAGGGTCTATCCGCCAAGAGTGAAAAGGACCTTTGGTCTGCAGATCTAGATGATTTCATGACTGAGTGGGACGCTCAAGTTGCTCTCGAGCAAGAACTTCAGACCAAGATCCGCCGTATGGGGCGACGTGAGTCCAAGAAGATTGGTGCAGGCCGCAACCGCAAGGGCAAGGGTGACGACGACTACGAGCCGGAAAAGAAATCCAAGGGCAAGGGCAAGGGCAAGGCAGCGGCGGCAAAGGCAGCACCAAAAGTTAAGACCGAGACCAAGAGCGCTCAACGATTCGCTGACATGTTCGGCACAAAGACGAAGAAGGAACCAAAGGATGATGTAGTAGACTTGTCTGATAATTTCTCCGACGATGACTTTGCAGCCCTTAGCAGAAACAAGCCTTCGTCTGCAAGGGTGACAGAGTTGTCCCAATCTGCTTCACAGTCACAAGCCGAAGAACCAGAAGTTCCCCGGCCTACCAAGAGGGCAGCCGCTTCTAAAGCGAAGACGTTGTTCGAAGTCTCTTCTGACAGTGAGGTAGAAGATGTTGAAATGATTGGGGATATTGGATCTATGGTAAAGGGAATCGGCAAGCCTGCTGGCGACAAGAGCGGACGACTAAGCTTATATGCCATGAATCGACCAGAATCCAGCCAAGGCAATAGTGGCTCCAGCAGTCTACAGAAACTGAAAACAAAAGCATCCAAGTCCTCGATGGATATTGACAGCCACGATGAGACCAACTACGAGATGCTAGCAAAGTCATCCCCTCACAAGATCAAAGATGAGGAGGATGCAGCTCAAGACTCGGACGATGAGCTGGCAGTAACTGCGGCCTCTTCAACTACTGACACTGGCTTGGCTGCGGTCAAGAAGGCTCGCGCTAAGCCCGCAACTTCCAAGGCCAAGGCCAAACCGGAGACAAAGCCCAGGGCGAAAGCTGCACCGAAAGCCACGACGCTGTCACCTGCAGCCAAGGCTTATGCGGCTAAGAAGAAAACCATTGGTGTCAAGAAGATTGCCCTAGAGGACTCGGAGGACGAGGTGGATGAGCCCCCATCACCCGTGTCGAAACCCAAACCCGCAGCTCGTGGTCGGCCTGGTCGGGCTGCCGCGGCCAAACGACCAGTCATTGTGGATGAGGACTCATCGTTGATGCAAGATGAGAGTGACGATCCGTTTGAGATGGATGACGACTGAGTGGATTTGCTTGGAAAAGATCACTTGAAGAACTTTTGATTGGACTAGAAAAGTTGTTACCAAGGGTCAGCGCATGTGCTCGAGGGCCAAGTAGATGTTAGAAAGGCGGACGGACTACGCAGGCCGGTTGGGATAGCCTTGGGGCGTTGGTCGGATACACTGTATTTTGCTACATATTTCTCTATTTCAAGCTTTGCTGAATTGACGACTTTCTGACGGACGAAATACATGCTGTTTGTGTTCGAGTGCTTCGTGACTGTCTAGCTTCGGTCTGGCAACTGGTGTTTAGATTTAACCACTACAAGGCAGGTAGGTCATGGTCTATTGGGTGGGGTGTTATCGATAAGTCTTCGAGGGGTCAACGTGGGGTCGACTACGATAGCTACACTTGATAGCTTCCCATTTCAACTTTGTTATCGATGCTGCATCTATCAACACCCGCCATTTGACGCCATTTCTTCAACAGGAAGCCCTTCTGGGGTCCCCATTACGCGAAATGGCATCAACAGACGAGCCTCAATCCCTCCGCACAGCCTTCGAGGAAGCCGAATCCAAACGACGCCTCCTCGAGTCCTCCCCCGACGCAACATCCCCCACCTATGCCTCTGATCTCAACTCTGTCCTCGCCCTCTACGCCCGCGTGCTCGACAAAATTAGCTCCGTATCCCTCTTCTCGCCCAACGAGGGTCTTGAAGACATGGCCACTTCGTCCCTGCCCTACATCCTCGTCAACTTCACCATTGCCGAGCTCGTCCAGCGCACACCCTTTACCGTCCCTGCGCGCCGGAAGCTCGTGCTCCGCGCCGCGAGGGACGCCTACGAGCGGTTCCTGTCTCTCGCCGACGGATACGGGCTCGTCTCCGGGCCCTATGCCAAACTCCTAGAGCGGTACAGGGACGACGAGGAGCAATTTGCCGTAGTTTCGAAAACGGGCGACATGGCGAGTAAGCGGGACGCCAAGATTGCCAGCTTCAAGGCCGAGAAGGGACTCCGAGAAAAGCTGGCCCTGCTGAGGAGTGATGGCAGGTATGTCGAAAAGGACGAGGAGGCGGCGCGGGAGGTGTATCTCGCGGATGTGGCGTGGAAGATTCACCAGACCTTCCAGGGGCTGGAGGGGCTGAATCGCGAGGCGGAGATGCTGGCCATGGCGCCGGACCCGGACCCGGAGACCTCGGCGCGCCATGCGAGGGAAGAGGCGGACGATGCGAGCGTGAGGCTGGACCAGCCGTTTGGGAGGAGTGGCAGGGCTGGCGGGCCGCTGTTGTCGCGGGAGGGGAGGCCGCTGCAGCCGTTTACGCTGGTCGGGTCGAGGGCCGATCTGGCGAGGGGCGTGTTTCGGCCAGGGCATAATCTGCCCACCATGTCTATTGACGAGTATCTCGCGGAGGAGAAGAGGAGGGGGAATATCCTGGAGGGCGGCACGGATCCGCCCAGGATGGAGGTTGATGAAGATGATATGGATGCGGTGGATAGGGAGACGTATAAGGCCAGGGAGTGGGATGATTTCAAGGACGACAATAGGAGGGGCGCCGGGAATACACTCAACATGGGATAATTTATACGGGAACTTGACTATTCGTTTGTATTGCAAGGATCGTGCTGTGAATTTGGATTGGGCGTTGCAGGTGGCTAGAGGATTGATTTTATGATGGACTGATCTGCATGGCTTTGGTTTAGATAAAATACTATTTCGTCTTGTTGGATGACATTATATCTGGACTATACACATTTTCCCATGAACATTCCAAAAATCCGGACGTTTATCAATTTAAACCAACACTCCGTCCTCTATTCTCCACATGTCCTCTTCACCATTACAACACTGCCGTCGCTATCACTCTCATAGTCTGATGCAATTGGCGTCCCTTGCATATCCGCTTCAAAGTCATCCACCGCTTCAACAAGCGAATTAACTGCTTCGGCTAACTCTTGGTGACTTGCTGGAACCGCAAACCTCGCTCCGTCGTAGTCGCTTTCAGCTGTTTGAAACGATTCCGTCTTGATGGATACATCTTCTGCAAGGGCCTCGTCGTCTCTGTACACGATCGACATATCGCCATGGAAATCAATAGTGCCACTGATAGGGGTGCTAGTTACTTCCATGGCGAAAATATCGTCCACCAGGGTGTCGCTAATGCTGGGCGGCGCAGAAGGGATAGTATGCCCTGTGTGGTAAGCAGGTCCGGGGCCATTTGCTCCCATGTCGGTAGAAGGTATGCATGATTCGAACACACCGCCCGTGCCATCGTTGAGGCCGCCCGCCCAGAGGGGTAGGAATTTCATTTCCTCGTGATCAAGTGTCAGCAACAAGTGGCGAGTAATGTTGGCCGGGGGTTCGATTTCATGACGGACCCAAGAGCGTGTGAGGGGTTGCATGGCATGTTTGACTTGTTGTTCCATCTCTAGTAATGCCACAATGGGAAGCCTGATTCTGAAAACGGGGCTTGCATTCTTGTCGATTTCCCCATTAACAATGACTTGCCACTCTGGCCTGTCGATCAAATCCGGGTGCTTCGAAACGAGCCACTCTAGAGAAGCTTGGAAATTGTCTAGCAGCGCGGGAATTGACGGTTCTTGGACGTCCCTTTTATCAGGATGTGGATCGGTAAAGAAATTCGCATGGCATCGATCGCTCATTTCATTATATATAAAAGGACACAAGAGCTTTTGCGGTGGATTAAACCGTACCAAGATTTGCCCCAACTCATCAAAGTCCATTGGGTGCACATAAGTGGCACGATCAATGTCCATACCCATGAGGAATGGGGAGCTGGTACCAAAGGACTCTGCACTCAGACTGTACTTGCGGCCGATAACAAACCTAAGCTGAGTCATGAGACGGTTCAAATGGTCAAGTGCATTGCTGAAATCACTGCTGCCGGGGTTTTCACCAGGCTGTTGCGTTGAAAGGAGAGCCTCCAATGATCTCAACTTGCCCCATTCCCCAATAGCCCAACGGTCAAAAAGATCTGGACTTTGAAGCTCTAGATTGGTTCTTGTTACTCTCTCAACCAGAGTTCGAGAAGCATGTTGTATCAGATTGCTCAGTTCGTCACTGCATTCGCCAATGCGTCTTCCAAATATGGTTGTTCTGGCCCGCCTCGGGAGAGAGCCGTGATCCGTGGCTGCCTCTTCCAGGGCCATTTCGTTGACAAGGATACGAAAAGCGGTTTGTGTTACTTCTTGAAGCCGGAGATCATATCCGATTTTGAGAGCCTCCTCGGGTAATACTTCAATAAAACGAGCATTGCGATCGTGCAGCATCCACTGGGCTACTTTGTCGCGGACGACTGAAGTGCAGTCGAGGATCTTTGCTACAGCAACCATTGTCCACATGCGAGCAGCAGAATCCATCGATATTTCTCTCCCTTCTAGTAAGATAAGTAAACGTATGATGCCGTTTCTGTGTCTGATGGGACAATAATCAGGAATCTGGCGAAATTCTGGAGTTTCGTATAACTTGTCTTTGTCTTGAGCCTTCATTCTCATCAATGTAAGCGGCGTTGGTGGAAGCAATACACCCGCTCCTAAAGATTTAGGCTTTCTTGTCCCAGTACTGTCATATTTGTCGTCTTCGTCAGAATCAAAGCCTAGGTAGGAGGATGCTTGTCTCTTGCAACAACAAATATCATCATGGCCTGCTACAAGCCCAATTTCCGCTCCATGAAAACGATAGGATGTCCACCAGTTCATGATTCCAGGAGTCAGAGATACCTCTGTCATCTGGAATACCAGTTCGTCTCCTTCGGACGGAGGAGTGAGATCGAGCAAGTATTTCACGCCGTCAGGAAGTTTATTGACCAACTTTCGTCGTCTTTGAACACGGAACTGGTAAGAAGGACCAAGCATGGCGGCAAATTTAGTCGACCCGGTGGCCAAGAGTTTCTTAGAATGGACTAGAAATTTCTGAGATTTAAAGACAATGTTATCGCAGTCGGCCAACTTGCGCGTGTCTTTTGGTATATTTGGCAAATCAACGAAGATCAGGGTATCTCCTTGGCAAAGTTCAAACTCAACGGCATGAAGCATATATAAATCCGTATTTCTAGCCGATTCGTAGTCCGCAAAAGTCATGGCATGCTTAGCCAACCTTCTTCCTTCCGGAGGTATATTGAATGTGGTGTCATGAATGCCATGTTCGAGCCCAGGCACATTGGGGTAGATTATGACTGGCGGAGGGCAAGGAAATGGTGAGAGCGGGGGGTCGATTGTTTCGATGAAGGAAGATTCTTCTTCAGAAGTTTCAGTTGTATCCTTGGCCATACTGTCTGACCTAGAGTCTATCAACGGCCAAGGAATGGGCGGTGGAGCATTTGCTTGATTAAGTTGTGACATTTTACTGGCCGTGGTGATAATTTTGTAAAGGAAACAAGACTCTGAGATGCTCTAGTGATTTCCAGCAAATGTGGCGGGCTGTCCGTGAGAGACTTGACTTGCTGCTTCCTACTTGCAGATTTCAAATCTAAATTTCGAATGAAACAGTGATCGGGCGCTTCGGTGTTACAAGGAACGAATCGACGCGGCCTAGTCTTACGCAATGACCCGAGAAGACGTAGGAACGACAATTCAAGTGCCGCGGAAGCCAGATTATGATGCGAGACAGAAGTCGACCGACGCGTTCGATAAGATTTGAACAGGGTTGAAGGAGACATGCAGTTGACCTACAGCCAGCGGTCAGCAGCACAGCTCAAATGCTGACCATCCACTGGTGACACACCAACCAAGAAGAGGTCTATGACTGGCTTTGGGTCGTTGCCTAGATATTGCGACCCAAGGCAATCAACCAACAGCTCCAGGGCCGGCATTGGTGCTTGCGGGGTTCATAAATCCGAAATTCTGAAGGGACAGCACAGGACTGAAGGCGCGGTATGCTCTTTCACCAGCTCAATCCACCAACAAAGCACCAACTTTAACGTCTTGCCTTGCTCCCGCCCGGCCAGGCTGACGCAATGTAGCAGCGAGGTAACAGCCTGGTCAAGAGCATTAGGCAAGGCAGACTAGTAAGCACCGAAGTCGATTGAGTTAGCAATGCATCCAAGTGTTTGCCTAGTCCAGGGAGGCTCGTGGTATGGCACCTACTTGTTGCACCTCATGTTGCTTCCCCTATCTGTGGCGTTGTTGGCAAATCAGTGCTTTCCACGCGTGATTGATTGTCACTCGTCGTATGCTTGATCAGGGTGTCCTCTATCTTGAGTTCAACCTCATGAATTTTGTATAGCACCAGAGCACCACATCGATTTCCTGGGTGATTTGTATTCGGCTTTTTCTTGGGTTCGCGGCCGTCATCTTGCAACATCAGGACCGTCTGGACAGTTTCTGTGAAAAGAAGACAACACAGGGGGGGGACTGGTGAGACGCTCCTTCCCTCATGACCCACGTGTGGACAGGCGACTTGCTATCGGCTTCGAGTCCCCGCCACGACGAAGACAGATTTCCAACATGCAACGGAGGGAGAATGGTCTTCTGGCCAAATTAAGACAGAAGGCTATCAAACAATATTTACTACATGTTGGTGAGCACTTGCCGAATACTAAATATTTCCTGCCACAGACTGTGGCACTGGAATCTAAGAGCTAAATCTCATACATCTTGAATTGAGCTAGCAGGCCTGTTGGGCTACCTGTTATCTCAAACACACAGTAACATCTATGTCTGTGAGTTAGTTTCCTCTGCACTTCCCCGTGAAGATTCGCATCATCATTGCGCTTGAGACAGCTACCCGACAATACGGTCAATTGCCAGTTATGATGGATATCAATAGTAGCTCCTGCATGCAGGTGCTAAGGACGAGGCAGAGAGGCTTAAGAGAGGCTTGGTTGATTTGACGGAGATGGAAAATAGACAACGGCATCCTACACAAAACCAGCTAAAGCTTATCGGCGATAGCTTGTAGCAGCAGTTTTTGTACTTCATGGAACCCGGGACATATCTGTACTCTCCCTTTATAGTTATCAATGACTGCATAGTATAGTCAAGCCTGGCAACTCGAACTGCACTGCCTAATTTCAGTGTAGCCACCCAGGGAGCCGTCACCCCTAGACCAAAACACTCAAGCTAAAATACATAACGAAAATTAGGATTCTCTTTATCCGTCAGATCCTCCCACGCATGCAACATTCGCCCGTCGCGAGCCTCCTGCACGCCAGCCGCTGCCAACTGATCCCGTTCATGGTTCTGGCGCACAAGGTAAACTCGCAGAGCGATAATCACAATGACCAACAGACTATAGCAGCCAAGGTGAGTAGCAAAAGCGATAAAGTATCGAGGCGCGTTCCACCATAAAAATACTTGAGGCCCTAGGCACAAGCCAGCGTTAGCAAGGGCATTTAACTCTCCAGTACACTGAACAATTAATTAGCTTACCTATTGCGTTTCCCGTAGCCCAGATAATGAAGTTCAAGGCAACCGCAACAGTCTTCTTTGTCTGTCCCGCAATATTTCGCGATAACATGGACAGGGCCAAAGTTTGAGCGGCCCAGAAGGACATGGTGATGTTGTAACAAACAACAAGTCCAATCTTCTGACTTTTCGTGTCCAAGGGAACAGTCATGAGGCAGATGGTTCCAATAAACGATCTGTAGGGAAAAAAGGGAAGTCAGAAAAAAAAAGTTTTATTGCTTCTTTCAAACGGGGGTGTCCTTACGGAATAACAAACGCTCCCATCACGTATAGGTTCTGATTCGTCTTCTTCACCAGCCACGACGAGCCCAGCAGCACAATGATGATGTAAAAGCCCAACACCATGGCCAGCAGCTGCGTCTCCAAAACAGAGAATCCCATACTCTGAATCACGATGCCCTGAAACGCGCCGAGACCAGAAGTCGGCAGCGTTGTGCAAAGTTGAATCAGACAATACCCCCAAACTTGAGGATCCGTCAGGCCCTCCATGAACTGCTCCCTCTTCCACTGTCGGTTCTGCATGCCGGTCTGGTTGTCGCGGACTCTCTCGACCATGAGGTGTTTCTCCTTCTCGGTGAAGCACTTGGCTCGCATGGGCGAATCGGGCATCCACCACATGACGAAGACGCCAAAGAGGACAGAGACGACCCCGTAGACGAGGAACAGCCACTGCCAGGACTTGAGAGGACCGGTCTTGATGAGGCTGAAGCAGTATGCTAGCAGGCCGCCGACGATTTGCTGCGCCCCGTTCATCATGTACCTGACACGGATTGGGAAGCCGCCTTAACTTGCGCTCGCTTTGTGCCAGGAAGAGGACTATGAGACGAAGACGTACCAGTAGGTCACTCGAGATGCTTGCTCCTCTCGCCTATACCACATGGCAGAGAGCACAACGAATGTTGGCTGGCAGACGGACTCGAAGAGGCCGAGCAATGTACGCACAGCGACGAGGCCAGCAAAGTTGCTGCAAGCGGCCGTGGACGCCAGCACCGTGCCCCAGGCCATGATGTTGAAACCCAGGTATTTGGCGATGGGCACCCGGGCAATGATGTAGTTTTGGGGGTATTCGACGATTAGGATCGTGAGGAAGACGCAGGTGGTTAACCAGTTGTACTGCAGAACCCCGAGTGCTTAGCAAATTCATCCTGGCAACTCATCCCAGAGGGCAAAAACGTACATCTTGTTTGCTCAGGTGCGTATCGTCTCGGATGCCCATGATGGAGGCAAATGACATGGTGCCCTTGTCAATGGCTTGCAGGAAGTACGTCGATATCATGACGGCCAGGATGCGCCGATCTATTTTGCGCCGCAGCTCATGGTTCTTCTCTGGAGTTATTGTAATCCTGGCGTCGGAGATGTACTTGGCGAGCTCTTTGTCAACCCGCCCGTAGTCGGTTTGATCCTTTACAACACGGTCATCGACCGAGGCCGTAGAGACACCGTCTTTGTTTTGAGTCGCCTTTTGGGGCGCCATCTTGTCCCTGTCCCTGCCTTGAGAAAGAAGAAAAGAAACCGCTTCAATTAAATGGCGAGGCGTGGCCTTGGGTTTGTTCAGCTCCACGAGAGAGCGTATTCGAAAAGGGCGGATACCAAAAGACGAGGATGAGGCAGACCATCATTTTATCTCGAGATAGATGATAATAGCAGTCACCATCTCCAACGGTCCAACCGGGTTTAATCGAATCCGGGGTCAAGATCAGACGCACTTCCCCACGGGGAGCTGCCATCAACTGACAATGTCAAAGTCAAGAAACAAATCAAGGCCCCATTGGGCTCTGCTCTGTCGCCGTGACATATGCCGAGAACACGGCGAGTGCAGACTTGATGGACTGGGTGATCCCTGGTAATATTCCACCAATTATTTCAAGAAGCGCGCTAGGAAGTGTCTGGTCACCGGTGGGATCACACCGCATCTCGAGGCATTTTCTCCTCCTCGTTTAAACTATTGATTTTCGGCCTGCGGGAGAGGTTAGCCCAGCCAAGCTGAAGCGCTCGCGTTGAGATGGGCCGAGCCAATGCTGGTTGCCCATGATCATTGATGTTTCGTCGACGGACCATTTCAGCCCGAGAGTTGTCGGACGAGAAGATGCGAAACCAGTCATGACCCCCGGGATCCTAGTCCTTTGTCATTATCGTGTGTTTGTAAAACGACTGATTGCCTTGTTCCAAATCTTTCTCCTGGATACCAACGTTAACAAGCTGTTGAACCTCTGCAAGTTGCCTCACAACTCCATAGTCAACCTACACCGCGATCCGGAAACCACAATCTGCATCCACGATCCGGAACTACCATCATGCCACTCACAGCACACGGCTTCTCCGCCGCCGAAATCCACTCCAAGATCCAGCTCCTCATCAACGGCCTCGTCAACATCAAAGATGACACGGGCGAATTCCTCATGACCCTTGCCGACGGCCGCGTCATCGACACCAAAGGCTGGAACGACTGGGAATGGACACACGGCATCGGCCTGTACGGAATATGGAAATACTACCAAGCCACGGGAGACGCACGCCACCTCCAGATAATAGAGGACTGGTTCCGGGACCGCTTCGCAGCCGGCGGCACAACAAAGAACATCAACACCATGGCGGCCTTGCTCACGCTCGCATACGTATACGACCAGACCAGGAACCCAACCTATCTGCCGTGGTTAGACAACTGGGGCGAGTGGGCGTATCGCGATCTCGGACGCACCAAGCACGGCGGCATGCAGCACACGACGTACCTCGAGAACAACGACCAGCAGCTCTGGGACGACACGCTCATGATGACGGTCCTGCCGCTGGCCAAGATTGGTCTTGTCCTCGACCGGCCTCACTACGTGGCCGAGGCCAAGAGGCAGTTCCTGCTGCACATCCAGTACCTGTTCGACGCGAAGACGGGGCTGTTCTTCCACGGGTGGACGTTCCGCGACGGCGGGCATCATTTCGCGAGCGCCCGCTGGGCCAGGGGCAACAGCTGGTTGACGATTGGGATCCCCGAGTTTATCGAGCTGTTGGATCTGGGCCGGTCCGACGGGCCTTTGTGCAGCCACTTGCAAGCTACGCTGGCTGCGCAGTGCGAGGCTCTCAAGACACTCCAGTCGCCAAACGGGCTCTGGCGCACTCTCCTAGATGTTTCCGAGGAGGATGGGTCGTACGGCGAGTCCAGCGCCACCGCTGGCTTCGCTTTCGGCCTGTTGAAGGGCCAGCGGAAACGATATATCCAGGGAGAGTACCAGGACGTCGCGTTCAGGGCTGTGCGAGGCGTGCTAGAGAACATCAGTCCAGACGGCCAGTTGCAGAACACTTCTTTTGGAACGGGCATGGGGTCAGATTTGGAGTTTTACAAGAAGATTCCAATCACACCTATGCCTTACGGGCAGGCCATGGCGATACTGGCGTTGGTTGAGTTGTTAAACATCTTCATCTAGCAGCCCGAGATTAAAATGCTCCTCAAACATTCACTAAGCAAGGCTAACAATGTTCCAGCTCAACCCGCATCATACTTCATCACGGTTATAACCACTGCCCTTGTGACTGTCAAATGACAAGCGCCTTGCATCACATTGCTCTGCCCTCCTCTCCCACCGTATTTCAATTAAAATTCCGCCAACTCCAACCGGATTTGCTGAGCCGTATAATGACTACATGCAGTGTATATCGTCAACCTGACCACCTGAACCAAACCAACGCCTTCAAATGCTGAGCATGAGCGCCTAGAATGCCACGCCTTACCATTACCTAGCCATTATTCTGTTCACATGGAGCTACCTTTCTTTGCGAAGCCATCATCTCCGTTGTCACTCGATGAAGCCGCCACTCCCTTGCCCTTTCCCCGTGGTTCGCGCTTCATCGACAAACCTACTTTGCTCTCTTTCATGCTTCGTCGACTGACGGGTCGTTTGCCGTACACTTTCCTAGGTGTGACATCGCCCTTGCTCTTCTTCCGTCGCTCGTGCTCACTGCTAGCAATTCCTGCTTTAAAGTCGTCTCCGGACGAGTTGCGTTGCGACTGTGGTGCAGTAGAGCTATTCTTCAAATCTCGCATTTCCTTGATGACATCCGCAAAGCTCTCTTCCAGTGTTTTCATCCGTGCTAGGACCAGCCTCCCCATCCTATCACGGTCTGCAGCCTCAAGCCCTCCAGCAGCACGCATCCGGCTGTCTTTCATCAGGGCCATTGCCATTTGTGTCTGGAAGCTGCCTGCTAGCCCGGCATTGTTGTCCTCGATACCCATATTGTCAGACATGATGCTCAGATCAACTGACGACAGCCGCCTAGCTTGCCTAAGCCTGTCACGAGGGGCAAGGCTGAGCATTGCTGACTTGCTCACACCACCGCTGTCGGTCATACCACGTGGCGCTAGAATCGGTCGTGGCTTTGAACTTGATAGCTGAGGTGCTCTTCGAGGGGAGTTGTGCCGGGTTGTATGAGCGGCAGTATCTGTACCAGTAGTACGCCCGCTCGTGTTGGGTCTCCGAGAGGGGATCGCCTTGGGTGGTGAAACGGGCGGTGCAGGTTGAGGCCTAGGTTGATCCTCTGGATTGTACAGAATGGTGTTTGTTGATAATGTCCGGGCGTGGGCGCCACGTCTTGGATGTGCCTGACGAATTGTTGTTGCAGCTCTCGCAAATGATTCATGAGAAGATGCCAGTTTAGCTGATCGAGCTCCCAAAGAAGTTGTGAAATAGTCTTCGCCATCTTCCACACCATGCTTTTCAAACTGTTGGCTGCGCCCAGCGTTGGTCGCTTCATCTTCATCCTCGTCGTTTGTGACCAGTTCATCGTCACCATCTGCGTCTGTATGATCCTTGTACTCGGGCAGAATCAATTCTACCCTTGATCCACGACCCCTGGCGTTACGGAATGATGCACCAGGGTTGGACATGAAGTCTGCTGGGTCGCTCGCTGTAGATCTGACCTCGGACACTTGTCGTAGATGTGAAGAAGGTTTGTCCCAGCCAACACTCATCCTCCTTTGCCAATCAGGCACGGCCCTGCTGTCGAGCGTTGGCCAATTCGTAGGCGGCATACCCCCTTCATCGTGTTGCTCCATCCAGTTTCGGATAGCAGTCTGTGTCTTGCGTCGCTCATTTCTTCTCTGGGTGCGTAATGTTGTCGCATCCGGGACACGACGAAAAACTTCCTCAAGCGCTCGATCTTTGTGAAACCCTGCAACGGATTCCTCGCGCACACGTACATTAGGACTGAACATGGCCGTACGCTGCGCCGCATCTCCGAAAGAGATCGCCCGAGTCCGGGACCGACCGTGATTCTCAACAAGATCTGTAGGCTCAAACATGGAGGGCGCAAGCCAAAATCGTTCATACAAAAAAATCATGAACAAAACTGGGAAGTGCGTGACCTTGATAATAGTTCGATTCAGCCAGACGAAGTGTTTCAAAGGCATGCAATAGCGCAATGGCATCAGCAGCCAAGCAAATATATTGCTAGGGGCAATGTAGGAAAAGAGTGCATCATTCTTGACCATGGAGATGGTGTTGATCGCAAATACAAATCTGAGTATCTATTAGCAGCGACTCGACATGAAGAAATAGGTCTTCAGTGCTCACTGGTGTTCTTCCGTAGCATTGGAAGCAATCGCCATGAAAGAATTAGTCAAAACAGTAATAAGAATTGTTCTTCAGCGCATGTCAGCGTATGTTCTTTGTCAACACCCACGCGTTGAGCCAAGGGGCTACATACACAACCAAGAAATGACAAATAATGAGAAAAATCATCATTAATATTCTCGCCAACCAATTATATGTCGGCCACCTAACAAGTGTCAGCAATTGGTATCCTCTCGCGGGATTATAAGGGATTGGCTTACACGTCCCAGGCGGCAGGACTAAAGCCCATGAGAATCTGGAATATCTTGTAAGCAACCTCACCACCATTGCTTGCATTCTGGGATAGCGTGAAAAAGACAAAAAATCCACTGCACATGATCAAAACCAAGACGAACACAGCAGCCAGGTCCACAGCCATGAGCCGGAATGCGATTAGAAGCTGTGAAAAGTACTGATAATGATCCAAAATGCTAAAAATCCGGGGCAGAAGCAAAATAGCATTGGCGGCTAGAACGTCATAAGCCATGGCATTCCAGTGATGGGGGTCAACCAAGAATACACCATACGCTCGCATGCAGTAGTATGCTATCAACAGCACAAGGATTCCGAGATCAAAAATATTCCAAAAGCTCATGATGTAGAGAGCAAATCCTTGCTCGTTGAAGCCAACAAGCTCATCCAACATAAACCCTGCACTCCAGAACCAGAAGACCAACTCCAGCCCTGTGATCTTGACGGATCTCTGTGACAATACGGCAAGAAAGAGGCCAATCAATACAGCAAGTGATAACGTAGACAGAAAAGACCTATAACGTGGCACTCGAAGACGGGAAAGCTTGAACATGGAAGCCTGTCTAGGGTCATAGAGCATAACAGTTCTCCTTTCGGATGGAACATGGTACTGTCCTGGCTTTGCTGGAAGCGATCCAAGTAATGGGGTCCTGGAATCTGGCTTTGCAATCTCCCCATTCATACCTCCCCAGGGGCTGGGAGGTAGTTCGCGATGTAAACTGTCAGCGGAAGAATAGAAAGTAATGGCTCCGTTCCAAATGGCTTCCAGCTGTTGAATAACGACGGGATGTGCAAGAAAATGTTTAGCAGAAGCGCGGATAGCCACTTCCAATGTTGAAGTCCTTGATGCGGTCATGGCTTGTTTACTTTTGCTGTACGACTTGCCCTCTGGAAGAGGGGGCTGCGCTCCTGGGAGTCCTTGGAGGGGGTAGAAGTCGTACGCCAAGGCATCAATGAGTTCTCTGGTAGAATACTCCTTCAACAGCTTGAGAGCAAGCAATTCGCACACCTTGGCTCTGGTGTTGCTGATACCAGCATTGGCAGCATACCTTTGTCCTTCCTTGGCAAATTGCAAGCAATTTGCCATCAAGGCATATATGGTGGCCCTCGAGAAATGCTGTGTTCTAATCTGCTGCTGCATGGGTTTTACGAGGAACTGGGAGACCTGGGGAGATCGAAGTTGGTCCCATGATAGCGTTGTCTCGGTACGAGCGCTCACAATTATACGAATAGAGTGGGTAATGCTGTATATTGGCAGGGCATCTGGAGGAAGATTATGTCAATTTTGTTCAGTCGTCAGAGAAAAAAAATTCGGGAGGGGGGATTGTAAAAAAAAAAGTTTATAATGTTTGATTTCAGCAAACATCAGTCAAGGTGGCACAAGAGATGAAGGAAATCAGAATAATTACCAAGGTGTGTTGCTGAGAACAGAGGAAGGACAGGCAATGCCCGATGGCGATTGTCTTCGTCTGCCCCATGGTCGGCATCGTCCGCGTCTTCCTCTTCTTCTACTTCGTCATGTACACCGTCGGCCTCTTCGTCAAACCCAATCAGGTCTTCCTCGTTTGTATCCTCATCATCGTCATCGGCTTCGGTGAAATCCGCAGTAGCGTGGGCTCGGCCAGTAAACTGACGTTGTCGAGGGGGCCCAGACGAGGGAGAGACGGAGAGGTCATGGATATCGAGACGACGAGACCCGCGCTTGGGGCGGCGCAGGAGTGACGAGAACATGGTCTGGTATCTGGCGTCGCCTTTGGAACATTGAAGTCAGAACATCCAGCGAAGCGCCTAGTAGGATATGCTTTCCATGAGGAGCGACGGCACGATGGTGTCGCTCGCGCGAGAGGGTGGACGAGAAAAGGCGAATATGAAGGGAAGCACTGGCAGGACAGTCGCTTGGAGTCGTCAACGGTCGACATCGAAACCACGATGGGCGTTCAAGGTTGTAGCCAGCAGCGCTTGAGTGCCGCTAGCAACGGTGGAAAAACAAGTCAATACAATGCTAGGCTGGCCACTGGCGCACAGCTCTAGAGACCAGTCGGCCGGGACATGGATCCATTGAGTCAAGCCCACTGATGGCGGCCGCCAACTGGGTCCGGATGTCAGCTGGGCAAAGAGAACCACGGCGCCCCAAGCACTAGGGGACATGGCATCTCTCCAGCCACGGAGATGGTGTCCAGTTGACCATCAAATGGTATCTATTGCCATTATTCAGGGATTTGGCTTCATTCACAGCCCATTGTGTGATTACTTGAGTTGTGCGGTGCATTCTTCTGATGACACAGCCACCAGTGGCGGCTACATCACAAGTGCCTCCCGACGAGAATCTGGGTCCAATGGTGTATCCGACCACGCCAAGTGATGACACGCATACCAAGGCATAATACTAGTGCTGCAATAAATATTATGGCCAGAAGACGCGACATGCACCGCGCGCGCATGTATGTATGGCGCAGGGAAACTGGGCATGGAAGTACTACTAGCACGGAGTAGGCAGTATCAAATTGCACCAAGTTCATACGATCCCACTTCGACCTGCGAGGGGTGGACCAGCCTCGCGGGATCCCAAGTTGCAGGGCGGCCAGGGCCTCGCAAGACGTCAAGATTGTTATCAATTGCCCATTTGGTCGAAGCGATGAGTTTTTACCAGCAAGGGGGAATAGGCCAGCCGGTGGTATTGGGCCAATCGCTCGTGCAACAACTCGTCTTTCGAACATTGAGATACCACGCTCCCAGAGTTGAATCACCGCCAGTTTGAATATCCAATCAACCAACCCAAGAGGCTGCAGGCCAAACTTGCATTCTGGGCTAGTCATGCATGACCATCAAGATTGAACGCATGACACCCCCATCAGCCGTCAAGACTTGCATAAAATGCATGTGGTGGGCTGCCACATGCCCCGTCTTCAAACTTGATTGGGCCCGATAGTCAATCTGGCAGTCCTTCAATGTTCATGTTCCATGAACGCGCTTCGGCCACTCGCCCCGTGGTTCTGCGACCAGACTTCAGACCAACACGGGCTTGCTACCATCATGTACCCTTGCGGGTCGCGACATCGGGTCGGCGATCAATCATCATGTCTTGCAATACGGAGTGGTTCCTCCAAAACCCTGCGATCCAAGTTCCCGCCTATACATATGATATATCTGAAGAAGCCGCCATGTTGTTGCGACTGACGCATCTTGCATCTTGCATCTTGCATTTTTGCATTTTTGCATGGAATACTACTTCTTACGGGTTACGACTTGGGCTGCCGCTGTTGCGTCAAGCGATTGGAAGATGCCTGCCGGGTGGTTGCATTGAGGTATCTCGGCGCCAATGGAAAGGCAAAGTACCATCACCGTGAAAAGACAGGCTTGCGCCGTTGGTCGTGGAGCATCTCTGATACCCCATGAGTTGAGTGCCATAGTTGTGAATTCAGTTGTGATATATCAGTTTGTCGCCTTTGCAAATCCAACCAATACACCAAGTTGTGTGGTCTGTCCGGAAGAGCAATCGGAGCAGAATATTTGGGCTTGTCATGCCCACAAAAGAAATGAGAACAAAGCACCGTCGCTTTGCTGGTGAATCTACCGAGTACTAGATAGATTTATTAGCAGTACTAGCACCATCATGAACGTCAACGGGATTTACATGTCGTTATGGTGGCAGGGAACAATGCCCAAGGCCTTTGTCATAGTGTTTCCCGAGTACAAAGTACGGAGTACTTCATTCCTGGTAGTTTGGCAGGCAAAGTGTGGCTGGAGCTATTCTGGGAACCAACAAGGAAGCTCACGCCACAGGAGGTGGCACGGGTCCACCGTTTGCTGGAACTGTCGACTTTCCCGCGTACATACCATCGTCGCCCTGGAAGTCAATATATTGTCTTGGGAGAAGGGCAACACGACCATCGCCCTTTAAAAGAAAAGACAATGCCAACAATAAGGGCTACCTTGGTATGCACATCTGGTTTTAGGGCTGCCCACAAACGCATCCATGTTTTCAACAATGCGAGGGGAGAGGCGACTAGGATCATCTTTCTTATGCAGCGGAGTAGTAATACGGAGTACACAGTACGGAGTGCATACATACTAGTACTACTACATACCTAGGTACCTACTAAGTAGGTAGTAATAGACCACGAGTAGAAGCAAGGTTTCAAAACCGCAATGGAGACAGCGCGATGCATTTATGGCCCTGGCAGCACCCGTCATCTCGAGCACCCAAGTGCATACTTCTGATATACTGCACTTATTCTCATTGCACAAGTGGAATTGGGTGGACTTGTATTAAAGGGAGCGACGTGGCGTCATATTTACTAGTACAGTAAAGTCGATGATGAACAGATCCGGCGGAATCGCCCTTTCGTCCTACAATACTCCGTAGACGAGTATAAACGTCTCAATGCTAACAAGGAGTTGTTCTGAGTAATTGACCATCATGGGAAGAAGTCAGGGGTCAAGCATGCTTCAAATTTCGCTTATTGTGGTTAGTGTTGGTGGTGCCCTGTCCAGGAACAAATAACAGGTCCCTAGTGCTCCGTACTCCGTACTTCGTATCAGGGGCCAAACAAGTCGTTGTGTGTCCAGTCCAGTCTGGTCGAATAAAACGGTGCCAGCATTGAGGGCCGTGTCCCAAGGACGTTCCCGCTACATCATGTCTGTAACTGCTCCGTAGTTGTCGCCAAGCCATCTTCAGATCAATTGCGGCAATACTACAGAACGGAGCATGCTGGACCAGGCCTCATTGATCATAGAATTTCTGCAGTATTGTTGGTACTGGGCGCTGCAAGTTCTTGGAAATACATTGTCACCGTCCATGTCTGGATCTGCCCCTAGCCACGAGTCTCAAGTGCATTGAGCCTTTGTGCCCCCAGGAATTAACCGTCTTGGCCCCATTGTGACTTGGAAGGATGCTCATGTATGTGCGCATGTCGCGGTTAACCGCACCCAGCACTTGAGACGTGTTTCCACCAGACCGCCAGACCCCAGGTGCTCAGTGCCAGCACTCGAGGCCCCGAAATGGCTCTCAGCGCCTCCCTACTGGCATGGACTTTAATGTTCTGCTCACCTCCTCAGCTTGAGTCTTAATTTCTCCACCGCAACATTGAAGTCCCCTGTCAGGCCATAGACCCGTCCTGCCGTTCCTTTCCCCGTCACTCGTTTTCTTTTAATTAACACTTTTTCTTCTCGTTCTCTCTTGTGAATAATAACTGTTCTTGTTCGACCCTACACGCGTCTCTCTTGAATTTTGCGGGCGTGTTCCTGTGCGTCTAGTCAAGCATCGGCGTTGCACGGCCATTGGCTGCTGTCTCAGCCATATCCAAGCCCCTCGATGAAACAACAAAACTCCGTCCAAGTCTCCTCAAGGATTCTATCTGCTCCCGTTCTGGGTCACGAATCGTTCAATACCACCGATATCTGACGCCGGCACAGTGGAGGAAAGGGGGCTGCCAACACTAGATGCGAATTTGTGGTGCATCCCCAGTCCACCAGAGCGTTGGATTGCAGCTGTCCACATCGAACATCATGGTGCATTCCAAACCCGAGGAACCCACAGGCTCAACGGCCGAGACACCGGCAATGGGTGCGGAGGAGCCGAAACTAGGGCATCCCTCTTCTCCCTCAAACGCCCATGAACGAACCTCAACGACCGCCGACTTGAAGGGGAAAGCAGATGAGTCAGACGAAGAAGAATGGTGGCCGCGCATCAAGACGGGGACCGAGGAGCCCAAGCAAACTGCAAAGTCTGACGAAACAGATGAAGCAGGCGAGACCGAAGAAACAGAAGCCGAGACCCCCAAGATGACGCACGACTCAATGGTCACTGTTAGGCTCTCTGAGCCGCCATCTCTGAGTCTCGATACCACGGCCGTCACACCCGGTGCCGAACCGGTAACGCCCACCTCACCCATTGAAGAAGAGACATCAACAGATGCCGACAACGACAGTCTCGAAAAGAAAGAACATACCGAAACTCGTGACAGTCTTATGAGAATACCTCGAGTCTCAGCACCTATACAATCACCAACCGACGCTAACCGTACTCTCCAAGACGAACTCGGCCTGTATGGTGTGGATGGTAATGAAACTGATTCATCCGAGGATAACGAAGAAGTGAATTGGGAGCAGCTTGAAAAAACCGAGGACGAACAAATGAAGGATGAGGAAACGGACAACGTATGCTCCAACACCCCTCCAGACTACCATGCTTACCCATACTAACAACGGATCAGTCCACTGCTCTTCTCCTGGCACGTCTGGAACAGGAAAATGCAAAGTTGGCTACTAACCCGAAGAGCGTCAAAGTTCAGACTGTGGAAAAGCTCTCGTCGACAAAACCCCGGCCGCCGTCCATGGCGCAACTGAGAAAAATGGTCAGCGGCCCAACGCCAGCTGCCCTACGATACTCCATGCTGCCCCCTCCCCCAATGACCGATTTGGAATTTTATGCGGCTCTTGTCAAAGATTACCAGCAAACGGCAGCTCGTCTGCCAACTCTCTTGTCTAACAAAATTCGCAAGGGTATCCCGCCTCCATTGAGAGGCGTCGTATGGCAGAGCATGTCAGGTGCTCGTGACTCAGTTCTCGAGGAACAATACGAACGTTTCTGTGGCGAAACTAGCCCATATGAGCTCCTCATCGGCAAAGACCTTGGTCGAAGTTTCCCTGGAGTTGATATGTTCCGTGACCCCGATGGCGACGGGCAACGTATGTTGGGCAGAGTACTGAAATCCTTCAGCCTGTACGATACAAAGATAGGCTACTGCCAGGGGCTGGCATTTCTTGTTGGGCCTCTGTTAATGCATATGCCCGACAAACAGGCGTTTTGCGTACTAGTTCGGTAAGCCATGTGTGAGCATTCTGGTACCCGAATCCAGATGGTGCTAACTCACGTACCCTAGTCTCATGGAGAAGTACGATCTACGAGAATGTTTCCTGCCTGACTTGTCTGGATTACACGTTCGCATATACCAGTTTCGCGAACTTCTTCGGCTGAACATGCCTGCGTTAGCTGATCATCTTGACGAGCTCCAAGTAGAGACAGCATATGTTTCGCAGTGGTTCCTCAGCTTCTTTGCCGTGACATGCCCTTTGCCGATGCTATTCCGAATCTACGACGTCATCTTTGCTGAGGGGGCCTCTGAGACTTTGATGCGTGTTGCACTATCGCTCATGAGAAAGAATGAAACGCGCCTTCTGGCGTGTACAGAGCTGGAAGATGTAATGCAGCTTCTTCTATCTCGAGGACTATGGGACTGCTACCACTACAATGCGGATGAGTTTGTGCAGGATTTCGCCAGCTTGAGTGGCGTCGTCACTAGAGAGAGGTTGTCACAGCTAGCGCAAGCATACAGGGAGTCCCTAATTGCAACAGCTAATGCTGCACGAATGTCCGACATTACGACTGCTGCCAGCCGTTTCCTTGGTCGCATCTGGGCCGCATCAAGCAAGAATGGCAGCTTAGCCCCAGCTTTGATAGCCGGTCCTGCTCGACCGCTGAGTATGCTTCGCCGCAGTACCTCTAAGCAAAGCATAGCTTCGACGCTCAACTCCATGGAAGCAAGCTCTATAAGCGTTGTGAGCACCGCATCCACAGATGCATCTACAATCTCCCGAGACTCCGCAAATGGTGACGACGAGCCATCAAGCCGAGAATCGACCCCGGTTGGCCCGAAAACTATGGCCAATACCAAAACTACGGAAGAGAGATATCTACACAGTCAAATCGAGGATTTGTTGACGGCTCTAAGCGAATTGCAGAGGAATCATGCGCTTCTTTCTAATCAGCTGCAATCCGAACGAGAAGAGCGGGAGGAGGACAGAAGGACTGTTCGGTCACTTCTAGATGGCTTGCGTAAAAGGGCAGTTAATCATGATGAAGCGAAGGGCCAAGAAGAGATAATACCGCAACTGGGGACTGAGGAAGAAGAGCCCCCCATCATCGCAATGGAAGATGATGATGCGACACCCACAATAGAGGATCCGGTGCTGGAGCCAAAATCCACAGCCGAGGACGGTGACAGCGAAGATGCGCCATCAACGGAAGATATGAAAGAGCTTTTGGACAGAGTCGAGAGTCGCTTCGCGACCGATGACGGAAACAGAAAGCATCGATCGTCAATGCTTCAATCCAAGCCCCAGCTTCGTGAAGAGCTACTCAACACCAAGGGTCAACTTGCCAGCGCTGTATCACACTCTCAAGAGCTTAGTCGCCGAATACACGAAATGGATCAGGAACTCTCCTCTTTGAGGGAGCAACTACGCGAAAGACATGGGCATGTGAGGACGTTGCATCAAGACAAACAGCGATTGGAGAAGCAGATTCATGGTATGAGAGCCAGAATTTCCAGCAGCTCTGTATCAGAGCCTAATAATCGAGATGCCGATCCAGATTGGGTGGGGAAGGGCAAGAATGGCGGCTTAAGGGAATTCAAGCTTGGCCGAAGCAAATCAACGCCGCAGGCTCCTGGTTATTGTAAAAGAATCTCGTCTCTGCCCCAAAATCCCGAGTCTGTAATCGCTGCGGGCTCAGGAGTGGCGACACCGCCAAATGAACACGAGGCATTACTTCTCGAGCTCGTCCAAGCCAAAACAGCTGAGGCGACAGCGAAGCAAGAGGCTGAAGAGGCCAAGCAAAAGCTAGAGGCTCTCCGAAAAGCACACGTTGTACCATCGTCAGAGTCTCATGCTTCTTCACCTGGCTCGGCCTCTCTTGGGGTTTTCGGTCGACTCACCGGACAAGCAACGACGCCACCTGCCGAAAATAACCTTAAACCAACAGCGGCCACTGCTGGTACGTCCCCTAACACAGGAGGATTCTGGGGATGGAGGAGATGACACCAAGAGGGTGATAGGTGATATACATAGCAAAGCGATAGTATAGATGACTATTGCCGGCCGTCCAAAAAAGAAGTGTCATTTTTTATCGGAGATGGATGCATACGGCAAGGGGAGAGCAACGGTATTTTTATGACGCCGCATTTCTTTATGTACATAATAACTGAGAAAGTGAGGTCGCCACAGTATATGCGTTGAAGGAAGGCGAGGGAAATATATCGCTAGGTAGGGCTGTTGAAGGTATTATACCCCCGGATGAATGAAATTGTGGAGTTTTTGGTAGAATATGTCAATAGAATGACAATGTATGTAGGCGATGGAGAAATAGACTTAACCACGTGTGTGTCATGGGTGTCATGGGTATTTAGACACGTGAACCATGGGTGTGAGCAGAAGTCCTGAGTTCCGTATTATCATCTACTCGGTGGGTGGGTGGTGAGTGACGATGGCGCAGATTCTCAGACCAAGCGACGGATCCACAACCGGGGTCAAACCGGACTTGACGGGAGGGTCCGATGACAAGCCAAGCGGGAGAGGATGATGGGACAGAGTGGTCAACGTCATCACGCCTTGTTTGCTGCAGGGAGTCGGAACAAAGTCGCATCATTAGCCGTTCGAGCCCCTCGAGCTGGCAAGAGACCTATCTAGGGACCTAGTAGGTATTCTAGTTTTACGTCTACAGACTGCTTTTGCGAAGTCGTCGTATCTCGTATGGTGCTGGGCATCAACCTTCAAGCTCCGATAACGATAACGGAGCTTCCCCTCCACAACTTTGGCTTTGGAACTAGGCGGGACGATAACGCCAGGCTGTCGAGATGTCGCGTGAGCAGCCAAGCTAGCCTCGGGTGTCTAGCGCACAGTGACGGGTGTGATGGACGACAAGGCTTTGTAGTTGATGCAAGCGCCTGGCTTGGGCAGTTGGGACACAAAGCTGGCCGCGCTCCGGGGAGAGAACAGGATCAACACAGGGGCTGCTTCTCCCTGTGATGCCGGGCCAGCCAATAAAAGTACGTGCATGCAGGCTGTAGAGTACCATGTTCCCCGAAAGACCAGTGGGCGTTGTTATCATATGACGCCGGCGTGCTGATGACACATTATTTGGCGCGAGGAGTCAAAGGATGTTGTCAAGTGTCCCGCCGGTCGTCGCTTGTGTCGAGTCAATCTAAGCATATCTGGTCTGATTTTGCGTTGCTGTGGGCACACAAACCTCGGTCGTGTAAACAGCCTAATTAATGACCAACGGGCCTCGCTAGCTTCGCATCTCTCGAGCGACAAGGGACCCCCCAACGCACTCCGCGGCCGTATCAGCGCGCATGTGTTGAACTGGTCATGGCATTCGAGCTGGCATCAATTGATCGTTACTGGTTGGCAAGCTCCAAGCTCCACCAGCTCGGACAGCAGTTGTCTCGCGCCCTGGCCGGGGGGGCGCTTGCGCTGGCGTTTGGCACATGCTTTTCCGGCCCTCTATGGAGTAGTGTTTGGTCCAAGACGTCGAGAGTCATTTTGTAATGAAGGGACGAGTACTCCGTAGAAGAACATGAGCTGGAAATATCGAGTGTACGGGGCAGTGAATCTGCGTCAATTGGACTAGGGGGGGGGCCACCACCGCCACCACCAGACAGACTGGCCACGAAGGCGTCGCACATGCACCCCAACCAGTGTCTGGATGATTGAATGAAGCTTTTGTACGGAGTAGACGTGGACAGACAGGCCCTCTGACACTCTGGAGGAACATTCAATGTTGAAGGCCTGGCACGTTACCGAGTAACTTGCTTGGCTTCCAAGGCTGTCTGGCGGCGCTGCACCGGTTGTTGTTTGCTGCTGTTGCCGGTGCTGTTGCTGGTGCTGCTCTTGCTCCCGCTTGAGCCTGGCACCTACCTGTGCGTGATGTGTCGCTATCTTATCCCGAGCTTCCGTCTTCCGTCATCTACTGCCTTGCCTACTCCATACTCCGTACCTTGGTAGTTATTTCCCAACTCTGTCCTTCCTTCCGCCTGTCTCCTTCTTCCCTCCTCCTCTACCCCTCAAACACAGCGCAGATCAAACCTCTCGTCTGCTTTCGAACTGCAAGCTTCGACACTCTTCCCAAGGTACGAATCCACCATATTTATCACCTCGAACCTGAATCCCGAGACACCCTGTTTGTTTTTCCCCTGCACAAGATTTCCCCCTGCGTGACGCTGCTCTCTCCATCTCTCCACCTACGGAGCTATCGACCATCGACCCTGCCGCCTGGGCCAGCTCACTAGCTTTGCTGATACGGAGCTCCAGAGCTTTCCTTTGCTTACACTTTGGCCCTCTTGGCCCACCGCCCCCTAGAAATAGAAAATATTCCAATCTTGCAACCCGAACCCCTGCGCACCTCCGAAGAAAAAAAAACATACCACAACATCGGAATACCTGCTCAAGTCGCATCCAACTTCCCTATTCACAATGGCTGATACCGCGCCCAACGGTGGCTCCATTTTGGAGACCACCACGAACAGTACGGTATGTCTATTCGGCACCCTTTAATTGTCCACATTGCAACAAGGCCCGCTAACCAGAAGCTGAAGTAACTTCACATGTGACGATATGGTGATGCTACTATCCCGCAGAACGCGATGCAAGACCTAACTCAATTTCCCCAGATGCCGCTGCTGCTTACGACTCTGTGACAAATGGTGAGCATCTTCACACTGGAAAAAAATACCTTCTGCATGCTATCTTGTGTGCCCGCGCGCTAACCCGTCCGTCTCTCCTTATCCAGGTCCCGTTGCTCAGAATGTCAAAGACCAGAACGCAAAGACTCAGGCTGAGTTTTCCAATCTTGCCGCCTCTCGCAAGACTCCTACGACACCTGCTGCCACTGGCCAGCCTCTTACACATTATCACTCCCTCTTCTCGGAGCTTCTGTCATGGAAGAACCCTCGTAAGTCTTGCTCTTGTCCTCCGACCTCCCACTTGATGGACACCATCATCCCTGGCTGTGACAATTGCATAACTTTCTGCGTCAGGTGCCTCCGCTATCGCATACGCTTCGATTGTCTCCTTCATCTTCGCCGTTAGGTACCTCGATGTGATTCGCTGGGGTCTCAAGCTGTCTTTCATGGCTCTTGCCATCACAGTTGCCGCTGAGGTTACTGGTAAGGTCGTCCTCAGCCACGGCCTGGCTACTCAGATGCGACCTCGCCATTATTGGACCGTTTCACGGGCTACTGTTGATGGCATGATTGGGGATGTTCATGAACTCATCAACTTCTTCGTTATTGAGGCCCAGAGAATTCTCTTTGTTGAGAACGTCGGTGCTTCTGCTGCCGTAGGTCCTGGCTTCGTCTTGAAACCATTTTTTAGAGGGGCTAACAGTGTCAACCATAGGCAGGCGTTGCGGCCTTCATTTCCTACCATCTCGTCAAGCTTGTCCCGTACTGGGGACTCGCCATCATTGCCACAACCGTTGCCTTCTTCGTTCCTCTCGTCTACACATCCAATCAGGAGTTGATCGACCAGCACCTTAAGAACGCCTCCGATGCAATTAGTGCCCAGACTGCTCAGGTCCGAAGCGTTGCCCAGAAGCAGGCCGATCAACTCACCACCATGGGAAAGCAGTACGCTGGAGACTACACCGGCAAGGTACAGGAGATGCTCCGTGGCCGTGGCGCCCCTGCTCCTTCCGGCCCCCCTAAGCAGCCTACCCTCGTTGCTCCTGCCAAGAAGCCCGAATTCCCTACTCCTCCCACCGAGGAGCCCAAGTCTACGAAGACGGCCGAGCCTGAGGGCGAGGTTCCCGAGGAACCTGTCATCCCCGAGACAGAGCCTTTGGTTGCTTCCTAGGTGGCTCACCATGACAAATTCCACGTGTACACGAGATAAAAGGAAGAAGGCATAGCTGGACTAGGCGATAAGCCTTTTGATCTGCTTTTTAACGAGGCGCATGTCTTTTTCTCCATCAACGGGCCGGACAAATTTGGAATTATTCGGACTGCATTGGGTTTAGTTGGAACATTCGTTATTTTGCCTCGAGAAATTCTCGACAACGATTCGACCGCCAAAATTGAGGGGAAATGAAAGGAGTGTAAAGAGAATGCAGTGGCGTTGGAGAGTATTTCTCCTGTGTGAAACAGAAGAGAGACGACTGCGGCTGTGATGGAGATTGTAGGACAAGTTCTGTACGGAGATGGGTATCATACAACCCACATAGTTCACCTTTTAATGGATGTGGTTACGATTTGTTTCCTTTTCAAATCTCGCTTTTTATCAAGGACAAGGACTGCTTACAACGGCGCTGGAGTCCACTGGTCGGAAGTGTGTTGAGTGTTGTGAATACATATTGATTAGTTTTGGGGGCTCCTTGTCCGTGCTGGACATTCTTGTAACGCATTCACTACCGAGATTGCACAAATACAGATTGAACGGCTATCTTGTTTCAGGGATTTGATGCTTTCTGTCCTTTTGAAAGTGAAACAAGAGATAAGTAGCTACTTGGCTTAGCTTCCAAAACTTGAACTTTTCATCTCTTGTCAAGTAGCAGCTTGCAGGTCTATCTCCATGCAACTTTTGACTGCCGTAGGTGAGTCAGCACAGAAACAGAATCATGGTTCATTCTCTTTTCGACACGACGACGCCCTCTAGAGAGCTCTGGCTCCTAAAATTCCTACCGAGCCCCTCCCCTTCTCGCCTTCTCCCATTTCGTCGACCAGCGTCTATAGCAATTGGGCAGTTGAGTTATTATCAAGGCTCAAGTCCACTTATAGCTTATGTATTCTAAAAGCAACTTCGCGTAGGCCTGATTATTCCACGCCGTTGGAAAGGAAGCAACAAGATACGCTCGATGACGTTGCGCAAGTCATGCGTATAAATGAGAACAGAGTTTGGCGGAAGGAGGAAACTACAAAAGGTGACAGAGGCAGTCCATTGACACACACCCCGGTTAGATACATGGCGTTAAAAATCGGTCAATTAAGGTGATAGTTGATGGATGGAATCGAGCCTTCAACTCTCCGTCTACACCTACCCGCTCGTCCATGTACGCAGACCCAATGGCGTCCATTACCATCTTATACCCCTCGGGCCACGAGTTTGACCTCGAATACTACATGCAAACGCGCATGCCTCTTGTGCTGCTGCTTCACCTTTGACGAGACATGGATGAGACGCTGCCATGCCCGCAAGCGTGAACAGTGACCACACTTGCATGCGATACCTGGGAATGCGTATGGATTCAGCTTTACATAGAGATCATCATGGCTAGCTTTGGTCGTCTCATGTTTCCCTTTTCACCATGACTGTTACGACTTGGTTACGTCTAGGGCAGGTTGCCGAATGCACTATTCAAACTACACGGTTCCATGTCTTTTTGCTGGAAAAGCCATCAAGGACAATCAATGTCTACTGCAACACCATCGGGACAAAATTCAGTTCCAATGTAGCGCCTTATCTGCCCTTCCCTTGTCTTCTGCATGATGCTAGCAGTTAACTGAAAGCTGCCATCCAAGAAGCAGTCGGACCCCTCTTTCTGCCGGTCAACTTCCTTCCTTCCTTCACGACACTTCTCCCAGAGCTCAGCAAGAGTGGTTGGCCTCCTTCATATGAAACACAGTTAGAAGAGGAGGTTGTTACCCCGTTCAATCTTCAATTGGTTTGAATACAGTAGCTAATCGGTGGCAGACCGCCGTGTATTCCAGTAGAACACGGCGACTGTCTGGCAGTGCAAAGATACACACCCGAGCAAGATTTATCTGTAGCAGTGTCGAAAAAAGTGTGGCCAACATTACTTTACGCCGTCCCAAGCACTAGGCACTATTTACACCAGGTGGCCGACAATAATCCCCCAAACTTTTGACTTTAGAAACCGTTACCTCCGCCTCTTACCACCACCACTGCCACCATCCTCTGCCCCCCTCTTCCGCCCATTCTTCCTCCAAAACTCCTTGGTCTCCCTCTTCTCTCTGGCCTCCTTCTTCTCCTCATTGTCGGCGAGCTTCTTCTTGAACGCCGCGTGGTTCTCTGCCTTCTTGGCACGCCTCTTGGCAGCCGCGTCGTTTCTGACGGTAAGAAGCTGCTGCATAACGGCGCGGGCCTTCTTCTCCTCCGAGTTCTTGGGCAGCACAATCGCTCGTTTCTGCATATAAGTATCCCGTTTTTGCTTCTTGGTGGTTGTGATTTGCGACTTGTAAGGCAAGTCAGCGGCCAGCGCGCGAGGTACCCTCAGGGGGTTAAAGTGTCGCGTTTCCCGCTCAATCTTGCGATACTGGCTGTTTTTCAGCTGTGGAGCGGCCTCGCCTTGGTCACGACGGACTTCTCCGGTGAGACGCATGGGCTGCCAGCCGATGAGATTGGTCGCAGGGTTGTAGAAGCGGTGCGGCTTGATGGGATACCATGCGCGGAGGAAGACAATGTCGCTGAGGAGGATCTTGTCTTCAAAGGTGGCTCGGAAGTGACCCTCTGGCTTGGACAAGGCACGCTTGATTTGGCCGCGGACGCCCGAGACAGTTTTGATGGATGCGCCTTCAAATTTGGCTATTTCGAGAGAAGAGTTGAACATGTCTTTGATGAAGGCGGTATTTTTGAAGATCTTGTAGGGGACGCCGGTGAGTTTGAGCTTCTTGACGATTTCAGTCGACTCGTCCACACTCAGGACTGTTCCTGTGGCGGCGATGCGGAAACCTGCGTTGGAGGCGGAGAAGGAGTTGAAGCAGACGAAGCCGGTGTTGGGGGCGATTAGAGGAGCGTACATGGTGCCGAAGCAGTGCATGTGCTCGGGGGTGTATTTGAGCATGCGGTTTCGGGTTCGCGAGTCCGTCGTGCTGTAGATGGGCATCGTTTGAAAGCGTCTCCAGCCAAGGGAGACGATAAGGGGGTCGTTGGTCTTGAGAATTTTCTTGTGCCACCGGTGACGCTTGATTCGGACTTGCACAAAGCCCCATCGATCTTCAGTCGCAGTGAGGCCACCTACCACAATTGGCAGACGAGCATTGAACTTGGTAACAAACTCGGCGGGGACCTTTTCAAGTACAATCTTAGCATATTTGCCAGCGCGGTAGCCCTCAACGGCTGCGCGTTGTCGTTCGTCCAGAGTCTCAAACTCCTCCTTGTTGATGTCGAGCTGTTTCCGGATCATGGCCTTTTGAGCATCGTACCAATCGTCCTCGCCGTATTCTTGAATATCACCGCCTTCTCTCCGAGCATTGGCTTTGTCGTTGAGGAAGCCCTCTCTGTCCTCCTCTTCAAAGCGTTGTTTAAGCTCTTCTTTACGCTTGGCGTTCCTTTCGCGCTCGGCGGCGATATCCTCTGCCGTCTCTTGTTCCTTTTCAGCAGGCTCAGCTTCCAAGTCCTCGAAAACACCGTCACCTTCATCATCGTCATCCCCAAAGCCACCAAAGTCGTCGTCGTCGCCGCCGTCAACTTCGCCTTCTTCCCCGTCATCGTCTCCCCCGAGGCCAGAGGTGGTAAATCTCCTGCGCAGGGCCTCGATGTTGTCTCGCTCAGCCCATTTGGCCGCCAGGTCATCGTAGTCGTAGTCAGGTATTGAGCGATCCTCGGTTGAGTCTTCCTTTTCCTGTGAGGACTTCTTCTTGAAGAAATCGTCGTCGTCTGAATCATCAATGTTCTCCTCTTCGGGCTCACCGCCTTCACCCCTCCATCGCTTCAAAGCCTCTCCGGGGGTCATTGAATCATCGTACATGTATCTTGCGAGGTCGCCGGTGTGGTACGTCCGTCTCTTTCCATGCATCTTGCGAGCTCGATCCGCCAAGTCGTCCTTCCAGCGCATGGCAGCAGCTTCTTCATCAGAACCAAAATCCTCGTCCTCATCATCCATTCCCATGTCATCTCCAGATATGGACCCGAGATCTGAGTCGCTATCGGCAAAAGCAACATCATCATCCTCTCCCTTGGATTTGTCGGCATCCTTGCGGAACATTTTGCCCGTTTTACTTTCGCTGAACTCTACCTCAGCGCCAGAATCCTCATCACCACTCCCACTGACAAAGCCCTCATCTTCTTCCTCGTCATCGTCGTCCATGCCCTCATCCTCAACGTCCGATTCACTTCTTTCAGCAATTCTAGCACGACGTTGTGTTTTTCGGCCGGTATCTTCCTCCTCGGCAACTTCCTTCAGTTTCTCGCCGCCAGAGAACAACTGAACGCCATCTTCCATTTGACCCAGCAATCGTCGCTCCGCCTGAAGACCAACAATCATCTCCTCACCTTCGCCCCGCTCGACTCCTTCTGCATCCTTGTCGAAGCTGAAGCCTTTTTCTCTGGTGATCCATATAGCATCGCCATCAATCTTCAGGCCACTTCGGTCTGACATGGGGGCATGCAGCTTCTTTTCTTTCTCGTCCAGCCGCCGTCTGCCAGTTTTCCCCGTTATTTTGGCCAGCGCCTGTTCCATAGAAGGCGTCGGGCAGGGGTCTGGTAAGACCTCCATATTGGCTACTGTAAAGTCACCAAGCCCGGCAACGTGTATTCGTTGTCCCTGTGCCGCAAAGTTTGTTCCTCGCAAATACCCAGACAGAACGATCGATCGGTCGCAGTTGGGGTCCTCTTCAATCTTTGTCGGATGCGTAATGTCACGGAAACTGTCGACGATGGAGTATGGGTGGTTGTTGCGCCATACAAGGGGTCGAGGATTCTTCATGACGGACACGAATCGTGACAGGTTGTGAATCTCGCGATCGGGATATCGGCCATTCATGACACCAGACAGATAAAACAGATGAGCGCCTTGATACAACTCGGTCCAAAGTCTGCGTTTTAACCTCTTCTTGGCATCCTTCAGGGCTTGTGGCTTGCGGAAAAGATCCAGATGTGTGAGTATGCCAAAGACGTTTCCAGGCATACCTGTGGCGGCAAGGACGTTGAGGAATTCCATTGTCTCCATTTCGAAGCCATAATTCCCGTCAATCATGAGCAGTACAATGTCTGCCACCTTGGCGATATCGACCATGGCTTCCATCTGGTTGGGGCATTCGATGAAGGTCAGTCTTTGTTTTTTCGAGGTGACGACGGTTATGGGCCCCTGGGGGTCCGACAAAGTCTCCTTTGTATAACGCCGAACCATGGACTTTAGAAGTGTAGTCTTGCCAACGCCAGGAGGGCCGACGATGGCCACGAGACGAGGCGGAGCCTCATCGGGAAGTCGGTCGACGAGCGGTACATGAAGGCGCTTCTCTTTAATCTGTAGATTTCAATGTCAGAAGTCTTTCGCTTGACTGTTGGGCGTGCGAGAAAGAAAAAAACCGTACATCCTGGGATCTAGCTGCACTTCTTTGCAGTTTTCCTGGGTTGGAGAAGGCGAAGGCTTTGGGATTATGGTCTGCGCCTCGGTCAGTATCAAGATTAGTTCCAATCGCACAAAATTCAGGACTGGAAAAAATAATAGCCTTACCTCCCGTGTGCTTCTTCTTCTCCTTGGACTTGCGGTGCGGCTTGTGCACTTGTTGCTCCATGGTTGCTATTCCTCAACACCATGTGCAGTGCTAGACTCCCATGACCAAGAATTTGCCCGTTTGGCATGGGAAATTTTCTGCCGGCCAAGGATATTTCTGGCTTATCGATAAGCCTATCAGCAGACAATTGTACCCCGTAGGTGGGGAGCAAGTTTGAAGGTTTGGATGCGCAACAAAAATATCCAATTGGTTTGGTTGACCCCACACATGACCACCATTTTGTCCTACACCTACCCTGGAGCGAGCCAACTTTGTCTTTTTCTGTCTAGATTCCTATTCTTGTGAAAAGGCAGTCGACAATACGGACCGTCATGTTGGACACCTTGAATCCAAAATTTATATTGCGATTAATCTTGCTGTGACATTACTGGGGCTGGTATAAACTGCAGTACTGCAGACGGCCTTCTTCCCTCGACTCTGTGTTGTTTGTCCTGATCGGTTCTAACCTCTGTCCACGATTCTCATAATTCAATAGCTCAAATGTTCAGTATATCCGGACAAGTGTGTACTACATCCCCCATGACCCATCACAAATCTAATTCGTTACACAAACCCCCAATAGTCACCTTCAGAGTCAATTCTATACGTGCACCACTTTCCGTCACCTCTCGAGACGAGTTCAACCAGGCGTTCAGAGACTATTGCCTTCCAGTCCAAGTTCATACCCAGTGCGTGCGCCAGCATGCTGCAACGAATTATGAGCTGCCAGCAATATGCCAAATAGCGGCGCAACTGGTGGCCATTGACCGGATGGAACGGATCAAGAGGTTTCTCAAGCCTGTTCTGCGTGGCATGGTCCACGTAGTCCAAAATGCTCGATACCAGCTCTGCCGGGAGCCCCTTGTCCATCAACATCTTGCATGCATAGTTGATGGCGAAGGACTCAACAACAGGATCCGGTGTCAACCTCTCCTCTGCTAGGAATTCCTTCCATGGCAGTATCCCATGGCCGGGTTTGCATCGTTCCCATGACACGTCCCCTCGTCGTTTGCGGTACGTCTCGTCATTCGAAACGCCAAAGAACTGCCGATGAGGTAATGCTGGAACCTCCGAGGTGGCTCTGAATGACGTGCAACTGGCCATGACGCGCTGGTACATGTATGTGTTGCGGTAATCCTGCCTCGCCGTTCGACCAGACGCCGGTTCCCATATCTCAGGGAAGCAGTAAACTATGTTGAGACACAGGTATGCGTCCAGGGCGTTTACGTAAATACGATCCCAACCCACATCGGGGAACTGCCTTTGTTAGTGTTTTCCCCTTTTCTCCCCCGCCATCATAGAACAGACTAGCAGAGTTTTGACTGAGGCGATGGATATCATTTACCTCATCGTAACATGGCCCTACGTGATGCCAGTTTTCGTAGTCGACTTCGGGATGAGCGCAAATGCGTAGGATGGGATCCATCTCGCCGTATAATAACAAAAGCTTCAGAATTTCAAGGTTATAAAATGCCTCTGCGTTATGTTGGAAAAATTGGAAACATGGGTTTGGCACGTATTCTCGAAGAAAGGCAGCGGCCTGCCGTTCGCAGTAAGGAATTACGCATCCACAGCCAAAGCCCGGTTGCCCATCCCCATGACGGCAGAAAAGCCGTGTGGCATCATTCGACATTGACTGGTCAAAGGGCTGATCAGTGTATCGATCCCTCCCGTTTGAATCTGCCAGAGATCGTTGTCGCAAGCGCAGCACGGTTGGGGCGAGCTTCTTGGCCACGGCGTCGGTTAGTATCAAGTCATGCCGGGCGGGGGCCGTGTATGTATCCTGGTACTTTCTACGCTCGCATTCAGTGTGTTGCTCGATGTTCTGGGCGAATGCAGTGACAAAGTAGGTGAGTTGCCTGCCCTGCTGGGGCTTGTAGCAGACATAGAAATTCGACGTCTTGTCTCCATCGGCACCGTCGTACTTGCGGAAGACGGGCTTGAGATGACTGGTCAAGGCTTGCCACGGAATGTTGTGCGCTTGGTGTGCCATTGTCGACTGAGGACCCAAGCTTGGATGAGGACTTGATGAAGAAAGCTATGGAGTTGGGCGATGCATCAATTCGATGTAGTCGGTCGCTTCGTCTCCACATTCAGGATAAGGCCACTTGGCAATCGCCGTGAAACAGGCAGGCGCCAACAATGTACTAATGGCATTACTCATTGATAAAAATGCTACATGGTGAAATAGAACGACGACAAATCAACACCGGATGGGTGCATGACAAGCCAGTATTCCTGTTCGATAGTCATCTGTTGTTGCTCATATCTTTCCACTCAACCGTTGGCGTGGCATTGCCAGTTCTGCTACCTCTGACATGCAACGAATCAGACTGGTCTTTGTCATGGTGGATACAATTTTTATTTCTGACAAAGTCTCACCAAAGCGTGACGTTGAGTCTTTCTGCCTTTCCAGCGAGATTCAATCTGCACTAGACACTCGTATTCATACTCTCTTATTGGGGAAGGCAACACATTGACATTATCCAAGCCAATGAAGGCTTTGTATTCGAGGCTCCGTGCCGAGGCCTTCGACCGTTGACCCAATCGCGTTGGCGTTTTTGACGTTTTGGTGGTCTGGAGGCAAAAGCTGCCAATGCACATTATCTCCGGGAAATGCGGGTGAGGATAATTGTGGCGCACCCAATCAAGGGGATTATTCTCGCACGACGGAGATGGGCCCCATTTCCAGATATTGCTCCCCCCGTTCATCCATCTCATGATAGTACTCGGTAATGCGGGGAAAACGCCCCGCGCAGCCCCGAATGCCGTAGTTTCCATTAGCGTCCCCATCGCAACGCGGAGGAGGCTTCAATATTCCCGGATGGACAGGGATTCCTATGCAGTTCCATCGAGCTTGATCAGCCATGGGTCGTCCCACGCTGGACCTCGAGCGTGGACGAGCAGCGAGCAGCGAGCAGCGAGCAGTATAAATACGTGATGAAAAGTTGCATGTGGTGTGTCTCCGGATGGACAGAAGCGATGTGGACTGTGCGGTTGGAACAACTCCGCCCTTCGACCGGACCCTTTCCTTTGTTCTTCTTGAACTTGATCCTGCGCACCCACGCCCCTTTGCGTTTCTTGACATCGAACCTCGATCCTGCGTACCCACGCCGGCTTGACCATGGCCGTAGTCCCATCCACGCCCTCGGGCATCGACAAGCCAGAGAAACATGCTCACCCAACGACAGTCGAGCCCTGGCGAGATGAAGAATCCTCGCGCGAGGCCACGGTCGAAGAAGACGAGCACGCAAACAAGGTCATGACAACCACCCCCGCGTTCTCCTCGAGACGGGACTCACCAGTGCTAACCAACTCTTGCTCGACAGTTTACGTTTCGCCGCCTCATGGCCTTTATTGCCATGGCATTCTGCTGGACGAGCGGCCAAATGCCGCCCTATCTCTACGGTGAGGGACGATTGCCTCGCCAGCGTGACCGCCAGAAGAAAAAGTTGCTCATGGCCACCCCTTGAACAGGTGGCATCGCCCCCATCGTCTACGGAGACATTGGCGGCGTCGACCGATGGGTATGGTTCATCACCGCCAACCTGATTGCACTCGCCGCCGTGGCCCCCTTTGTCGGAGCGCTGTCCGACCTCCTCGGCCGCCGTTATGTGGCCATGCTGGGCAGCGCCTTCATCATCATCGGCCAGATTGTCTGCGTCACGGCCCACGAGATGAACCCCTTTATTGGTGAGTCGCTTACCCTCGAGCAGAAACCTTTTTTCCTTCTCTCAACTTACATTGTCTCGTCCGCAGCCGGCATGGCGCTCTCCGGCGTCGGCGCGGGCATCTCCGAACTGATATCGATTTCTGGATTGGCCGAGATTGCGCCCACCGCGCAACGCGGCGTCTACATTGCGGCTCTCATCATGACGATCCTGCCCTGGTGTCCCTCCGTCATGTGGGGGCAGTTGATTGCTGCCAATGCCCACTGGCGCTACGTGGGCGTCATGATTATCGCCTACACGGCCGTAGGCCTTGCCGTCGTCTTCTTCTTCTACAGCCCGCCTCCGCGGGTCAACTCGGCCTCTCTCTCCGGCAAGGAGACGGTCTCCCGGATTGATTTCGTTGGCGGCGTCACGTCCATCACGGGCATCATCCTGCTCATTGCCGGCATTCTTTGGGGCGGATACATGGTACGTCGTGTCCTTCTTCTCCCGGCACAGGCGAAATAGCTGAGAGCCTGTATACAGTATGCGTGGAAGAGCGCCCATGTCCTCGCGCCATTCATCATTGGCCTGGTCCTCATCCTGTTCTTTGTTTACTGGGAGGGCTGGGTTGCAAAGTATCCAATGGTGCCGAGGCGCCTTGGTAAAGCCCCGCGGACGCTGGTCCTCATTATGCTCATCGCCTTCGTCTCTGGCGCCAACTTCTTCTCCGTGCTGATGCTGTGGCCAACCCAGGCCTACAATGTGTATGGCCACGATCCTGTTGCCGTGGGCCTGCGTGGTCTGCCGTTTGGATTCGGCGTCATGGCGGGATGCGTGATTACGCTGGGACTCATGACGTGGCTACGCGGCCGGGGCATTCGAGCTCTCTTGCTTGCTGCGTCGTGCGTCATGACGGCAGGATGCGGTGCCATGGCGGCCGCGAACCGTGACAACGAAAAGGCCGTCTATGCCATTCTTCTCGTCTCGGGTCTCGGCGTAGGAGGCATCGTCATTCCAACTAGTGTCATTACGACAATTATTTGTCCCGACGACCTCATTGCCACGATAACTGCCTTGACACTGTCCGTTCGGGTCATTGGCGGAGCAATAGGCTATGCCATTTACTACAACGTCTTGGTACAGAAGCTCACGCCAGAGCTCATCAAGCAAGTATCGACCGCCATGGTCCTTGGCGGCGTCAAGGAGCCGGAAGTGATCAAGGCGGCCATTGAGCTCACGTCCGCGTCTCTCACACAGGAAATCCTTCACCTTCCAGGCGTTGACGGCAACGTGGAGCTCTGGCAGTCGATTGTGCTGGCGGGCCAGAATGCATACGCCATGGCGTATCCGTGGGTATATTATTGCAGCATAGCCTTTGGAGGGGTGTCGATTGTCGCCAGTGCTTTTGTTCAAGACATTGCTCAATTTATGGATGAGCATGTGGCGGTTGTTATTTGATGGCGAGCCCTTTCCGCCCACATGGGTGCAATCGTAAAGCGGTTTTGAGCAGAATCGCCCTCAAAATACTTTGAATAGAATCGCTCACCTGGAATGAGATATTAGCCTTGATGTTTGGTTGCCAGAACTGACAACATGGCGAGGGTGCATTGTAGTAAGCTGAGGATTTGAATGGCACTGACGGCATTTCAAAAGAAAGAGATGACAAGTGGCAATCCCATGATATGTCGGACAAAAGGTTTACAGTGAAATGTGCCGTGCAACAGGCAAAATTTTTGGACTGCGTGACGGCCCAAGTTTTCCAGGCAGACGGCTGGTGCCAGGCAATGATGATGTGAACGCTTCGAGTCAAAGCCTTCAGTCTGCCCGTGCAGGATCTGACGTGCCCGAGCACTCAAACACTCGAGCATCTAGTCCATGTTGCAAGGTAAAGGTGATTTGTTGCAACGCACCGCCGCCCGGCTCTTGGCCCACGACCGAGCAGGCTCTCGGTATCCGACTTGACACGTTCCAGACGCCCAAGACGCCCTCGCACCAATGCTACAAGAGAAGGAATTGTACGACAAGCCAGCTCGGTAGACGTCGAGCCGTGGCCAAACCGTCGGCCCAGCGGTCCTCTGCGCAGCCATGGTGCCAGTGATTTGCCATGCGGCCATCAAGGAATCACATCACACCCGAGATCGTACCATTGCCATGCATCGTGGTGCAACATGCGCCACCCGATGGCGCTTTCTGGTCGACGCCAACCCGGGCCACAAGTAAGAATCAAATAAAAACGAACCAATATATTACCTACCACGACGGGACGTCCAAACATGTCGCCCTCCCAATTCTATTCGACCGTGCAACTCCCCCCCATGTACAAGAGTCGGGCCACGAGGCCCAACACGGGGCCGTGTATCGATGGCGCCGGCGTCAAGAATCAAACACTTGCGGAGCCTTATTACGTACAAAGTCGGACGGTGTAGACGTCAAGGTGAGGAGGGTTTGAGTTTGCCGCTCCCGGTGGGACATGCGAGGGGAACGGTCCCTGGTTCGCCCGACGTGAAAAGCCTGAACGGGACCATTTGACCTTGTTTTGCTAGTGTTGCATGCGAGGACACGTCGTGATGGAACTGTGGAAAGACAAAAAAAAATCAAAAAAAAAAATCAAAAAATCACCAGACTTCTACTTAGACGCACCGGGTACTCGTCCCGTCCACCAAGGCAACCGTGTCACGGAGTGGCGCAGCCCCAGCGGCCGTCCAAGCCCGGAGCAGTTCGGCGCCCAGGCCCCACTTTGCCCCGAGACCAACAAGGTCAGGCAACCGTGAATTAAAAATTTTTTTTCCCGTTGGCACTTTGCACCGTCACCTGTGAATCCACTGCAACACAACGGTCTGCATGTGAGGTTCGAGGGAAGAGGGGGGTTTAGAAAAAAAAAGGGAAAGGGGGGGAGTGCTGGCGCGGGCCGCAACTTACACGCCAGCGGCTGGCTTCGGCTGGCAACGCACATTGCCGCCGTTGTTGACCAACAGCCGGTCTGGCGGCCAGGGGCTCCATTTGAAAAAAAAAAAAAAAAAGAGAGAGAGACTAAAAAATAAGCCCAGAATGTCGCCAACCCGTCCCACAGACTCTGAGCCAGTCAAGCACCAGGGCTAGATGACACAGTGGAAACGTGTGACTAAAAAAGAAGCGCCGAGAATAAACAGAGAAGACCGGTAAAGGGTGCTGCCCAGCACGTGGGAGAAGAGTTTTCGGTCCCTTGCAAGCTTGGATCGATCGAGTTCTGGCGGCCATTTTCGAACGGCACCCCCTGGCCTGACCTGACCTGACCTGAATGATTACGAGAAGGAATGAAAGATGGTGTCACGGTGAACCATTCACGGGAATGGCGAGCTAGTAATTCCCGTGGTCCGTCTTCCCGCCCTGCAGCAAAGGGCAGGGGCCTCAGGCCTTGGACAAGGCGGAAGCTGAAGGCGCAAGTGAGCACGTCGATCAATTCCTGTCAAGTCTGGTGCGCACGCAAACCTGTGACGCCGCCTGGCTTTCGGGTGCCGCAGCCGTTGCTGGTGCCTTGCCAGGTGACTCACGGCGCCGGCGAGTGACTGTGTGTGGCTGCACGTCAACTGGTCACTGGTGCACTGTCTGGTGTGGTGGCCCGGCGCTGGCGCAGCGGGAGGCGTAGCGCACATGCAGCCTGAGAAATTTGCACCAGCCCGTTGACGACGAGGCTGTTGTACGCGCAACGCCTCGACGACAATCGACACACCAGACCGGTAACCCCCACCAGTGACCCCTGCAGACCCATAGCCCCGCCTGCGGACCGGCCACCCCCACTGCCAGTCCGGATCCAGTTCATCCACCAGGCACCAGACTCCATCTGCTACGTACCACCAGACGTAAACCACTTACACGGCCTCGGGCGAGGTACCAAGTAGCCATCACCACGTCCAACAAATCTTGTTCAAGCAACAAACTATAAGTATCTGCCAGACCTCCGCCTCCATCGTAGCCTCTCCATACCACAACTCTCACACACACTGCAAACTAGGCAACTCACCACACTCCCACACTCACAAGCCCTTCAAAAAGACTACGTACTATTCCCACGTACACCACACAAACAACCACAATGAGCGCCGCCAACATCCAAGCCCAGCAGGCCCTCAATGCCTACGGCCCCGTCTCATCCCCTCACATCTTCGACCGCGCCTCATCCAAGAAAGTCTTTGCCGACATGCTCGGGTCGCGCCGCCCCTCGCCCGCCTCCACCCCGGCCGAGTCTCGCCGCGCCTCCGCCGCCAGCTCCGTCGCCTCCCACAAGGGCAGCAAGGACAAGAAGGACAAGAAGGACACCAAAAAGGTCAAGCTGCCTACCGCCGTGCTACCTTCTTTCCGATTCGTCAACTAAAAACACTCCTTTTCTCTTCTTTTTTGGTTTCTCAACTTGGCGGAATACATACATACACTACTTATACCTTGCCTGCTCGTCAAACAGAGACGAGCGGGGCAAACAGCATAATGGTACCAGACACCTTTATTGAGATGCACGAGGTCATAGGGAATAAAATGGCGTCTTTGAAAAGCATGCAGCGTAAAGATGGGATGAATCTTGTTTAATTTTATTAATTTTATTGTTTTTTTTTGGCATCAAATACCAATTTTCTTTTCATGTTGAATCAATGGGCTCTGACCACTTAGGCCCCTGACATGGAGGGCATTCCACGAGCAAGAGTTTTGTCGTCTTTTTTTTTTTCATAGAGTCTGGTGATTTCGGCCAGTTAGCAGATGGGAGATTTTAAAAGAAGCATGTTTCCAAAAGAAAACACACACACACACACACACAATTCTCATCATGGTGACAACATCACTAATAGATCGCGATCCATACTGGTTCAATCTGGTATCAATTTCACACGAGGCGATCCCTCTCCAAATTTTCACCTTCCTTCTCTAGAAACTATCATCCATTATATCCTCATTCATCTTGACCATGGTCGGACTGTACTCAGACGACTCCATGTCTGCGCCGGCATCCATCAGTATGTCATCCACGATCCTCCGGCTCGCCTCGCGAGCTGTAATCGAATTAGCACCCCCCCAAACTTTCATCATCAAACACATGGCAACAAGTAGACTCACCTGGCGTTTGTAGCAACTTGGACGGCGGCAGCACAAACTGAATCGTCTTGGGTGGACTCATGCCCGCGTACAAGTCGTCGTCTCCGTCCTCGTCGCTATCCCAGTCGATTTCGTACTTTTGTCTGCCGCGCCCTGCCTGGCCTGCCGCCGCACCGCCAGCCCCTTTATCCTCTTCCGCCAAAGCAAAAACGTCGCGCGACTTCTTTGCCGTCGCCGGCGTCTGGACGCTGACGCCGGGGGTCCTCGGGGCTTGAGCCGCCGCGCGTTGTCGCGCCATCAACTTGTATGGCGACATGAAGACTTCGCTGCGCAACGTTGGCGCCGCAATTTCGGGCGATGACATGATGGAATCGTCGTATTGCCAAGCTGCCTTTTCCTTTTCCTTCTTCAGGGGAGATACTTTAATGCCCGGCCGGTGCGGTGTAGCTTGCACCCTGTAATTCTTGTCCAACACGCGGTGTAGCAGCGGGTCCTTGGCCTGTCTCGCCGACGCCTGCTGTCTGGCCGCCTGGTCCTCGCGCGGACCTCTGGGCGTCATGGAGATATCTGGCAGCTGAGCCGTTCGCTGGGCGAAAAGCACCGTGGAGTCCTCGTTGTCCTGCAGCACCGTGGTCCCGTCATTGTCGCCTCTGATTTCGCGCTGCATCCTGTCAAACGGTGATGAGTGGCCCGAAACCCCTGCCTTTATCATCTCGGTCACTGGTGGACGCGGGGTACTACCCGAAAGTTCAGCGTCGTCCAGGAGCGACTCGTCTCCGTGCATTGTGCTGTCTCGTGTGCCGCCGGGTGTTGCCGTCATGTCTTGGTCGTGCGTTTGTGTGTGGTCGGCCGACGCCTCGTCCCTCATTGCCGTGCTGTCCTCCATGACTGTCGATTCGTCGTCGTTGGCGAGCTCCTCGTAGCCGGACAGCGAGACGTTGGCGGACGCTTCGAAGAATTGCTTCCAGAACTGGGCAAAAAGCATTAGCATCCAAATTGGTTCCGTGGCCCGTCATGTGTCCTCCAGTCGTGTGCCCACCTTGGATGCTTCCCACACGGCGCGAGAGTGCTCGCCATACTGCTCTACTACTGGTATGATGCTCGTCGTGACGATTCGGTGGGCTTTGCTGAAATTGTGATCAATTTCTATGCGGGTCAGCTCATGCCACTCGTAAACACACAGCCCTTTGTCCCGTGATGGCGGTGAATCTACCTTGCAAAGTCAGAGTGATGGATTGCTCGAGCTTCTCCAGCTCCTCCATCAAGGACAGATTGCGCGCAGCTGCACTCGATCGCGCCATCTTGGAGCTGGAGAAAGATGCGAAAAGAATGAATTGGATTCTACTCCGTACCAGCCCCAAGTCAATGCATCGGTGAGACTGGACCTCGTCGGAAGCGCGTCTCCACGCGTAGAGGGGTTTTGGGGTGACTTTTGGCGGGGCAGCTTGCCATGTGCAATCATTGATGTCTGGTCCTAATTGATCGCAGGCACAGGCACAGGCATAGGCAACATGCACATATGTACATACACATGCACATGCACAGCCACAAGACAGACCACGCATTTTTCAGGCACGTTACGAATAATGCAACACGCCATCATATTTTTCTTCAATGTCATACGTCGTGAGTCATAATCTAGACCGATCAATGGGCCATCGCCAACTCAGCGTCTACAGTAGTAGTCACCCATATCCAACTTCAACAACTGCGCAATCAAGCTATCATCGCCAAAGCCAGAGTCTTCCGACGATGCGCCATCTGCCGTGTTCTTGCTAGATGCCCTCGCCTTTTCCGACAGGCCACGGCAAACTGTAATAAACACTTGAACCTTCTTTCGGAATTCAGCATACATGTGAGCCGAATTGGCCAACTCGGCAGATTCGCCCTCCTCTCCGAGTGCCTGTAACCTTGACTGCTTTGCGTATTGCAAGACGATGCCAAATATTTCCTCCAGAAGCTTAAGCACGGGCAATTGCCGTTTCCTTAAAAATAGGGCGTACATGATCCGTTCCAACACTTGTGAATGCATGTCCCGTAGCTGGTTGGGACTATACGCACATTTGTCTGGGGCTGCATCGGGCTTGTCAAGATGAACACGAATGCTGTTCAACTTGTTCTCGAATGATTGCCATGCTATCGCAACACCACTGTCTAGGAAGTACGACGCGATGCTGGACACGAAATGCTGCGACTCTCTGACGAATCGATACGACGTATCCTCTTCGACCCATGTGTTAAGTCGTGAGTTGGTGTCCTGATACAGGCGATTTACCACGTACAGCATCCTCAGAATCCTGAGGAGAAGCTTGAAAATGCGGTCGTAGTGCATGAGGTGGACTGGTGTAATTATCCACGTCAGCTCGGGAGGTGTGGTGTACGAGAGCCGCAGGAAATCGAGAGCTTCCAATGCATCGGGGTTCATACACTTGTTGATTTCTTCCTCGGACAAGTCTCGGACGGCAAAGCTCAGGTCCCCAGGCAGGGGGGAAGCACCCGAATCTCTATTGATCGATGTAGACGCCTTCGTAACCCCCTGAGAACCATAAGCCTCACCGAGTACTCCCATCAGGGCAAGGCGAAGTTCAGAGCTTCCCGGCGGCCATGTATCTCGCCCTCCCAGTCGGAGGCCCATCACGCCTCCTTGCATCGCTATACCAGCCTGCCTTTCAGTCGTCTCGAGATCGGGATCAAACAAAGCGTGGGACAGCCGGCTACAAAACAAGCCATTTCCGAGTAGGTGGAAGTCTCGCTGGAGTTTGAGGTGAAGCTGAACGTTATTGGCCTCAAATAGCAAGCGAAGGCTTTCCCGATTTACAATTCGAGCTTGGGCAGCCGCAATGCCACCAAATGACAGAATTGGCAACAGAGACCAGTGTGGTGTGTCATCAGAAGCTATACTATCATCTTCAATTTCGCTAGAAAACTTTTCTTGCACAATGCGACTTAGCGAATCATCGCTTGAACTCTCTATTAACGGCCGGCTGAAGTGATCCATCGACTCAATTAGCCGTTGCTCCATGGTGGATTCATCAACGCCGAAAAAGGTCAACTCGAGATCAGAGTCGGGCTCATCTACTCCAAGCTTGGAGTGAACAGCGACATATGCTGTGGCGGAACGGCTTTCCTGAATAGCATCCAGTATGCCATCTTGATACTGGGCGATACGATCCTCAAGATCCAAAATAGAAGCCCAATCGAATAGCCATCTGGCAGCGGGCGGTCGGTTCGACATGATGACGTCGGATCGGGCCAGAATGTGATCTGGGTGGAATGTCCGAATAAACCGTAGGTTTCTGCCAGTCTCGAAGATGGACTCCGCAATATCGGAAGGCAAAAATTGCGGGACTCTGCCAATATCCAACCGAAAGTCAATGTCTTCAACCTCTCGTCCGAAATCATCAATAAAGACTTCGACATCGACTGTGACGAATCCCTTGGTCTCCCCAATGTTGGACCTTGCAAACGGCATGCCCACCTCTCGCCGTGTGCCAAGCCATTCTTCAACTGACTCGACCCAAGGGCTTGATATCCGCTGCAATATTTCGCAAAGCATATCCCTGATATACCTTTCACTGAATTCAAATGTGGATGCCTCCTGAAAAACGAGCGACAAAATCTCTTCATCTGGGAGATCACGAGGTATTCGCGCTGCGAGGTCGTCTAGGGGACGGAGAATGGTAGATGCTTCCCTAATCGTAGTCTGAAGTTGTAGCAGCGATTCGGGAAATCGGCCATCCACAGAGACTCGGTGCTCTACGGCTTGTAGAATTTGGCTCATGGCGCTGGCTAGTGCTATAGCACAGCGGCTTGAAGATGGAGCGTACGACGATTGACAAAATGCGCCGAGTCGTAAGAATGTGGAACCGCACTTTGCGGCTTGTCTTTGTACGCCCTGAAGTACCTGTCGGCTGTACCCAGACACTCGTAACTCTGGAAGCGTGCACTTGAAAGTCCAATCTTCAGTAGTTCTTGCAAAGAAGACGGATTCTCGGCCGAGGCACAAGGCCAGCACAGATGTAAAATATGCCCTAGTCTCAACAGCCGGCGTGCTCGTATTCTGCAAATTTAACGAGTCCGTTGGCCAGCTTAAAAGGGCATCATATGCGCCTTGTCCAGCTTCAGAAAGAAGCATGGGTATATATGGCTGTAGCGTTCCCGTTTTGAATGTCTCCCATGTTCTGAAGGCAGACGGCCTTGGCTGCGGTTCGGAAACTCCAGTCCATATATCGCTCTTGTCCTCAAACTCTTGATGCTCTTGTATAGTTGAGGCTGTCATGTCCGAATCTTGGAGCTCGTCTGGGTCATCAGCGTGAGACTCGCCAACTTCTGGTAGCTTGAAGAAGCCATCAGTATCGACTGCGATCGGTTCCAAGGGTAATGAGGTAGACTTGACATTGTATAATGCTAGTTTGGACTAGTTTAGTAATGAAGAGAGTCACCACGAGAAGAATGGGTGTATGCGCATACCGTCAAGTCCGTGGCCAAAGAGTGAGGTGGACGTCTCGCTAGCCAATTGATCGAGCCACCTTGACGTCTTCCAAAAGTCTGGGATGGCAAAAACATCTGCTTCGCTTGGTTCGTCCGTCATGTCTTCATTGCTATGATTGCCAGGCAATTTGTATCATTTCTTGCCTTGACTGCACCTACATGTAGGCAATGTTGCTTCAATGGCCCGTCGAAGTGATCCAGGAAGACGCGCAAGGTCGCGTTTGCGAGAGCTGCCATGGCCCCGCGCTAGAACCCACATGAACTTGACCTGTACATGCAACATGTGGACTGCAGCTGGCAGGCCCAAGTGATCTCATCGACCAATCGCCAAACTCAGAGCTCTCCAATACTTTTCAGTCTTCAACAGCAACAGCCATTAGCAACAGAAACGTAGGCATTGCCAGCCCAATCAACTACATGCTGTGTTTCCAGGCCTACATGCCTACAGATCAGCCGAGAACGACTGCGCCTGAAGCCGGAAATGCCTCCCAGGAAACGTGCGCGTGGCCAAGCCGTCGCGACGCCGAGCGCAACTCGGGACGATGATGCCATGGACATTGACACCCCTGCTGCCAGTGAAGCTGGGGATCCCTCGAAACATGACGTCTCGAATTACAATAATATGTGGACAGATGACCAAGTCGCTTCTCTTTTTAAAGGCGTCATTCGCTGGAAACCGGCGGGTTCGTGACCATTCGCAGCAGACAAGCAATCAAGGCATGCTTGGCTAATCACGTTCATCTAGGCATGCACAAGCATTTCAGGATGATTGCGATATCTGAACACTTGCGAAATCATGGCTTCGATCCCGATATTTACCAGCATACCAGAATCCCCAACATCTGGGACAAGCTACGGACTTACTACAATCTCGACCTCATCGATGAGCGAGAATACTTTGACGACGACGAGACTGAAGATAAATACGTCGACTTTACACTGCCTCACTCCCATTTCCTTGACTCCATGATGCAGAGAGCAGTAGCGGACTCTAGTGAAGCCCCTACTTCTCCGCCACAACTGGAACTCTCACCCGAACTGTCGCATGCGAGAAAACGAAAGAGATCAGGAACCGCATCAAAGGCCAGGGCCACCGACGCCGAGGACACCGAGGACGGCACGGATGCGCCATCGCCAGCTGCCAGGCCAGCTAGGGGATCAAGGGGACGCACGAGGGCAGCAAGCCAGCAGGCCAAGCCGGAGAAGAATGACAAGAGTGACAAGGGCAAGGACAAGGCCGAAAAGGACAAGGCTGAGACAACGGAGGAGGAGGAAGATGCTGAAAATCAGGAGGAAGAGAGTGGGTCCGGGGAGGATGAGGATGAGGATGAGGACGAGGACGAGGATGAGGATGAGGATGAGGATGAGGGAGAAGGTGAGGGCGAGGGCGAAGAGGAGGAAGAGGACGAAGAGGACGAAGCGGACGAGAGTGCTGAAGAAGGTGGTACGCCAGCGTCGAGATCAACTAGGGCAGCCAGGAAGAGGACCGTTGCTCCTAAACCTACAACACGGAGGACAAGATCAAGGAAATAAGAATGAAAACTTGTTGACTTGTTGATTCTTTTTAAAGTACAGATATCTGGTTGTATACTAAATCAAAATGCAAAGGCTAAAAAATTTGCCGCTTCTTCTATTGATCATGTGTATCTTATTCATCATGCCTTGCAGTATCCAACGTCTCCCATTCCCCATAATATTCCAGCTTTGAAGCCCAGTCTCGTCCAAGAGGATAGACATTATCCACACTCAAAATCGATCTATGCACGGGACCGGGATCCTCCACTTTAGGTAGTTCCATTAGCGGCTTCCTCTTCAAGATATCCCACATCTCGATCTCTGCTTGATAGCTGGCATACTCGTCGTGCATCTCGGCCTGCGCTTCCTGTTGCCTCTCCGTGGTGATGCGCAGTTTGAGCGCTTGCTTTGCGGCTTGAATATCCTTTAGCTCTGGGGTCGAGTAAAGCAGGATCTCATTAGCTTCCCGCGTAATCTCGTGTTTTTCATCATCGTCATCTTCTGTTTCCGAATCAATGCCTGTGTCGTTGTCACGACTTTCATCGCTCTCTTTCAGATCCCCATCAAGCGAAGCTTCATCTGTGAGAATCACATCCTTTGGAGCTTGAATTTCAATGCCATCATTATTCCCAGAGAGTATAGTCTCAACTTCTTCATACGTCATGGGCTCCTCTTCGGCTTCCTCGTCATCTTTATCTGGCGGTTCGTTAAAAACGTCCAATCGCAACCTTCTCGCGCTTTTGATCCACCTCGATTTCGAATCATGTGGCATGGCGAGTGAGGCAACTGCGGCTTCAACATCCTTTCTCCGGACAATATCCCGAGTGGTAGGAACAAGCTCCTTCTTCGCCCTGATTCTCGACATGCTAATAAACAAGGTTGTCTGAACGAGCCGTCTGGTGACAGAAACAGCAATTGAGTAAAAGTCGTCGAACGCGGTGGCCCACATTGATGGTCTTTGATGGTCGATGTAGTTCCAGTTGTTGCCAGGAACCGATGAATTCATAAACACGCGCTCCGACAATTGTAGCCAGTTAGACAGATGAAACAGCTCGGAGAATTTCAACGTCATGTCAGACGTATCATCGCTCTCCTCGCCACGGTGGCCTAATCTCCTGGCTAGAGAAGGAGTAACATCCCACTTCTGTCCCCATTTCAGCTTCTCTCGTTGTTCCTCTCTGCGCTCTTGGAGGACTGAAACAGTATCGGCAGCCTCTTCTTGAAAATGGCAACACTGTTGGCTGATCTCAACAGCTGCTGGATACTCTGCTGGCTCCAAGCAGGATCGGCGTCTCAAACAACTCTGTCTGCTATCGTTGGCTGTTTGCAGCAGCTCGACGTACTGCTTGACTTCAATTTCGCTTTTGCTACCTATTCTGGTTGCGATACCGGGCAAATCGTATTTGCCCAGTCGTGATACAGACTCAAAAAAATGCGCTTTTTCAACTGTGGACCAGAAGGTAAGTCCGACCTGAGAGCCAGGCAGGTCGACTCTCAGGTCGGACTTGCCTTCTGGTATGTCCTCCAAACAGACCTGATGTGCAGCGTCATCAATCTCGCGATTAAGAAGATCCAGGTATTCGGGATTCAAGACACCTTTTTGCCTTTTAAATGGAAGGTTGTTGAAGGCTTGTTCAGCTGAACGTTTCAATAGTGATCTGCTAGCCAGGTGGTCGTCATCTTCGGATACAACATGGTTGGCTTCGCTTAAGGCATAAGAGCTGTCGCTGTCACTGTGGTTCACCGCCGAGTAGCTGCTGGCGATTCCTCTCAGATGTGCGTTTGCAGCTTCTGATTCATAGCTAGCAAAATTTTCCTCGTCGACGGAGTACTCTTCGACGTCTTCGTCAGGGTCCATGCTCCCACAATTTCCAAAGCGGTGAGCGGCACCTGCGCCGGTGTTGACATTGTACCAGGGATAAATGCTGGTTGTATTCTTAGAAAAGATGGATCAGGGGTAATACTTTTAACAAAAGATTTGAGCATTGACGGTTATCTTGAGTATCTTGGCTTTACACTGGAAATTATCTGTCTTCATAGTGAGCTTGAGATGAAGTGAATCGGAGAAGAAATCCTGGTGGATCGATGAATTGGAAGGTGGAGCCTTTTAATGACTAAGCCTCATTGACGCTTTCACGACCACTAACTGGAGGGGTTTTAGACTACTATCACTGTCCGTTTTTGTCGCACTGTAACTCCGTAGCTTTACAGCATCACCGCTGAAAAAAAAAAGAAAATCCTTGGTGATAATATTTTGGCTAATACGCAACACTTTGCTTTAGAGCCACAGAATACCTGAGATTTCTCTTTGATTTTTTTCAGGAGGCATATCCACCATCCATAGGTCACAAGCTCGTTGTTGCGGTATTTCATAACCACCATGAGCATTGATCTTCGTACTTCATATTCTAAAAGCAAAACCCCTTTTCCAGTATTCAATTTGACAGCAGGTCTTGCGTCCGGTCTCGATATTTTACAATCCCATGTTTTGCCAAACGCGCTGACATAATGAAAAGTGGGCCCAGGCGCGACACACAAGGTTTCCTTGCCAGCCAACCAGCTTGCCAGCATCAAAGCTGCCCCTGTCTGTCACCAGATTTTGGGATCTCAGGCAGTTTCGATAAATTTCGCCGACACACTTCATGGCCACCTCATAATGTACAATGCTACGCACCGTTGCAAAATGCGTCTCCAGACCATCGGTTGAGGCAACCAAGCCTGCATGGAAGATCACACCTTTCAAAATCTTCGTCGCTGGCCTTACTCTTACCTCCAAGCCAAAGCTCCGAGACTACCAGCAAGAATGCATCAAATCAGTTCTCTTATCCCTGAGACGAGGTCACAAACGAGTAGGGATATCACTGGCTACCGGTAGCGGCAAAACTGTAAGCTCGATTGGTGTTTAGTTCCAAGCAATCCGTATTCTGAATGTCATGCCGAATGCTAACAGGGCTCAGGTTATCTTCACCCAGCTCATTGACAAAGTGCATTCACGTTCAGATGGCGGGGACCGCACTCTCATTCTGGCCCATCGTCGTGAGCTAGTGGAACAGGCTGCCCGGCATTGTCAACTGGCATATCCGGACAAGACCATTGAAATCGAAATGGGTTCGATTCATGCTTCGGGAGCAGCAGACATTACCATCGCCAGTGTACAAAGCATTACGTCTAGGGACCGCTTGGAAAAGTTTGAACCCTCTGAATTTAAATTGGTCTTGGTGGACGAGGCCCACCACATTGTGGCCCCGGGATATCTCAAGACTCTCAAGCACTTCGGACTAGACCAGAAGCAACGAGAGTCACCAACACTCATCGGCGTCTCAGCCACATTCTCCAGATTCGACGGTGTCAAACTTGGCGCTGCCATTGACGAAATTGTGTACCACAAGGACTACGTTGACATGATTACCGATAAATGGCTCTCGGATGTCATTTTCACCACTGTCGAGTCTTCCGCCAACCTGTCCAAGGTCAAAAACGGCGCCTTTGGTGACTTTCAAACAGGGGAGCTATCCAAGGTTGTCAACACCAACGAAGTCAATGACATTACCGTCAAGAGCTGGATAGCTAAAGCCGGGGACAGGAAAAGCACCCTGGTTTTCTGTGTAGATTTAGCTCACGTGTCTGGACTTGCACGCAAATTTCGAGAATACGGGTACGATGCTCGCTTCGTGACCGGCGACACTCCCAAGCAGGAACGAAGTGAGATCCTGCATGATTTCAAAAAAGGATGTTTTCCTGTTTTAGTGAATTGTGGTGTGTTTACCGAGGGAACCGACATACCAAACATTGACTGTATCGTCCTCGGCAGACCCACGAGATCACGAAATCTCCTTGTTCAAATGATTGGGAGAGGTATGCGGCTTCACCCGGGGAAAAAGAATTGCCACGTCATTGATTTGGTTTCAAGTTTGGAAACTGGCATTGTGACTACGCCGACATTATTTGGTCTGGATCCGAAAGAGTTGGTGGACAAGGCATCAGTAACAGACATGAGAATGATAAAGGAGGCTCAAAGGGAAGAAGAAGCGAGGCATCAGGAAGCATACTCGAATGGGACGACCTCAGCAGCTAGCTCAGCCGACGCGGTCACATTCACCGACTACTCCTCTGTGCTGGATCTAATCGCTGACACGTCTGGAGAGAGGCACATCCGCGCCATCAGCCAGAATGCTTGGGTACAGGTCGGTCCCGAAAGATTCGTCCTGTCAGCTCCCAGCGGATCATATATCCGTATCGAGCGAATCCAGGAGCCAGTGACGACCTCATCTCCGACGTACAGGGCACTCGAGATCCGCGCTTTACCTGCTGGGTTGGCAAAATCCCCGTTCGCCGCACCGAGAGAGATTCTCACAGCTGCTACGTTTAACGACGCGGTTCACGGAGCAGATAGTTATGCGGCCAACGCATTCCCGCATAGCTTTATCCACCGACACCAATCGTGGAGGAAGCTACCACCGACACAAGGACAGTTGGACTTTGTCAATAGATTACGTGGAAAGGCGAAAGCGTTGACGGTGTCAGACTTGACAAAGGGCAAGGCGGCGGACATGATTACAAAACTAAAGCACGGTGCTCGCGGGCAGTTTGCGAGGATAGAAGCCGAGCAGCGCAGGAGAGAGAAGCAGACGAATATTTTGGAAGCGAGACAGAGCCGGGAGCGGGTCATGGTTGGGCCTGTCATGGCATAACTCGGCAGAGTCCACCGAGTTTTCATTGGGAACGGGCGAGACTGTATTATCACGATGGGGCATTTTGGCGTATGGGCTCAACGGCATAGACTATTTTGGCATTAGACGATACCACGCTGTATTTAGTTTATATCATGTATACATGAATTTTTTTTTTTTTTAATTATTTTACATGTACCCTTTAAATCACCCTAAAAGCTGTATCCTCGTCAGCAGAGCAGAGCCCAAGTTTTACAATCAATGGCTATTCTACACACCTAATATCGCTCTATTTCGACCCAACGACCTTGAGAAAGTCCTGGACACAACCCAACCACCGAATCCCTCTGCTCCTGCGGCGGATTCTGGATGCTTCCGAACTCAGCCGTTGCACGATAGCCGGGAAGAAGTCTCTGGCGCAGAGTGTAGCGCTGGGTACAGTCGCCCTCGTGTGCGGCATTATTCTGTTTCTTGCAAGGATATAATTATTGTTGTAGTCTGTACTACGCAGAGGCGTATTCGAGCACTCAAAGTAGTATGTATAGAGAGCTGCCGCCCAACGCTTACGATGCGCCCGAGTGGTCAGATGTCTGTCCTCATTTTTGCTGCAACAGTTAATTCTAGTCCAAACATTCACAATTCGTAAATTCATGCAACCTTATTTCAATGCACTCAATCGGGTATATTTCATCAGTTGTTCTTGCAACCCACCTCCACAACCAAGAGTTCTGCAGTCGATCAGATCTCATCCGGAACTGAAAGGGCAAGTTCCTGACACCATTCTCTCCAGGATTGTTCACCTCGGCTAGAGGGCCAAATTGCCTTCAGAAATAAAATAAAACAGAAAATATACCATTCATCCACTCCATGTATTGATTTCGCATTTCTCAATCCCTTCAGTTCCAATGCACTAGTCTTTCCATTTGCAAGGGGCAAAACGAGCAAGCCCCCGAAGATCATTCCCATCTTCTACCACGTATATCTGAACCAGGGTATTTTCTTCAAACTTTTTCTTGGCCTCAAGCATGTCTTTGGTCGAATTCGCGGGTATAAAGGAGGCACCGATAGCAGTCATCAAGACTGAGCTAAGCGCCAACATAACCAAAAAAAAAAAAAAAAAAACAACAAAACACAAAGCGCAACTCAGTTCGAAACATCGCATTATAAAACAAGATCAAAATCCGACCGATATGGAACCTGAAGTTCCAGGGTATTCTGTTTTTATTCTGTGAGGGGTATATCCAGCCGGGGTATTCGCATGTGAGTGTTCTAAGTCGGGGGAATCTAACGGAAGGGCCCAATATGGGCGGGGTATCCTGAATTCATGGAATGAGAAGTAGATGGACGACCGCTGTCTCCAGACGCGCGGGTATTATGGCGAGGCGTAACATCGCCGGGAAGGGGGATGGCCAATTTGTTGTCCATATGTTTGCTGAACGGTCGTGGTCCCCAAGGATTCTCGTCCTCGGGCAGGTTGACTCCACTGTCGTTCCAAGGGTTTCGGTCAGCGTTGAAGCTTCGGGTCGACTCGATTGAGATTAAAGACGACTTGGAAACGTTGCTGGATCCCTTGAAGAAGTTGCTATTCATCGAGTGAGAGCTATTCTTTCTGCGGTCAAGGAACGAGGAAATAGACGTCATGCTGCCGGGCTTGCGAAGGCGGTCAAGAATGCTGCTTCGCTCACGAGCAACCTCGGCACCAAAGCCACTTTTGACAGGCGAGTCGCTGGAGGACGAGGCAGGAGCGTGCTGGAGGAGCTTCGAGTCAAAGTACTGCAAAGAGTCCTCAAAAGAGTCAGACTTGGGGCGCGGGATGGATCCCTTGACGACGCTCGCTTCAACGGTGGCAGCAGCCATTTGAGCTTCGAGGAAATCGATGGCGTCGCGGAGCCCGCCCGCGTTATTACGCGTGAAACCCCAGACCAAGGTAACAGTCGGAGAGCCTTCCTCAGTCAGCTCGTCCGGGTTCTGATGATACGTAACCTCCACTTCGTACTGGGCTTTGAGTTTCGATATCAGGTCGGTGGCGAACTGCGGCGATTCCAAGAACTTGACTAGATCGGCCGTGCGAGCCAGCACCAATTCATGCTTATCAGGGACCATACCCAAAAGCTCGTCCACACAGTGAGGGACCTGCCACTGAGGGCCAGTAACGGTAACTTCATCGCTGGCTTCCTCAGTGCTCGGG